CCTGTTACAACCTTTAAAGACAAAGCAACGCCTATCTAGAACCTAGTTTTATTAAAGTTATGCACGTTATTGTTGCAAACGCTATACTTAACTTAAGTATCCTCTACTAGCTTAAACTACGCGCTAATTATCTTAGGATCTTCCTGTAGTATCCTCTGTCTATCCTTAGCTTAATTAAAGGCTATTTTAAGCTTGTCTAAACGCGTCACAAGCCTGCTAGCCTATAGTTTGCCAATAGGCTCTTCACCACGCACACTAAGTATCTTATTAGCTATATCTGCCACCTCACATAGCTAGGGCGCAAATCCTCACGAATTAAGGTTAAGTATATACTAGACAATTGTCTGCTCCTCTAGTATAGTAAGTTTCTAGCAATTAGTGTGTACGTCTAGTTAAAACATGATATTGCAAAGGCAATTAGAGACCTACTAATAAGGTATGTTCAACGCTCTAGCAGCGCTGCAGATACTGCAAAATTGGCCAGCATAGAAGGCCTAGATAGCAAGGATAACTCTACCTTCTCTAGTAGTATTCTGAAGTTGTTGTTGTTAAGGCATGTTGTGTTGGGGTAAAAGGTGGTTGTGCTAAGAGAAAGTGGCCGGTTCGGTGATATGGCCGGCTCGGTGATAATCTACGTTACGTGAAATTTCGCAATTTTTGAATATTTAATACTAGTGCTAGCAGAACTAAGGGTAGCCATGTAATGACGTTACAACGTCGTTTTGAGTTTGTTGAATATGGGCACTCAGCGTTTTGGCTGTTAGCAATGTTGGCGCGAAATTGGGGCTGTTGGGCGCAAATTGGGGCCGTTGGGGCCGTTGAACGGCCGTTGCACGACCATGCCACGACTGTCAGCAACGGCCAGTCTGGGCCGGATTTCGAAAAACTTTTCCCGATGGAGTTGCGTCTTGTTTAAGAGCCTAAATAGAAAGCTATATATCTAGTTCCTTTAAGACACTTTAAGCCTTTTTGTGTTAAGACATTGCAGGTTGTATGAAGTTTGGTGTGGTCTTGGCAAAATCCGGTCACTCGCCCAGGCTGGCCACTCGCCCGTGAGGTACGTTATAACAAGCTATCTCTAGCTTTATGCAATTCTAAATATTTAATTGCTTCTTGAATTAGATCTATAGTGGTGGAGTTGTGATGCGTTGAAGTTGTGGGTATCTCAATGTTGTGATGTTCCGGGTGGCTCATCGGCTGAACTGGCTCATCGGGCGCACGACCACGGTATCTAATCAGATCAAGATCCTCGGAACTACGACTGGGGCTGCACGGGTCACCCAGTGTTGAGTTTGCCCATGATTGGTGTTTGAACGTGTGGGTCGGAGGGTTGGAGGGCGTCGGATCGTGCCTTCCGCGCTCGCCTGCAGAATCTGATTACTCGCCGGAGATCATCCTTGCTGCCAGCCACCACCGACATCATCCCGAAGATCCTCGCGATTTGCAATACTCTGCGGTTATGTATGCAGCCTCGCGGGACCACGCCATCCGTCGAAGCGGAGATATCAAATTCTCACTACGAGAATTCGGCGCTTTGCTGCTAAGAGCAAAGCCTTAATCAAGACCAGGCGATGTCGTACTGCGCGACGCCGACATGTCATGGCGAAGGTTTGGGCCCTGCAGCAAAGTGGCTGCTGCTATGGTAGGTTCAGCTACGAGCCGGCTTTCTAGCTCCGGCAAACCTCGTTCTTGCACAAAGAGCTCTGAGTTTTTGACAACTTAGCGTCGATCGGAACTCTCTCCGCATGCTTGCTGTTGACGGATGCGAGCTCCTACCGTTTGCTCCACGGAGGCTCACCTCGCCCTGACTTGTGTAAAACAACGGCGTCGATCTCGTGAACGGGCTCAAAGTCTATGCATCCCATGCACCATAGACGCCGGTCTGACAAGGGCTCGCTCTTCGACTCGCGAAACGACTGGTCAAAATGGTGGTGGGCTGCACTCCTGCAGCAGCCATTGTACGACATCTTTGCTCTATCAACAACTTCGACACCCAAAGGTCTGCGAGGAGATGTGGTTTTTGGCGTGTCTTTCACTGTTTACTCCAGTCGTCTCGGTCAACGCGATGCCTTACCCGATCATGGCTGGGTCCGCGGGGGAGGCGCTGTCAGTGCGAGACAACCTGCACAAGAACTACGCCGGGGAACACCCTAGGGATAGGACAATATTTGCTGTTGTATCACTGTTCTTCATGATGATACTCTCCCTGCTTTTGGGTATGTTGCGAGTCATGCACTTTTGGGATCTAAGTGCTAACACCCCTCTCAGGAGCACGATTTAACAGACTGAGAGAGAGTGCAATGATATTGCGAAACGTCACTTCGATAATTGTACTCATCTTGTATTTCCTTGCTCTTGCGTTCATCTTTTCCTCAGCCATTATGCTTGCAGGACAAGGCCTGTTCAATCACAATCTTTGCTTCTCAGCAACTTGGATATGTCTCATCCTTTACACCGCATGTAAGGGCACAATGTAAGTTCAGTGACTGCATCCAAATGATAGTACATATTGACAAGATACAGCTATATCTTCATTGTTGAACGAATTCACGCCGTCCGCGCCCCGTTTGTCCGCCGCACCCGCGATTGGCTTTACTGGTCTCTGATGGCCATCGTTGTTGGATCGTTCTTCGGAGTTGCCATCAACGCCTACCTCAAACTCATCATTAAGATGCAAGACGACGGACGCTGCCATATGGGCATTCCAGGACAGGCTTCCATTCCATTCATGGTTGTCGACATCAGTGTCAACGCTGCACTGACCGGTGTATTTTTCTACCTTCTTCGACCGGTGGTGAACCTCCATGGATTGAACACGATCTCCGGTGTGTTTGGGAAGAGTTCAGTTAAGAATCGGGACATGCCCCAGGCAAGGAAGGAAACAGCAGTGCAGCGTAACATTAGAATCCTGCTGTGGAAAAGCCTGTTCGGAAGTATGCTCATCACGCTACCCACCATTGCCAACATGGTTCAATTCTACATTACTGGGGGTCGAGAGTTGGCACTAATCTGCTTATCACTGTGTGTTGTGGATGTCAGCTGGGACGCTGTAGTCATCCACTGGTTGACTTTTGGATCGGCGGAGGCCGAGAAGGAGTTCACTCGCTCAACGCAAGAATCTCTGCGGTCGATGCGCGTGCCCACACCTGGCTCGTTGCGCCCTAAGGAGTCTCAGGAAGTAATCATGTCTTCACCTATGCTATGGAGGATCAACTCATTGAATGAGAAAAACGAAGCCTGCGAGGCTATCACTCCGGCGAGAATGCCTTGGGTAAATATCAGGAAAGTCGCGAGTAGATAATGTTACACAATTAGTATTTGCAAGCAAAAATAGGGTATGTGACTAAAACGAATATTAATCTTTCCGTCACTCTATGCCTTCTCATGCTGCATGTACCGATCCCGTTTCTCCATAACGTGAACATCTCTTGCTGCGGTACGCTTCTGATACAGATCCGTCACCTGCGCTGGATGTACTCAGTTGAACAAGCATATGACGAGCAATATCAGTGTAGCGTCGAAGATGTAGAGAACGTACTCAGGTCTCAAAAGGTACCCATTGATATCTTGCAGGTACTCAACAACCCGGAAAACGCTTCTGACTATCATCAAGCCGGACGCCAAGAAGCCAGAGAAAGTCAGCTGGAGGAAGAGACCGACAACGATAATTTTCTCGCCCACATAGAGTAGAGCCAACGTAGGTTTAAATTAGGCGCGAAGTTAAAGATCGGTTGATTCTGACGAGACTCCATCGAGAAGCTCAGTCTTTGTTCACGGATTCCACCATCTGGAACGCATGTCTTGGGCTATGATGTGCCTGCAAGACAGCTTCTGACAGGGTGGTCCCTTGCAAGCACACCCCGGAATGTTTAGCTTGACATACTACCGGTACGATTGGGTGGGCAAACAAGATACAATATGCGCGGTGGTACGGGTACCGGGCGAGCGATATCACCATTTGTCCCTGCATCTGGCACCCAGTCAACAAATGTAACTGCGTGAGCAGTGTCGGTCGGAGACTGTGATCAACAAGTGTATTGCTATCTGTTGCCGTGTTGTGTGATGTTCTGCTAAAGGAGCTCTCAGCTCTCAGGTAAGTGCACTTACCCACCGGGCAGTGCTTGCTACAAATGATATCATGTGATCTGAGCCACGTGGTTACAAACACATATGCTCCCCCTTCATACATCTCCTCTATCATCTCAACAACTCTCCATAGAATCCCTTACTCAGTCTCTGCATCTCACTTCCCTCATCAAACCACGTTGGTACAAAAGCGTCTTCGTTCGGCCACATGCGCTCGTGCTTGTAGCACATGCCGCCCACAATCTTGCCGTTTAAAGTATCAATGCATTTGATCCAGAATACTGTGTCTGGGTGTGATCTGAATTCTTCTAATAGATCGGTTTTTGCCTTTTGAAACGCGGTGCGCTCAGCAGGCGTGTTGGTTGCGAGGTGCGCGGATGTAAGTTTGCCCACTGGTTGAAGTGGCATGGCCCAACTGGTGTAAAATGAGTGAAAGAGCTGATCCCAGTCATTGTTAATGTCGGCATTGGAGCAGAGGAGGTTGTGAGGCGGCATGATCGAGGTTGCAATTGCGAACTTGGTTCTTGTTCTTGGGAACGAGAAAAAAGAGGCTCATCTTTATGGCTCAGGAGGATGCGTGCTACTTCAGCTGGGCTTTTTGGATACTGATTATGGCATCATGTTGCGAGACGATGTTCATAAGCTAGTCTATATACTTTCCGCCCACATATAGTTTCCGCCCACCCGCCACAACGCGTTACCTAGTTTTTGCAGCTCTATTACAGCACCACAACGTTGTCAAAATGGATCCCAAGGAAATTGCTATCCAAAACGCTATCCACGATCTCAATTCTGGTGTTTTTAAGAGCCAGCGGCAGGCGGCTGAGGCGTGGGGGATCCCCCGATCCACGCTACGCGGTCGGCTGCAAGGTCAACAACCACACGCGATAGCTCACTCAAATCAACAACGTTTGACGCCAGAGCAAGAGGAGTTTCTAGTAGAGTGGATACTTGAAGAGGACTCACGTGCACAGCCACTATCTCATCCACGTGTACGAGAGATGGCTAGCCAAATCCTCCACATAAACAGCGACTACGAGCCACTCGGGCATCTATGGGTACCCCATTTCATCACACGAAACCCACGCGTTGCCTCTATCGTTAGCTGAAAAATTAAGAGTGCAAGGACTACAGCAGCCAACTATGAGACAATTCGCGTGTTTCTGGAGTTGTTTGAGCGTACTCAGATTAAGCTGGGCATACAGTATGAAGACATATGGAACATGGATAAGACTAGTGTCAGTCTTAGGGTATGTACCAACACCAGAGTGATTGCCAATTCATCAAAGAAGAAGGCTTATATCAAATCACCAGAGGATCGTGAGTGGGTATCGATCCTGGAGACTATCTCCGCCACCGGCACCAAGCTCCAATGCCTAGTCGTCTTCAAAGGCAAGCATCTACAAACTACGTGGTTTCCAGCACAAGGGGTGCCCAATTGGCTCTACACAACGTCAGAGAATGGGTGGACGTCAAATTCAATTGGATCTGAGTGGCTACAACGGATATTCATACCAAATACTACACCTTCACAAGGTAGGTGGCGGCTACTACTATTGGACGGCCACGGCTCCCACACTCCTATTGACTTTATGTGGACTTGCCGGCGGCATCAGATCTATCTTCTATACCTCCCACCTCACGCCTCACACGTTCTCCAGCCGCTGGATCTGGCTCCATTCTCCGTCGTTAAAACCCACTACCGTAGTCAGATCTAAGCACTCTCAGCACTTGATGACGCAGCACCTATCAAGAAGGAGAGGTTTGTCACCTCATACAACAAAGCAAGAGAAGAAGGACTATCTGAGAGAGTCATACGAGCTGGCTGGAAGGCTGCTGGCTTATGCCCATACAACCTAGACCTAGTAATACTCTCATCTCAGATATCAGGCCGACCTGTCACGCCTCCTCCATCTACTCAACCTATAGATGACGTATTTGCCACGCCTCAGAGCTCACAGGCCCTTCACAGGGCTTATCAACAGCTCCTTTTGTCAGAATCTCTCTCTCGAAGCACCCGTGTGGTGCTTAGCAAGGCAGGCAAGGCTATTGCTAGAGCCAACACTCGCGCAGCTCGGCTTGAATCTGAGAATCAACGACTTAAATATCAACTAGATAGTACTAGGGTTACCCGCTCAAGAAAGCGTGTTCAAGTCAACCCAAATGAGCGCTATAGTAACGTTGAAGCTATTAAGGCTGCTATTGATCGGGCAGCAGCATTACAAGCTGAGCAGGCATCACGTTCAACTGAACAAGAGGCTCAAAAAGCAGCAGCAGCAGCAGCAGCACTCACGCTTCAGTCTATGTGTACAGAGTGGCAATTGTAAACGTTGACGTTGAAAAATCACGACTTCAATCCGAGTACTGGTAATGTGGCGGGTGGGCGGAAACTATATGTGGGCGGAAAGTATATAGACTAGCTTAGCGGCTCTCCATGGTGGGCCTGATCAAGGCGATCAGGACCGGTGCAATAATCCCTGTGACTGATTCCGGAACAACTAAATATATATATCGAAGAATGGAGTAACTCAAAATTGACTCTAATAGTCACTCGACACAAGCGAATTCGCCCAATCCTCCACGTTGTCGAACTTATCTTCGACATCATCTGGAATACCATTTCCATTGGCATCAGTCCACTTTTCCCCTCCATTAATAGTGCCGGGGAAGTTCATTGGAGCCGCCGTCTCATCGCTGATCAATTGCCCCGTCTTACCATAGCTCTTCAACTCTGTGATGAGGCGCTCATCAACAGCATCGCGGACCTTGCTAGCCCCGACAGACGCCTGAACATACGTCAACGCATCAGCCGCACCCAGCACCTTTGCAGGTGCAGGGTGCGGGAACTTGGTCGTCGCAATAACCATGCCACCGTAGTTCGAGCTACTCGCACCAATCTCCGTCCCACTCAGCGCGCCGTTCTTATCAGAGTCGTAGAAGTTCTTCTCAACGTAGCCTTTGAAATTTTCGTTGCCACGGGTGAAAGCAGTCACGCTCGTGCTGGGTCCGCTGATGAAGTAATTGCCGATGATGTTCGCCTCAGACTGGCCGCTCGAATCGCCAGCAATGTAGCCGCCGCCGCCGCCCCAGTTGTACACGACGTTGTTGATGAAGTCGTTTGTACCCTTGACTTTGGGGTTACGCGTTTTGTTGTCGATGTACAGGTTGCGGAAGAGCGAGACGCCACCGTCGAGCTCGGTTTGCATGAGGCCGCCACAGGAGTGTGTCTCGAGGCCTTGGGCGATGATGGAGTTCTGTTTGCGTCAGCGATGCTCAAGTTGCAAGCCGAAGAGTACAGACTTGTATGGTAATATTGGCGGCAGGGCCATTGATAGAGAAAGTCTCGTCGCGACCCCAGGACACGCTGATGTGGTCGAAAATCATATTCTTGCCCTCTGCAATGCCTGCTGCGTCTTTGCCGCTTGTTCCTCCTTTGCCCATGCGGATACGGATGTAGCGTACGATGGCGTCGTCAGCGTTGGAGAAGGACCAGCCGTTGCCGTAAACTGTGATGCCGTCTCCCGGCGCGGTTTGGCCGAGGATACTGATGCGTTTGGAGAGCACAATGCGCTCCTTTATTTTGATGAGGCCGCCGACTTGAAATACAACAATGCGATCAGGCTGTGAGACTGCATCGCGTAGAGACCCGGTCCCAGAGTCGTTCAAATTGGACACGACGTAGACCTTGCCGTTGCGACCGCCAATGGCATCTTTGCCAAAGCCTTCGGCACCAGGGAAAGCTAGAGCCGAAACGGTGCTGGCCAGCAGAGGAAGGTAAGAAAGAAAATGCATAATGGAGGTGGAACGATTTCCTGGCTTCCGTCTTCGACTGGGAAACACGATATATACTCTCAGTGTTCACCAGATGAAGGAGACGACATGATGATCTCATTCGTTTCGATGGGACTCGGAACATTGCCTGATGGGGGAAAATATCGACTCAATAGTAAAAGAGAGCCTCGCTTGTGCTTAACCTTTCATTCGAAAAGTCCTGCTGTTTGTTTGAAGTTGAATACTCCGCCAATCGTACACGAGGTGACGGCGATCATTACTAGGTCTGAAACCGGGTGGTCAGCAGGAGACCGCTCGCGGGTCATCTTACAGCGAAACAATATATACACATATTGCACGTCGGCAATTAAGGTAGTTCGCTTCCCCGCATGCTCTTTATCGTCTTTCGTATAGAGTGAGTGGGCGTAGACGCCTGGGAGGGCCAAAGGCTCTGCTGCACGTGGGCGGGTCACGGGACCCACGAATCAGCGCCAGTGAGACACTCCATGATTGTAAAGCATCGTGGAATATACCAATCTCGCATATCAGCCTAGAAGCAGCTATTTCAGGTACTGATCTGATCTGGAGGTATTCAAGAATGCGCTACGGGCACCCTGAGTATGAAGCAGTGCACAGAACCACGAGTCATGCCGAACTCTAAACAGTAGATGACATATTACGTTGGATAGGTCCAGATACTATACAGAAGCTGCTAAATGTGATGTCCCATGTCTTGGTGTCCAAGGCCGTGGCTACCGATGCTCCCACATAGAAGTAGAGTGTGATTGTGTGCCGTAGCCTGGACCTATCCAGCTCTCTTCGCAAGATCAGTCGACGCGGACATTCCCACTCACAACGGGGACCAGATCAAATTGCACATGGTGGTACATGCCGGCATTGCCCTTCCAGTACACGTGCCACCCCTCTTTGCCTGCATCCTTGAATGGCTCCCAGCTGCCTTTAAAACCGCCAAATCTAAGATTGTAGTAAATATTTCGCCTACCTCCAGGCGTTGGCGTAGGCTCATCGAAAGTCCATTGATCGGCAGTGCAGTCGTAGCCTTTGGGGCAAGCGTCGGTCTGCGTGTCAAAGGACTCGCGTAGAGGCGTTGGGAGGTAAACAATCTTCATACTGACGGTGCGAGTCGCCTTGTTGGTGAGAGCGGCGAGGTAAGGGGTTCTGGAGAGGTCATCGCCCACAGCCTCGCCTCGCAAAGCGTACTTGTTATCATCATCGCGAAGAAGAATGGGGAGAAACTTGAGTCCTGGCGTCTCTGGGTGTACGGTGAAGTTCTCAAGTCCCAAGCGGTGGCTGGTGGGGAGGTTCACGAGGTAACGTCCATGCCAGGGCTCGTCCGAGCTGAGCAAATGTCAGCCAGTAGCTCAACCGATCGTAAGGTACAATCACCAATTGGCGCGGAGTGTGAAGAGCTGTGAGTCTTGCAAGACCGAAGCCTGTGGAAAAGGAGTCGCAACTACCTCGAGGGCGAGTGCGAGCATGATGAGAGCGAGCATGATATAAGCCGGGCGTAGTTAGTATTGTGGCTGGGTGGTTTAGGTGTGTCTTGCGAGGTAGTAAGTGTGAGAAATAAACGGCGGCCCACAGCGGCGGGGTGCTTCAAGCTGGGAGGTAGTCGCGACCCTGAATTGGCAGATGAAGGCCAGATCCCCAAATCAATGCTCCCCAGTGAGGGAAGAAGGGCCAGATAGAGCAAACAGAAGGTGCGCAAGCAATCACAATATCACATGGGAGCAAAGCAAGGTGAGCTGACCTGCAAAACACATCCAACGGAAGGTACGCGGATTCCTGGCTTCGTTCACCTCATCCAGTCAGGGCGGGAGTACGAATTCAGACTGATCGCTCGTCTACATGACACCCTCTGCCATGTGCAGCTTAATTCAACTCCCCGAAATGTTTCAGGGCCGTGACACAGGCACTGTGCCTCCCAATGACTGTACTACTGGAGGTGTACCATGGTGGTACTGTTCGATTGCTGCGGAATTAATCGTTCATCTGCGAATTTCAAGTCTGCGATTGCGGATGTTGAGTGGAACTTTGCTCGCCCTTGCATAGAACCATGCGAGAGCGTTGCCAAGGCATAAATCTGGGCTGCTGGGCGGGTTACCGAAGGGTCGTACAGACTTCAGTTACATAACTCTGGGCTTCTTGATCAAGTGTGAGCTACCGAAGAGAGACGGCGATGGTCTTTTTAAGTTGGTCATGCCTCCGGTTCTCTCGCTAACATGTCGACCAAGCTTGCAGCCAGGCTCACCTTCAAACATTCCGCAGCACGTGTACTGAGAGACGTCACCGGGCCTGGCAGGAGCTTGGCGGCCAGGGTGGTGTTCACAATTCGTGTCAACCTCATTGAACAGCTCACCGCATTGCACGCACAACTTGGGTTTGTGATCAGATGCGTGGTGATGTGTCGAGCGCTGGCGAACGGCGAGCCCCTCAGCGCTCTGGCTGGCAGAAGTCTGGTGTCTGGAGCTGCTACCAGCATTGGTGTGGTGACGATGCTCCTGTTTCCGCGCCTCTCGCTCCATGGCTGGGAAATCGACGATATTAGTGCTGTCATCCGAGTCTGCAGGACTAATTTGATACTCGCGCTTGACTGTCGGAGGCCCTTGAGAGCTTGGTGGTAAACGTAAGCCATTGCTGTTTTCGTGAATCGCCGTTGGGCGGCGGGTACATAGTCTCGAAGCTGTGGTCTGCGTGTTCAGCCTCGCATTCGAGCTGTGCGCACCGCTGCTGGATCCAAGACGCTGCTTCATGCGCTCATATACGTCTTGCTCGTTCGATCTGGGTTCAGACTTGATCGGGGCTTGGCTTTGTGGCTGTGCATACGGATGAGCTTGCTGCCCACGCATCAACGCCTGTGCCCAAGATGACTGCGGTGCGAGCCCTCGAGCAATCGCACCAGACAGCGCCGGTGACGACTCGCACAGCTGCAACACGATGCTTCGTAGTGCCTTAGAGCTGCTAGTCTCGATGATCTGCTTTACATGGTTTGGGTTGATACGGCGTGGCTGCTGCTGTGAAGCCCTGGTCGAACCCTGACGTTGGCTGTCGCTGTGTGTACTTCTGTACGAATTTCTTGGCTCTTGCTTCACTGTTCTGGCAGGCTGCTGTTGTTGCAGATGTCTGTTTGCTTGAGTCTGAGGTCTGGCCTCCGGCTCCGGTGAAGAGAGTGTCAGGTCGATCGCGTCAATATTTCCGTCGCGGTCTTGTTGCGGCCCCATTGAATATGTATGGAAAGTGATGAACTGGATACTATACGAGCACGATGTTTCTGTCGGCTGTGAGTGAAACGAATAGTGCGTATAGAAATATAGTGATTGATGATGCGTTGTGTCAGCAGTGCGTGTCCCTCGGCAGAAGGCCAGCGTTAGCGTCTCTCACCCATCTTGCTGCGTTGCGCACGTGGCCTATGGAACACAAAAACTCCGACCTCACCGGACTGACGACCTTCTCTAGGTACTGATTCCGCTTCCCCACATCACGCGATACAAGCCTTTAGCCGGCGACCGCGCGTCACCGTGAATGAACAAGCGGATCAGCACCCCAGACTTGGCACACAATCCGTGTCAATCGGGCGCAGTTTCACCGTCCTTCATTTGCTTTCTGTGACGCGCGCTAATCAAAGCGAAGCCCCCGCAAATAATAAGAATGAGTTCCACCAACCGGGTAGTGACGCGGCGTCTGTTATGTTCTCGAACATAACGTGCAGTCTGGGGAAGAGTTCCGTCGGCCTCTACAACGGCTGCTCAAGCGGATGCACGTTTGCGTAGTTGCTAGCAGAGCATAGTTTCACGATGTTTGGTGCAAAAACAAAGTATCCACATCTACGTCCTCAATCTCCACGGGCCCCGAGAGCATGCCATGGAAGTAACAGCAGTCGTATATATACTTCGGGCCTCGACCTGAGGCAGGCACAACATCCTTTTCTACAATCAGCACTCCATCACTTCCTTCAAAATGCTTCTCTCACTCACGCTGGTCGTTTCGCTTGCTGCTGCTGCTGCAGCAGCCCCCGTATCATTGACTACCCGTGCTGGGCGCACTTCTCCCCCCTCCGGCTGTCTGTCCGTTGGTAGCTCGGGCACATACGCAACTGTTTCAGCTGCTGTTGCTAAGCTCAGCACTACCAGTACTAAAGCTCAGTGCATCTTCATCTTCTCGGGTACGTGATCCAAGTCGACTCGCGATGAACCGGCCTGACAATGTACCATAGGCACCTACAAGGAGCAGGTATACATACCGGCTCTCGCGTCAGCTCTGACCGTCTATGGAGAGACCACCGATACAAGTGGCTATGCATCGAACACTGTCACCATTACACAGGGCAAGAGCCAGGATGACTCCGCCACCAACGATCTCACCGCTACTCTGAGGGCCTGGACAACCAACCTGAAGGTGTACAACATCAACCTTGTGAACACCCGCGGCTCGGGCAGCCAGGCTCTTGCTCTCAGTGCCAACGCTGACAAGCAGGGCTACTACGGCTGCCAGTTCAAGGGCTTCCAGGACACCCTCTTGGCACAGACGGGCAACCAAGTGTACGCTAAGTCGTACATCGAGGGTAAGACCTCTTCCTGTAGACTTTAAGCGACTTGCTGACGGATCGTTAGGTGCAACTGACTTCATCTTCGGACAGAAGGCTACTGCCTGGTTTGATAGTGTCGACATCCGCGTTCTCGCTGCCTCCCTTGGCTACGTCACGGCCAACGGTCGCGACTCCGCATCCAATCCTTCTTACTACGTCATCAACAAGTCTACTGTGTCTGCTGCCTCCGGTAATACTGTCGCTGCTGGTGCTTACTTCCTTGGCCGCCCATGGGGTAACTTCGCTCGCGTTGTCTTCCAGAAAACTACCATGTCCAGCGTCATCAACGCCAAAGGCTGGTCGCAGTGGAACACCGGCGACCCTCGCACCGATTCGGTTACCTTCGACGAGTACTCCAACAGCGGTGCTGGCTCGACCGGGACAAGGGCTTCCTTCTCTCACAACTTGAGCTCCCCTATTGCCATCACTACTGTTCTTGGCAGCTCTTACACCAGTTGGGTCGACACTACCTACCTTTCCTAAGCGTACTAAGAAGCTAGTTCTTCGTGATGGAGTAGCTCCGGTGCAATTGGCCACCAACATCGTTCCATGTTCAAGACCTAGCGTCTTCGTATACTCACATGAGTGTTTGTAAATATCTTATCTTCTCGTAAATATTCATGCTACAAATAAAACCCTTGAAGGGACGACATCCTCGACCTACTACCATGCATCTCGCCATCAACATTGACAAAAGCGCTCAATAGACAGGCCTTATAAGAAGACACACCGTGAGGTGTGAGCATGATCTAGATTCATAATAACAGACCAATGGCGCAACTGCTAAGGACTAGAGAGGAAAGCGACAGCCGTGGAACAGATCCGCATCCTCGTCCCCTCACCCTTTGGGGCTATATCGCTGCCTACGCTATTATCGAATGGATTATTGTTCATTACTACTTGACCAGCATCGCTGGTTGCATATCTAGAATGCATAGAAAGCATATCTGTTGGAGGAGAGCATCGAGACCTTCAAATGCTCGCGTCAGCAATCCCACCACACCTCTGACAGCCTAGGACATGCCCTGTAGGCTATGAGTATGTTACTCAACTACCACCCTCCATTTCCCGGTTACTGCGCACGCTTCCAAATGAGCGTGTCTCACCTCGCCATGACCATCATTGGCGCACGGTACCCATCTAAAGCCGTCTTCACGCTCCTCTCCATTGAAAAGATCAACACGTTCGTCACACCCGCGTGCTGCCCGCCTTCGTTCTAGGAAACCACAGAGGGTGCGAATATAATCTGTGCGTTGTTCAATCTGGGCAGGAATGGTCTGCTACGCTCCCTGCTGAAAGGAAGTGAACCTCGAGACTAAGGGCTATGCACTGGAGGCGGATCAGCAGCTGTTCGAGTATGTGGGACGTCATGAGGCGAGTATGTTGAACACAGTAAGTACGAGTGTCACATAGAGCGCGAAGATGAAGAATGCATCACTATGTTCTTTCTGCTCATTTGGATCTCTGCATACTGGTTGTTCCTAGCAATCGGAACCCAGCCGCATCGCAGGTAGGTTGAAGGCGAATCGTACAAGACGAGATACATGATATCGTGTTCCACATGTCGTCGAGATCCCTGCATATGCCACTGTGCTTCTGATCCAGGATCGAGTCATACACCACAACGTAGTGGCCATTCGAATATGTGATTCCACTTTTGCTCCACACAGGTATTTAGTAATTTCAAGGGGGCCACGACAGGCGGAAATAGCCAGAAATCCCCTTAGTTAAGCTGAATACTAATTTCCGTGAAGACACTTAGCTGGATATGAAATCGACCACTTGTAGGTGTTGTTAACAGCGACGTAGCTGACGAAAGCATCAGAGTGACCGGGCAATCAAGTCAGTTAGGATCACCTAGCTAAACCACGCATGTACCCTCCAAGCAGCGATGTGCTTTGATGGAGTAGAGAAAATTTTGAGCTAACCACACTGTGGGAAGGTAATGTGTACCTTGTTCGCAATGGTGTCGAGGCACAGAAGCCAGCCGTAGATGACCGAGTAGTCATTGGAGTCATTAGTGATTGCTCTTTAAACGACTTACCGACAGAATCATCAAGAAAGACAGAGCCACTAGAATGTGGATGTTCGGAAATGATGATCAGAAAAGGGAAAGTCGAGAAAGTGTGGCCCTTGGAGGTGAGAAAAGAAAAGGATGGGATTAAGAACGCAATTTCGGTCTCATGCAAGCCATAACGTCGGCGCGAAGAGTGTTGCCTGAAAGCGAAAGTAATCTCAGCGAAAATTTCTTGCATCCTTGCACAAGTCGAGGTCCATGTCACTGTCAGTGTCCCTCAGAAGAGATTTCAGGATGAGCGGCAATCATTGAAAACTACCTGCCCTACAGGTAGCGGATGTTTTGAGATGACCACATGGCCTCATACCTATGGCATTTTCAGAAAGGCTGTTGTGCGCAAGGTTGGTCTGTGGATACCCCTAAGTTTGGTGTTGAGCATTCAGAGTCGAAAGTGGAGGATGACTAGCCCCACACCTCGGCGGGGCTACCGGTACCGTGTCCGTGCACTCAATGCACTCCATCAGTCAATGCACGCGATCGCGACTCCGTCCCAACTTTGCACTCCCCACAACTCAACGCCACGATGACCATGGAAGAAGCCCTTGTAGAGCTAGATGCTCTTAACTCCAGCGAAGAAGTCTGCTACGCTATAATAGCTAAAAAGCATAGTGTTGATTGCTTAATGTTGTCGCGCAAGCACTGAGGTGTTAGCAGGTCGCGCGCAGAGGCAGGTTTAGCACGTTGCAATCTTCAACTAGAACAGGAGACAGAGCTTATGAAGTACATAGAGGGCCTAACAGAGCGAAAGCTACCTCCTACAAGAAAGATAGTGCAGAATTACACATCTAGTAACGTAGATTATCACCAAGCCGGCCATATCACCAAACCAGCCATTTTCTCTTAGCACAACTAACACAAGTTACTACAACTATAACTAACGTAGATTATCACCGAGCCGGCCATATCACCAAACCAGCTATTTTCTCTTAGCACGACTAACACAAGTTACTATAACTACAACTACTTACTATTAAATAGTAACCTAGCATACTGCATGCTTGCATTAGATTTAGAAGATGTTTCTACACCCTCCTAGCACGTTTGTGCATTGTGTCTAGTCTTGCTGCAGTTCCTATAGCGCTGAACAGTTGACTAAGCTCCTAGTTAACTACCTCTACCCTAAGTCTTCTTAGATAGCTAAGCTGCTACACACGCCTCAGCAGCTACCTGCGATGCTGCTAGGCCATACTCAAGTGTGCCACTATGCTAAATCTGCTTTCTCTTACGCAATTTTCTCTTAGTTATTACTGCTAATTACTCTTTAAGCTCTTGCATGCAGGCCTTAATAAGGATATTTTTATACAGCATCTCTTTAGCCCCTTTTATAAGCTTTAAGAACCCCTCTTACACTATACTTAGTAATTATTAGAAGGAGTTACTTATAAGCTTAGATTAAGACCTAAACTTATGTGTATTGCTTAGCGTCTTAGATTACTACAGTGTTTTAGGTAGAGGTACTACTAGTAGGGTATACAGCTACACTTTAAGGTAATCTAACACTACCTATATATTAGTAGGAATAAGCCCTAATACCTTAAAGGCCTTTTAGTAGTTAACCTTTATAAATATATTAAGGAATATATCTCTAAAGGCAAGTAGGAAGCCTTCCTTATTAATATAGAAGATATATTAGCATGCTAAGTCTTAAATATATTAGGAGTACTTGCACTTTAATAGCAAGAAATAGACTATATTAAGTAGCTAGAGGATATATAATAAGTAAGGTAGTATATAGAGAGTAAGGATTTAGTTCTCTAGGTAATAGTCCTTAAACTCCTAGTTAAGATAGCTCTTATAGCTGTCTAAGATAAGTAACCTATACACTCCTACCTAACACGTCTTTATATGCGTATTAAAGTGCTTTAACTACTTAAGGCTAAGTGTGTTATTTATCTAACTATTCTTAGAGACTAAGAGCTTCTAATTATAGGGTATATCTATCTCCTTATACTAGGCAGAGATGTGGACGCGTCCTTTGTAGATGATGAAAGGCGGGGTTGCATACCCAGCGGCGCAGATGCTCTGGATAACAGTAACCTACTCGCGATCACCTGGCTGAACAAGCTCTGGCTGAGCACGTCTCTCTAAGCCTGTTACAACCTTTAAAGACAAAGTAACGCCTATCTAGAACCTAGTTTTATTAAAGTTATGTATATTATTGTTGTAAACACTATACTTAACTTAAGTATCCTCTACTAGCTTAAACTATGCGCTAATTATCTTAGAATCTTCCTATAGTATCCTCTGTCTATCCTTAGCTTAATTAAAGGCTATTTTAAGCTTGTCTAAACGCGTTACAAGCCTGCTAGCCTATAGTTTACTAATAGGCTCTTTACTACGCACACTAAGTATCTTATTAGCTATATCTACTACCTTACATAGCTAGGGCGCAAATCCTCGCGAATTAAGGTTAAGTATATACTAGATAATTGTCTGCTCCTCTAGTATAGTAAGTTTCTAGCAATTAGCGCATATATCTAGTTAAAACGTGATATTGCAAAGGTAATTAGAGACCTGCTAATAAGGTATGTTCAACACTCTAGCAGCGCTGTAGATACTGCGAAATTGGCTAGCATAGAAGGCCTAGATAGTAAGGATAACTCTGCCTTCTCTAGTAGTATTCTAAAGTTGTTGTTGTTAAGGCATATTGTGTTAGGGTAAAAGGTGGTTGTGCTAAGAGAAAGTGGCCAGTTTAGTGATATGGCTGGCTTGGTGATAATCTACGTTAAGCTTAGATTAAGACCTAAAATTGTAACAGAGTAGGCGCCCTGCCCTCGAAATCAATACTACGTGACTTCTCTGCCTAGGCTGGCGGAATGGGTATACTCCAACGTCCTTCGTGGGTACCCCCCAAAACCTTATCAATAATACATGGATTCTAGCAAACTAGGGCTAAAAAGAAAGAGAAAAACCACCTCTATATTTTTGTAGTAGAAGGTTTTGTTATAACTATTAAACTGCACAAGCTAGAGGCTAGAAAACGTTAAAAAAGGGGGGGTACCTAGCAAGCATACCTATTAATAGGTATACTTTGCTAGGTAGTGTTAATAACTTAGCTAATACTAGGCAGAATAAGCTAATTCTTTTTTTATTAGAAGGCGCAATACTAGGCGCTTCTATTAAATAATAGATTATGTAAGCGTATCTCTGCTAGTTAAGAAGCTATAAGCCAAAACGTAAAAAAGCATACCCTACCCATCCGCCAGCCTAGCCAAGCCGGCTAAGCTAATGTAACCGGCTAGCTCTAGCTCTTCTTTAGCTTTAGAGTCTAGACCGTTACAGCTAGCCTATAGTTTGCTAACAGGCTCTTTACTACGCACACTAAGTATCTTATTAGCTATATCTGCTACCTTATATAGCTAGGGCGCAAATCCTTGCAAATTAAGGTTAAGTATATACTAGACAATTGTCTACTCCTCTAGTGTAGTAAGTTTCTAGCAATTAGTGTGTAACGTACTCTATCACCGAGCCGGTCATATCACCGAACCGGTCACTTAAAATCCCACTAAAAAACACAGAAACTATACCCCTGCATCTCAATAACTACTTAATAGAATCTTCTAAAAACTTTAGAATAGAGCTGCATCTATACTAATAAGACTGTTTGAAAGTATTAGAGTGCTTAGCCCTATATTGCAGATGTTGTTTAGAAGATACTGAAATACAGGGGTAGCTGCAGGCTATCTCAACATCTATACTAGCTATTAGTCTAAGACTTTTAAATAGTTTTATTAGTATAGATGCAGCTCTATTCTAAAGTTTTTAGAAGATTCTAATAAGTAGTTATTAAGATGCAGGGGTATGGTTTCTGTGTTTTTTGGTGGGATTTTAAGTGACTGGTTTGGTGATATGACTGGCTCGGTGATAGAGTACGTTATATCTAGTTAGTTAAAATGTAATATTGTAAAGGTAATTAGAGACCTACTAATAAGGTACGTTTAACGCTCTAGCAGCGCTATAGATACTACAAAATTAGCTAGCATAGAAGGCCTAGATAGTAAGGATAACTCTACCTTCTCTAGTAGTATTCTAAAGTTGTTGTTGTTAAGGCATGTTGTGTTAGGGTAAAAGATGGTTGTGCTAAGAGAAAGTGGCCAGTTTAGTGATATGGCTGGCTTGGTGATAATCTACGTTATATCTAGTTCCTTTAAGACACTTTAAGCCTTTTTGCGTTAAGACATCGCGGGTTGTATGAAGTTTGGTGTGGTCTTGGCAAAATCCGGTCACTCGCCTGGGCCGGCCACTCGCCCGTGAGGTACGTTATAGGGTGTAGGTGTAATAATGTTGATTTTCATGAAAATCGTGCACGAGCCGAGGATGTGCATGGACTGATGGAAGACTGTAGTTACCCTGTGGACTTACCGCTGACCAGATTGCATGGGCAGCTTCCAGGAAGGCACGCGACGGGGAAGCAATGCGCTTTCAACACTATGCACACCACCAACACCATCAAAAATCGCGAGTGCATCTGTGCACTGCGAAATGCTGATCGCAGTATTCGCCGAATAAGCACCAGGCTTATAGTCGTGACGTGAACGCCGCGGTGAAGCGGCAGCTGATATACCCCGCGTAGGATGATAGGTGGGAGCTTATGCGCGGGGTGAATGCCGCAACCCAGCTCATGAACCACGATGCTTTACTCCCGCAGCACTGCTTCGTTACCAGAGCTCATCTATCCTATGTGCTGTTAGACGTGCCGGAAGTGCCCGCTTCTTTACTTGATCATATTCTAGCAATGAACACCTTCCATTCATACCGAAACATCTGCCACTGAACGATTAGGCAACTCCGGGAAGCTCATTGCCGCATTGGGCTCGCACGGCTGCACAAAAGATCTGGTATAGTCGAGAATTTTAACGCAGATATGTCAAATGGGTGCTGATTCCTGTGTCACTCAGATATAACGAGACCTACACATCTCATCGCCACCGCCCCGATCGCACATAAACCATGGCATGGTGGCGTCGGGACCCATCACTCTGGGCAAGATCGCCAGCTCATCGGTATGCCCAGCGAATCCTTCGAGATCATGAAGCAGCTCTTCGAACAAGATGCTTCTCGCGTACGCCTTCAAACACCGCCCAGCATCAGGACCATGGCAGCACAAGTCGTCCAGATGGCATGACAGATCAAGAATGGGCACAACTTCAAAAATATAGGAGATGGAGACAGATTCTACGAGAACATCCATACAAAGGTCTGTTCGGGGCAAGTGAGGACATGCTGCGAGGCAAAGGTCTCACCGATTGGGAATGGGTGTACAAGACGTTCCCCAAGTGGATGTTGAAGGAGATGGATCCTCAACAGTCAGTCAGTGAGACTAAGAGCGTGAACAATAGTGATTATGGTAGACTTAGCCACTCACATACCTAGATGGTAGCTGACGACTGCAGGGCGAAGATATGGTAATAGATCAGAAAGATCTTCCCAAGTCGCGGAGGACTGTTCGACCGAACGGAAACCCTCTTGCGCGCAGCCAGTTATGAAAGCAACACACTATGAACGTGATGAATTTGGAATCGTGTCACCATCTGATCTGCGCCGACCGAAAGAAGCATCACACGCGAAGGTAGTTGGTATATTAGAGAAACAGGAGCCAACCGAGACTGGAGGGACCGCCAACACTCGTGAAGAACACCCGATGGTGGAATACGAAGTCTCAAGGTTGGACGGCGGGCAGGACGGCACAGCTCAGGCGCAGTTCCCGGATGCCCCAGTCAAATCCGAAGGCACTAATACAGTGGCGAGCAAAGCTTCCAAACGAGAGTCTTCATTCATTGATGCGTTCTTCGCCGACGAGCCGCGAGTACGTGATCGCGACCTGGGGGACAGCAAGTCCTGGAGGCAGACGGCTTTGCAGAGGAGAGCTACGTCAAATGTAGTGATGCGGCCAAGGGCAGGATCTTACCAAGTGACGAACAAGGACGCCCCAGCAACAAAGATGACCTCGGCTTCAGTTCGAGAGACCTTCGTGATACCCTCCTCCCAAGCACAGGTGGACAACTATCTCTACCCAAGGTCCAGTGTTGCTACAAACACCATGGCCATCCAACAAAAGCCGCAGCTGCCTGTCAGAGAAATCCAATGGGCGGTACCAGATCCCACAGAACTTATGCATGAGGCTGGCAAAGCAGAAGTGGAGTCAAGCTCAGCATCTTCAACATCAGCTAAGCTTGGTAGCCTTCCCGAGGACGACATCGACTTCTTGAGTGCCGGAGAAATCCGGGCAGCGATGGGCCGCAGGAAGAGTAGCGTCAAGAGTAGCGAGGAGAGGATCCAGGACCGCCAGAAGTTGGAGACTGGCTACGCCATCGCGGGACCGAAGGCGCTTGATGATGCAGTCGAGGGTCATGTTTTGAACAACTATCACGTACGCCGGATGCTGCAAGAGTATGAACGAGCGCAGGCTGTACCAAAGCAACCCGAGTCAGACAATATCGAAGCTGAGCAAGGTGCACTGCTTCAATCAAAGCCAGTCCAAATGGAGTCCAGCATCGACCGCATGAGAAGGTGGATCGAAGAGGGTGGCACATCTCTCGCAAAGCACTTTTGGCAGGACCCAATCGAAGCAGGTGCACCATCAGAGCCAGATATGCAGTTTGCGAAACAGATGGCGGGCCTGGGCAAGAGTCGCCGTGCGAGAGAGCATATTTCAGACGACCTAGAAAACGACCTGCCCATGAGTAAAGTGCTCCTCGAACGTCTCAGGACCGACGAGAACAAAATCGAGCACGCAGTCTACCTCTTGAGGACTCCTCGAAAGGCTGTTCATGGCGCAGGGATATCGAAGAATCTTCAAACTATTCGGGAGCGCCGCCTGCGCAACACATATGAGAGGACCGAGAAGCAATTCGAGGCCGCATGTCAAGCGCTGCGAGATCTAGATGTTGAAGTGATTGAGAAAGCTACTAACGCCTTCAAGCGACGACTTGGCATCGCTTCGAGAGTGCTACATAAGAATCACACGTTGACTCGAATGTTGACTTGGAGTGTACAGGCCCGCCTTGACGAGCCAAACCTCGAGCGTAGCAAGGCTGAGCTATACAGCGAGATCTTGACCCGCTTGGCAACTCTCCGAGATACACAACTGGCACTAGCCCGACTAATGGATCATGCTGTACAGACATACGGCGTGTCATTGAAGCCTGCAGACGAGGCACTCTCAAGGCCTGTATGCAAGAGTGAGATCGATGCAGCAACATCAATTGCCAATGAGGATACCGCAGCTGTTAATAAAGCTGGAGCCAAGTTTCTGGCTGTCACTGCTGCTGCTGTTCGCCTCAACGATGAGATCGAGTCTGAGAAGGCGGCCATGAAAGGTCTGTCCGACGACGGCTATGCAAGAGCGCCAATGCAAACCGCAAGGAAGCTCTTTGAGGATCAGAGCCCTCTTACACATAGCCTTTTCAGACCGTTCAGCCTCCAATTCGAAAGTCTGGGTAAGAAAACCGAGGGTGAGGCTGCAGAAAACAAGCTGAAAGAAGCCTTCAAGCAGAAGATGGGGGACAGGAAATTAGTGCAGGAAGTGCGCAGCGCCTATGAAGATGTGCATGGGCCCATCACAGTCGAGCATTGCGAGGTACCGCGGCACGGGGAGTCAGCAAGCGCTAAGACGGAGGTGAAGGCTTTCGAGATGCCGAAAGAAGACGCCGTCAGCCAGCCTGCTACAGTCTTTCACGAAGAGATCGAACCAACCGAGACGAAAGCTGTTGGTGAGCTTTCAATCATTATGACCGGGCTTGAGAGCACTGCTACTACCGTCGCAAGCGAGGGCGCCATTGTTAAGCCTTCTACGCCTTCGACTGTGGTTGAAGAGGAAGTCGCCAGGGAGACCACACAGAGAATGCCTCCATCTAACCAAGAAATGGCTACAGCTACAAGTCCAGCGACTACCGAGACTGCGACACACAATGCCTCGACTATCAACATCTCTACCTATTACACCATCCTCGTTCACGACCCTCAGACCGACGCACTTAGTATCACAACCTCAACGAGTGGGCCGCCCCGAGACACTTCGCCAACGCTACCCATCCATCAAGCACTTTCTTCGCTCAAGGCACCAGCCAGATTCATCCCGCACATTTCTCCCGGCCTCGAGATCATCACTGCCAATCGACACATGCTTGTCCTCCGTGACGCTCTTGATGGGAGATCATCAACACGAGGCTTTGAGACCGTCAGCGCACAGCCATGCGCAGAAGCTGCTGTCGAGCTTCCTAGTAGCGAGGTGAATCCTATTGATGGTACTACACGTCTCAGTCCCACTGGCTATAGCGGTGTTGAGCATAGCCGGGAACAGGTCGATCGAGACTTCGAGGAGAGACGACAGGCTGCCGCTACTACCGAAGCAGCCAGGAGTAAGAGGAGCAAGCATCAGACACGAGACGAAGAGTTGCTCAAGAAGAAGAGAGGCGGTGTAGGCGGTGTGTTTAAGACTGCTATCTGGGCTAGTGCAGTGTGCTACATTGTCGGTGTCACGGCTGAGGTGCTTCGATAATCTTTACCGTCATCTGTCTTGCTTTGGGCGTTCTTGGGCACAAGAGGGTGTCTTCCTGCGCTGGTGTTAGGAGATACGCCCCACTCACGGGTTCCACATGTGTTCAGTTATCATTTATCAAAGTAGAATTTGGTTCAGACGCCTCATGCAGAGCCGATTGTTAAATCCTCGTTGCAGCTCAGTGACCCGAGCACGCTAGACTAGAGAGGTCCTGTTGCAGCGGTCATGTTGCATGCAAGCGTGGGTGATATTAAGCATGTGATGGGCAATGGGCAATCTGTGAAAAGAGATGGTCAGTTGACGATGCAAAATCATGACAGAGTTCTTGCGGAGTGCGAGGGAAATACAGCATATCTGGCATATTTTGTTGCGGTGCAATTCGGTCCTTTAGGCCTTGATCATCACCTCAGTTGACTACCTTGGACTAGCACGTCTCAGGGCATGTATATATGGTCGCCTCCTAGCTAGCAAGCAACTCAGCGCAGTTTCCATCGACTATACAGCGACTACGTCTGCCGCAACATATTTGGATGCAAATGGAGATGCCTGTCTCAGAGGACGAGGCGCACAGTAGTGTCATGCATGAACAGACGTTATAAATTCAATCGAGATAGCAGGGACTTCTACTCAAAACCTGTGAAGACAACTGAGAGTAAGGATCAGAACATCAGGATCGCCAGTGCTAGACTCTGCCCGTGTAGATACCTCACCACCGTCTACCAGCTCAAGTAGAGCCCACTAACTGCAGCATCCCACCGAATGCTGTCCGCATCACCGACAGGGACCAACTCGTATCCAACAAGCCCATCCTTGACATTCCAGTCTCCGACCCTCGGACACTTGAAACCACTCAACTGATTCGGCGCAGAGTCCAACGTCGTCGCATCACCGGCGAAGTTGGCTTCCACACGTCCTAACGGGTTGTTCCTTTGGTTTCCTGGGCCACCCCAGCCCTCACTGCCCTCCTTCGGTGCCGGCTGCAAGCTCGAGAAGACATCAATTAAGCCTGTCCCGGAAACGAATGAGCCCCGAGCAGGATCGTTGTACTGACTATTGGGCTCGAGCCAGAAGTGTAGGAAGCAAGTATCCGGGAGGGTGCGGCCATTTAAGTCGAATGTTACGAGTGTGCTATTGTCGCGGCCATCCCAGTTGCTGCGGGAGACTTCGCCTCGGTACACACCGTAGTCGATGGCGCCGTTCTGACCGTGGTAGATTGAGGTTGCAGAAGGTGGGAGCACTTTGTTGTAGCGGCCGATGGGGAAACGGACTTTGAGGCTTGCAGGGGCCGCGAAGGTGAGGGAGAGAAGGGTGGTGAGTGTAAGGGTAGTGAATTGCATTGCGATGGCTTAGTTCGAAAAGCTTTGTGTTGAAGAGTTAAGCAGACGCTGAACTTGTATTGAGGTGTTGTCTGTTAGTGAGAGGAAAGCTAATGTTGTGACATTGAACTGTTGCAGGGTGTTTGGATTACTTTATACTGAGGAGATTCTTTGAAATCGACAGGACCTATCTCACCGTCAAGCAAGCTGCGGGGCCTACCATGAACCACTATCTTGCTCGTACTGATTCATATAACATTTGAAAGATACCGCCAATAGAAGGAGGTATCGCGATTATTCGTAAGAAAGGCGCAGCTTCGTGCTCACGATGGTGGAGGCATTGTTGTGAGCTTCGCACCATCTTCCGCCTCTGACTACCAGCACAGCGAGACCCAAACTTGTCAGTTACACCGACTTGGTCGCATTTTTCGTAAGTTACGACTGTAGGTCAGGGCCACATGATGACAGGCGAGGCATGGGGCTGGACAAGCTGAAGAGTTAGAGTTTTGCGGCTGAGCGCTAGTCACCAGTGGGCGGGTGTGATCACGGTAAGGATCTATTTTCGACTTCACAGCGACAGTAGCTCCCGTAACTCGTATTATTCTGCTTCTAAGCAGGTGCCTGCATTTGAAACTGGATAAATCATTTACACCCTCCAGATAGCATCAGCCATCTTAGCAACCTGTCCCATCTCAGCCACATCGTGCACTCTCACAATATCAGAGCCGCCCTTGATCGCTGCGGTAATTGCAGCTGCGGTGCCCCAAGTTCGTTCCTTTGCCTCCTGTATACCTGTAATTTTACCAATGAACGCCTTCCTGCTGGTGCCTACCAGCCACGGGAGGCCCTCTAACCCAGGATACTTGACTAGCTCGTCCAAACGTCGAAGCAACTCCAAGTTCTGCTCTTGGGTCTTTGCAAAGCCAATACCTGGATCGAGAATGATGCGCCAGCGACGAACGCCTGCCGCCTCAGCAGCACGTACACGCTCAAGGAGCTCACGACCCACGCCCTCGATCACGCCTTCCGGGTACGACGTGAGCTTACTCATGGTCTCTGGCGTTCCGCGCATATGCATGAGACACACTGCGCAGCCAAGCCTGCCCATCGTGGTCAGCATGTTATCGTCCATTAGTCCAGCGCTCACATCGTTGATGATGTGTGCGCCAGCCTTGATGGACTCTTCAGCCACCTCGGCACGGTACGTGTCGATGCTGATGGCCATGTTCTTGGCTTCAGGTAGTTGCTTGATTAAGTTGACGGCGGGGAGTATGCGGTCGAGTTCGTCCGTCGCAGAGGCCTGGGCAGCGCCAGGCCTAGTCGATTGACCGCCAATGTCTAATATAGTGGCCCCTGCTGAGATGTGCGATTTGATTGTGTTCGCAAGGGTGGTCTCGTCCTTGTTAAAGTTCTCGCCTCCGTCAGAGAACGAGTCTGGTGTGACATTGAGGATTGACATAATCCGCGTATCTCGGGTCGGTTGGAATGCTGTGATGTTGGGCTGGCCAGGAGCAAGTGGCGTCAGAGGTGACAATGGCTGGTCTGACTGAGGGAGACTCGACAGATGTTCTTGGAGTGCACCTGCTGGGAGAGCTTTGTCGTGAGGCAGGCTTTCCTTGGGTATCAATCTGCAGCTGCTTAGCTGGCAGCATATATGTGTATGGGCGTTGCTCACTCGCAGAGTGGTCGCAGCACAAATTCTCTCTCTAGCATCAGAGCGTGTGGTAACTGCAGTCGCTCATTTTTCATTACAACATCCTCGTAAAGGAGGATGTCTAGGTCGATGTTCCTGGGCCCTTTGTCGATGACTTTGATCCGCCCCATCTTATTCTCGACTGCCTGCAGCTCGTCCAGCAGTTGCATGGGTGACAATGGTGTTTCAATCTGCACACGTGAGGATGCCGCCAATGTGCCGCAGGCATATGAGACGTACCTCACAAGCACCATTCACAAACATGTCCTGGTCAACCACGTACATGGCCTTGGTCTCCCACAGACTGCTCGTTCGCAGCACTTTGATATTGCCACGGATTTCCATCTCTTTGCACGCCTGTTCGATCATAGCAATCCTGTCGCCCATGTTGCTACCCAAGGCCACATACGCACGGTGCTTCTTCTGGCCAGCAACTCGTGATATGAAGCGCACATGATGCTGCAAGTTATGTCGGGAACATACCAGGGGTTTTTGTGATACTGCTGGCAGGCTCGACCTCTGTACCAAATGCAATAATCGATTTTGCATGTATGTTGGCGTTGCTCGTGGTGTGATGGCATTGCAGGAGTGCCGCGAGCTCAGTCGCAGCCCTCTTGAAGCCCGTCTCCATAAGCTCAAGGCACGCAACTCTGTGGTGCACGACATGATCACCAGAGCTCGAAACGCTCGTGATGCCGCATGGATTACATTTGACAGCAGCCAGTCGCTCGGTCGAAAACTGCTAGCGGCGGCACTGGGCGACCCCAGATTCTGTTTGACCCCAAACGGACTAGCGGACTCCACTTCCGATCTTGCCTCGGCTTCCGGCTCGAGCGCGCTTCGTAGAGTCGACATCTCCTCATCCCATAAGTTCTGAGCTCCTGATCCCTCCTCACCCCTCTGTAGCCGTTTTCCTCACAGATTCTACACCACCCAACACTCCAGCCCTTCGACACCGTAGTCAAGATGGCCTCTCCACGTATGTTTACGACTCGAATAAGCCATTTGTGCCCGCTGACATACAACAGAGCAACTCCGCACAAAGCTTACTGATCTGCTTAAGATCCAGCACCCCGTCATCCTAGCTGGTATGAACGTGGCTGCTGGACCTAAGCTTGCTGCTGCTGTAACCAACGCTGGTGGTCTTGGTGTCATCGGTGGTGTTGGCTACACACCAGACATGCTGCGTGAGCAGATTGCCGAGCTCAAGGGCTACCTGAACGACAAGAATGCGCCGTTCGGTATTGATCTTTTGCTTCCCCAGGTTGGCGGAAGCGCGCGCAAGACCAAGTATGTGTACACGACGTTTGTGGAAGTGGTTTGTGCTGACATGTGATAGCTACGATTACACCAAGGGCAAGCTGAACGAGCTCGTCGATATTGTCATCGACTCTGGCGCCAAGCTCTTTGTCTCTGCTGTCGGTGTTCCCCCTAAGGCCGTCGTCGAGAAGCTCCACAAGAACGGCATTCTCTACATGAACATGATTGGTCACCCCAAGCACATTAAGAAGTGCCTGGACCTCGGTGTCGACATCATCTGCGCACAGGGTGGTGAGGGCGGTGGACATACGGGCGACACACCCACAGCTGTTTTCATCCCTGCGGCTGTCAAGATGGTCGAGGGCCACAAGTCGCCTCTCACCGGCGAGCAGGTGCAGATTGTTGCTGCTGGCGGTATCTTCAACGGCCAGTCGCTCGCTGCCATGCTTAACTTTGGCGCTAGCGGAGTCTGGGTTGGTACCCGCTTTGTCCTCTCTGAGGAGGCCGGTGCCCCCAAGGCTCACCAGGAGGCTGTCCGCACAGCTGGCTTCGACGACAACATCCGTACAATTATCTTCACAGGACGTCCCCTTCGTGTCCGCAAGAACCCATACATCGAGGACTGGGAGGAGAACAGGGCAGCTGAGATTAAGGAGCTAACCAGCAAGGGCATCTTGCCCGTTGAGCACGACCTCGAGAAGCTTGGTGACGACCTTGATGATGACACAATGGACAACGCGCGACCCTTCCTGATGGGCAAGGTCGCCGCTGTTGTCAACGAGAAGAAGAACGCAAGGGAGATCGTAGACGAGCTCGTTGGGGATGCTGTCAAGTGGCTGCAGACCACGAACGGGTACATTGTCTCCAAGGCGAAGCTATAAGCCTCGCACGGATGTGTCTACTTCATTAAGTATTTCAGCATGTTATGGAAGTCTATTATCTTCTCTATCTCTTTGCGCTACGGTTCTGCACTTGCTGTGTCATTGAGCCCCTGCCAGCACCACGAGTAACTAAAAGGAATCAGCTGGAGTACGGTCCACATTGCGCCATTGCTTCAATGGGAGGAATGATGCACGACGAAGCGATCTCTTCTATCACAGTTCATAACTATGAATAGAAGTAAGATTGCACGTGCCTTTTCCCTACACGTAGCAACACCTTGCAAAGCACGAATGCGCCCGCGCGGCCGTCCGGCATCCTTTACCTCGATCAACAAACGGGCCAAAATTTAAATCTCTCTGAAGGACACTCGGCGCTGTAATAAACCAACTAGAAGTGTCCAGTCGGTTTGATAACTTCTCAGCTATGACCAAAGGCCGGCCTTAATTGCTGGAAATGCCTCTGCACCAGTAAGCAGCACTCTGCACAACGCATGCGAAGGAGTGCAACTGACGACTGCAGGAAAGAACAAATAGATCGTGAAATGATACCAGAGTACGATCGGCCTTTCGACACCACTTGTACAACATGGGACTGGCCCTTTGACTGTGGAATCAACAAGCGATGGCATGTGAGCAGACAGGCGCGAGGGTGAACAGATCACTTCTACTATTCTGAGGACTACCACAGCCTCGTTCGGCCCTACTACTGACTCGGGATGGTGGCCTTCGATGCAGCCATCAGAATGCCTCACAGGCTACACAAGTAAAGACCCCATGAAGAAATGCGCTCCACTAGTCCCAAGTCCCAAGCATGTAGCTTGCCCAAATCAGCTCATGCCTCAAAATCATCCGTCCTGCCCACACATGACTTCCTCCGCAGCCGTCCCTGCCCACTCATCCAGCCCACACCACCGCCCCAGCCAGCGCGGCGATCCCCAACCCAGGCCCCGCATGAAAAACCCCGGCTCCCAGATTCCCACTCCGCGCTAGATACCACCCGTCCATGCCCGCCACAACCACCCCAATGATACTCAGAATCGTTGCGCACTCGATCCACTTGCCCTGATAAGCCAGCACCAGCAGCGTGATCCCCGTTCCGAGTTGGCGCGCGCCGAGGAGTGCTATGTACGATGAAGCAGGATCGGACTCTGGATAGGCGGGTCCTGGCTGTGCTGTCGAGGGCTTGGGCGATTTTGGTGAAGGGTGAGACAGAGGGATGCCGAAGGAGCTTGCGAAGCCGGTCGGATTAGTGATGGCTTGGAGTCCGGTGAAGACAGCGGCTACACCGAAGATGCCGCATACAGCTTTGAATGCATTCATGAGGTTGATGCCGTCCATGTTGTTGATGCTGTCCGAGAATTTGACATGTGGGCCGGATCTGGAGACGCATTTCATATAAGGTGCATCGGACTTTCGGGCTTTCGGGCTTTTCTTCATTTTGTGATAATTTACTCCTGTAGATATATAGTGCCAATCCTTTGACGATCTGCATGCCATCATGTGACGTCACCGAGACGGCTGTCGATCTAAAAGTTTGAGACTCGCAATTGTGTCTTGGTATAAGTCAGCATAAAACGCACGTGAAGCCCTGACTAGCCGCCGCTATATAGGGCAAGTAGAGAGCAATGATTACGCTTTAACAAAAAGCTGGCGAAAATATATTCGAGGTCATGGCAGAAATAACAACGTGTGTACACGACACAGCTGGAAGCTGTCTGACATAGCTTTACATGTTCCTAATTAATTGCAGCAGAGAGCATGGGGCTGAGTGTTCGGTCAAGTTGTGTCCAAGCATCCTCTCCGATTCTCGATTTGTTTGCGATCGACTCGAGAACCTGGTCGAGAATGCGAGCTGCTTAACAATGCAGCGATAATTCATTCACATAGACCGGTGTTGGAGATACCAGGGTACAGATCGAGCTCCGATCAAGTTTCACACATCTTCACCAAAGACTCACCTCCTAAGCTCCAAAACGAAAGAGTAGAGCGGTCATAACACATATCCCTTCATCATATGCTACATCCCCAGCCGCAAACCAAGTATCGACCGAAGACCCGACAGTAGCAAAAGATCATCCAGGACACCCTGTATCTACACAACTATCACTGACAGCATTACGGCTTCCCGTGCTAATTCTTCTGCGGAACAAACAGACTGGTTGGTTCAAGGTTGTTCCGGCGACAAATAGTGGGTGCGAACGCGCATGATGCAGATCTAGCCTTGGAGGAAGCCAATGCGCAATATGAAATGCGAGTGTACAATGTCTGCGTCAAATCGTCCGTTGCCGTACACTATCCTCACTGCATATAAGTCTGCCCTCCCAAACACGACCACCGCACCGATACGCCTCGCTTATGCTCGAAATAAAAACCACTCACGCCACCAATCCACTCTGAGGGTAGTTGCGTACCTCAGAATAGACGGTCGAGGCCGTTGTTAAGAATGCGCTGGAACTCGACGCGCCGCTTGCCGGCGATGCTCTTGCGATAGGGCTTCGCGGCAGCTGCGATGTAGTGCGGTTCAACCCTGACCGTGGCTTTGAGGCTCAGAAAGCCCTTGAGGACGTCGTTCATAAGATCGACTGCCTCCTCGTCCTCGGCAGAGTCGTGCCAGTGGATCACGACCTCGCTGAGATGGGGCGCCTGCGCGAGGATGCCGGCGACGAAGATTGCTCGCTGGCGAAGGAGGGCAGGAAAGATGGCGGCTGCATAGCCTGCTTGGTCGGAGCGCAGCCACGTCGTGTCCCACACGAATACGACGTCGACCTTGCGGATGTCCGCCATGGGCGAGAAGGCGGCGGCGGTGATCTGGCTGAATGCCTCCTCGAAGAAGCTGGTGTGGGCAAAGCTGCCTGTGGCGTCGATGTGGAGGACTGCAACGTCGTAGAACCAGTTTTTGGCTTCGGCGTTGAGTTGCTTCGAGGCGAGGAAGAGCGCCGCGGGTGGTGGGCAGTGCGTGATGCGCATGAACTGGTATGGGCGGACACGGTCAGTAAGACGTACTCCTAGCTCCGAGGACCCTGAGAACACCTTGGCACTCGCCATTGTAACCACCATGTACTCTCTCATGACCTCTTTGGCACGTACCTTTGGGATGTGACGCCACTTCCTATGTGCCGTGACGACCGGTGCTGGCGGAGGCTGTACAGCTCCTGCTGCAATGTCCTCGTCTTCTTCCTCGTCAACCATGTCCTCGTCACTGTCGCCATCAGCGTCTTCATCGCCGTCCTGGTCCTCGTCCTCGTCGTTTTCTTCGTCGTCCATCTGACCGTCTTCCTCGTTTGCGCCATCCTCAGCATCAACCTCCTCTTCGCCTTCCTCGTCCATATCTGCCTCAGCGTCTTGAGCCTCGGCATCAGCATGATCTTGTGCTTGTGGCACATATGAAGTCACCGCTGGAACTGCAGTCGTTGAGCCCTGAGCTGCGACTATTGTCATAGCTCGGGCGTTTGCTGCAATGAGGTCTTGCAGAGAGTCGGTGCCCGGCCGTTCTGGAGCTGTGGGCTCTGTGGTCTGGTCTGCTGCTGCTGCTGCTGGATCCTGTTCCCTTTGTGTCGTAGCTTGCGGGCTTGTAGTGACTGCAGCAGTCGGTCCTTGCGCATCAGCTGGAGCCGTGGATAGCGCAGCTGCAGGTACAGCGGCGCCATTGCGGTCCGCCATCTCTGCATCTTGCTCTTCACTCTCATCGACCACCCCGTCGTTCTGCTCATCGGCATCCTCCTCTTCTTCGTCCACCTCTTCTTCGTCCTCACCCTCGTCGTCCTCGTCGTCCTCTTCGCCTACATCCTCCTCACCGTCCCCCTCTTCATCACTATCCTCCTCACCATCTCCCTCCTCCTCTTCATCCGTCTCCCACTCCTCTTCATCCGTCTCCCACTCCTCAGCCTCAAATTGATCCCCCTCATATACGACCCTCGGCGTCGCCGTCTCCGGATGCTTCGCCACCAATTCCGCGGTCTTCTCCTCCACCTCCTTCCTCTCGAACCAGTAGCGCAGCAGCTTCTCCGGCTTTGTATCGCGCAGCGCGACATACTCGAAGATATGGTGGCGCACTTCGAGCGGCATGCTGAGAAGCTCCGGCGTCTGGCTGCTGTCGGACGCCATGGTGGAGCGTGGGGGTCGTTGATGTGAAAGTAACTGGCGGTTGTGGTGGTGTTGTGGTGAGTCGTCGCACGGCGCGGGGAAGTCGTGGAGAGGTTCTGGCTGGTTGTGTAGGCGAGAGGCTGCGCGCTGTCACGTGGGTGAGTCCTCTTTGGGTACTCTGCAAGTGAAGGTCAGTTTGCCTTGCTGCCTGGAGACGGAAGGCGCTTTGTGGGGCTGACTACGTGGAATGGTTCGTACTCGTGGAACCTTGCTCTTGCGTTGTGAGTGACATTTCAGCTTTGACGATGAGTAAAGAATTGTAGTTCCTCAGGGTGTGCGGTTTGGGTCTCACCTGTGGTACAGGATCAAGCGCAAAGGATCAGCGCAGGTGCACCACCCTAATGTTAACATTTGGATTCGTGCGTTCTCATGTACATGTCTGGTGGAGCATGGAATCCTGCAAATCATAACAATGCTATACACTCATCTTCATTGCAATAGCTCCGTGCGGCTTGTACCCCAGCACCTCCATTTCCTCAGCCTTCCACCCGTCGATGCTGCCGCCCACTGGTCTGTTGATCTTAAGGGTCGGAAAGTCGCGCGGCTCTCTTGTGAGCTGGGTGTTGAGTGCGTCAACGTGGTCGCAGTATACATGTGCGTCGCCCATTGTGTGTGTGAAGGTGCCCGGTGTGAGGTCGCAAACATGCGCGATCATGTGTGTTAGCAATGCGTACGAAGCAATGTTAAACGGCACTCCCAGTCCCATATCGCAGGAACGCTGGTACAGCAGTGAGTGCAGCACGCCCCTGGGCTTCTCCGTCTCGCCCTCCTTTTGCCTTGGAAAGGACACGTAGAATTGTGCGAACATGTGGCAGGGCGGCAGGGCCATCTTCTTGAGATCTGCAGGGTTCCATGCGCTAAGGATGATTCTTCGGTCGTATGGGCGGTTCTTGATCTTGTCGATGACTTCTGCCAGCTGATCGACGCCCTGCCCTGTGTAGTCTGCAGCATGACCCTTGTACTCTGCCCCGAAGTGTCGCCACTGGAAACCGTAGACAGGCCCCAGGTCCCCCTCCTCGTGGTGTGTCAAGCCGACACTATCCAGATATGCGCGCGAACCGTTGCCGTCCCAAATCTTGATGCCGGCTTCTTGAAGCGACTTGTAGTGTGTGGATCCTGCGATGAACCAGAGGAGCTCTCCGACCACAGCTCTCAGGAACACGCGCTTGGTTGTGAGGAGGGGCAGGATGAGCTCTGGCGGTGCGTTGGCGTCGGAGGATGGTCGAGACAAGGTGAACTTCATTTGGGCAGGGAAAGGGATTGCGTATGTTCCTGTCCCTGTTCGGTCTGGACGGTGCTCGCCATTGTTGAGGATGTCGCGTATCAAACGCAGATACTGGTATTCTTCGTGAGAGGGGTCTGCCTTCGGTGTGTCGTTTACTAGTGCATCTGTCTTGGTGCCATTCTGAGATTCTGACGGGGGTGTCGCCGAGATGACCGGCTCGAGTATCGAAGGTGCCATCTTGTATGTGTGTATTTGAAGTGACACAAGTGAGTGATGTGTATGGTTGTACGTGACGCTGCTAAAGTGCAATATCGCGAGACGCGTCAGGGTCCAGCCTACGCGTCTGCGTGAGTGGTCGTTGCAGGTGCCCGTACAGAGTAGGTCTAACCGCATCCGCGTCACCGCAAAACGCCAGGGCATCGACATCCAAACAACCGCTACCTACGATGTCTGAAGAACAAGCAGCTCACCACTTACTGAATGTCTTGGAAGAAAGGGGGCTCGATGTCGACCTCGACAAGATACTCCTGGGCTTCGAAGACGAGGAAACAAAAGGGGAAGCCGCAGCATGGGTACACGAATACCTGAATGAGGAGACACTGTTGACAAAAGAGGAACTGGAGCTGTACGTCTTTGCCATAAGATCCGAGATGATACCTGACCAATGGCAGATATCAGACTCTGAAGCGCAAAGGGCTCTCGCATCAATATGAGAGCGAAGGAGAGCCCAGCCGTCCCATTCTGGATCACGAGATTGCAGCGGCCATTGAGTCTCTACAGAGCTCGACTACTGCGATCGAAGAGCAGTGCAGAGTGCTTGAGATGCAGCGAGCTGCACTCATGAAGTTGAAGGCGCTCGACAAGCCAAATCTAGACATTGAGCATGCGCGCAACGAACGGAGAAGAAAAGAGGGGCAAGAGAAAGCACGGCTGGATGTTGCGATTGACGACGTCTCGACTGCCATCACCGAGCAGTTGGCAGATGCACGGCGAGAAATCGATTCGGAAAAGTCAGCACTCAAGAGCTACGTTGCCGAGCGTCTGTCATCTGACGATCAAATCCTGAGCCGGCTGCCAAATATCGTCTCGACAATCGTGACCGAGCCCGAGTTTAGCGAAGACGAGAAGTCTATGGAGCAGTGGTGCAAAGCCATCATCGCGTTCCGGACAGCTGAGATCAAAGCCCGAGTCGACGCGGTGTACCTGAACAGCTTGTCTGAGAAGACAAATGGTCATTTGGCAAGTGGGTCTGTGGCTGAGCTTCAGCAACTCAAGGACGCGCTGCAAGCTGAAATGGAGGAGCTGCATGCTGAAGTTGCCTCGATTGCAGAGATGGTCGTTGAGCATGAGCTGCGCAAGCCAATGCTCAACGTCAAACAACGTAAGGAGAAGGATCGGACGCTGGCAAGAACAGCCTGGTTAAACTATGTATGGCTTCGTGACTCGTCCACACAAGACACAGGCTGACAATGTTAGGTTCTCTCTACGCTGGACTACATGGGCAAGCGCCTCGACATTGTCCGTGCTTCTTCTACGGACGTGGACGAGTTCCGTCAGGCCATAGCACATGTCGAGGAAGCAGCCTCGAAACGCATGCCAGACGTACATGCCCCGCGTCCAACACCGGTGAAGAGGCGAACATCGTCGGTGCCTCTCTCGGCCTTTACGCCGATGACAAAACTCAAGCCAACGACTCCTCTGGGGCTTCCTGCAGCACTTCAAGACGCGCTTCGTTACGCTGGAGTCTCTTTCCACCAGGACACCTTGGAAGGACTCCAGGACACGCTTGTTCGCACACGCGCTGAGCGAGAGAAGAAGGGCCAAGACCACTTCCAAGCTACAGCTACAGCAACGCACGAACAAGTCGCTGAGCGCTCAAGCAGAGCTGACGGCGATGTCAGGATCATCATGGACGCTCTGTACGCGCACACGCCGTTCCAGCAGGTCAGCTTGACCAACCCCAAGCTGGAGGCGCAATTAAAGGCCATGGGGCGAGAGCTCGATGACAAGGACCGAGAACTGCTAGACGCAGAGGGCAACGAGCTCAGCCTGAGCGATCCCAGGGTCAGGGCGTTCGTCGCAAAGTACGGCAGACAGGGGAGATGATGTGTGGGTGGTCTTCTGAGCTAGAGCAGGGACCGGGGCAACCGAGCCGTGCATGTGGGGCTGGGCTGGGCTGGGCTGTTAGGCTGCGTTAGCGTTGTTGACGTGTTTCGAGCTTCAGACAGCAGCGCTAGAGCTGAGATATGGCACGGCGGCGGTGTTTGTAGGGCAATTCGGTAGCAGCAAAGACAGCACGGCATGGGGGGCACGAAGGCATTTCCACAGGCAGCTCAAAGTGCAGGCTCAAACCTGCTGGGAGCCAGGAGGAACCTCGGTCGGGTCGTATGCAGCGTAGCTCTGGTGTTCCTCGCAGCGTGATTGGCAGGTCATCCTGGGCCGGTCCCCAGCCCCCAAGCAAAACAACAGGAGAGCTGAGCACCAGCCTCCAACGTGAACACCCTTCGCACCTCACCTCGTGCCAGACGATGCTCCCGCGAGGCATCTGCAGCTCCCGAGGCCACTTCCCCACCTATTGAGCACGCAGCACCACTGACACCCCCGACACGCCCTACCCGGCCACTTCCCGCTCACCGCCATGGTCAAGGGCGAGCTCTTTGCGTTCGGCTCGGCGGCGGCAGCGCTCGGCGGCGCATACAAGGTCAGCGAGTTCCTGTACAAGGCCAAGCGGCTGCGTGACGTCGGGCCCGCCAACGCCGTCTACGTGCGCATCATCGGCCGCGTGCGCGCGGACCTCGACGAGGTGAAGCGGCTGCTGTCGGTCCGCGAGGTGCACGACGCGCTTGAGTCCAACCCGGACAAGTCCAAGTGGGTGTACGGGTGCATGCGCGATGTGCGCGGCGCCCTGGAGAACATCACGCCGCACACGGAGCGCGTGGGCGGCGACATTGAGGACGGCCGCCGCATCGGCGTGCGGCACCGCGTCTACTGGCTGCTCAGCGAGAAGGAGAAGCTGGAGAACCGCGAGAAGGAGCTTGCCATTGCCCACGCCAGCCTGACCGAGGTCATCGGCTTCCTGTCGGGCCTCGAGCCGATGGACGCGCCCAAGCGGCACAAGAAGGAGAAGGAGGAGAAGCAGGAGAAGACGGCCAAGGAGACGCACATTGACATTGACATCCGGCGCGAGGCGCCCGCCAAGCACACGGAGCGCGTCGAGCACGTAGAGCGGGACGTCTGGGTCGAGCGCGACGGCCGCGAGCCGCCTCGCTACGAGGAGCGCCGCGACGCCTATGTCGACGAGCGTGGCCCCCGCCCCTACGACGAGCGTGGCCCCCGCCCCTACGACGACCGCGGCGACCCGTACCAGCGCGACCTCGACTTTGAGCGCTACGACCCGGCCGACCCGCGGTACCAGCAGCACACGACGGAGCGCTTCGAGCAGCACGACCAGTACGAGCGCCACGCCGACGACGGCCGGTACGCCCACGCCGACGAGCGCCACGCCCATCCCAACGACGGCCGGTACGCGCAGGTGCCGCTCGGCCGGCGCCCGGAGTCCTTTGAGGACCGGGTGCCGGACCGCTCGTCGTGGATGCAGAGCAGCGCTTACCGCCGCCCCGACGGGTACGCCTCGCAGCAGCAGCAGCAGCAGCAGCAGCACAACCGTAGGTTCACAGGCGACTCTGGTTTCGGCGACGACGAGGTGCGGAACCCGCAGCCCGTGCCGCCAAACGCGCAGTATGCGGAGCGCGAGGTAAGACTGTCTCTACTGTCTGTAAAGTCGAGGGCTGATGCGAGTGAATAGGTTTGGGTCGAGCAGAAGGAGGACTTGCGGTTTGATGAGTATGGTAATCGGATCCCGGATCGCTACTTCAGGCCTGAGTATGCGTCTGTGCCGCGCCCGTACCGGACGAGGTTGTAGTGTGGTGTGGATGGCATGGTTGGGATGGACGAGGCTGTCACGTGGTGTGTGGACGAGGCTGTCACGTGGTGTGTGGACGAGGTTGTCGTGTGGCGTTTGGACGAGATTGTCATGTGGCGCGTGGACGAGGTTGTCATGTGGCGTGTGGACGAGATTGTCATGTGGCGTGTGGACGGCATGGATGGGATGCAATGAGCTTTTATGTTTTGTACATGTGTGGCTGTCGAGCGGTCGCTTCGTAGCCTCAAGTCCCTGTTCACCGACTGTATTCCCTTGGTAGAGTGACGCCATGCACATGTGCAGGGGGAGCAGAGGTGCGAGATCCAGCTCTGCATCACATCAAAACCCGAGATCCAGCTCTGCATCACATCAAACCCCGAGATCCAGCTCTGCATCACATCAACCCCCGAGATCCAGCTCTGCATCACATCAACCCCCGAGATCCAGCTCTGCATCACATCAACCCCCCCGATCCGCTTCTACGAACCCAGCACGCGCATCAGGCTCTCCCTCAAGGCCGGCTGCTCCACGCCCCTCCCAATCAACACCATCTTGGCCGCCTCGTCCGGCTGCGCCAGGTCGCTCGCCGTCGTCACGTCGTACACGTCCCGCACGGCCTGCAGCAGCAGCACGCGCCCGTCCGAGACGGGAATGCGGCCCTTGAGCCTGTGGACCTCAAACGGCGCGTGCGCCGTGTCGTCCGGCAGCGCCGCCTCCCACAGCATGGTGCGCAGGAACAGATCGAATTTCGCTTCCTGCGGCGGCGCCAGCGCTGGGAATGCGATGGTCGCGGTGGCGATGCTGCGATCGAGGTGGCTGTGGCCCTTTTGTGCAAAGGCCAGGTCGGCGGCGGTCACGGCCGCGTAGGCGTTGATGTCGAGCAGGAAGCCGTCGAGCTGCGGGACAGCGCTCTTGGTCGTCGTCGTGATGCGCGCCAACCCGTTGATGGCGCGGATGCGGTCGACGACGCGCTCCAGCTCCGCGGGCGTGACGAGGTCCGTCTTGTTGACCAGGATCACGTCGGCGTGGCTGATCTGCAGGTGTGCCGTGGTCAGCAGCGGGCCCGCGTGGTCGTGCGCGTGGTCCTGTTTCCGCCGCTCGACTTCACCGTCACCGTCGCCTTCACCGTCGCCGTCACCGTCACCGTCGCCGTCGCCTTCACCGTCGCCGTAGCCCTCGTCCAGGCTCGCCAGCACGTTCTTGGCGTCGACGAGCGTCACGATGCCGTCGAGGAAGATGGTGCTGCCCAGCCCGTCGTCGAGCCAGAAGGTCGGCGCCAGGTTCCCTGGGTCGGCCAGCCCCGTGGTCTCGAGCAGGATGTAGTCGAACAGACCACCCGCGTCCATGAGGTTCTCGATGGCGGCGACGCCGACGTCTTTGGCGCTGCAGCAGATGCAGCCGTTGGCCAGCGGCACAAAGGGCGGGCGCTTGGCTTCGGTCGAGTTGGCGTCGGAGACGGTGAGCTGCTTCTCAATGTCGATCGAGTCGCCGAACTCGTTGAGGATGACGGCAATCTTCTTGCCGTGCTGGGCGGTGAGGATGTAGTTGAGCAGCGTCGTCTTGCCCGCCCCCAGGTAGCCGGTGATGATGGTGAGCGGTACTTTTGTTGTCGGCAGGGCGTTGGGGTCTTGCACCAGACTGGGGACTTGCACCAGACTGGGGACTACATTGTCATCCGCGACTACATTGTCATCCGCGACTTTATTGTCATCCGCGACTGCTGCGCCATCCGCGACTACATTGCCATCCGCGACTGCTGCGTCATCCGCGACTACACCGTCGTCCGCGACGAGGACCGGCGCCTCGTCGTCTGATCCGTCCGTGTCCATCTCTCTTCGATGTTGGTGGTGGTGCCGGTGTGTCTTGGAGACCCTGCGAGCGCCCCATGGTGGCTGACGCGGTGGAGACTAGCGCCGCGGGGAGACGCGCCCTGCAGGCAGGCACAGCACAGACTCAGCCGCGCGGGACCTGGACAGCTCACCACGGGCCCAATCTTCACAGCTAACCACGGGCCAACCTCCACAGCTCCCGACGAGTCCAACCTCCACAGCTCCCGACGAGCCCCCGTCCTGCACCCCCCGCGCCCCCGTCCTGCACCCCCCGCGCCCCCGTCCTGCACCCTCCGCGCCCGACTCGCATCGCGACAGACGCCCGCCGCGACAGCAATGGCCGCGCCGGCCTCCCCTCGCCTGCCCAGCCCGCCGCCCATGGCCGAGGACCAGCTGTCGCCCATGCCGGCGTCGCCCGAGCGGCAGAAGCTGTCCAGCAACGTCGATCACGCGGCGGCGCGGCGCATACGGCCCGGGACAAAGGCCGACGACATGGCAGAGGGCCCGCCGCTGGTCGAGCTGTCAGAGGTACGCGCCGCGGTGAGCCAGGCAGGCGGCAGATGCTAAGACGACGCGCAGATCGACTCGGCCTTCCAGCTCACCGAGCACCTCAAGGCGCTCCACAACGCCCTCACGCATCCGTTGGGCGCCAACGGCAGGCTGCCCGTCGACAAGGACACGGCCCGCAGGCTCGCGCAGCCGCCGGAGAATGTCGACAAGACGCTGTGGCTGTACGAGCTGTGCCGCTTCCTCACGCAAAAGGTCAACGCCATCATCGTCGCCCTCTTCTCCGACACGCCGCCGTGCTCGTCCGTGACGTGTCCGGAGATGCGCGCGTCCGAGTGGCAGTACCTCTGCGCCGTGCATGACCCGCCCAAGTCGTGCGGCGCCATTGACTACTGCTGCCACACGCTCGACTGGGCCGCCAACACGCTCACCTCGCCCAAGCACTTTCCCTCGCGCCTCGCGCTCGGCGGCGACGCGTCCACGCAGCACTCGCAGACGCGCCAGCTGACCAACATGTTCCGACGCGTGTACAGGATATTCGCGCACGCCTGGTTCCAGCACCGCGACGTCTTCTGGAACGTCGAGGCGGACACGGGGCTCTACGTCTTCTTCAAGACGGTCTGCGACGTCTACGGCCTCATCCCCGAGGACAACTACACCATTCCGCCCGAGGCCGAGGGCATCGAGCCGCCCGCAGAGACGGCGTCCTCGCTGCCGCCGCTGATCCTGAAGCGCGAGCCGTGCGACTCTGCGCCGCAGGACAAGGAGAGCGCCGTCAGCATCGAGGGGCTCTCCGACCACACCCTCTCGACTGCGGGCACGACGAAGCGCCACCGACACTCGCCTTCTGTGGGCGCAACGTCCGTCACGACGGTTGTGGAGGAGGCCGAAGAGGAGGACGACCAGTCCGCCAAGGATGCGGCGAGGGGTGTCACACACGTGTGCGAGCCCACAGCAGAAGAGCCCGGCGGGGCAGAAGCTGGGCAGGCCACGCAGGCGGCCACAGAGGCGGTCACAGAGGCGGTCACAGAGGCGGTCACAGAGGCGGTCACGGGAGGGGAGGTCGCGGAGGCGGTCACAGGAGAGGAGGTCACGGTCGCAGGAGAGCAGGCCACGGTCGCAGGAGAGCAGGCCCCGGTCACAGGAGAGCAGGCAGCGACACGCCACGTCGCTGAAGCGGCCGAAGAAGCAAGCACAGAGAGCAAAGATGAGCCGGAAACCGAGACTGAGGCTGAGGCTGAGACTGAGGTCAAGGTCGAGACCAAGGTCGAAGCCAAGGAGGAGAACACGGCGGCCGAGGAACCCGCTGCAGAGGAAGCGCCCAAGCCATCAGGGTCTCTGGAACCGACACGTGAACAGGGCCCAGCAGCCAACGACGAGGACGGGAAGCCTACCGCAGAGGCGGCGGAGACGTCGGAGAAGAAGCAAACAGGTGCAGACAAGGATGGAACAGCAGACACGGCTGGCAAGGCTGGCAAGGATGACGAGGCTGGCAAGGATGGCAAGGCTGGAGAGGCTGGAGAGGCTGGAGACAAGGCTGACGCCCCGGAGAAGGACGACGATGCATGATAACCCACGATATGCATGCATGAACCGCTGCGTCAGTAGCAGACGCAGGCATTGCTTTTTTTCCAGCATGTATTCTGCCCTGGCATCACAGCAAGGTAGTGTTTTTTCCAGCATGTATTCTACCCTGGCATCACAGCAAGGTAGTGTTTTTTCCAGCATGTATTCTACCCTGGCATCACAGCAAGGTAGTGCTTCTTCTATCCTGTATTCTACCCTGGCATCACAGCGAGGTAGTGCTTCTTCTATCCTGTATTCTACCCTGGCATCACAGCGACGCATGCATGGTTTTCTCCTTGTATTCTACCCTGGACGACGACGCACGACACTGCTTTGGGGAGGCTGGTGGGCGCACGCACGTCAAGACTGGATCATCTAATCACGTGCGAGGGAGGGGGATGTGGTTGTGGTCGAAGACTGGACTGCATGACCATGTGCGAGGCGGGGATATCCTTGAATGCAACAAGGTCGACTCCTCAACGCAGTGCAAGATTGACTCCCCAACGCAGTGCAAGATTGAATCCCCAACGCAGTGCAAGATCGACTCCTCAACGCAATGCAAGATTGAATCCCCAACACAGTGCAAGATTGACTCCCCAACACAGTGCAAGATTGAATCCCCAACGCAGTGCAAGTAGAGTAATGCCATTATCAAGCCGGTGCACGTGTGAGGGTGCCCCACGCCGCACGCCTCCGCATTTCTGGTGCGCCGTGTGCCACCTGCGCGGCATGCACGCACCCTCGGGGCCGGCGTCGTGCCAGTGGTGGACTGGACTGGACGGGTCAGCGTACGGCGGCTTCCCTGCATCCAGGTTCCAGCGTCTGCGCAAGGCGGCGATACCCCGCTGTCTCCGCGGACTCTGCGCGTCGTCGTCGTCTTATCGCGGCTAAACCGGTGCGGTGCAGTGCGGTGCAGTGCGTGCAGGGCGGTGCAGTGCGGTGCAGTGCGTGCAGGGCGGTGCAGTGCGGCGCGGGACAGGCCTGCGGCCTGCAGACTGCTCGGCTCGTCGCTCGCCCAAGCCCAAGCTCCCGCCGCTGACAGCCCGACACGCAGTCTCGCGAGTCGCCCACTCGCAACCCCCACGTCCATCCAAGCTTCATCCACTCGGTCGTGGTAGTGCCCGGAGACCCTCTGCAGATCCCCAGATCGCTGTATAGTTACACAAGACCCTCGTCGTGCCGGCGCTGCACTCACACGGCGTCTGCCAGGCCTCCCTCCACGACGACGCTCCACAACGACGACGCTCCACAACGACGACCGCACTGCACGACGACGACCGCACAGCCACCCCGAGATGCCCTCCCGCCCCACGCTCCAGCAGTCCTGACCAGACAGCCGACACGCGACGGTGCTACCACCGCAGCCGACTTCCACAAGGCGTCTATGGCGCAGGTGCTGCACAGGCACGCAGCGCCCGCGCTGGCCAAGACGCCGTTCGACAGCACCATGGCGACGAGCACGGGCACGAGCACGGGCACGGGCACGAGCGCCGACCGCGAGCCGCCCGCGCCCGCATCGCCCGACAGCGGAGAGGCGCGAGGGCGGCGCCGCGACAGAGAGAGCTCGGGCGACGACGGCGCAGACGGCGCAGACGGCGAGGGCGGCGGCTCGCGCAAGCGCCGCAGGAGCAGAAAGGGGCTGGACAAGAAGTTTGAGTGCCCGCACGAGGGCTGCGGGAAGAGCTACTCGCGCGCCGAGCATCTGTACCGACACCAGCTGAACCGTACGTCACGGCCGGGGGCTGCACCGTCCCGCCCACGTCCCTGACGCCGCTGACCCGCTGACCCGCTGACCGCTGACTGCTGCAGACAACCCCAAGCAAATCTACAACTGCGACTTCCCCGACTGCCACAGGTATGCGCCGCGCCCCACAGCGCCGCGACCCGCACTGACACGCCAGGTCGTTTGTCCGCCAGGACCTCTGCGCCCGCCACAAGGAGCGCCACACGGCCCGCGGCAGCCAGCTCCTGCGCAAGGACACGTTCAACATGCACAACCTGAACCCCATCGTCACGGCCGCGCTCGGCGGCAAAGGCGCCCCCGGCCCCCACGCGCTCGGCGCAAAGGGTCAGCCGCAGCGCCCGTCGCCGCCGTCGCCCGCGCCCGCCGCCGCACAGGACTCGCTGAACAGGATAGGGAGCATAGGCAGCGTCGGGAGCGAAGACGCCTACCGCGCTGGCTCCTCTGACGCCTACCGCGCTGGCTCCTCTGACGCCTACCGTGCTGGCTCCTCTGACGCCAAGCCCTACGACGTGCACGCCCAAGCCTCCGCCAACTTTGCACCGCCACCGCGCCCGGCCCCATTGACCAACTACAGTGGGGGTCGCAGCTCGATCCACAGCTCCCCACATGTCGCCAGCAACGCCTTCCAGCGGCCCGAGCTGCGCACGTCGACGTCGAACCTCTCGTCGTACGGCACCACCAGCTCTCCGTACAACCCAGCAGTCACGCCGACTCAGTCGTACACCCCCTCGGCCTCGACGGCCTATCAGAACAGCGCGAGTGGGTTCGCGTCCCAGCAAAACAGCTCAGGTGGGTTCGCGCCCCAGCAAAACAGCTCGAGTGGGTTCCAGTCCCAGCAAGACAGCTCGAGTGGGTTCCAGTCCCAGCAAGACAGCTCGAGTGGGTTCGCGTCCCAGCAAAGCAGCTCAAGTGGGTTCCAGTCCCAGCAAAACTTTCCCCCCTTCTCCTCCTTACCGCCGCCAGAATACCCCCCGTCGTCGGGTGCTCCCGTCTCGCAGAGCCAAGAAGGCCAGTACTACAACGGCGCCTCCGGCCAGAGTCGGATGAACGGCGTCGAGTCGACGGCGCAGCTGGTGAACGGCGTCACAGACGCAATCATGGACCAGACGCCCTCGTACGCGATTCCCATGTTTGGCGGCGAAGGCTACAGCCGCTCTCCTTTCGCCATGGCGGACGACTTCGCCGCCTGGCTGTTCAACGACAACCAGTCCATGTCCGCCGGAGGCTCGCCCATGGGCTACCCTGCCGGAGTGGTCGCTGCGCCTGGAGGCTCCAACTCGATCGGGCCTCTGCAAGCGCCCTACTTTGGCTACGATCCCGCAGTCGCGGGCTACATGCCCAGCCAGCCACCTCCGGCGAACCCAATGGCCGTGCACGCCATGCTCGACACCACGCTGCCCGAGGTTGCGCTGTCCGAGGAGAAGCGCAGGGATCTGATCGACCTGATCATGGGGCGCTTCAACGAGACGGACCATGCGCCCGTGGCGAAGCAGAAGGAGGATATCCTCGAAGGCAACAAGGACGACGACCGTCACGTCCTCAGCCTGCACATGATGCAGACGTACATTGGCTCCTACTGGAGGCACTTCCACCCACAGCTCCCAATCCTGCACAAGCCCACGTTCAATGCGAGCACCTGCCCGGATCTCCTCCTGCTGGCCATCATGTGCCTCGGCGCGTCGTGTCTGGAGAAGACGCACGGGCACGAGACGACGCAAGCGTGCGCCAATCTGGCCAACTTCATGGCGTGGCACCTGCGATGGGAGATGTTCATGGACGCAGACTTCCGTCCGCCAGCCAAGCTCTGGATCTTCCAGGGCTTGCTCCTGCTCGAGTCCTTTGAGAAGATGTACAGCACCCGCCCGCTGCACGAGCGCGCCCACATCCATCACGCCACAACACTGACCCTGATGAGGAGAGGCAGCTCGCTCATTGGAAGGTCGGCGTTGGACTCGCCACCGAGCAACAAGGACGGCAGGAGCAGCTCGCAGGGCGGCATTGACACGCCAGACGAGTGGTGGAAGCACTGGATCACAAACGAGGCTACTAGAAGAGCCGCGTTTGCGGCCTTTGTCATGGACAGCATACACGCCACCATGTTCGGTCACAGTGCGGTCATGGTCGCTCACGAGATGCGCCTCCCGCTGCCTTGCGACGAAGCCCTGTGGTCTGCGACAAGCAGCAGCGAAGTCGGCCGCGTCGAAGCGAGCCTGCACTCCAACGGCGTCAAGCAGACCTCCTTCCTAGACGGCCTCAAGAAGACGCTGAACGGCCAAACCGTCCGCACCAACTCGTTTGGCCGCACGATCCTCATGGCCGGCCTCCTCAGCGTCTCCTGGCACATGAACCAGCGCGACCTGCAGGTCAGCTCCCTCGGCGTGACGCAAGCCCTCGGCGGCCGCGACAAGTGGCGTGGCTCGCTCACTCGCGCCTTTGACTTTTGGAAGCAAGACTTTGACTCGAGCCTCGCGCGCCCCAGCGACCTCGCCGCGCCAAACGCACACGCCTACTCCAACGGCGTCGACGACGACAACGTCTTCGAGGCCCGCACCGTCCTGCACCACCTCGCCCACATGGCCATGCACGTCGACATTGTCGACTGCCAGATCTACGCCGGCGCGCCGCGCCTCCTCGGCCGCAGCATCACCCCGCAGGACTACAATGGCGCCCAGCGCCGCATGAAGGACATTTGGGCCCCGACGGCGCGCGCGCGCGACGCAACCTTTTACGCGCTGCGCTTCCTCTCCAACGTCATCGTGTCCGGGCAGCATTCGCTCAACGCCGCCGCAGGCCTGAGCGTCGCCTACACGGCGCGCGACGACGTGCTGCTCAACCGCCCGTGGGTCCTGTACTTTGCCACGCTGATTGTCTGGAGCTACGGCTTCGCCCTCGACGGGCCCATTGCACAGCCCTACGCGCTCCCCTCGTACGACGACCGCGTCCGCGACATGACGGGCTTCCTCAACCGCGTCGGCGGCGTCCGGGCCCCCGACGATCTTGTGAAGCTAAAGGATCGCAACGCCTGTCTCGGCCTGCTGATTGTCATGCGCGACATGTTCCGCAAGACGCGCTGGGAGCTGCTGCACGAGGCCAGCACACTGCTGACAAAGTGCATCGAGATGCTCGTCCCCGGCGCAGGCGGCATGTGAGAAAGAATTCAGCACTGCGGTGCGTGCCGTGCGGTGTGGTGGTCCCGAGGGTGTTTCGGGTTTTGGTTCAAGCGTGGCGTTTTGGGGGGGGAGGGAGGCGGTGTTTTGCTGGAGATGGATGTTGAGGATGGTGCTGCTGCTGCTTTATACCCCGGTGCTGCTCCTTTGCACACACCAACTACATACCATATAGCTCTACGAGGTGCGCAATGTAGCGTTTTTTTTTTTTTCAATCCTCGCGACTGTGCCGCGCGTGCCCGTGGGATTTCGTCTGGGTCCGTGACGGGGGATATTGCTGGGCTTTGTACGCGGTCACGCTGCACTGCACGCTGGTTTGCACGTCACTCTGCATACTGACGAGGCGACGCGCTTTCCACCGTGTGTGTGGGAGTCTACCGGCGCCTTTGCCTCACGCCGCTTGCGCGACACACCTCGCAGCGGGAACATCCTAGTGCCGTGAGTGCAAGTCGCTCTCTGTGGACCGGTGGCAGTACTCTGCCTCCCGCAGGCTGCCTGAGGAGCGTAAAGGCGACTGCAACCCACACACAACCCGCACAGGCCAAACAGTCACCGTCACCGTCACGATCACCGTCACCGTCACGATCACCGTCACCGTCACCGTCACCGTCACCGTCACCGTCACCGTCACCGTCACCGTCACTGTCACAGTCAGTCACAGTCAGTCACAGTAACAGTCAGTCACCGTCACGGTCAGTCACAGTCACAGTCAGTCACAGTCACAGTCACGGCGGCGGTCCCAAGCAAAGGCCTCGAAAGCAAGGCTTAGCCATGGATGATCTGCGTCAATGGTGCTGAATGTGATCCCTCAGCACGGTATGGACTAGCGTCGACTCGGTGGTGACAGTGTCGCAGTGCCTAGTTGAGCCGCATGGGCCCTAGCTTGTTGCAGGTGAATGCGGGGCCGCCTAGTGCCTGTCAGTGCAGATGTTTGCGGGGCTTCTGGAAGGCGCGAGGAAGACTTGTGATGGACGTTTCTGGAGATGGGACGCCTGAATGTTTCTAATCTTTACGAGGCTCTGTTGGTATCGGGCCGTTGCGACACTAAGACTCAACCCCACACTTGTAATGATCCGTGCTTGCTTTGAGAGAGCTTTGTCAGTCGCTGACCGCCTTGCTGAGCGACTGTACCGTGGTAGAAACTGCTCAGAGATGCTTGGTGCCCTCCTTCGAGTCATGATAGCGGAGCCTTCGAGGCGCCTTGTGTGGAGAAGCAAGGTACACAGCTACGTGAATGGACTGATGTCGGGGCAACTCGGGATAGTGACGACAGATCTATCGGATCCAACCAGCCTTAAGTTTCTCGATTGCCTCGCTCTCAGGCACCACGTCCGCCATCTTCGCCTGCATATCGAACAGATTTGCTTCGTGCACGGCTTTGGACCGGTCTCCGCACGCCGAGCTGACGACCTGTGTCATGGTGAGCCCAGTCCACGAGCTTGAACGACGTGGCCTACGATTGGTCGATATCCAAGACACATTGCATCGAGTGTGCTCGCTCGCACGCAGCCACTCGTACTGACGCCGCAAATGACCAGCGTGTCAATGCCTTTCAGCTGCAGGCGAGTGCTGAGGTCTGTCGCGAAGAAGGCACTGGGGTACCGCTTCGGAATGACGAGCTCGCTGTCCTGGGGCTCCAAGCCCGAGACCCAGCTCTCGAGGCCCGTCTCGTTGCCCTTCAGGAATACCTTCAGCAGCGGCGCTTTGCGGTAGAAGATGCCCGCGTCCGACATATCGGGCTCCGTGTACTCGACCCGTGTCCATATTAGTGGCACTTTGCCCTCGCGCGCTGCGCCGACCAGCCTCGTTATCGAGACGAGTGCAGCCGCCGATTCGGGATTCGCGCTCGTGTCCAAGGGGCTGTCCTTGGTCCAGTATGCATTGCAGACATCGATGAGTAGCAGCGCGGGTTTGTTTCCCCAGCCGACTTTTCCAGCGAAGCCCGACTTGACGTAGCTGTCGTGGTCGCTGTGATGCTCCAAAGTCATGGTTTTGGTGTTGCTTTCCAAGCGTCAACGGATCAGGACGACGCCGGTATCCGATCCCGTCGGGCTAGCTGTCAATCTTCATATCCCGCTGCAAAAGTCCGAGAACGAGCACTATCATCGGAGCTGCCACGCGGATGCTTGCTTCCTACGCTCGCATGTCGGAGGAGCATTCTCCCGCTGTGTATACCCGAGGTATGTAGCGGCCGCTCATACCGGTGCCGTATTCGAAAGAGGCAATTTGGTCGGCGCTGCGCCTTTGCGCGAGGGACAGCATACCGGTAATTCAACGCGCTGTGAATAGACGCGTTCCGTGCTATCCCCATCGTGCGCACTTTGCATCGACACCTGGTGCGCCTGCACAGATTCAACGCAACATCTGCGTCAGCCTCTCCTCCGTACTTGGAGTACGTCCCGAAAATCTTGGCGTATGATCGGACGGGCTTCCCCACACATGCAGGAGCCCTTGGTGCCCTCGGCGAAGAGCGACTCCTCAATGTCCCCCAAACCTCACAGCTCCACTATCGCCATGGAAGCAAGAGAAGGGAGATCGGGCAACGCGTTTGCATGCGAGCGCTGTAAGCAACTGCCAGAAATGCATGCGCCTCTTCTAACGCCAACAGGTCGTAAGCACAAAGTTCGGTGTGTTCCTTCAGACACGGCTTCGGTTTGCCAGAGGTGCGTTTTTCCGGCGGTTTTCCGCGCCCTCGACCTAACACGTGCCTCAGATGCCAGAAGGCACGCGTCGAGTGCGTCGAGCACGTCGCACGCAGAAGGCCAGCAAAACCCAGGATAGACGGGCACACGCCCAACAAGATGCGCGACTTCGACAAGAAGCTGGACAAAATATCTGCCATTGTTGCCACCATGGCTCCGGCGTCAGTACTGCAGCCCGCACTGCCCTCACTAACCACCGTGCCCTCGCATTTCCCCGAGACAGCCCAGCGACCATCTCCGCCGGCGCCCGCACCCGTGAAGGCGTCGCCTCCTGCTCCTGCGCCGGTTTTTCCATCTCCCATCTCTAATGCCGGCAATGGAGAGGAGTCTCTGTCCTTCTGGGGTTCGATCAACGACACCTTGTCGTCCCTCGGCAGAATTGATCCCGTTATCCGGTCGATTAGTTTCGTCCACATGCAAATGCTGGTGGATGCCTACAGGACAATGTCCGATTACTTCCCATTCGTAACCCTATCGAAGGAGCTCACTTGCCGCGATCTGCTGCAGCAACGGCCCATGTTGATGTTCGCCGTCCTGACAGTAGCGTCGTACGATTCGGTGCTTCTGCAACTGACTCTGAGCCGCGAGTTCCGCAAAGTAGTGACCGTCAAGGTCATGAATGGGGAGAAGAGCCTGGATCTACTGCAAGGGCTTCTCGTCTTTATAGCTTGGCATCACCACTATATGGATGCTCACGCCGTCTCAATACCCATGCTTCTGCAGATATGCGCTGGCATCGCGGGCGATCTGGGGCTAGACAGTCTGTCCACGTCGTTGAGAAGCCCTCTACATAGAGAGGATCCCGGAGATAGAGAAGCGAAGCGAGCCTATCTTGGTTGCTACTACTTGGCATCCAACATCAGTCTGACTGAGCCCGGTAAAGCTCGCAGCATCTCGTACTCGACCACACTGCGCGCATATGCATCTGAGCTTGCGTCGTCTTGGGAGCACAAGTCAGATGCGATATTACCCATTCTCATTGATATCTGCCAGTTCACAGAGGACATACAGGAGACTTTTACAGGGCAGACAGAGCAAGCTCTGATTGTCCGCACGCAGGTCAAACGACTGAGCGCCAAGTGGGACAGCATCTGCCTAGCTTCAAAGTTGCAGGCCAGCGACTTTAGTATGGTTCTTCCCTTCCGCGTGGCGCGTTACTGTACTGACGTAACATAGAAACATTGCAGTGGATACAGCTCGCCGCCTACACCTACCTCTACAAGACCGCAGCCTCGATCGACTTGGCCGACCGCGATAGCACACCATGGGCCTCGGGCTTCCAACTCTCGTTGAGAGTAACCTGTCTGCGTTCGATCGAGCAGTTCCTGGACAACAGTACGAAGCTCCAGTCTAGCCAGTATGAGTTCTTGTGTCTGGTGGACTGGCTCAACCTGGTCTCTACAATGACTAGTCTGAGCAAACTGGCGCTGCACTCGACACCAATGCCGGGATGGGACACGACCGAGCTACAGGTCGCGAAATCGTTTGATTATTTCCGCGACCAGCTCGCCTCGCAAATGCCCCGTCCTCGCGATCCCCAGGAGACCAACGAGGACATCTTCGAGCGCTTCCGTCGCATCACTGCCGTCATGAAGATGGCTCTGACGAGCTCGTCTGGGAGAGCCAGTCCGGGTGGAAGCACATTCCAGCTTGCAACTGGATCTGGTCGGACTGTCTCGCTCTTGCAGGATCTTCCGTTGCCAAAGATGAATGGTGCGGGTGGCGACTCGCATCCCTCTTGGAAGCTCAAGCCCACTTTCGACCTCAACAGCCACCAGTTTCCATGGAGGTTCATCTCAGGCACAGTGTGAAGGCGCAGGTAGTACTCAACGTACTCAAGATATTGCCCGCGATGACGCGATGGTTTTCGCGAAGCGCTGCGATGATCTGCACGAAGACGCCCCTTCTGTGTTCATTCAACGAGGGACCCGCAAGCCACACTCTCATGTGGGAAAATTGGATACAAGCTTCGAACACGGGAGGTCTTCAGCGATGATTTGCACGAGACCTGTGAGTCGACAGGGCTTCTGGAGACTACAGATAGGTCTTTTGTCACATACAGCTTTGTCCGCGACATGCCAGCCACAGAAGCCAGGCTCAGAATCCCACGACCGGTCAAGGTAAGTTCTCCCAGCCTGCCGAACGGGTGCGTGACTGACCATTGACAAGGGAACCGACGAGGATCAAAGACCCGATTGGTGGATGAACGAGGCTTGCTGAGCGATACGAGGCGCTCCGAAACGCCCACTTGAAGCGCGAAGTCATTCCGGTGACCACTCCTGGCTTTCTGGAACACTCTCGGTATGCTTTGTGCTGCAGCGAGCTCATAGCACTCGCTCTTTATTTCTTTTGTTGCCAGTTTCCTAGTTCAGTTCGAGACCACGCCCTTCACGCGAAAGCCAGATACCCCGCACCGACGCTGTCGTGCTAATGTCACTCCATTCCTGTTCACAAAATGATACTTGTCGCATAGGACTCGGCTCATCTGTATGCTCACAGTGCATGTCTCGCTACACGCACGTTCAAAGCGTAGATGCAGGCAGACTCAGACCGCGGCCACACAACTCATCGTGACAGTCTGGCACAGCCTCCACCAAGCACGGTCACGAGAAGCATGCGAGGCTCGGTAAGGCCAGTTCCCACCAAGCATTGCAGGCGAAAAGTGCGATCAGGACGACCTCCCATCTTCACCAGACAGCTTAAGATGCCCGCGACGCACTCGCGAACCGGGACCATTCAACCTCCCTTTCCCACCTAATCACCCCCTTCTTCAACACCCCCAGTCCCCTATCCCCAGCCACGACACACTGAACACCCACACACCATCCTGGCACAACAGCCCATCCCCCTCCCGCACCCCGTGCTCAATCACCGCACAATGGGCTGCATGAGCAGCACCCCCACAACCGGGCTCGGCGACAACGAGCCCGCCCGATTCAGCGGCCAGCCCGCGACAGGCCACACCAGCAGCCACGGCGGCGCATACGCCATGGGCGGCCCCGGCGCCGCGGCCGGCACTCCCTACGGCGGGCACGGAGGCAGCTACGGGGGCGACTATGGCGGCGGCGGAGGAGGTGACGGGGGAGGGGGCGGTGGATGCTGAAGCCCAGGAGTTCGAGCTGTGTTCTGGGGGTGTTTGGGTGTATAAGATTTAGGTTAGGATGTTCTGATGTATACTCGATTACTGCGGTTTTCTCACGTGCTCGGTCCGCTTGTAAATCTTCGTCCGTCGGCGTGATGGGAGTGTAGACTTCGGTCTAGGCTGTGCACAACAGTAGACATGACTGTTTTCCATAACACGCAGAGTGCGAGTTTAGTTAGGTCAAAGGAAAATACGCGACATATCTTTGTAGATGAGTCGACGACCGCGAAAAAAATCCTAGTCGCGGTCCACCTCAAGTCTGCCCACCAACCAGGCCTGTCGTTATCCACCACACCATGACACTCCAACAGCGGCAAAAACACTTCAGGACGCTTGATTAGCCAAAAATGCGACGTTGGCAGGATTCGAACCTACGCTCCCGAAGGAACAAGATTTCTAGTCTTGCGCGATAACCACTCCGCCACAACGCCGAAAACCACTTGCTGGTTAGTGCTAGTGAGTTGATAATATTTCATCTCATCAAACTTTAATAACCCCTTTATTCTTCTTTGGCAGATGCCGCCTTGAAGCCATTCATGCACAGTCGATGAGTATGAGACTCAGATTGGTAGGTTGCGGTTCTTTGAATGAGTGCAGAACTCGTCCGGGATCTGGGCTAAGTGCGACTCCATCCTAGTCGATTCGGCCTGGCTTGCAGCGTGCCAAAATTAGCCCTCACAGCCGAATCGTGGGCCTACTGCCCGGCTCGACACTCTCGATAATGAAGCCTCGTGCATCCACACTTCCCCACACTTTGGAATCGATAGTCCTGTTCTATACTTGTCGTCCTACAATGCAATTCCTTCGATCTGCATCGTCCTCCATCGTGGACGCGGGACTCTTGTGACGCACAAGCAACTTAGCAACCACAAACACACCACAATAATGGTGACCAGCGGAGTCAACCACATCGCAAATGTTCGGTCGTCAACTGGGGCGAGTCCTGCCTTCTCAGTATCTGCAAGGTGCCATTTCTCGGACTTCGAGATGGTTGGTGTACTACCTTTGAACCCCGACACCAAACCACTTCGATCCGCTAAGCCTCACATTTCCCACAATGATTGGCTCATCGACCTTCCACCTCTCCCTCGAACTGCTGACTCCACACACACAAGTCCCTTCGAGGGCCACATCCGCCTAGAATGGCAGGCACGGTCAGCAACAAAGAAAGCAAACTTCCACTACGGGACTCTTGCATCACAGGGGCCCCTGGAGGACTCGTTGCTTGTGAGACGCCGAAGTCCAGGCAGGGCCTCTGAAGCCCGAGGCTGCGGTTGGTCGACCACGAGCGCGCACTTCGGTCTTCGAAGCGTGCAGCATATAGTCGCGATGGCGTCCAGCATGCGTGAGGATGAGTTTCGTTTGCCAGTATCAAAGAACCTATGTCGCGCTGTTTTCCTTCGGACCACCCAGCTTCCCGTCTGAGCGCTGCGGCTGCCTTTCTTTTCAACAGGATGTCGACACTCAACTCGCCCCGCCTGGCCGATGTGCCGATTCTTCACGCCCATGCTACAGGGGCAGAGTACTCGAGATGGCGGAGAGGGATCAAGTTCGCTTGCGAGACCAAGGGGACGTGGGGCTTCTGCGATGGTTCGCACCCAATGCCCATGCCGAGAACTGGATCAAACCCGTCTTCTCCAAGGGCATCGAACACATCGCAACCGTGCCTGCTTGATGAGCGCAAAGCGTGGGTTCGACAGGATCGTGAAGTCAAATTGGACATATTCCTCTCAATATCTGAGGAAGCCATGGAAGAAGTACTCCACGCCGGCCCTCCACTTCCACCATCAAACATGAACGCTCAGCAGATGCTCGCAGCGCTGGACAGGCGATTCAAAACCTTCAAGTTTGAGGATTACCATCATGCTTTCTGCCATTTCCTCAACCTGCACATGGACGCGTTTGCCAGCCTCGAGGAGTTCAAGGCCGAGTTCAGAACAACATTGGAAGACTTACATGACTACGGCCAACCAATTTCCAACACACAAGCGTGTAGTGCGTACTTTTCAAAGCTCCGATGCACGCAAAACCCGTGGGTAGTGAAGAAACTCAAGGAATGGGATACCCAAGCATCGGCACCAAGGCTCGAGGACTTTATGAAAGAGTCGATACCCTGGACGTCAAAGTCTTCGAGCTTAAACGCTTCGCCAAAGCCGCAGACAGATTTCATCCCAGAAGATCTCATCGACGACACTTCATCCCAATCAGACAACGACTCTAGCCTGTCCAACGCCTCGTCGCCCTCAAAGCTGCATTCTCGCCAAACATCCAACACCACAGACATCACAACGCACTCCCTCGAAATCACAATCCACGCCTCACCCTCCGACATCGCACAAATAACTTCCCTCCCTCGACTCCCGGCAACCCGCTACAACCCCGGTGTACCATGTCACCTGTACCCAAAAGCCAGCATGCCACTGATCGGCCCTCTACCACCAATGACCCGCCCCCTCCCCCCGCTGCCAAAACACGTCCTCGCCTCGCCGCGCGCGCGCTCAGCATCGCCCCGCATCACGGTCCCGAGTCCAAACACAAACATCAGCAGCCCCAAAGGCTCCGCCAAGTCCTTCAAGACGCCTGAACTCAGACTCGAAACCACACACCCGACGCTAAGACCCAAAAGCCCAACACTGCTCGCCCAGAAGGAATTCGGCCCCAAGCCGGTCCCAAGCCCCGTCACGCCAGGCGAGACAAAAGTCCATCCCGCGCTGCGGCACAATGCCACGACCGCAGCGCTGGAGACGAGGACTGCAGCGGCGACTGCGACGCTGCGCGTCACGCCGCCCCTCGCCCCCGCGCCCTTCGAGGACACGATCGCAGTCCCATGGCCCTGCACGCCCAGCACGTCCTCGCGCGCAGATCCGCCGCAGAAACTCCCCAATCTCGACGCGCTGACGCGCCTACGCGCCATGAGCCGCGCGAGCACGGGCACATTCCCACCCACCCTGCACAGCGGTCGCTCAACATCACCGCCGCGCCTGCAGGACCGTCCGCTCCTCATCCCCACTGTCACAGCGCAAAGTCAACCCCCAACGAGTCCGCCACCGCCGCCGCCCTCTTCTCCCCCCATACCCCTGCAGCTGCATGGCCGCGCCGGAACAAACGAGTCCCTCGCTTTGCTCGCGCGGAGCCGGACACCGACATTCGAGTCCCTCGGCGTGCCGCGGTGCGCGTCGCCCGACAAAGCCGGCGGGGGCAAGATCGAGCGGAGCCGCAGCCCCGTGCGGGAGCTGGTTGCGCGGCTGAGCGGGGACAGTCTGGAGGTCAAGACCGAGGCGCGCAGGGAGAGGAAGAAGAGCTGGAGTCTGGGGGTCGGGTTGGGGCGTTTTGGGCCGGGGAGGGGTGTGAGGGAGATTGTGTGAGGGGTGTTGTGTTTAGTTGTAGATGATGAACAGAGTGTATCGAATGTGGTTTTGAAGTGCTGTCCGATGTGATTTGTGGAACCTGCTCGACGGAGCCTTGCTTGTTGTGGTTGTGTTCTTGCGGTATGTTGCTTCTCCCTTACACGGATACTGTGGATGAGTTATTTCGGTCAGCTTGACATACGCGATTGCAGGCAGTGAGTGCAAGTGGCGGAGTGGGATGTAATCGTGATTCATGAGACCTCCATTGAGGTCGAGCATGGTCTACAGATACACACGCAGGCTTTTGCTGCTCCTCTCATCGTCAACAAGCCCGCGACACGTCTATATGAGACGCCAAAGACCCGACCATACGTCACGCTGACTTCTCTTAAAGCCATCGATGCCTAAGCTACTGCGTCGCCCTGACGGCCTTATCGACAGCTTTGGCGAAGTACTCGACATTGTTGGTGTTGAGACCTGCCATCGAGATGCGACCATTCTTCGTCATGTAGACGTGCGAGTCATCACGCAACTTCAATACTTGCTCCTCAGTGAGGCCTGTGAAGCTAAACATGCCGATCTGATCTGTGATGTGGTTCCATGTGCCGGGTGTGCCGAGCTCCTCGAGCTTGTTGCGGAGCGCGCTGCGCATCTCCTTGATGCGGCCAGACATCTCGCGAAGGTTGGCCTCCCACTCGGAGAAGAGCTGGGGGTCGTTCAGGACGGTGGATGCGATGCGAGCGCCGTAGGCGGGAGGGTTGGAGATCTCGGATCGCTGGAGGATGGCGAGTTGCGAGGCAACGCGGGCAACTATTGACTCTGCATCAGATGAGGGTGATGTGACGAAGTGGAAGCAGCCGGCACGCTCGCCGTAGAGGCCGAAGTTCTTTGCGTACGACTGAGCAATGCACAACTCAAAGCCCTGCTCAACGAAGTAGCGGATGGCCCAGCCGTCCTTGGCAAGGTCGCCCGAGGCAAAGCCCTGGTAGGCTGTGTCGAAGAAGGGGAAGTGCTTCTTCGCGCGGATGACCTGTGCAATCTTCTTCCACTGCTCTTGTGTGGCGTCGACGCCGGTGGGGTTGTGGGCGCAGGCGTGCAGGACAACAATGCTGCCCTCGGGCGCGCTCTCTAGCGCACCGCACATGGCATCGAAGTCAAGGCCCTTGGTCTTCTTGGAGAAGTAGGGGTATGTCTTGTGCTGCAGACCGACGTTGGAGAAGATCTGGAAGTGGTTCGGCCATGTGGGGTCGGAGAAGTAGGCGGTGCGCTCCGTGTTGGTCTTATAGAACTTCTGCAGGAAGAGGGCGCCCAGGTGGACGGCGCCGGTGCCGGAAATTGTCTGCAAGCTGGTGACCTGCGCGCTGTGAGCCGTGTGTCACGTCATGATGGGGAGAGCTACGCACGCGCTTTTCCCTGATGGCGGGGCTGTCACCGCCGAGGACGAGCTTCTGGGAGGCTGCTGTGAAGTCTGGCAGGCCGGCAATGGGCAGGTACTCGTGGTTGAGGTCGGGGTCCTTGCGCAGGATCTCGTCGGCCTGGCGTAGATAGTGAGCAGACAGTCATCAGCAGCTCCAGCAAGAGCGCCCACCTTCTTCACCACGGGCAGAACCCATGGCTTGGCGTTGTTGTCTCGGTAGGCACCAATGCCCAGGTCGACTTTGTTGCTGTCGGTGTCGCGACGATACGCGGCCATCAGCCCGAAGAGCGCATCTTCAGGCGCCTGGGGGACGGCGCTCGCATCGAAAGCTGTGGCAGCCATTGGGGCGAGCTGTGTGGAGATTTGCGAGAGGCGGAGGGTGGAGGCGGATTGGGAGGAAGAAGAAGAGGGAGAGGAAGATGCAGGTGAAGGAGAGGTAAGGGATTGCTTAGGTGATTCTGGCATGGCTGCAACACTTGGAGCACACCACCATACACTTTGCTTTACGTTTCACAGGCCTAGCTAGGAAGCCGCGACCAGCCCGCGCATGCGCTAAACCCCGCAAATGCTCCTACTTCGTAGAGTTCTTGACGATGCTGCCGGCCAAGGGGATGCGGAGCTGCGGAGCCGCTCGAGATGAGAGAGTGAGATTGTGGATTTTGCCTCCCAGTGCGTGCTCCGGCTGCTTCCTTTAAGAGCTGCTGTGGTTGACAGCCGCAGGGACTGGAGCTTGTCGTCAAGCCGAGGCACGAGGCACTCCATCACTGTGATGGTCCGTGGTGATGTCAACACCCTGTCGACCTCTCACATGCAGCGGGTTTCCAAGACGGATTTAGCTGAGCCCTACGAGCTTCCAAGGTTCGCCCAAGCATCCTGCGGCTTGTGGGGCTGCAACGGCCAAAACGCCGAGAAGCAAAGGACTCACTTGCTATTCCCGGCGAAACAGTCCTCACGGTGCGCGACAAACTGGGGCGAGGCTGTGTTGGCGATACCTTCACGTGTTCGGTATTTGCACGAGCAGCTGACTGTGCAATTCCGGACAGCCCAGTCTATCATATGAACAGGTCCCACAACACAAGCAACGTGCAGAAGGCAGACGTGCCGTAGAAGACCATCTGCGCCGTGCTCCTTCTCTCCGTCGCCCGCTTGAGCTCCTTGTTTCCGCTCCCGACATTCTCCGTTGTATTGAACGAGTCCTCCACCAGCTGCTCGATGTGCGCAGACTGCATCTCGAGATTGCCGGCCAGCGTCGACTGCAGCTCCGAGACTTCCAAGAGCGACTTCTCTGCTGCGCTGACACACTGTTAGCTGCAGCTACGTAAGAGGGTGGGGCCAGTGCATACCGAACCTTGTCGAGCTGGTCCTCGTACTGCTTGAGCATGTCTTGGTTCTCTTGGGCGAACAGTTGCAGCTGCTCGGGATCAAGTTGCTGTTCGATTGCTGCGCTCGACTCGTCTTGGACGTGCGACTGCCCGCGGTAGTCCTTCGAGGCCCCAGCTGCGCTGCCTCCACCATCCATACCGCCGTAGTCGCTCGACGGCATGGTGGCTCTTGTCTTGTATAGCACGCTCTTGCTCTTCTCCACTTCCCTCATAAGCCGTATCTCCATCATCGAGCCTTGGAATTGACCACATTGCTCCAGCGCATTCTGCAGCGTCCAGATAATGCTCTCCCTGTGTGCCTTGATCGCGTTTGCCTTGGCCTCCTCGAGCTCCTCCTCTGGACTCTTTGCTGTTATTGCGCCTCCTGCTGCCCATCGCCCCAATGCGCCCAACCCTTGCTTTGCGCGCTTCCGTAAAGCTAGCTGCGAAACCGTGCTCTGTCGCAGACCCTCAGCCTCTCGCAGATTGTTGATCGCATGATTCAGCTCTCGCAGTGACTGCTTCGCCTGCGCGTCGATCTCGTTGCGTTGCGCATCGGTGAGGTACTTCGGGTCTTTGTCTGTGGCTGTAGAAGCACTGTGTGCGCGCGTGAACTGCTTTCGCCGAGGTGGCGGTGCGGTGGAAAGATAGCTTTGCCGTATTGACTTAAGATCTGTGTGGAGCTTCGCGATATGTGTTCGCTGTGGTAGTTGTTAGCATCACCCCTCAGGCTTTGTGAGACGAACGTGGCCTACAATCCGGTATGCCTCCTTCAGAAACTCGTCCAGATTCTCCACTCGGAAGACATACGCCTCGACGGGCTGCGCATTATGGCTCGCGAGCACCTGATTGAAGACCGGGGTGATGTTCATGGTGCGGTCCTGCGTTTACGTCTTTGCTGGCAGCATGACGATGCTCCCGCAGCTTCTCGCTTAAGTCTAGCAATAGTGCCACATCCCTGCGCGAGCCTTCATCTGCACTCTCCCATCCACACCTTCAGGTTCGAGCTAATACTGAGAGGAGCCGGGCTGAAGATACAGTACTCGCTTTCAAGGTATCGTGACATGTTGTTTGCGCAGTTCATTTCACACACTCGACTATCCGAGGTTGTCCAGGCTTCCACGTGATGGCATACCTCTCAAACTACGCACACTACTATCTACGCTGAGGCTTTCAGACCTGCTCCAGCACATCACGGACTGGTCATGAACTGCATGTGTTTCTCTCACCTCGACTTCGGACCATGATATTAGCCTCTGCGAGGTTCGATCACTGTCGCAGAATCTTGTCCTAATAAATACCTCCATTCATGCAGTTGCTCGTAGAGAGCACTGTAGTAGTCTGTTTTAGCCAGTACCGTTTCTCTATGCTATGGCTTGGACACAAGTAACGAGAGATTTCCATGCACGCTGCATCAGTACAGCTGTGTGGCTCCATTTCGTCCACTGCCACTTGAGTGCTGTGAGCTTCGATACGGTCTGAAGCCTACAAGAAGGCAGGCATGAGCATTGCCGATGCGTTCGCAGTTGTTCCACAGTCGCGGTTTCGACGTTATTGTTGTCAATGCCGCCCTCACACGTGGCGCTGCCTTCCTCAGAATGGGTCTTGCCTTAAACAGAGTATCACCTGCAGCTCGACCGACGAAACCGCAGGCTCACATCGACGTAGAGCTGCACAGGCCGCAAACACTGGATATATAAGCCCGCCCGACCTCCACTTTGGACTCTCTCATCACTACCCAACTCCAAAGCTTTTTGGCATCGACACCAACTCTCAATCCATTGTTCAGCATCCATAACCACCCAACTCTTTTCTCTACTACCAAACCAACCAACTCTTCTACTCCACTACCATTCACCATGCTCTACACAACGCTTACCGCTCTCCTTTTCCCTGTCGCGATCATGGCTGTCCCCGCCCAGAAGCCCGCTGCCCACGACGGTCAGTGCGCACCCATTTCTTATACCATCACGGAATACACACGCGCAATTAACCCTGGTTACGGCTTCGTCAGCTTCAACGTCCAGTCTTCGTACACAGTCGACTCCCGTGTCAACGACACAGTCAAGGGCGGTGTGAACTGCGAGGCCGACGGGACCATCATCCCCCCCAGTTCGAAGCAGTGCAACCTCAACGGCAAGAAGGTCAAGGATCTGGTCTTCATGCTCAGGGGCAAGCAGGACGAGGAGAAGTACCTCATTCACCACAAGTGGCAGTGCAACAAGTGAGTCTTTCCCATGTCTCCACCTGTCTAGTACAACTCGACTAACTCTTCACAGCGCAACTTGGGAGTCTATTAACAGCTTCACGCTTCCTCCCCTCGACTGTAACACCGTCGAGGATGGTAGGAACGGCAAGACTACGAGGTGCTCAGTGAAGCCCTTCATGCTCGACCCCCAGAACGTTCAGAAGCTTGTAGACGACAAGCAGGTCGCTGGCAAGGTCAAGACTAAGCCTGCTAATTGCCACAACCCTTCCAAGTGCGATGCTTGAAGACGATGGTCGAGCGCTGCTGGTGCCTCGACTATCTCCACGGGGTCGATTGGCATGTTGATCTGTGACGAAGGAGCTGGTGGCAACTGTTTCCCGTCCCTTACTGTTCGCCTTAACATTATGTTTGTACCTTGGCCTCGTTTTTGGCATTGCTGTTTCTTTATAGATTAACGCTGCTAAAACGTATGCTTCTTCCCCCACGTTACACATTCTGTCTCTGGTGACTTCTTTGAATACCGCCAGGGTGCCACTTGACAAAAATCTTGAAGACGTGCCTGACCTGTCACTTCACGGACATCAGCCACTCGTGACTTGAACCTAAGGGGAACCTGCAAATTAAGACGATTGCACCTACCAGGCGCTGACAACATGGCTTCCTTCGTTTAGTCTTACGATTGTAGTACATGTTGGTTGACTACATGCGCGATGTTTTGGGGAGAGGCAAGCGCTGCATGATCTTTGACGTCAGTGTAATGTTTCTGAGCTTGTCCGAGCGCGAGTTATTTGAGGGAGCGGTGTCACATGGACGTGGACCATTGCTAGTACATCGCCATCGTCTCATTTGTAGCATCACAAGATCAACATGCCACGTGAGCAGTGATGGAAGTGGGATTAAACGCTTCTGCGTGCTCGAGCGGCCGATGTTTGTGAAAATTCTACACTCATTCTTTCTTTGGATCAAGCTGGGAAGATCAGGTTCCGTACTGGTGTGCTGGCATATTCATGCGAGATGATAGCGTGGTGGTCCACTACGTGAGCTGGTTGTGAAGAGGGGCTAACGGGTGTGCCCTTGTGGCTACTAGAGGTTCAGGATGCTCATGGGATGGATATCGGACGATCGGGACTGGTTGGGATACATGGAGACGATGGGAAGAGGGGTGGGTTTTACTCGTTGAACGTTAGGTATGTATATAGCAGGTGTAGACACTTGTGATTGTCTTGCCCTTGAGTACGAAATAGTTGCATGTTGGTCACAGGATACTCTGGCAATTGCCATGATGCGTCTGCATTTGTCTGCTGGCTATGTTCACGCTGAAGCATCGCTGGCCAGGAGTAACTGATTACGGAATACAAGGCCGCATATGTTCGAGGAATGGGACAGGTGTTCGCCAAGGTGTCTCAGGCCAGAGTAGGTGAGGTCACCCACGTGCTCACACTTGTCTACAGCGACGGTTTTTCTCTGACGATGGTTGGGTTATCAGCGTCCACTTACCCCGGACGTCGGTGTTGGCCGGAAGAAAGAGTTATTGGCGTGGGCCGGGTGTGATTGAGTCAGTTGAGGAGACTGACCGAGTCCACTCAAGTGGGAGGAAGGTTGCAGTGCAATGCCAGGGTTCAGGCTGGCCAATTGTAGTTGAACAGTGACCGTGAATGGCTGGGACACGTTCCGACGTCGTGAGAGTCGTCCCATCAAGTCCAATGGTCGGTCAAGGTGCAGTCCTACGACATGCAATAGGGACGGCTCGGAGTGGTATCTAATGCATCCTCACGGGAAGGTGGCGGGTCGTGAGCGCCACTTCACGGAAAAGTTCGTTGACGAACTCAACAAGAATGATCTATCTCAGCAACTCCTCTTCTTCAGAGTTGGTGAGGCCGTTCAGGCCCGATAACCAACCACCGAGTTTCTTGGGGTTGCAGAAGGATGCACGGAGATCGTCCCCCAGGAACCCAGTCTAGTCTGTAGACAGTTCTTGTTTTCCTTACAGCAATCTCATGTAAGCCAGGATCTAGGATATCGACAGGGTTGCGGACGGCGCTGCTCCTCCACGACCAAGCCTTTGACATCATCCACGGTCGTTGCCGGTGATCGTCGGAGTCGCGGAGTCAGTCTGTGCCGTGGGAGCTGTGGAGGACTGGGAAGATCAGCAGCGAGGTTTGAACCGTTTGATGCGTGGAAGTTCTAGAATCGCAGAATGCCCCTCCGACATCCGCCGTGGGCAACTAACGCCACACAACTTCTTAGACGACCGACTTCTCATTCGCTGGCTTCGTAAAAGCGCCCAGCGACAGGCTCGGCGATCACGAACGGTGCATGAGCCGGTGACGAAAGCATTTCGCAAGTGCGTGATTTGCCTATCGATACTGGTACGGCCTATCGATATCGGCTCGCCGCTGACACCACTTTCTTGTGTGTGGTGCGTTGGTGGGCTCCTTGACGTCTATGTGGGCGGAAAACTGGAGAAGGCATTAAGCTATTCATGCAAGGACGGCGCGCGGCGCAGCGAAGCGCAATAATAGATAGGCAACAACGATGAAGGAAGTGGGGATTCTAGAACGCCAAACTACTGCAGCAAGGCAAAAAGTCTGTCGCAAGGGCATGTGTGGGAGTGTTGAAGCGGCGCGTGACTGCCAACGGTCTGAAAGGCATCGGCACTTTCGCGAGATCAGAAAGATTGCCGGAGTGCGAATTCGAGGTGCGAAGTTGATGATTGCTCTTGGCTCCCAGAGTTCGATGGAGAGCCACGTGCGGCCTCGAGGTGCTGACCATGGTACCCACGGCTCTGGGCATTTTGACAGCACTGTGCGGAATTCGGCTGGAAAAGCGGAACTTGAGTCCTTGCTCAGGACGTTTCAAGCATCATGAACACGTGAGCGGTAGCGACGTCCGAGGTCCTCACTTCGTAACTGCATGTAGAGTGCCCAAGTTTCAACTGTAACGGTAACGAACCAGATCTGCGGAGCGTGCAGAAATGGTTGCTGGGATGCTTCATGCAAATGCAAACAACAGTCGTTCAAAGACCAACGCCGATCACAAACCTTGATCATCCATCCATATTAACGGTATTTGCAAGACACAAGAGGCGTGCATACTGATGATCACAGCATATTGAAATTTCGAGAGCTAGTCTGGGTGGATATGAGGGTGTGGCGCCATTGACAGGAGTCGGCGCAGCTCATCCTCCAGCCGCTGCGGTTGTTGCGAACTCTATCCTACATCGTGAAACAGAACCTGGAGAACAGGGTCCTCGCAAGACACCGAGCTATTCGCACGGGGTGAGGAACAGTATTCTAACCAGTTGCAATAATGGTGAGAGACGCAGGACGCGTCGTGCGACGCGAATGAACTCACGCCAGCATTAAGCGAGATTACAGAGGCTCACATCACAACGAATTGAGTCAGGATGGCACGGTAAGTCCAGCAATTTCAGGAAGTAATTTAACTGATAACGTTAACGACAGTCTCGATTGTTTTCGACCAGAAGAACATGCGCCAAGCCTGGGACATCTCCTTGTCCGTCTCGAAAAGGAAGGAGGTGAACTCCTGAAGAATTGAACAAAGGAGAAACGGATCCCGCTAGCCCAAGTGAAGACCAGAACCCCAAGATGGTATATGTCGTGACATCGTGAGATAAGAATGTAACCGAGAAAAGAAGCGCCAGAATCCATCTCCAGGTTGCGATGCGGTTGTCGGGCGAAGGAGTCGTGGGGCGGAAGTGGAAGCAAATACAAGCAATAGCAGGGTGCGCGTCGATATGTGGGTATGAAAGAATATATTGCCTGCGACGCTGTCTGCCTCGTCATTACTTGGAATGATATCAATTCCATCCCTCTCCTCTCTCTGGGTATATCGCGAATAGGTATTTGGATTATGGCGTAGAATATGCGACAACGGTCTCCCCAACACCTGACAAGCTAATCATGTACAAATTGATAACCTGGCAAGATTTATGCGTGGAAGGGCTGGTGACGGCGGGCGTGGCCGTGAGCGTGCCTCTTGGCGTTGATGGTCTCGTAGGCGGTAACGTAAACGACCTCGGTCTTGATCTTCTGTGCTTTGTTGGCCTGGTCAGCCTGGTCAGCCTGGGCAGCAGGGGTGACAGCGGCGGCGGCGGCGACCTTGAGTTCTGTCGTGTAGCTGTCGGCGCTGGAGGAAGCAGCAGCGCTGGTAGCAGCGGCCTTGGAGGAGGTGGCGGCAGAGGACTTGGGGGCAGAGCTGCTGGGGGAGCTCTCCTGTCCGGGAGCGTCACCACCGCACATGTAGAAGTCCATGTTCTGGTCGGGCTCGCAGGTCTTGGTCTGCACGTCATCGGGAAGGACGTAGGAGATCTTGTTGCAAGAGGTGGGGTCGTTGCAGGACATGACCGGACACCAGGTGTTGGCGGCGGAAGCCTTGACGGCGCCGGTCTGAGCGCCAGCAACGAGGTAGTAACCCTCTTGCCTGGTCGGGCAGTCGGCGTCGTTGGAAGGGCAGTCAACGTAGGAGACATCAAGGTAGTTGTAGTTGAAGCCGGGAGAGTTCTTTTGGATGAAGTACTCAAGCTGGGTGATGTCGTTGCCCTTGCACTCCTGGGTCTTAGAAATCTTGATAGAGACACCAACATCTCCACCCTTGGGGTCCGCGTAGTTCTCCTGGTAAGTCTCGCCGGACTTCAGGGTGACCATCTCATCGGTAGGGCAGCCGTCGCCCTTGTAAACAGACCACAGGTAAACGTCGTAGTTGCAGCGGTTGTGAACACGGGCCAAAGGCTTGCTGGTGTCGCACTCTGAGTTGAGGGTGACTGCGCTCCTGGCGGAGGCAGTGGCAGCCATAGAGGCCGCGACGGAAAGGACAGTAATGAGCTGCATTTTGGCTGAATATGACCGGATTCTTTGTAGAGACAGGTGAGGACTCGTAAAATGTCGAATGAGGGAGTGACTGCTGAACACCTGAAAGAATGAAGTTATTCAGCAAAAAGAATGTGGGTTGACAAAGTCCTGCTTCTTGCGGTAGGAGAGACTCTCGGGACGCCTGGGGGATGCGAAGTTAATAAGACGGCTGAGTCCAAGCACACACTGACTGGGGCCATTCGCGACCCACCCGCCATGGAACGAGTCGTCGCTCATAGCGTGGGCTTGTTCAAGACGGTGCCAAACGTCGTGGCTTGTCCGGAGAACAGGCGCGGGAAAGCAAGCATGACCCCGAATGGCAAGAACTTAGCCAGACTCAGCAAGGGGTACACCAATCGAACACGAATTGTGCCTGATCGACAGGGCGCTTACCACGCACACGTTGTAATTTTACCCAGAGCCCGTCGGTGCACCTCTCAAAGAAGAGTAAATTACGACCAGGATGTGGCCGATTCCGAGTCAACTTGTTTTGTGGTCCCCAGAAATCGCAGAGATTTCAATTGGAACGAGGCAACACCTCGGGCGCATTCGTCCACGTCTTCGTGCTGTTTGGTTGACAGTGGAACCAAGATCAGAGCCTGCGCTTCTAGAATCCAACATCAACACCTTTGTGTGCTTCATGTCGTTTTGTGCGCATATCACCAATGAAGCCCTCGGCGAGCCTAGCAATATTGGCCTTAAGTGTCTGCAATTCCGCGGGCAGGTTTTGGAAAGGGGTTTTCTCTCGTGGCTTTGTCCGAATCCTGCCTCGGCTGGCGGCACATAGGTATGCTGTGCAAGCGCTGCGCTGCGCTGTTCGAAGCCGTCATCTCGGTGCAAGACCATGAGAAAAGACTCTTCTTCTCCAGAGACCACCGTCATCTTGCAGCCGCATCGTGATGCGCCCGGTGGGTGTGCCAGCGCAAGTTTGTATCGATAAGCGCCATGCGCCGCGCTGCGCTGTACCCGGTAGAAGTGTCTTTGACCAGTCAGGGCCTGCTCAATCCACAAGTAATTTCCTCTGCCCGCCAACCAAACGCATGGCACCCCAGGATGAATTCAGAATGAGATCAATCAGTGCTGCGTGCAAGCGTCACTTCCTTCGTCGACTAGGTATTATGCTTCCCCGCCAACCGCTCTGATTGCCATGGCAGGCTTGGACTGTGGAGCTGAGCGCTGCGACAAGAGGTAAGGTTGCTGTCGTGGCACATTAGATTTCATGTGCCGCGCAAACGACCATAGGTTGCCAACTTGCGACTCGTCGAAGGTTGTGGCCCTGCAGTGTCGCCCCCAGGCGTAATTTGGATTCTGCTTTGTTGGGCGCGGCAGAGTTGCTTGTGTTGAGGAGACCAAGAGAAGGATCAAACGTGCCACGCATTTGTTTGCTGGCATGGACCGCACGACCACTCCATCATGCCAGCACTGCCCTCGAACATCTCGTCGCTGAATTCTAGGTCGCCACTGGAGCCGATTCATCAGCGACCTCTCTGACGACGCACATGCTTTTTCGTTGAGTGATTCGAAAGCTGCTGTGCCACGAGCACCGAGGGCGGCGTTGCCACCACGTGAAGGTTAAGCCAATGCTGTCCTTCCCCACGCGCATACGAATGGTTTTATCTGACCATAGTGGAACTGCAACGGACTGCAAGTACTGGCCGATGAAACACATGAGCCATCTGTAATAGCCTTAGTGAGTCGCAACCTGCCTTGCTCTGGCAGGTCACTTGCCCTCAGGCCAGCAACGAAGACATGATGCGCATACCGACTACAGTCTTTAAAATTATGGCGACGTCAAAGCAAGCGTTGGACTGGTGTGATGTCACCTGGATCGGTCGGGACTACACACGTGTAACGACCAGCCCTTACCTCCCAACTTGTGGGTTGTCTAAATCCGTACCTTTGACCTTATGTGTAACGCTGAACGTTCGCTTCTCGCGAGATGTCTCTGCAGCCAATCGCTGTCGGCGCTTCATCTCCCATTCTGCATTCAGATACCTAACCCAGCATCTGTTGTACACCTGCAGATCTTGGCTGGTCATGGTACAGTCTTCACTCGGATCCGGAGGTGAAAAGGTACACATTCAGCCTGACTAGGATGGAGATAGCTCCCTGATGTACCCTGCAAACTTCCAATCTGGCTGCCTGCTTGCCTTCGGGACACTGAGCATGGAAAATGACCACGAGTATGATAAGCTGATCAACACAGAGACGAGGCGTACAACGCCGAAGGTTAAGCACGGAGTGTCTCAATGTACGGCTCGTTGTTGACATTATCCCGGCACACCAGAGCATGGAAGCGCATCATCCAAAGCGATTTCGAAGTAACACTTCTGAGCTCCAATAGCGCACCAAGTATGAGAAGAACTGTGAGCTTGACAGCATGCCTAATGGTATAACCCCATCCCAGCATGCGATCTGACTCTAGGGGAGATTCACAGCTGCATATGGGGTAGGTCTTGAAGCTGGCGGTACCCGCATTTCGCTGCCCTTGTAGCATACGAGCCTTCATTGCTAAAGCCCAAGTACAGACAACTTGTCATGGACTGCCACCTTGCCTCCATTATGGACAGCTATCGCAGATGAGATCTTAGATGGCGCAGATGGGTCCTGGGGATCGAATTGATCTGATCCGCAGCCGTCACCAACTTAACCGATCACGCACAAGCACGTTCTTGTACATGGTGTTGAGTCCTTCGAGATAATTCGAATAATTCTATCTGTACGTAAAACGCCTCCGTCAACACCCCGCCTCCAACCGGCGGCTCAAGCTCTTGGCACCCTAAGCAGCGCAGGAAACATGTTTTGTTCTCTCGGAGCATTCTCTATTCGCCAGCAAACCGAGCACTATCGATGTTGGGCAGCATTACTAGACATTCCTCGATCTATCCGCTGCAAACACGTCTTCGAAGCACAAACGCTATTCTCCGCCTTACACCAGCCTCGAAGCCTATCAGATATTGACGTCTATCGCGGCCGATGCTCGAAGGACGTATTCCATGCAGGCAAGCACCTGCTCAATCGAGAATTCCTCGAACTGTACAGCTGCATGCACATGAATGCAGACTACTATAGAAGTACATTGATTCTCTTTGCATGGAGCGTGTAACGGGTTCGCAGCACTCGCCTATGTACCGCACTGATCAGACTGAGCAACCATCGATATCTGGGCTACAACATGCACCGCCCATGACTACAATTATCATGCGGTGAATTCGAAGCCGCAACCAATTGTCGAGACCGCGGCTTGGCCTGACGTGGCTGTTATTAAGCCAGGCTACAACACAGGATACAATCCTTCGGGCCTGGAACCACACTACATCCCGCCTTCACCGATCACGGCCCTCATAGCCTCAATCCAGCCTGGTCAGACATCTGGTCTCTTCGTTCTCATGCGCGTCCAGCGGGAGTGTCAGACGGCTACAACCACGGCTCGGTGAGCGGCCCCGGCCCGTCATCGGTGTGCAGAAGTGAGGGTACAGCTGTCGCTCACCGGGACGGACCATGGTGTTGACAGGCCCTTGGTGGCGGCATGCCAACCTCCGGAATTGGTGTTGCATGCATCATATGCAGGTTGTTAAGGTTATGTGCGGATCAACGCAGGGATCAATACCCACCCTGTCGGTAAGCTGAAGGGACCGCAGAACCCTGCCGGAACAGTTCTGAAGAGTGAAAGCAGTGTTGACTTCTTTCTATCGAACTTCACAAGCCGTTCATCTGGGTGGAGAGGGTTCGTGGACTTTCTCGTTCCAACGGTCAAGGCTAAATCCTACCGAGTTCCCCAGATCTACCTTTTCGTAGCACGTCTCGGAAACCTTGGCAGCTCGTCCTGCGCATGGCAACCAAAGGTGACGCAAACCAGCAAATGCCGAACTGTGCATGAAGCGCTGCTGCCGCCACGGTAGAACAGTGTTGTGGAGTCGTTCGTCCGAGTCAGTGTTCGGGATGCCGAACGGGACGTCCGGAACGTTTACTAGGGTACTCGGGTGGCGTGAATGTCGGTGTGCTCATGCTAATCCGGAAGGCTAACGCGGCAAACGAATACTCAATTGACATGTGTCTCCAGTAATTGCCTGACGACATTGACCAAGCGGAAGAGTCCTGAGCCGGTCGGTCAACCTGGACATGCGTTCTTCCTGTCGAGATCATCACATTTGTCCAATCAAGGGCCGTGGCTGTAATTGACGATGCTTCCCGATGGTACGGGGACCTAACAACAGCAACAGAGGGATACAAAATATGATCAGGATGACCAATATCAATCGGTCAATTGTTTAAGCCGAATGACGTATAGTAATGGATGACTTTTGGACATATCCAGGGTATCAATCGGTACACCAAACTCCCGAGAATCGAAAACATGGTGCAACCTCCACAATGTAAACGGTGCGTCTGATGTTTCCAAACTCCATCTTCGATGCGGAAGTGCGAACGAATGTCCGAGCGGCTCGAGCGCAAAGCAGCGAGTCCTCCATCGGCTTGGAAACTGCACGAAAGCGTTGTCGCGTCGGAAGTTGTATGTACTATGGGTTGATGTAGGTATCAGGCAATTGGTGGCGTATGTTCTCTCTGACTCTACCTGCGAGTTTGTAGATGGTTTTACGGAGTCTGCGATAAGGGCGAGCAGACTACGGTGCCTTCTGTGGACCGATCTTCTTGAGTTTCATTTCACTGTCGAGTATTAGCATGTGAACAATTCAGAAGCGTCTCAGCCGGGTGTGCAAGCAAAGGCTGATTGACCAGGCAGTAGGAAAGAAGCAGGGAGGGACGGGAGCTTACTAGATCAGTGTCGCATTCTCCGGGACCAGTCCTGGTAGGCCTCTGTGGAAGATCTGGTCAGCTATCGTGCGCATATTGTCGAAAATCGAAGACCGTGTCACTATGGAACACTGAGGCGTATCGAGCTCGAATGTTGGAGTCGAAGAAGAATTGGGAAAATGGAAGAAAATGACTCACTTGCGCCCAAAGCCGTATGAGCTATCGACAGGTCAGCAATGCGAGATTTGTATCTGAGGCATCTGGTTTGACTTACGGAGGAAACTCAAACTTTGCCTTCTCGTTCAGAGCCATGGGACCGGCTTTCTCGCTGGAGCCTGAAGGAGTGTAGTCACCTAGGACGCCGATGTCCCAACCTGATTGAGCGTTGCTGATCAGCGACTGTCCCACACGAACATGTACGGGGGAGTCTTGAAGGAGATGTGTACGAGTACTTACCGGGAAGAGCATGAGTGGAGCCTATTACAATGACAGAGTCTCCGCGCCCGACGGATGTATCGAATCTGCAAGTGTCATGAGTAAGACAGATGGCAGCAAGAATAGAGTTGCATCGAACTTACTGCACACCCTTCCCCTCTGGCTGCTTTTCATCCTTGACCCATCCTGCATTGTTCAGTACTCGAGCAATAAGTCTAGCATCGCCTCTCACCTGTATATTCGAGTGCAACCTCATCGTACTTGCAGACATGCTGCGTCTCATCGCCGGCGTCCAGGATCGTCTTGGTAATGGTCGCCATAGTGTATAGTGAGGGAAATTATTGCTAGGATACCAACGGGTGATTATGCTGCCAGTAATGCTGATAGTGGATTGATGTGGAGTCGAGTTTGCAGTCAAGTCGGTGTAGTTGCTGGTGTCGAGGTTTCCCCGAGTATGTGGAAGGCGTAGGTGTATGACTAGTGATGGGGGAAGGAAAGGTCGAAGAAGTACGTCAGTGACGATGACAGGGTCCGGCTTTTAGTAGTCGGGAAGGGGCCTCAAGAAGGCACAATCCGGAGGCTCTCTGTGCTATTTGGTCGAGCTTGGACACCATAGCTATCCAACCCGCGAACGATTTGGGTTTAGTAGAAAGGTAGGACAAGATGGCTTACTGCATTCTAGCAAGCAACCCTTGGGCCCTCACCGATACAGCTGTTTCACATCCTTACACTGAGACGTGACCGCGGCCGAAGAGCCACAACCGCTCTTAGGGTTTGTCCGTCCCTCGGGAGCTGTGCCGGATATTTAGGCCCGTAGAAGTTCGGAAGTATTAGCTGGTCTAGCCCATGGATCCGCTCTCCAACTACATGCAGTATCCTGGTTGACACGCGATCCAAGCTCCACCAGTTGACAAGGCTTGAACGACATATGTCCCTTTCCCGCGGCTGCCGAGCAAGGATTCCACTTCCCGCTTCGATTGGGCGCTGAAGCCATGTCCTGTTCAAAGTAGTTAGCACAAAGCTGCCATTCTTCGTCTTTGAGGGATCGCGAAGTATTGCAGCACGGGAATGTGATATTTTGTTGTTGCGAAGCAAGGCGGGTTGAATGGTGGGGTACAATAGGAACCAAAGACTTGTGATACAACGTCTGCCCGCAACTTGCAGTATGATGGTTTGACAGGTCAGCAGCAACGCAATGGGTATGTGGCGCTGTCGTATGAATCGTAAAGCTGCGAAGAGCGAATTGCCGACACGCGTATATTTGTCGTCAGTGGTCTTACCGAAACGAGCCAAGCTGAAGCGCTGTCAGGCGCCACAACGTTCCGAGCCGGTCAGCTGGGTGTCAAAGCGTGCCATCTCAAGTCGCTTCGTCTAGCTTCAACTAAGTCCACTTTCGAAGCTTTCTCGAACGAGGAGTGCATGGGGTTCTCTCCCCTCCTTTGACACAACCGGTCAGAGCTGACGTACGGCCATTGTCTATTACTACGAGATGATTGAATGTTACACAGGCGACGAGCGGACACTCTCGATGTCGTATCATTGGGACTTGAACGGTCAAGCTGGTATGTGTCATTCCAAAGAGCCAGTCGGGCAAGCGCTGATCTCCGTTATTCTATTAACGCACTGCATCATTGCTCGATTGATTTAGTACAATGACACCTTTGTTCAGGAGTTGATTGTTATTAGGCCGACATCAAGTGACGGTGTAAGGAGTGGACCCAATGAACTGGATAGAACTTTCGCTCAAAGCGAGGTGGCTTCGCCAATCACAAGTGAGGCGGGTACCAGCCCGAGTTCCGCACCAGTTCCAGATCCGCAGGAACCGAAAATGGACGCTGCGTCCCTGCAGAGGCATTGGTTATCGTGCTTCTCGCGGCAAGCTTAAAAATACTAGCCTTTGCGATGTTGCGGGACTACACCGACACTTATGCGGAGCACCCCACCGCAATTCCTTCCCTTGCTTACCCGGTGATGCTGCAATTGTCAACACAATGCGCGGCCTGAGCAGGCCACTAGGATCCCGGGCTGTGGGTCGAAGTCCCAACGATATGGTCTGGTATCGCGGCCATTACTGATGCGAGCGCTTGCAGCGCCAGGTCTCGAAAGTATTGCGGCGACTTCAATCCACTCTGCGTCAGTGCACCAAGGCAACCCCCGTCTAGACTAGATCAGCCTTGCAATGCAAGCTGCAGCCACTGACAAGGCGACCGTTGAGGTACTTGCAATGCCGAGGTCCGGAATGCAGCTCCGACAGAAAATGACAATTGATGTATGGCGCCTGTCGCGGTGTTCGCGTGACCTCCACGAGACCTGCTACAGCAATCTTGACCAAAAAGGTAATTGTGCCAGGTCAGCCACTGCGATAGCGGAGAAGCCTACACTGGGGAAGCGGCTATCTATCCGCTCTCCGCATCCCCTCGCAGCGAAATGTACCCTTTCGAGCCCGGTCTTCTGGATGTATTCCAAGAGACGAGGGTAGTTGGTGCCAATTTGTTCGATACCGTGGCTATCGTCAGACAGCACGAACCCGCCGCCCATGCGCAAGAACATCTTGGTGACGGGCAAGCAGGGGTACGGCTCTGCCAGGCCCTTACGCAGACCAGCGGAGTTGAACTCAAGCAGCCCGCCATAAGAGGCGATGAACTCCAGGTTGCGCTGCATTTTCTTCCATACACCACCCATTCCTTCGAATGCAGTGTCTTTGTGATCGCTCAACAGGCGTATGAGGTCGAAGTGACCCACCACAGGCGGCTTGAGTGCTTGGAGCATGTCGTACTGCTCATCAAAGTAGTCTTCGAAAAGCCTCTCGTCTGTGCCGCCAGCCTTCTGTCGAGCTTGTTCGTACATCGCGCGGTCGAAGTCGATCGGTATTGTGTGGGTGTGGTGGATGGAGCCCATGAAGAAGTCGAAAGTATACTTCTGTAGAATACGATTGATGATGTCGAGCGAGGATGGTCGTATCCATTCAGACTCGAAGGCAATCAGGATCTGTATCTGGTGAGAATACACATCTCGTAACCTGAGTGCCTCGGTGTAGTAGTCGTCGAACAGCTTGACAAGACTCTCCTCGTTGTGAGAATCGGTCTGTCAACGATCATCAGTGTTACTGAGAACGACTCGGTATTGTGAACTGTGTATCCCGTACCTCTTCTGGGTAGAAGTCTACAAGCTCCCTTGGAATGTGCTCTGTCAGTGCAAAGCTGTGAAAACCTCTGACAATTGCAGCCTGGATGACCTCTTCTAGCTTGTTCTTCGCATGTCCACAGAATTGGCCCGAGTGACTGTGGTGTGATTGCGGCATTCTGAGGGGTCGTGGCGGAAATTCTGTACTCAATTATCAGCTCATCGTTGTTGACCCCTCCCCCCACCGAACGTAACACTTCACAGCGACAGTCAAAGGCGTTTCTTCGGCACTTTGCGCAAAATGAGAGAGAATAGTACGCTCGAACTTACATCGATGCACCTGACAATACCGCTTACAGAAGTCCTGTCGCGTAGCTCGCGCTTTTGGGGACACGCCAAAAAGCTTGAGCTGCGCTGCGGTGATGATGTCAGCCGGACCCTGAATCATCAACCCCAAATAGTACTCTAGCGTCAAGTACTCCTCCACCATCCGAGACACATTACACAAAGCATTCTACATGTTCACAATACAGTAAATATTTACATTCAGTGTCCTTCGTTGGTATTTTGTAGAGTCAAAAAAGTGGGTCCCGCAATGCGCCGTTCTTTTGAGCCGTAACATGACTGCTTTACTGACGAACGTACCGCAGGAGTACCGTTCCAGCGGAGGTACATGGACTGGACAACAGATCATCAACAATAGTGAGTGATCCAAATATCAAAATCTCGCCTTTCCTGTGAAGATCACGATCTCTTCATCCGCGCTCTATTCCCTCAACACAACGCACGATCTGATTTCCATAACAGAACAAAACGAAGTGTCGACTGATAACATAAATTCCAAGGCAGTATATTCTGGAATCATCATCATCCACCATGGCCCTCACCCAAGCCCCCTTTAGCACACCTACAATATACTTCGGCTACGGATCCAACCTCTGGCTGCACCAAATGTCCCTCCGCTGCCCGACATCCACCTACTTAGGCGTCGCACGACTGTCACACTACACGTGGCTAATCAACGACCGGGGCTACGCAAACGTGGTCAAAAATGCTCCAGACTCAGAGTCCTACTCAGACCAAGTCTACGGCCTAGTCTATTCCTTACTGCTGGAGGATGAAAAGCGCCTGGACCGCAACGAAGGCGTCCCTGACGCATACACCAGAGAACTGGTCACGTGCGAGCTCTGGCCCAGCGATACTCACTCGAAAGTGAACACGAGCTCTCCACCGGCAGAGACGAGGAGCATGCTGGTGTACATCGATCAGAACCGGACGACGCCGGATCAGCCGAAGGACGAGTACGTTTATCGCATGAACCAGGGGATACGGGATGCAGTTGAGCGGGGCGTGCCGGAAGAGTATGTCAGGGACGTGATGAGGAAGTTTATTCCTCAAAAGGATGAATAGGAAGGATGAATTGGGGAGATTGTGAGGACGCAAGCGGCGCAGTTCAAGGACGAGAGTGGAGTGTTTGAATGAGATGCGCGAGCGAGGTGTCTTTCCAAGAACACTCCGTAACGAGTGCGATACATTAGGCAACACCAAGATCAAAGATGTAGTGCAGAATGACGCTCGTGGAAGCTGATCAGTCTATTCAGAGGAAGGCTATCCAGGAACGCGCCCGCTGTGCGCAAGCATCCAAAGACATCAGACGTAAAGAGATCAATCAGCACTGAAGCTTCGCTCTCCTTAATCATGCCACAGCCAACCAAGAGGCATCTCACAGCCAAACTGATCGTAGACCATTTCAGTCTCCAATCGCTGTCAAACACCAATCTCCCAAGCCTCGTCACGAGTCTTGCGGTAGCTGGCCTATACAACGAACTGATTAGTTGGGGTTGCGGTACTTTTGCTAAAGACGAGCATCAGACACAGTGTAAAGCGACAGCGAAGGGGATGAGCAACGCTGGAAATCATCGGATTGATTTCTACGCACCTCCTGCTCTGTACCCGGAATTCGTACCTGAAATCATTCATCCTCCTGGCCTTGGTACTCAACTATCTATCCCATGTCGACGTCAGAGTCACCGACTAGCACTCTAACAGTAGCCTCGGCAGCGGCTTCAACAGCGGACAAGGCAGTTACGAAGACAGTGATGTCGCTTGACTCCTTTGCAGCGCGGAGATCGCCGTATGCTCGCACGACTTCAACACTGCCAAGAGCCAAAGCCCACTTACCGCCGAACAAATCAGCTTCGACTCTACCAAGTTCTTTTGTCGTATCGAGGGTCGCTTCTTGCTCATCCACTGGTAGCAAGGGAGGATCTGGTGAATTGAACTGGGTGGGAGTCGACTCTGCAGTAGCGGACACCAAACGGCGCATGGTGTGTGTGGCTTCGCTCAACCATTCAGCATATATGTTACACCTCGTGCCTCCCATTCCGCAATCTTCTCCTCGGAATCAAGAACGCTCTGTTGTGCGTACGAGCCCTTCTGAAGTGAGAGACGCTCCCGTCCCAGCGACATGTACGCTTCCACTTCTGGATCGTCAACTGCCGCACCTACATCTTTATTTCCAGGTATGCACCCGACCTGCACCACAACCACGCGCTCGTCAGGAACCGCTTTCTCTCTTTCCACTTACGCTCAAGCGCGAGCGCATACACATCAGTACAGTCTCATCCTCGATCAATTTCCTTAACGCTTCGCTCGCACATCTCTGCACCATGACCAGCATCATCGATCAGCAGTTCACCGATGGTCTGAACAAGGCCTACAGACTTTACGAGGAAGACCGCCTTGTAGAGTGCCAGGAAGAGGCCCTGAATCTTCTAGCAGATGACGCTATACCAAGGTACCATCGGATCAGAACACTGGTACTGCTAGGCACGATCTTAGGCGACTGGGATGAGGCAAACAAGTGCCGTATTGACGCTTGGGCGCTGTATGTTGATACTACATTGGCATCCTAGAGGTAAGAACGCAACTGCTGATGCATACCTGGACGAGATACGCAACGAGCTCGATGATCTGAACAATGCGCTTAAGGCAGACGCACCGGAGGATTGGGAAGACGCGGAGGTAGCGACCGCTATAAGTGTTGTGTGGACAACGCCACGGAGGCCATTGAGGACATGAGGGCGGAGTTAGAGTCCTTCAACATGGCTTAGGGCGAGGACCCCATCATCGTTGGAGAAGAGCCCATCGCACGACCCGTTACCATGGCAGAGACAGAAACACCCTCATCAGAAGCTATGAAGGCCCACAAGGTTGCGTTGACAACAGACCCCGGACCTTGCTGACATCTTTGTAGCGCAACAAGAAAGGGATCAAACTTAACCTCAAAGCAACCTTGCAGGTCGACACCAAGAGCACTCAGGCGGCGGATGCCCCCCCTCCAGCGCCGCGAACCCCGTTTGGGAGTGTGTCATTCGCTACAGTACCTGCGCCGGGCTATGCTCCACCAGGATGTAAGTAGGTCAGAAGGGTTGACGCACATCAGCTGATAATTGTAGGGAGGCCATCTGTCGCAGATCAGAAGTAAAGACTGCGATTGTCGCTCTGTAGTGCCGAAGTATTGCCATAACGATCATTCCTCGCCTTACTCCGATGGCGAACTTCGCCCAGCTGACCTCCCTGCCTCCGCCACCAGCCGTCACATCGCTGCATTACCACTGCACTCTACCAAAGGCTGCGTAGTAGCCCAGTCTGCCCTCGTTTTCAGGATGATCAAAGATGGTGTGGAAATACTGCACCTGTGCGAAGTTCTCGGTTTTCAATGGGGCAGCCAATGGTCTCGGCTCGCGTTCTTTTGGAAGACAGCAATACCCGATAATAGCCAATCAAAGTGCAGAAGCCGTTCTTGCCGCACAACGCAACATCGCGCCAAGGATACCTTACAAAAGTTAATAGAAGATATGGCGCCCTCTGTCTCTGTTACTCCGGTCCACTTAGATGCTATCATTCAGGTGTTGTGGTTGAGGTATTGCAAGTTGGAGCCGTTTCTTGTTTCCGACTTTCTGTCCTGCAAGAGCGCGTATCTACAGAACACCAAATTCGAACATGTACCTCTTCTTCTCCACAGCAGCATCGCAAGCCTGTTGCATCCTATGCAGAGGACGCTAAATAATTCCTTGAACAACCGCATCCAACTCAGACAGAATCTCGTATGCCTTCTTGTGGTATTCGAGCTGGGCGGCGATGAGGTCGGCGAGGTTGCGGAGGGGCTCGGGTGTGTCGAGGACCTGTACTCAATTAGCCTTGTTCTATGTGCGAAGCGTTGTAGTAGACACAAAACGTACATTCTTCATAACGCCGACAGCCTCCTCTGTCTGGGCGACAAATTCATCCTCGGCCTGCTCGATCTTAGCACGAGCCTCTTCGCTCAGGTCCTCCTCGCCGTGGCTCTGCTTGGGTGCCTGGCCAGGCAGAGTGAAAGCACCACCCTTGGCGTTGGCCTTGGTAGCATCCAGGCTTAGTCTCGAGTTCTCGACCTGCTTGCGAGCACGTGTTGCGAACTGGATGTTGGTGTTCAGAGTTGTGCTCCACCCAGCCAGAAACCTGCTCTGGATCTGGGCATCCTGCGCCAAACGGGCCTCGCCGACCTTCTCGCTGGCGATAGCGTACTTCTCGAGGGCAGTAGCAAGGGGATCTTCGCTAGAGCCAGACTGCTCGGCGGTGAGTATATGCGAGCTGTTCAGGGCTGCGCGGGCAACAGCATGGCTGAAGGTCTTGGGCTGAGGTTTCGCGGAGGGAGGAGCGGTGAGGGCTGCCTGCGCCTCTGCGGGCGATGTCGCGCTGGACAGAAGATTGACCTTCTCCGAGACAGTGCGGCCGAGATCGTTGAAAGACTCGCGGAGGTTCGCAGGGTAGTCGTAGGCTTCATTGGAGTATTGCGAGGTGACCTGGAGCATGTTCGTGTGCACCTTCCTCAGCGCATCGATGCGCTTCTCGAGCTCGATGTAGTCCGGAGGGAGCTGGGTCTGTCACGCGGCGCATCAGTACTGTTACGTATTTCGTTTGCTGTATGCTCTGCGAGCTCGTGGAGAGGTCCGGGAGGCATTTCCTGGGGGCCATCGTACCTTGTCCTCAGCCTGACCGAGCTGCTCCTTGACATACTGCTGCGTCCTTGCAGCAAAAGGCGTGAAAGAAGCACTGGAAGAATAGTGTCAGCCTATCTATTATTGCGCAATGCCCCAGCAGAACATAGGTAGACTTGTCCGCAACGTACCCAAAGCTCTTTCCGAACGCAGAGATCTTGCCAAGGTTATCCATAGTGACGTATGTAGGCGAATATAAGCAAGTAGGGGTATCAAGTGGGTGTTGTTTGGGAGTTGTTGCTGTTGCTTGGAGCTTGCATGTGCGTTGAGTCCTCCGCGACTGCGGCTTCCCCTTCAAGCCATGATCCCTGCCTGCACTAGCCATATTGGTTCAACATCGAGGTGACAGTTTCAGACATACGCAATGTCACGAAATTGGTACTGAAAGGCTAAGTATGCTATGTTATCGTAGATTTCCATTTATATACAGCGTTCTCAAGCGATTAATCCGTGAAGTGCGTTGTACTTGCACATTCTATGAAGCGAACCATGATGACTAAATACAGTCGTGTTTCTACCCACTGCTTCGACCAGCAGATGATGGCAGCACTTCACAACAGGCATTATGAGGGATATGAAGAAGCGTATATAGCCACAACTGGTGGGGGAGTGCAGGTACTTTCTACCTGGACGGCGGAGAGGAAGTTGTGTCGAGTGCCAACGACCAAGCCGCACGACGAGCATGGTACATAAACGTTATCGTTTTGTTTTCGTCCCTGCTTCGTTGCATAGGGTGAAGATTGATTCCTGTCGCCAGAGGCTACCAAAGTCCTCCTCATCCCTTGCAGCCGCGCTCAGATCCGTTCGATGGAGGCTCGTGACTACGTCTCTGCTGAACGAACGTCGAAACTAGCATCCCTCAGTAGCTGCAGTACAATCTGCGACTACGTACATAGTGGGGCTGGTTCGCTCGTGTTGCCTACTTTGGTTCAAGTTTGCTGCGACGCTGTGCCACAGAGATGCTGCTGTGTAGCCTTGGATGCAGCACGCGACTGGATGTGGTAGCTGTGCCGTTCAACGCGTTACAGAACGCCACTCGGGATTATTCTGCGGCGTCAGGTAGACACAGCAGGGCTGAGGATCGTTGAGTGGATCGTTTCAGACGCAGCTGTCTGCGGTCCGGAAGTCCAACACTGCGCAGGTGTCAAAATGTTGGCTGACAAGTGTCGATGGCCATCCCTTCTTCCTTGTTGCAGTCGGCGACGTATCCCGACTCAGATTTGGGTATCTTTCGTATCTCTTTCTCTATTTATGTTCACCAGTCAGGCGAGGCAGTGAATTGACCAGGTAAACTCATTGCTGTCGCGCTATCGTGGCTTGTAACGGTCATGTTATCTGATCCCGGGGAGTCTGAGATGTTTAGGCTGCTGAAGATACCCCTCATCTCTTTAAGATCCTCGGAGACCTGATCCCTGGGCGCTGTAGATCGTTCGCGGATGAAGTCTTTTATTGATCGAATGATAGGTGGGCACCCTTCATCGTTGGGTAGCCACGAGTCGGAAGCTTCAAGTCCCCATGACTCAAGCATACGGCTGCGCATGGATTCCGGGTAGATATAGCCGAGAGACTCTACTTTCGCGAAGGTTCTTCGACACCACTCTATGGTCTTTGGATCTTTCGGCAGGAAGAGTGTAGCGATGGCGAAACTGACTTGGGCTTCGATGATAGCACCGCGCGGTGCTTTCGGATAGGCGCACATCGCCTCGAATATTTGTGCGGCCTGGAATGCCAATGATGTGAGCTCTGGTTCGAATGGCTTTTTGAATGCCATCGATGTGGAGATGTCGTGCATGAAGTTAATGCTCCAGAAATCTAGTTTGAGGAAGTTTGTTGTCCACAGGTCGTCGCCATAGATGACGTTCGGTTCAAAAGCATCGACAATGTCGTCGGGTCTGGGCTGTCCTTGAATGGCGTTGACTTTGTACGTGGGATCCTGATACTCTGGACCAATGCTCCTGGCCAATCCCTCAACCTCGTTTTTAACTATGGGAAGCTGCTGCATGAATTCCTGAGGGCTAAGAAGACCTTTTCCCATCCGGGAGAAAAGATCGCTCGAATTCTTTGCCACGAGTCGAGAAAATGCAAAACGTTCTTCATACTTGTAGCCAATGTCGTCCGGGTGGTCGCGCACTTTTTTCATGTAGCATTCGTGCACCGCCTCGTACCAATCTCGACCCAGCACCGCCTCCCCGCCTGATTGAAGACCAACAAACAAGTCGAAGCGAGTGTACCAAAGCAGCACTTTAAGCAGGAAGTCCGACCGAGTAATCGTCTTGGGCGTGTAGAGACGAGTCAGCATATCGAATGCAGCTTTCTGGTGGCCCATGAGGTTGACCCAGTCACCAAGCATCTCCTGGGAAACAATTAGCCTGATCTAGCATACAAGTGTGACGTCTCCTACCTCAATACTTGCAAGTTGCAGAATGGTGAGGAACGTGGCAAGGCCTTGCTTCTTTTGTTTCGTGATGGACATCCGTAAGCGCGAGACTGACTCGTTGTAGAACTGTAGGAAAGTTGACATGCGGCCATCTGGCTGTGCGATTGTGTGGAAGTACGCTGCATATCCCGCTACTGCGTACTTGAGGGGCTCGTATTTCATAGCATGGTTCAGAAACTCGCCCTTGAGGAAGTTATGGGAATCTCGCTTCAGAGAGTAGTGGTGGTGGGTCATGTGTTCTTTGAAGTAGTTCAGATAGAACTGTACATCTCTAGGCGCATGAGAGGGATTTCGACTCGATATGGAAGTCTTGGTAGCCTGCGCACTGCTTCGCCGGGAAAGAGGCTGTCTTACCGTTGGCGGGACAGTTGAAGAAGCTTCCGTGGATGGGGAGGCGCTCTGTTCCAGGGTCGACGCGGGCGTGGATGAATCGCGCAAAGTCTGAGACTTTCCAGTGTAATCACCGTCCATATCATCTTCGAAGTCTTCGTCTTCATCGTGAATAATTGGCAAATGCTCGTTTCCTTCTCCTTCGTGGTCCTCGGGCGAGGATGTTCCATCCACAGAAGATTTTTCCGATTTTGACCCACTACGAACTGACTTCTGACCGGATTCTTTGTCTGGATAAACGCACTCGCGCCCACCCTTTCGGCATCCTGAGGTAGAATGCGTCAATACATATGTGAGACCAGCAGCTTCTGGTAGACTTACTTTCGCACGTGGGATGCGCTTCATCGCACTGTCGCCACATCAGCCATGTTTCAGATCTGACCAGAGCTGCGCATCTACCTTGACTCTTCTTTGTCTGCAAGTGAAGCAACCGCTCCTCGTCCTGCGATGCTTCACCTGCTCGCCCGGTAGTGCTCGCCGTCTCACACGCGCATTGCCGCCCTGCGCCGGTCCCAACGGCCCGGAGACATCCTCGTACATTTCGCCATACTCCGACTGCATGTGCGGCTCTGTGTACTGCACGAAATGTCCGGTTATCCCAGGCTGGAATGGGTTCTCTGGTACTCCTGGAGCCCCGTAGGAAGGATCTCGTATCATGCTTGGCAGCGGTGCTCCATTGTGTGAAATGGAATCAGGAGGCGCGTTTGGATCAACGTTGTAGTATTGGAACGGCAGGTTGTTGCCTGGAGGATAGAACCCAGACATCTCTGCTGCACAGTGATGGAAAGGTGTGGTGTGAGAAAGTCAGTTGCTGGTGACGGAAGGGCCGATATGTGATCAACGTCATTCGGGTTCCAGGTGCAGGGGTACGCGGGCGATCGCCTCTGTTTTGACACGACGTTGCGGCAGGGTCCCAGAAGTGATGGAGTGGAAGTCGGTGCAGAAGTGCTTGACAATACATGTGCCTGATCTAGAGGCGCAGTGAGCTTTTAGGCGGATGCAAGCTGGTTCCTGCGCGAGTTGGGGCCCTTGCTAGCACCAACCACCAAGCGGCTTTAAAATGCGCGATTGACTCTTGACACTTCCACGGAGTAAGGTGGTTGTCGGTGCATCACAACCGCTGACGATGAAGGCAGACCGGGCGCCAGTCTGAAACGGGGCGATGTTGGACAGAGGAGCACAGCAGCCGCAGATAGAGCTTCGCTGCTGCGTACGGGCTAGCCTATGGCAAGAGCTCTGAGCGATGCAGCATGCTGGGAGGACGAAGGAGTGCTCTGCTCGATGCCAGGAAGGTATAACTGGAGCGCCCATCAGACGTCTGCAGACCAGGCCGGGGTGCAGAAAAAGGAAACGCTGACTGCTGGGACTCGGAGTGAGCTGTTCGTCCACACCCCAGGCACTACCATGAACCGTGCCCTTTCCGTCTTCCGCGCACCCTTGAACCCTCTCAACGCAACATGCACTCCACGGTCTTAGCATTCATCAACGACACCGTTGGGGCACAGCACGACATCTTGATCGCACGCGGCCAGGTGGCTTTCCAGCAGAAAGTCGCCCAGGATCCAGGTGACACCGAGCTGTCTGGCCAGCGACTCATCGCACATGTGCACTGTGGATTTTGATCTACTTTGCAGCGGGCGGATGATCCCAGTGCACCCAGAAAATGACTGCTATCGGAGATGATGTATGCCGGCTCCGACTTTTCACCATTATCAGTGGGAAGTGAGGGAGCGCGGGGCTTCTTCTTTCAACGCAAACGTCGCATACCAGTGACGGCCGCTGCGAGGACGAAGCTTCTGCAGCGCTCAAGATGGGTACTCGTGCTCGACAATCCCATCATGTCCCAATCCCTTACTGATCGCTGCGTGGGACCATCCCCGAGTGTAGGGGAGGGCACCCACTCTCATAACCTGCAGTCCCAATCAGGAGCATGCCCCGATGCATAGCGCAGTGAATTCGTCCGGTGGCAGTTCTCGAAGGTCAACCCTCGAGCCTCACCACTTTGCTGATAGCACGTTGCCCAAGAGGGCTAGCCGAAAGAGCCACATGAATCCACACCCATCCCCAGCCGCGTCTTCCCAAAGGAACAGCAGCGCGGGGGCAAACCTGCTTTCGAGAACAATATGCGCTGTCTTGACCTCCGTTTCCTGCCTGGCCCCCGGGCCCAGTATCCGTCAGGATGGTCTGCGGTATGGGTGACTTGCGTTCGGCCAAGAGTTGACAGGCGCTCTGACCATCTATTAGTGAATTTGGTCGACGGCTTCAAGCGGACAGATTGGTGCAAGAATTCTCCGTGGCATGACTTGAGGATGTCCGATGTATGTCCATTCTCACTAGCGTAAATCTGAGCGGTAGGTCTACCTACTGTTTCGTGAGCGGCGCAGACACCCACCAGCCTATCGTTCGTGACCTCCGAGCGGTAAACCTGCAAGTTGTCAGCGCGCCGCAAGAATGTGCAGGCCTGGCAATGATATGCAACGCCAAAAAATCCATTGCGCCTGCTCAATAATCTGAAGGCCTCAAAGTGGATATTACAGTATGTCTTGTGTGTTGCGGAACAGCGCGAAGCTCACCACCTTTCAAGCTGCCTTAGGGATGCCGTGCGTTCCTAGTTCATCCCAAACTGTACCGTTCAATTTCGGCACTCGTTGAGTGCACCTCAGATACGACCATACACACCCTCCAGAACGTCATGATGTCAATACCAGACCATAGATCGGCATTGCAGAATTCGCGAGCTCGACGTCGAGTTGACGTCGACCAGAGGAGGAAGTGCCGGCTTTCCACCCAAGACACGCCGTCTCGAAGCATTGGCGAACTAAAACAGGTACTGCTGTGCAACGTCTGACGAAACCTTGAACGTCGAAATTCTCGTCGAGCGTCATTGCGAAACCCAGTGGCTGGCCTGTGTGTGCGCGAGCGTCCAATGCCCGCAGTTCAAGGCGCTACATCAACATGTCGGTGAGTCGTTACTTTGATCAGCAACAGTGCGTGCCGCTGATACCGGAACACCGGCGTCCACGTGTCTGACTCGGGATCATGCCTGTTGGCTGCACATGAAACATGTGTCCCTCCGTTCGGTGCGGCCATCCGTATGCACCTGCGTCACAACCCCAAGCAGGCTGACATCAATTTGAAATTATTGTCAATTATCGTCAGTGCATGGAACGCTCGGCAGGAGCCACAAGCCACCGGACTGTAGCTGCGAACCTGGCGGCTGTTCGCTAATCTGCTCAGCGGCAGAGGCTTGTCACTTGAGCAAGACACATCTTCGCTGCTGAGCCAGCGGTGTCTCGAAAGTGTGCCAAACCGAACACGAGGCGTAACTCTTCAGTATTCTACTCAGATGCACGTCAGGCGATGATGGAAAGATCTCGTTCTCATTACTGCTGCACAAGCAGCAAACGTATCGCCCCGTGCGCCGACTGTGGGCGACTACCTGAATAATCGCTGACCCAGAGGCATTGGAACACCCGTCAACTCCGAACCTTGCTGCGAAATTCAATGTGCGCCTCAGAGATGCCACCCTGACCTGTCCCGTAGATGCTAAAAGAATGCTGCAACTGCAGCTGCCAAATGAACCCAAACTCCGAGCGCTGTGAGTGACTGATGTAACGAGATAAACAAATAGGGAGACCGCTGCCGAATCTTGGTAAACGAAAGTAAGACGCATGCTGTGGGTCGTGGTGGCGGAAGTGGTCGGCCGTGGATGTATGCAAGATGATAGGAGAATCGTTTGCTGGATGATGAGTGGGTATCGTTCGAACGAAGAAGACGAGATTGAAGCAGGCGGAGCTTTGTCTACGCGACAGCCTGTGGAGCCGGTGTGGAGGATGGAGTAGGAGCTCCGGGGACATCAGGTGCGGGCGTTTCGTCGACGCCTTGTCCTCTGCAGAGCGGGCAGGAGTTACGGCCGGTCGTGAGCCACTGTGAAGGTGAGTCGGCGGGAATCGGCGGAAGATTGAGATCAATGGGGCTTACCTGATCAATGCAGATCTTGTGGAACATGTGCTCGCACTTGACGAGCTTCCTCGCCTCCTCTTCTGCCTCGAAGTCGCAGAGACACACCAGGCAGCGGGCATCGCCTGCCAGTTCGATCGTCTCTTCGCCCTCGAATGCCTCTGCCGTGAGACCAGTGACGGTGCGTACGATCCTGAACAGCCCAGGTGCAGCTGCTACGTCTCCTTCGCTAGCAACGGGTGCTTTTGCAGGCCCGAGAATGGACGATAGCAGCATCATGTCCTCGTATGTTGGGGAGTCGGTGAAGAGGCTCGGTGTCGTAAGGATGGGGTGGTTCTCTGGGTAGCTGCCACCCAGAACGTAGATGATCCAGCTCCTGGAGCCCTCGCCAGGGTTGTTGTCTGGCTCGACCACGCCTCGTCTTCTCGGCGCGCCAGCGCCATATCTCGTGAAGTCTGACTCGCTTAGACGACGTTGGCGCGGGCTTCGTGTTGTTGGCTGTGACTCCTCCTCTTCGGTTGGCTCTAGTGTCGAGCCTGGTGACCTCCGTATAAAGCTGCCACGGCGCGAGGGCGCGTTCGAGTGCGGTGTGGACGACGGCGGTGTAGTTGCAGCAGCTGGTGTAGTGGAGCCCGAGGGATCGGCAGACAGAGCTGCGTTTGTGGCAGGTGTAGAAGGCGGAGGCTGCGGGCCTGGCGGTGAGTCCGCAAACGAGGGCGAGAAAGGACGCGGGGGGTCTTGGGCTCTTGCGCGGTGGTGTCTCTGACTGTCGTAGTTGGAGGGGAAGCTAAAGCCGCCCATGGACGCACGCCGGCGGTGGCTGAAGCGTGTGCCGTTCTGCGGTTGAAGTAGCGTGTCGTTGTCGCCGGGCGATGTGGGAGGTGTGGGGAAGCTGGAGAGGGCGTCGAGGAACGGCGGAATGTTGCCGTCGTCCTGGCCTGTGCCAGATGCTGGGTTGATGGAACGGATGCCGACGATGATGATGGGCACCATGCGGCCTTCGCTGTCGTCGGCGTCCTGCGCGTCTGAGCCAGAGCCACTGCCTCGACTGCGCTCTCTGCTGTTCCTGCTCGTGGCGTTGGAGGTGCCAAAGCGGAACATCCTGAAGAAGTTCAGCGGTGCCGGGGTGCCTCCGGGAGAGTCGCCGCCTTCGCCGCCCTCGTTGCCTCGCAGCGCGGATGCTATGCTCCCGTTCTGCAGCGACTGCAGAAACGTGTCGAAGGTGCCGTCGCGGGTGGCGGCGTGGTGGTCTTCGCCCACGAGCGAGGCAGCCGTCGCTGCTGCGGCGAGCGAGAGCAGACGAGACAGCACGTCGGCCTGGTCCTCGCCCCGGCGCAGGCGCTCGATGCTGTCCATGTTCTCGTCGTCCTGCCATAGCGAGCGCCGCCTCCGCGAGCCCAGCGTGTTGCGCAGCCGGGGCAGGACAGAGAGCGCACGGCCGTCCCGTCGCAGCGAGCTTGGCGGGCGGGATCTGTTTGAGTCGGCGCGGTCTCTGCTCGTGCCGTGGCCGAGGAGGCTGTCGAAGTCCAGGTCGAGGTCTGCGATGGCGGGGACGTGGGGCAGCGACGGTCCGGTTGCGCTGTGCGACTGGTGGAGGGCCGAGAGGGGCCTTGTGGTGCTGAGCGGCGTGGCCGCCAGGCTGAGGACGGGCTCGGTGCGGCGGTAGCTGGCCGATGGGCGGCTGTGCAGGAGCGCACTGAGGGAGCCCAGCGAGCTGCGTGCCCGCGTCAGCCGTGACTGCGGGCGGCGCGAGGACGAGGGCGACGAGACGGCGGGCGGCGTGGGCTCGCGCGCAGAGGACGAGCCGGCGTGATTGCTGCTGTCACTACGGACAGGCGCCCACGACGCCGGGCGGAGGCTGCGACGGCGATGCGAGCGCGGCTCCCCCGGCGACGGGGACAAGCCGCCAGCGCGCGAGTTGGCCTGGCCCATGGTGAGAGCCCTTCAGCGTGGAAGGCGCGCCTCTGGAGGAGAAGGGAAGGTGGGAGGGGAGCGCTTTGCGGCGGGCGATGGCGGTGACCGGGCTGTCTCACCTCGCGGCGACGGTCGAGATGATGCACTAAGCCACCTGCACTAGTCCCCAAACCACACCAAACCACACCAGGCCACTTCCAGCACCCAACGCTCGCCCTAGTTTCCCAAGCTTGTTCGTGTCTGCAAGCGCCTTTGCCGTGCTGCGGGTAGCTTTGCCAGTCTGCCAGTCTGCCAGTCTGCCAGTCTGTCGTTGCTCATGCGACGCCGTGGAGCACATGGCCGCAAAGCCTATACCGCACTGGATCCCGCCTGAAACACAAACATGCAATACTTTGCTCCCCAGCTGCACTCGAGCCATCAGTCGACTGTCTCGCTGCGTGCCAGCCAGTACTTCAAGAAGCGCAAGACCAGGCACGAAGAGCACGAGGATGATGGAAACTCGTCCAGCTCGGGCTCTGATGCTGACAAGAGGTCACGCACATCACGATCAAATGTACACTCACATCCTTCATTTGCCTCAGCCGAGCTAGCACAGCTACGTGTCGCAGGTCTATTACCCGAGGACGAACATCGAGTGCCTCCAGCGCCGTTTCCTCATGCACCTGCAAGGGTGCCCAAGCCATACCTGGGGACCGCTAAGATCCAGAAAGAGCTCGCTAGGCCACCCTCGCAACTCTACACTGTCAACAGCACAGCCTCACAGGGTGACAACACCAGTAGCCAGACAGAGGCAAGTAATCTCAGGAGAACGCATCTCAATGTGCTGTCCACTGTCATGCACAGATGCTTACAGGAGCACGACTATGACCGTGCTGGCAGAGCATGGGGCATGATTCTGAGAACCCAGGCCACTCACGGCAATACAGTCGATCTTCGTAACCACGGTCGCTGGGGCATTGGCGCTGAAATCCTGCTGCGGCGAAAGCCTCATGGTGAAGCACACAGCAACCAGAGCCACGACGCAACAAACGCTGATGTTGATGTCTTCAGCGAGCAAGGTTTCGACCTTGCAAGGGAGTACTACGAACGTCTCATCGTGCAGCATCCAACCCGTAAACAGGTACCGCACGCCACAGACCAGAGGACCTTTTACCCAGCCATGTTTTCCCTTTGGATCCAGGAAGTCAACGAGAAGAGCAAGCGTGCAAGGAGACAAAACGCAGAAGAAACTCGACGGTCACGGTCGAGAAGTATTTCCGTTGACAGCATCGATGGTCAGAGAAGCACGGATGACGTTCGATCTCGGGAGGACGCAATCCAAGTCGAGGAGCTTGCCCGAGCCATGGAGATTGCCGAACGACTCGACGACTTGGTCAAATCGCCGCCGTTCGACAAGCAGGCCAGCTTGCTATATCTTCGAGGACAAATCGCTCTCTGGATCAGCGACTTGATTGCAGGCAACACAGCTGCTGCGATCATGGATGAGTGGGACCCGTATCCTATCAGGAAGGATGTATCAGCAGTAGAACAGATCTCAAAGTTCAAGAGCTGTCAACGAGAGCTACGTGCAGCGCAGAGTTATCTGGAGCGCTCGGAGGAGAACGGGTGCCAGCAACATCGACAGTTGCAGAAGATCGAAAGCCGGCTGAAGGAGCTTCAGAAGCAGATTGCTGGGCTTGAGTCTGGTGAAGAGGACGATACAAATGTCACGATGGAGGACGATTGGTAATCACACTAGAGCAACACCATGTCCGATTATCTCACAAACAACGCGCCCTCGACGTGCAGTGCGACACAACAATTCTGGACAGTTGCACATCTACTGTCGTCTCTCTGGATTAAAATGATTTCGTTTGACTCGCGTCCTACGCTTTTGAGACGTTCTTCCGCATTCACTCGCTGCCTGGAGAGTAAATGCAAGTGTACGTAACTTCGACATCGAACTCGCAGATTGAATCCAGCAACAGCGCTTGAACTGAGCAGATGCCGTCCATCTCGGAGAGAACATCGACACTGCTGGCACCATTGACTATCCTGTGCTGTCGTCTATCGAAGCCGTTCACCGTTCTCAACTCTTACCGTGTACCTGAGATGCTTGCATCTCGAAGAACGATTGCAGAACAGACATTCTCTAGCGTTTGCAGCATACATGAATCAAGACTGAGGAACGGAATGAATCGAGGCGGACACAATGGATAACGACTCCCTTCTGATGCGGGTGTAAGCGAACACAGGTGCTTGAATTACCTACACCGGGGCACAATATTCAGGAATCGTATTGGTAACAAGTACGTGGATATATTAAAGCTCAAGTCGGTCCAACAACATCATCTCACTCCTCGCATGTCACGTAGCACTCGACATTGTAGAGTGGACATATCCGTTCAGGAGTTCCAACCAGCTGCTTCAGCAGACAGCAACGCCATTGCCCACATGTTGTTAACGACCATCACCAGCAAGCGTGCAAGAGTCGAATCACTCGACGTGGTCTACCTTCTGCTTCTCGCTCGCGCCCTTGATCATGCCGGAGAGATCGACAATCGGCAGGGAAAAGGGGAAGTCGACGCTGGCAAGCATGATGGCGAAGAAGATGTACCATCCAAGCAAGCATGTGACGAAGGCGAATGCGCCAGCGGCCTCTTGGCATTTGGCCGCAATCGCCGCATTGCCCTGGGCGACATGGAGGAAAGTACCGGCGAGGAGGCCGAAGGATGGGACGAGGGTGAAGAAGATAAGGAAGAAGACCAAGTTGGTTCGTAGCGCGCAGACGAGGTACACAAGGCAGAGTATGCCCATGCAGATCATGAAATATGCTGTTCGCAGTCAGCTCAAGCTGTGTTTGATGAGATGGAGATGACCCACCGATTCCGACGTTGAAGCCAACAGACTCCAGCCCAGTACTGCCCGCAGTATTGGGATCAGCATAGTTGCTGAAAGCCCCGTACGAAGGCTGAAGCGTGGCAGCGTATCCGAGCCAGAAAGCACCGAACGATGTAAAGACAACGAAGGGAAAGGTGTTGCCGAGGATCCACTATACAGACTGTCAGTCACGCATGCATTGCGCATAGAAGACAAGGACTTACTTCACCAAGTCCACCAAGAACCATCAAGAGACCACCAGCGAAGTAGTACCATCCGATGCTTGCTGAGCCACTGCCGCCAGCTCCGCGCCATCCCATCAGGGTCCAACTCAGGGGTGTAAGAGACAACAAGAACCCAATGAGAGCACTGGGATGGTCAGCAAGTAGTTGCATGCAACGATATTGTCAAACCTACAGGGGAGTAGGGTTACCGAATGTCTTACGAAGGTCACCCTTGACCTCATTCTTTGGCGAAAGGTAAAGCTTCTCGAAGAGCTCGGGAGAGATGGAGATGCTACCGGCGGTGCGGATGTGCTTCAAAGCCAAATCCTCGTCGATACCGTTATCCAGGTGCTGGTGGCCACCTGTGCCGCCGTACCCGTAACCTAGCGCATGTCAACGATAGCTCTCGAACACCAGACTTGGACTCACCATTGGGTCCGTTCCTGTTAGAGAAGTCCTTCTCGAGATCTCCGTTGTTGGCACTCATCCTGTAAGCGTTGGACTCAGCTCGAGCTGTTGATCCTGCTGAAAGAGTCTCTTCGTCTCGTGCTGATGTAGCTCCAAGATGAAGGTTGTTGTTATTGTCGGCTCTGCCTGATGACGCACCGAGATGTTGGTTATTGTTCGTAGTGACGGATTCGTGTGCGTGGTTTGATGTCATACCAGTGCTCGTACCGAGGAGACCAGTGCCTTTCGTATCAGTGTTGAATTGGCTGCAGGTAGTGCAATTATGAACGTCTACAGCAGATGATCCGTGTTGATGGGACATAGGGATAGCTCGGCTGGAGGGTATGAGCAGAATATATGCAAGATGGGAGGATAAGCCAGCTAAGAGGGGTATATCAATAATGCATCACAAGCTCATATGGACGGATTCTAATTCCAGAACAGTGAAGTCGCCGGACGAAAGCAAGCGATCAACAAAGACCTGTCACCTGGGGAAGGCTGCAGCCCGGAAGCCATCGTTTGTCGTGAGGTCACGACCAACCGCTGCGGCTCCGCGCCAACACCCTGTCTCCTCTCCGCATTTGACAGTAAGATCTGTTTGAGCTAAGGCCGAACAAAGCAGTGGCTAGTACGCTACACGACAGATGACTGGCTCCGTACTTGCGATGTGACTATCGTTCGAGGTGACTTGTTTTGGGTGGAAATCTTGCGCTATTGGCATCGTCGACCTTCCCACACATAATGAACAAGAGTGCCATTACTCCCGCTGTGTAATTGCTCTCCTACAGTGCTAAACGCTTGGGACATACAACGACGTGTGGTACATGTTGGTTCCGCGCCTCCATTCTTCTGGCCAAACTGCACTGTCACCGCTAAGTGCGCGGAGGATCTCGGCATCAAGTACCGATTGAGTGGTGATGGTAAAGGTTCGTGGCTAGGATCGCGGATCAGACGCTGCCCTTCCTGATAGTGACCAGTAGCATTTCGAATCCACAGAAATCTTGGCCGGTTATGCGGAGAAAGTGGAGATGAAAGCACGCGAAACGCTGGGGAATCTTGTGGAGTGGCCGGGCTGCTCTAGAGCTAGATGATCGTCGGCCCGTCACCTAACGGAATTGAGCTTGCGGGGAAGCGCACTACACCCGCTCTTATTGTACCAAGACCTGGGGCTGTTCCCAGACGTCATTTCGCAGGTCGGGAGATGCGTAAGTTATCGAAATGTAGCGTTCAAAACCTTGGAATTCTAGCTTTCATCTCAACGCTCATTAAGGATTTCTCTTTGTAGCGTATGATATGAAGCCGCAATACCTGATCAATCCATGATCTGCAAAAATGTTCCTAGGACAATGCAGGGCTGGTTCCTGGGTCGGTCAAAGGGTACATCTCACGAGTCGTCGACGGCGCGAAGTAGCGTTTGTTGCCAAATAATGAATCGACACTGTGCAGATCAACATCAGCAACAGCCAATCATGACTGCAATCTGTTCGAGGACTCCAGCAGCTGTATGACTTCCCCGCTTACAGGCATAGCGCGACTACTTGCTCGATGGTGGTGTGACGCAGGTCACCCGGTCGCGCGTTGCTTGCGCTCATCCGACGGTGGCTCGGGAGTGGACGAGCAACATGACCCGGAGGCGTTCCGCGATTTGGCTCTGACTAGCCGAATGCGGTGGACTATTCGAGCCCTGGAGAAGTTTGCGAGAGATGAGCAAGGAAGCAGTTGGGCACATTAAACGCGACGACTGAAGCAGAGTGTCGTCTTGACTGCCTTCTTGAGGCGCTGTCTCTCTTATATCCTGCGCTCAGGGCCCGACTGTTACCTGTCTTGACCTTCGTTCCGCTCGTAGACCCCGTGACATCGACATGGACGACTCGCAATTCATGATTTAGAGAAGGCTATATGCAGTTGACCCACTACTACACCTTGTGTCGATCTTTGTAGACCTTCCCAGTCAGGATCCGGAGGTTCCGCATGTTGGACGGCGAAGTTGGCCAACAGCTGTTTGGGTCGAAAATTGGCGTAGTCTTAGTCGAGCTCATCGTTGTCACAGAAATTGTCTTTGTACATTTTTACCGCCACTATCGTCGTCAGCTTATTTTCGAGACTTGGTCGATGTCCAAATCGAGTTGGATAGACATGCGGCCCGGGAAGATTGACCAAATTTCAGAGATATGGATAAATAGACATGTACAATTGTCCGCGAATTATCGATTTATCGACTTCCATCAGCGGCAGTAACAAAGTGGGCATCGCTGGCTGACCGCGGCATTGACGCAGAAAGGCGGCAGTCGTTCGATTTCTTTACTCGCCAGTCGCTCTCCATTCTGTGCATACTGTTGCATCCATCGCTCGACGTAGAGTAGACTTCACAACTGCGGCTTTTGAGGTGCCGACCGAAGTTCACGACCGCTGCCGTGTGAAGTCTCGGAGAAGTCTCTTCGAATGTTGGTCGAAGTCCCTTTTCGTAACAGTCGTACGCGTATAGAGGCGGCTCAAGCACAATGGCGTTGGAGCACACAGTCAGGGATGGGTAGGGATTGGTACCTCTGAGCTCAATCGTCGCACCTGAAGGATCGGGAAGCGTCATCTGATGTCACATCTATGCTGCATCCCGAAAATCGTCCTGAGTATTGTGTGGAGCAAGAGTTTGGCGCGGCCCCTGGCACACAGATGCGGGAATGGTAGGAATCGGCCAGGCTGCGTGGAGCCACCATTGATATGATCGCGCTGAGACTTGCTGGAGACATGTGTATACGAATAGTACAAGGAAGTGAAAGCTGTGTGGAGAGGACAGCGTATTTGTTGTTGAGGGTGGGCGCGGCAGTATCTTTCGTCGAACAAGGCAGGAGCCAGCAGCAGCAATCACCTCGCCAATGCCTCATCTGCACGTAGCTTGGAATTTTGTGCATACTACTGTGATCAATCAATACATAGCCAGGGGAACATACAATTTGAAGACAGCTCAGTAACCAAGGCCGAATACCATACCATCGTCAAGAGCCATGTGATGTATGGCAGACCTGGAAACCAGCTCGGTCGTCGAGCAACCCTGATATGGTACCTTTAAGAAGAGGTGCCCGTAGAACTGATGTCATATGTGTAAGACGATTCCTCTAGGCTCCACCTACTTCCTCGATGACCTTCTTAAGATTCTGGATGTCATGGGCAAATCGACCTAGGAACAGACCGTCTACGCCTTCCGAGATCTTTGCAAACGTGCCTGGACCAGCGCTACCCCCGTAAACAATTCTTGTGACACCGGTCCTGCCAGTGGCAAGTTTCCGTAGCTCTTTGGTAACATTGACAACATGGTCAGGGTCTGCGGGCTCTGTTGCCCCGATGGCCCAAACTGGTTCATAAGCTAGAATGACCTCCTGGTCATCAGGCACAGCAGCCAGCACTGATGTAACTTGTGGTTTACACTCTTTAATCGCCGCACCTACAGCTGCTGATGCTATGCTGTAGTGTGTCTTCTCGCCGATGCAGACCAGCGGTATCAGCCCGTTCCTTGCAGCAGCGCCAGCCTTCTTTGCGACACTCTCGTCTGTCTCGCCGAATAGCGCCCTTCGCTCGGCGTGCCCAATCTCGACAATCCTCGCGCCTGCTTGCCGTAGCACTACCGGGCTGACCTCGCCAGTGAAGGCGCCCTTGTCTTCCCAGTGTGTGTCTTGTGCACCAAGAATGACGGATGAGGATTCGAGAATGCGTTTCGATTCGGTGAGCGAGACAAAGTCAGGAATTACAAAGAGGTCGACGTTCGAGTTCCATGCATCGCCATCCAGCTGAAGCACTCCACGAACGTAGGAGAGTGTGCTGGTCAGATCGAAATACATCTTGAGGGAGACACCGACGATGCGGCGAGGGCGCGTGATGGGTGGCATGGCAAATGGTCAATCGCAGAAGTGAGGTGTGACGTGTATGAGCAAACAGAAGCGTGGAATTACTTTCCACTGCGCGACGTAAATGCTCCCCGAGACTGCTATATTAGGTAAATCGAACGAACGACGCACCCACAGCAGGAAGGAACGAGGGGTAAATGTGGGGTCCTTGTTGATGGATTTCAACTCGTAGAATCTACTGGCGCGCGACAGCACACCGTACTACCATGCCATACGGGTGATTGTTAGACAAGAAGATGCTCATTTTACACATGAATGTTGACATGAGGGCACGCGCAAACAACCAGTCATCCATTGGAGCCAGCAAAGTCGATATGCGCGTCACGAAGGCGATCTTAGCGCAGGGCGACGGCCAACGGGCGCCTCCGAGACCGCATCGACGAGCGCCACTCTTTAGGAATAGCATCCGCTGCATCTCCAACGAAAACTTTCCGTCTGTACATCATCGACTTGCAGACACCAACAGTACTTACACCCCATCACATAGACCGCACATCGTGCCTACATGCCCAGGCAACTTGCTGATCGTTGGGCCCGCGTGAACTACTACGCCTAGCCTTCCATCCTTGTACGTTGAAACATCCGCGTGTGTGGGGGTACCTTCGTGCATGAGGGACACTTGACAATACTTACTGACGACCCCCAGACTCTATTGAACTCTCCTTCTTTCTTCATTGTACTACATCCCATTTCCCCCTCCACCATGCATATTTCAGAGAAGCTTGCCCGCTCGAGGGCTGAAGGGAAGCCTACCTTCTCCTTCGAGTTCTTTCCGCCGAAGACCGCCCAGGTACGCCGTGTCAACAATCACACATTGAAGAAACGCAACGACTGACCTGCATAGGGCGTCCAAAACCTTTACGACCGCATGGATCGCATGCATGGCTTCGGCCCCCAATTCATTGACATCACCTGGGGCGCCGGCGGCCGCCACTCGAAGTTGACTACCGAGATGGTCAAGGTAGCCCAAACTGTATACGGACTCGAGACACTGATGCACCTGACCTGTACCGATATGGAACGATCAAAGCTCGACGAAGCCCTCAACGACGCCTATCAGGCCGGCTGCACCAACATTCTTGCCCTGAGAGGCGACCCTCCGCGTGAAAGAGAGAAGTGGGAGGCTACAGAGGGCGGCTTCCGCTACGCAAAGGATCTGGTCAAATACATCAAGGACAGATATGGCAACCACTTTGACATTGGTGTGGCGGCATACTCGGAAGGATGCGACGACAACGACGATGTTGACGAGCTCATAGATCACCTGAAGGAGAAGGTCGATGCAGGTGCCACTTTTGTCGTAACTCAAATGTTCTACGACACCGATATCTTCCTCGATTGGGTGGAGAAAGTACGCGCTAAGGGTGTCGATGTACCCATTGTACCAGGCATCATGCCGATCCACACCCATGCAGCCTTCCTGCGCAGGGCGACCTGGACCCGTTGTAACGTCCCAAAGAAGTGGACTGAGGCGTTGGAGCCTATCAAGAACGACGATGTACAGGTTCGTGAGGTCGGTTCTGAACTTGTTGCAGAGATGTGCCGCAAGCTGATCGATGCCGGCATCCTGCACTTGCACTTGTAAGTAGCGCCTCCTCTCGACCCCAATTGTAGCTAACTGTTCTAGCTACACCATGAACTTGGCACAAGCCACACGTATGGTCCTCGAAGAGCTTGAGCTCCTACCTGACGTCGAGTCCCCGCTTGAAAAGCCCCTTCCATGGCGGCCATCTCTCGGCCTCAACCGCCGCGATGAGAACGTACGACCGATCTTCTGGCGCAACCGCAACCGATCCTACGTCGCTCGCACACAAGATTGGGACGAGTTTCCCAACGGCCGATGGGGAGACTCTCGATCGCCTGCCTTTGGTGAATTAGACTCCTACGGGGTTGGGCTGAAGGGCACAAACGAGCAGAACATCAAGCTCTGGGGCACGCCGACTTCGATCCAGGACATCTCTAATCTCTTCGTTCGATACATGCAAGGCGACCTCGAGTCCCTGCCATGGAGTGAACAGGCGATCACTGAGGAGGCGAATGCCATCCAGCAGGACTTGGTAGATTTGAACAGACGTGGTTTTTTGACCATCAACTCGCAGCCGGCTGTCAACGGCGCCAAGTCGTCTGATCCGACATTTGGATGGGGTCCTCGCAACGGTTACGTTTACCAGAAGTCTTACCTCGAAGTCCTCGTATCTCCCGAGTACATTGCCGAGGTCATCACACGCGTCGAGCGCGATCCCGAGTTCACGTACTACGCAGTGAACAAGACCGGCGATCTGAAGACGAATGCTCCTAGTGAAGGACCCAATGCCGTTACGTGGGGTGTATTCCCTGGTAAGGAGATCGTTCAGCCTACCATCGTTGAGACGGTCAGCTTTCTCGCCTGGAAGGACGAGTTTTACCGTCTGGGCCAGGACTGGGCCAACTGCCACGCCAGCACCAGCCCTGCGAGATACGTCATCGGCGACCTAATCGACAACTGGTACTTACTCAATATCGTTCATAATGATTTCCACGTTACCAGTGGCATCTTCCCACTCTTCAACGGTCTGAAGGTTGAAGGCATGGACAAGAAGTTCGAGAGCGGAACCAGTGCCACCAACGGCCACGCAGAGGCGAATGGGACTAACGGTGCCTCGAATGGCGAGAATTCCGGAGCTCAGAAGGACCCGAAGGAACAGAAGGACGAGCAGTCCCTCCTCGAGACCGCCAAGGCTGCCGCCGTTGAGTTCACCAATGGCATCAAGAACCTCTCAGTCTCGAACTCCGACTAAACCATCCCCATGGAGTAATTCACGATCTTACTACATTCAACACAGCAAGACCGCCGCATACACGGCATTCCGACTCTCATCTCACGACGTCATGATACCCTTTCAGGCATGATGTGTGTCGCATCTCAACAAGCGTACTAATAGGTTTGGCGTTACCTTTTATTTCGTTCTTTCATTTCATTTCAATACTACGCAACGGCGGTCCTGGGGGCCAACACAGCACATGGGATGTGCATGCACACAAAAGCAGATGACAGCATCTGGAAGGCGTCTCTTCAACCTGACGACCATAATGACCGTAATGGCAAGACAGAAGGGGACGACCCCGCTCTGGCGCACGAAAGGAGGGAAAAGAACCTAACCAGTTCGAGTTTGCGGATGGCTTTCTGAGATACCCGACCAGTGCCCTCAACGGAGCTGGTCAACCCAAAGATTGATATCATAAAATATACCTTAGACTGCTGGCGTCGGCTTGCATCGCGCATCTTGGTCTGCGGCACTTTTGTGTGCTTCTGAATGTGCACTGTCATATGTGATAGCCCCAACTCGTGCCGTTATAATCTCAAGGGCATATGGTCCATGGTTTTACGATGGACCGTCCTTAGTCAGGAAAGACGCTCGTCGGCTTGCACCGACTGACGAGAGATGCGGGTTCGAATCTCGCCATGTCCATTCCTTTTCGGACGATTGGCGGTTAGGTGGTGGGCTGGCACAGACGGTGCTGTCATGGCAAACCGCCCTCTGCAATCAGAACAGAAGATATTCTCCCTTTACAATCTACAAGCATTCAGCGTATCATAAGCTCGGTGAGTCTTGCGGTGATTCTTGTATCGTTTGATTTGTTTCAGTATGCATTATTTTGCGCCGTCCATAGGTCTTACATAGATACGCAATACACACCACCACGTGCTCTTGAACCCAAGAAGCTGAAGACCGCCCGTTCTTATCTAATGAACATGCACTCAATATTCTCCACCGTTGACACAGGTATTGTACAGTGGGCAGTGCCCACGTGGAGAGTGGTGAGAAGGACGCCGAATCGAGCAAAAGCGATGCAAAAAGGTCGAATATCGAAGTGAAAAGCGGCAGACTGTTCATCTGTTCATGGTCTGCGTTGTTTGCTCAGGTCGTTTGCGGCGGATCGTGAGTGTTTACGCCTCAGGGGCAGGCTCGAAGAAAACCTTTCGTGTGATCTGTCGTGTTGTTAGTACATGTCTTCTGCAGGAAATGTCCTCAACGTACAGCCCATGTGCCTGCTACAGACGCGCAGATAGCTGCACTGATGGCCATTGGCCGTGTTCCCCGTGTGCTCTTGAAAATCGCGCCAGAAATCGCGCCGGCCACAACGCTGTTGGTGGGGTCGTGCTTGCCGCGGAGGGCACCAATGGTGCTGTTGGTACCGTTGTAGACCAAGGCAATGACACCGGCACTGTTGCCCAGAAAAGGCCCTCGTCTTGTGACGGCGTTCAGAACTCCGTTCAGGCGCAACCTAGGTGGCATCGAAGCAGGGTTCTTCTGCAGGCCCTCGGACAGCCCCCATGCGCCACCAATTGTCAGAGCCGTCAGGTAGCTGACGCCGGTACCGTAGCAGAGGTCGTCCGACCAACCGCGGCTGGGGAGTGCCGAATGGTCGACGGGCGCCGAGTCTTCGAGAGAGAGGTAATCGAGCGTGTCCTGGTTCAGGCCGGCCAGGGGATGTAATTGCGAGGGATCGAGGATGAATTCTGCGGGGTTCTGAATGGCCGTGGTGGGATCGAAGACGGCGGGCGCAGGCGCGGATGGCGACACGGAGAAGTTGTCGTGTGGTTCCTGCGGCGATTGCGAGGCTGCTGCCGTCGACGACGTCTTGCCAGTTAATACATCCCAGCTGGCGGTGTATTAGTAAGCGTGCAATAGCAGGATTGGTCTTGGTGAGGCGTACACTCCCATATTGAAGGCGTTGGATGGGGTGTAATGCGGTAGTGATCGAAGGTTGCGCCGCGCGATCAATCACGTCGTGGCTATCTCCTAACGCCGAAAATGCCAAAGAAGAGGAACAGAAATATTAGGGGATAAAGGCACACGGGCACAGATGCGCTGGCGATGGCGGCGTGGATGCGCGGTGTTGGCGGTGCTGGCGGTGCTGTCGACTGGCGAAGGTAAAAGTTCAATGACCGCCGCGAGTGACGCTGACTAGCGCCTCATCCTTGCTCTTTCGAGAAGCGTCTGCCCAGCGCATTCCGAGAGTCGGAAAGAATTGCACGAGACACCACACCACCAACATCACGATAAAGTCTTGCGGGATGGCGCTCCCAGAGTACAAGAAGAATTTTCTCGAGACCTGCATCTCCGCTGGTGCGCTGAAGTTTGGCACCTTCACCCTCAAGTCCAAGCGCGTTTCGCCGTACTTTTTCAATGCGGGACTCTTTCATCGCGCAGATTTGCTGCGCTCCATGTCATTGGCATACGCCCAGTCCATGAAGGCCCACGGCGACACCGATGCCTCGTTCGACTTTGATGTTCTGTTCGGCCCAGCCTACAAGGGCATCCCGCTCGCTGCCACAACCATCGACAAGCTGGCTGATCTGGACGCTGCAAAGTACGGCAAGAAGAGCTACAGTTTCAACCGCAAGGAAGCCAAGACCCACGGCGAGGGCGGTAACATTGTTGGCGCCTCCCTCAAGGGCCAGAAGATTGTCATCGTCGACGATGTCATCACTGCCGGAACTGCCATAAGGGAGGCCATCGACATCATCAAGAGGGAGGGAGGAGAGCTCGTCGGCATCATTGTTGCTTTCGACAGACAGGAGAAGACTCCCACTGAGAACGATGACGACGGCAAGCCAGGACCCAGCGCGATTGGCGAGGTCAGGAAGCAGTACGGCATCCCTGTGCTATCCATCCTCACGCTAGACGACATCGTCGAGTTCCTAAGGAGCCAAGGTAGCAAGGATGACATCAAGAGACTCGACGAGTACAGGGCGAAGTACAGGGCCAGCGATTAGATATAGACGAGGACGGCTTATGACGGTGACGTTGGAGGCTCAAGGGACTTGCACTGAAAGTCAAGTGCAACGGGTAGGGACACGGTTAGACAAAACGATAAGCACGCTGGAGGCGGTCGAAGTGCTGTAAATGGATTGGCAACGAGCGTGCTGCCTTTGGAATTCGAACTCACCATTCACGATTGTGAGCATTGTGATGCCGGGCGTAGGATCGCGGTACAAGCTCTTATCGACCATAAGCGAGCCGGTTCGAGGTGCGCGCTAAGGCGCGTCACCCAGATCCGCGACACTTCACTCGAGGCTCGAACAACTGCTTAAGCGCAACACTGATCGCGACCATCTGACATCTATGCAAGTACGTGAACATCCCAGCTGCTTTGCGACGAATACCCGCTCATATCCGCGTATTCAACGTAGCTCCTTCCTTGATTCGGCCATGCTCCCTCTTGGCGACAAGTCTCCTGAACAAATGAATCGCCGTGACGTCGAGCCTTCGACACCGACACTGAACGGTTGCGGCAGCGTCTTCTCTTCTAGCTTGTTGTTTTCATGTTTGAGTATCTCTACAGTCAAATTTTCAGTTGCCCATTTTCCTCCGATGGTGCTGGCACCGTCGCAGCTTCCTGATACCCGGTCCTTCCCCACTTCACAGAAGCCCGGTGGCAGCCACCATATTCTCAGGTCTTGTGGCAGTTGTACTGCCAATCTACCTGACGATGCGTAGAATCAAGGTACCACGTAACGTAGCCTGCAACCCGAAAATGTCCCGCCAACACCAGCGAGCCCTCACATACCTTATCCTCGGCGCCGTAGCACTCGGCACGTACTATACCTGCTTCTGCGCACCTATTGATACGCTTGCGATATCTTTTGAGGACCATGAGGCCTACATGAATGACCACTCGCGACCGTACCAATCCAGACAATCGTACGATTGGAGGAACGCGCCCTTCCGTAACGTAATCAAAACGTACACACCGCTGCCAGACGGGCAACCTCGAGCACTTCCAAAAGTACAGTTCGACTTCCCGCCAGAAACGAAGGCACAACGAGAACGACGGGAGATACAGAGAGTCGCAGTACGGACCGAGTTCGAGCGCAGCTGGCACAGCTATCGCGCGTATGCATGGGCGCAGGATGAGCTCAGACCCATAACCGGGGTCGGCCTTAAGACCTTTGGCGGATGGGGTGCAACACTGGTAGACTCGTTGGACACATTATGGATCATGGGTATGAAAGAGGACTTCTACCAAGGCGTCGAGGCAGTCGCGGCTATTGACTTTGGCAAGTCCGACATGAAGACTGTCAGTGTGTTCGAGACGACGATTCGTTACCTTGGCGGCATGCTCAGCGCATACGACCTCAGCAAGGCGCCTGTCTTGCTCGAGAAGGCTGTGCAACTTGGCGAGATGCTGCACCGCGCTTTCGATACAGTAAATCACACGCCTACGGGTTGGCTTGATCTCGAGAAAGCAAAAGACCCTGAGGGGTACTCGAATAGACCAGAGACCGGTCTCTGCTTCGCCTGCTTGGGATCGCTGACGATGGAATTTACCCGCCTGGCTCAGATCCTCAAGCGTGAGGTTGGAGGTAGCCAGCAGTCGCAAAAGTTCTACGACGCTGTAGCTCGCATCACCAGACTCCTCGATCGCACTCAAGACACCACTCGCCTACCAGGTCTATGGCCAACTATGATCAACGCTCACAAGGAGGAGTTCAACCAGAGTCGCTTCTTTTCTCTCGGCGCTCTAGCCGACAGCACGTACGAGTACTTTCCCAAGATGCACGCATTACTTGGTGGTACCGAGGAGGTATACAGGAAACTCTATACCGACTCGGCCGCCAAAATTGATGAGCACATGCTGTACAGACCCCAGCTCCAAGACGAGGGACTTGGCGAAAGCCTCCTGTTCTGCGGCGATGTACACGTTTCGAGGCCCTCCGAGGCGACGCTTGATTCCGAAATGCAGCACTTGACATGCTTCGTGGGAGGCATGTTCGGTCTTGCCGGGCGTCTCTTCAACACGCCATCGCACGTCCACCTCGGCGAGAAGCTAACAAAAGGCTGCATCTACGCCTACTCAGCGATGCCCACAGGCATCAGCCCAGAAGTATTCAAGACGCTCCCATGCGCCTCTCGCACCTCCTGTCCGTGGAACGAAACCCTCTGGCACGACAAAATCCTCTCCTCTTACGGCACCAGATATGCCACCGACCCGGCTCAGATCGCCTTAGACAAGGGACTACCTCCGGGCTGGACCTCAATCCGCGACAAGCGCTACCTGCTGCGCCCCGAGGCTATCGAATCCGTGTTCGTCTTGTACCGCATCACGGGCAAGCAGGAGTATCTGGATGCCGCGTGGGACATGTTCACGTCCATCGTGGCGCACACGCGCACGCCGTACGCGAACGGGCAGCTGCTCGATGTCACTGGCCAGACGGGCTTTGGCGAAGAGCAGTACACGGTCGGGCAGCGGTATAGGGGGCAGGGTCCGGCAACAGTGAGGCAGGGGAATGTGGAGGACAAGATGGAGAGTTTCTGGACCGCAGAGACGTTGAAGTATTTTTACCTCATCTTTTCGCGTCCAGATATGATTAGTCTGGATGAGTGGGTGTTCAACACGGAAGCCCACCCCTTCAGGCGGCCGAAGTCTGCGGCACAGGACGTGCTGTAGAGCGTTGGATATCTGCAGTCTGCAGTGAGCATGTCCCGTATCATTCAAAAGCACTCCATTACTCGGCATTCATAGACATCCTTACATACAATCCAAACAACCACATACAAACAAGTCTTCCAACCCCCCCCCCCCCCCCCCCCCCCCCCCCCCCCCCCACCCCCTCCCGTGCACCCCAAGACAAGCAAAAAATAGGACACGGCGAGATTCGAACCCGCATCTCCTCTCCCCCTACAGGGATAAGGCGTCTTACCGACGGACAGCTCCCACGCTATAGGGCCAAGGCAGTAGGTGGTATAAGGAGGGGGGGCCCTGCGGATCCATAGGAGCTGCCGCTTAGACCACATGCCCGTTAGATGAGTAATCTTGCGACTACGACCATATAGACACACGGTCTTGCTTGTAGTTGCTGCGAACCGCTTTCTCGCTGGTCTCGAGGAGACAGGAGGGAAATGTGAATTGTTGTTTGCTGTGGTACAGGGTGCGGGTTTGCTGCCCTGCGCAAAAACAGACGCAGCGGTCTTGTAGCAGCGAGGCTGATCGGGTGTTGAATGGCAAAAAAAAATGGACACGGCGAGATTCGAACCCGCATCTCCTTACCTCTGCAGCGACAAGGAGTCTTACCAATGCAGCTCTTATCCCGGTCGCAGACCGCGTGGCCGCTTAGACCACATGCCCAGTGAATTGATAGGATCGGCGCTGCTGAACACTATTATGTATGCTGAAATCCTGCAGTTTTCAAGACTTTAGAAACGCTGGGGTTGTGGGCGTAGTTCGCTGGATGAACGTGAACTTGAACGTGTGTAGTAAAGGTATATGTTTGCGCCTGGTTCTGCACCAGGAAAGGGCAAGTTTTATTAGCTAACGATCACTTAACATGTAATCTGCAAAAATAATTGGACATAGCGAGATTCGAACCCGCATCTTCCTTGCCTCCGGAGAAAGCAGGGTATCTTACCAATGGTGACTCCCAGAAGAAGTCCTTCCTGTTTTGGGCCCTTCCTCTTACAGAAGGGCCCAAAACAGGAAGGCCTTCTTCTGGGAGTCCGCTTAGACCACATGCCCTTGTACTTGATGAAAACGACTGCAACAAGAAAAAGATAAACACAGATATTGTTCGGTCTGTGAATTCTAAGAAGAAGGTGTCAGCTGTAAGCTGCTTGCCAGCGAGGTTGCTCCGGCTTTGTGCTAGTACAAGTGAAGGAGAGAAAACACACAACCGCTACTACATTAAGAGTTGCAACAGCATGGACACGGCAAGATTTTAAACCAAATTTCTCTATCGCTATACAGCGGAGCGTCTGACTATGGAGCTGCCGCTCACTTAGCCAGTCCCCCTAGACAACATGCCCTTGGCTTTGTCGAGAAACATCGCACGAGGCTCATGCTCGAATATGTTCCAATCTTTAGGCCAACAGAGAGCAAGAAAAATCTCCATCTTAACGTCAGAAATAGTAAGCTCCACGAATTACAAAGCCCCTTCGCGAATCGTGAAAGTCGCAGTAAAGCAACAGTCTGAGTAAGGGTAGCTAAATGGGGCAATTACGCACTCGTGACTAGCAACAACGACCTAGATACTGTAACACTAAAGTCCGCATCTCGCGGGCACAATTAGTCAAGAACCTAATGTCGTAGCGTTTTTATGTGACAGAGCACTGCCTGGCTACAAGACAACACGTTGATGGACTGATACCGATGACCACTTTTGAAGCCTTTGTGGTATGTCTCGTTCTGGGTTCTTGTTGTTGCCACTGCGGTAGACTCACGCTGACATTGTTATTTACTGCTTGGTTTGTGCAATGAAGTTAAGTCACCAAAGTTTGCTCCCAGCCAAGGCACCAAACGCTCGCAATCCGGCAACAGGAACAAGAGATTGAGAAGAAGGACTGGACATGGCGAGACCCGAACCTGTATCTCTCCGCTCAGGCACGTAGCTGCGACATGACTAGCTGGGAGCGTCTTTCCAATAGATGCCGTCTGGCAGCCTTTAGACCAGATGCCCTGAGATTGATGAGGAGCGAACGAGTAGGCGTATTGATATGATGAATCCTGGCGACTGTTAAGCCTGAAAAGCGTGTCTAAAGTTGTCAAGAGGTAATATGTCGAGAAACGGGCGGGAAGACACAGAATATCATCGATTAAGTACAGTAAAAACGCTAAAGGCAGTCATGGTATCACAAAACAACGCTCGGAATACATGTTCAACTGGTCTAGAGTGCACTGTAACGATCAGCCCGCGGTGTCATCCACGACCTGCCGCCCACGGCCACACACCAGTGAGCCCCCATCCGCTCACGGCGCCTCATGCACCTCCCCCTCCCCCGTACGATGCGCATACTTGGTCGTAGCTGGCATCTCGCTCCTCATCGCCCCGGGATCCGCTTCATGCGCATCAAAGTACGCCGTCTGCTGTGGCGCACCATGCGCCAGACCCGGGCTATGCATCGGCGCAGCATCGTACTGAACACCCTCATGCTTCTCGCCCATCGTTGCATCATTAGCCCGACGCCGTCGCCACCAGAACGCTGCGCCGCCGATTATAGCCAGGCCGGCCAGACCGCCGATCACGGGGCCCGCAATCCAGGCACTGCTCGAACTGGAGCTGGAGCCGGAGCTGGAGCTAGAGCCGGAGCTGGAGCTGGAGCTGGGGTCGGGTGTGGAGGTGCTGCTGGGTGATGAGCTGGATGAGGGTATTGCAGATCCCGATAGTGCGGCGAATGTTGCCGATGCCTTTTCGCTGAGCGTGCTCGTTGTGTTCTGCAGATAGCAGTTTTTGAATCCGTTTTGCAGTGTTGAGTCGAAGACGACGCCGATGCAGTTGTTTGTCGTGGCGCACGAGTCCATGCACGCTGTGATGTTTTGCGTGTGGATCTGCGTGAGATTCGTGCCCTCGTTGAGCTGGCCGCAATGAATATCGAAGTTGTGATTGCTAGTCGTTGAGTATGTAGTGTCGGACGGACAAGTGGTGTCGATGCGGTCAAACGACGTGATGGTTACAGAGTGTATGATGCCGGCTTTTGTGCTTGGTGTCATGAGCGTGTCGTCAGACCATCCCGTTTTTGGCCAGCAGTTGGCAAACCCGATGCTGTAGTCGGGGTTCCAGGATACGCCTTTGCAGAGCGGAGACTGGTCGGCGCATATCTGTACGCACTCTTCTAGGGTCGTGGTGTGGTAGAAGCCAATAAATAGACCCTCGACGTGTTGTGTGTCCCAGCATGGCTTGGGATAGCCAGACCAACATGTATCAAAGGCATTGATGTCTTTGTTGCATTGAAGCGTGTAGCCGAGTCCGGGCAGGCCATCGATTGTGTGCGTGCTGAGGTCGGTGCTGGGACACGATGTGTCGATCTCTTCGTATGTATCCGAGGCGATGAGCGCAGAATGGGTACCGTCTGTTGAGACAACAACACTGCCGACGGTTGTGTTGCTGTCGCGGATCCAGCATTTGCTGTCTTCGCGCCATACCACGCCGTAGCAGCCTTCGCTGTTCCCCCAGTAGCGCGAGCAGTGCTCCATACAGTCCGCCATAGAGGGAGATGTGAAATATTTGATGTCCATGGCATCTGGATGTGTTAGGCCATGCTAGTAAACACTCAATCTGACAACGCACCATGTCCAGGGTTATTATGGTTGCAATATGTCGTAAAGCTGCTGAGAGTCAGAGAGCATATGAAGGAGCGGAGAAGCAGCTCACTTCATGCCATTCTTCGATAAGTACCCAGATGTTGGACATGGAGTATCATCACGCGCCGCGAGGTCATGACTTCGGATTGGTTCCACAATCACTACACTATGTCAGTCGTTGATCTCTGGTACCTGCTACATCCATTGACTTACATGGCGTCGCAAGCGCAGCGCTGGCCCAGACCAGAGCCAGCAGACTGTCCTTTGGTAGATACATCATGATGTCTCTGTTGTTGTGTCGCTCACTCAAATAATATGCAAGGCCTCTCGTTGTATCATCAGCGCTTTCAGGTGTGTTTCGGATTATTTCAACTGCATTTGAAGAGAGTCGAAGTCCGAAATCCCAGATCCATGGGAAGAACGACACTCAGGCCTCCCGCTTACAGGATCTCTACCCTACGCGCGACACGCGGGTCAGCATCCATGGTGCTTGCATGGACCTGGGCTGTGAGATCGGTACCTGCCAGGAAACAGATTGACGTTGAACCAGCCTCCAATAACGGAGCATGGAAGCTTGCTTGTGCATTACAAACTTACTCGACCTGAACGAAGGAGCCAGTCACAGTCCGAGTCTCTGACTAGCAACGCTCTAATGGGATTAGTCCAAGCCTATCGAAAGGCGCAGAAATTATGGTTGGCGGGACGTTGAGCGAAGATGAGCGCTCGCGGACACGTTGCGAGACATCACCAGCATATTCGGAATCGCGGCGCTTGCTCATTTCCATGGACTCCGTGACAGACGCACTTTATGCTGCCTCTTTTGCATCAAGATGTTGAACAGATTGCTGAGTTTGATTGATGAATGCTGCGGCTTGCAATTTCGGATGTGCTGTCAGATGCATCCTTCCTGCCAGGGGCCTTCACTAGCTCAGCAAGTTCCAGGCCAATCGACTCACAGCGAGGCAGGGGCCGCACAAGGCTAAGCGACTCGCAGCTATTCTCGTCAGCGAGCCTATTTGTGCTGTGGCTTCGTTGCAGAAATTGATGTACAGCCACAGTGTTGATATCACAACCATCGCAGATGTACAGATCGATCTCATTGGAACATAAACTTGCATTACCACACCGGCGTGAAGGACCGGTGCGTAGGTATCTGAAGCATCCTGAACGCCGGCCCATGATTTTTCTACCAGTCGCGCCATGACGGACGATAAATACGACAACACAGATGGCGTCTATCGCCTTGCGGTCTTTCCAATACCACGCTTTCCAGCGGTCTAAAGAGTCGTTAGCAATTTCCAAGTCAAGTTGCGGTGGCGAATAACTTACCAAATGCTTGATCAGTGATCCGGTCTGATGCCTATCGGCCTCACCCTGCCTGGCCATCCTGTTCATCTTCTGCTGCGACAGCTTGGCCAGCTTCTCGGCCTTGGTGGCCGAAGCCTCGTTTGTGACTCCGTCCGTTCTCCTGTTGGTGCTCTGGCTGCGGCCGCGCATCTTAGCCCTCTCGATGGCGTTCATAGGCTTGTCGATGTCCATGGAGTCAGTGTCAGCAGCTGCAGCGCGAGACCTGCTGCGACCACGAGCCTCTTCTGCGCGAGCTGCGATCTTGGATGTGTCGTGGCCCAGGCTCTCCAGGTGAGACTCCATCTTTGACAGCTTGACGGCCTTGGCTGTGCGGGGAATGACGGCTCTGTTCTTCAGACTCTTGCGCATCTTCGCCTCATTGCGGATGAGTTGCCTCTTCTCGCGGATGAGCTCTGCCTTGTACCTAATGTCTGCCTCCTCAGCGTCCTCAAGATCCTCCTCGGACTCGTAGTAGCCCTCAGCCTCGAGCTTCTCCTCTTCGGCCTCAAGAGCCTCAAGCTTGGCCTCAATGTCGGGGTCAATGAAGTCGTAGACATTCTGGCCCATGAAAACCTCGGGAATACGGTCCTCCTTCCATTCGTCGTTCTCCAGCAGGTAGTTCTTGCGCATGTTGAGGTTGTAGACACCAGCACCGCCTTCCATTTCCTCCAAGTCGCGCTCGAGGAGCGGCCTTTCTGGGTCTTCCTTATCATACTTCTTCTTGTTAAGAACAGCCTCGGGAATGGACGTCTCCCGTGTGATACCCCCAAGGGGCTGGGCAACGTGGATGCGGCGAAGCAGCTCGCCGAGACGACCAGAAGGCTCGCCAGCGCTGTTTGTACCAGCCTTGAGCTTCTCCGCATTACGGGCAGCGATGAGACGATCGCAGACGTGGTTACGCACTTGCATGACACCCTCTTGAGTGTTGCAAGAAAGCTCGAGCATCTCGACCTCACCAGACTTCAGCATGCTCTGGAGCTGCTCCTGTGTCTCAGGGTCCAACTCGCTTGGGCGCATAAGATCGATCTTGTTGATAACGATTGTGATCAGCTTGTTGGCGAAGAGGGGCTTGATATTGTTGAAAAGAGCAATCTGCGAAGCGACGGAGTAACCGCACTGCTCGCTGAGATCCATGAAGTAGAGAATGTGAGCGCGGAGATGGGCAATAGCACAGATCGACTGATGCTCAATGGTGTTCATCTCCTCGAGGGCGTGGTCGAGGATACCGGGTGTGTCGACGGCCTGGAACCGCAGCATCTTGTAGTCGCTGTTTCCTTGATTAGCTACAATTCGACGAGCAACTGCAGACTGGTTGGACTCACAAATGACCGACGTAGAGACTCTTCGTGGTGAAAGCGTAGGGCTGGACCTCGACATCTGCGCGCGAGATGTTCTTCAAGAACGAGGACTTGCCAACGTTGGGGAAACCAGAAATGACAAGGGTGCGGGTGTTGGGGTCGATCGAGGGCAGACGGCCCAAATGTTGCCTGACCTGCTCAAGGTAGACGAGCGGGTCCTTGAGCCTCTTGCAGATTGTTGCCATGCGACCCAGCGCGGCCTTCTTCAGCTGCTTGCACTGGAACAGAGACTGTCCATACTTCAGGAGACGGACGTAGTCACGGGCAACGGTCTCAATCAGCGACTTGGCTGTCGACAGCTGACCGAGCGCAATGCGGAAGTGGTCTGCATCGTAGAGGGTGTTGAGCAAGTCGCGGTGGAACGGGTGGATGTCCTGCAGGCGGGGGAAGGCATCGATTGTTTGCGTGAGGCGCTCGGTGAAGGTCTCGGAAGTGTATTTGACCTTACGGGTGTAGAACGCTCGGATACGGCTGATCTTGAAGCCTGCACGAATCTGCGTCTGTGAGTACTGTGCGCCTCTGGAGGTTTGCGCGGAAATCGTACCTGAGTCGGGAGACGCCTCTGGGTCCTGGACAAAACAATGTCCAAGAATTCCTGGCTCGTAGGCACAACGGGGATGTCCTTCCACTGAGTCTTCATTTTGGCAGCGGCGTGGGCGGTTGTTGTTGTCGCTCTGCAAAAAAGTTGCCGTACGATATCGATAACCTAAGTTTTCTGAGTGGGGCGAATTTTCGGGGTCTGCTTGGGTCGAGCCGAGGTGGACCCGCCCGCGCCTCGACCTTCATCTCGACTGAACCTGGAGGTGCTCACGGCCAGTGGGGAAGTGATGCGGCGCGATGGCAGCCTTGTTGTTTCAAGTTTCAACTATGAGGCGTCGCCAGTGTCGCTTGCCCAAGCAGAGCTTCTGTGAGATGTAGAAGCACGTGATTCAACATAGACTCGCGTAACAGAATTGGTCATCCATGGTATTGGATTGCTTTGTTATCCTGGAAACTGTCTGCCATCTCGCCTGCCAAATCTGCGCTCATGCTGTATGAAGACCTCATCCTCAGCGCCTCCCGAATCGAACCACCGTGATGCCTCCCTAAGCCGCACCCGCAGTTCATGGAGGCAGGATCTCCCAAGGCTCCATGTTGAGCTCAGGCTCGGTCACCCTCGCATCATCCAAGCTGGAACACCAGTCCGGCTCGTCTTCTTCTGCCAACATAAACGTGGTGGCGCTCTTCTACGAGTTCAGGTAGTTGCGGATAGCGCCCTGCAATTTCCCTGCACCCTCACCCAGCATGTTGGACAAGTTCTCGAGGTCGTCGCCCGCAGTGATGCCAAACTTGCGGACGAAGTCCTTGGCTGCGCCCTCGAGATCACCGTAGTCATCCTCGGGGATGTCATCTTCAGGGCGACCGAAGTAAGCATTCGAAGAGATGGCAGATGCACCTTCGAAGCCTGCAACGCGTTAGTGAGAACCACCAGGACTGAGTTGATTAGTTTTGACATACCTGAGAGTCGCTCCTTAGCTTGCGCACTCTGCGCGGGATCGTAGTTGTTTCGCCCAAAGAACTCGTCGCTGGATATGCCCTTCTGGGTGCCAAACTTCTGGCGCGCATACTTCTCACTATCATCTTCTGTGGGCTTGCTGACGCTACCAAAGCCGCCCATCTTCTTCGCTGGCGCCGCCTTCTTAGCAGCGCCAACCTGGCCGAAACCAAGGCGTGCAACGCCCATGCCCAGTCTCTCTGTGTCTGCGTCCCATCGGTCTGGCTTCGCTGTTGAGCCGAATCCTCCACGAGATGGCGACACTGGTGTGGGCGCTGCGATATTCGAGGCTTCGGCGACTTTGGGCTTCGTTGCCGCAGCGGTCTCAGCAGCCTCAGCATCGGGGTCGTATCCAAGCTTCTCGATGCGCTCAGCTTCCTCCTTTGCCTTGCGCTCGGCCTCGTCGAAGTCCAGCCCTCCATCAGCTGGCACCACCTTCTTAGCTCCCAGACCCTTCTTCTTCGCACCTAGGATGTTCTTCTTGGGCGCGGCGCCCGCTGTAGTCTTCCGTACTGTAGGCTTTACGGCCGCAGGTGTGCTATTCTCGGCTGCCACGAGTGGCGACTTGGGGCGGTCTGCTCCGTTGCCTGCGACACCGCCAGGTTTGAGGAACGGTGACTGGGCGCGTGGTGTACCGGTTCGCGAGGGAGGGTTCGAGGGCCGCTTGTTGGTTGGCTTGTCCCAGGAGGAGAAGAAGTCGTCGTCTTCCCCAGCGGGAGTGTTGCCTTCGCTGGTGCCTGCAACCTCTGGTACATCTGTGATTACAACCTCTTCAGGGTAGCTGGGACCGTCACGTCAGCCTTCATGTCGACTGAGTGGGAAGTGAAGACATACAGCTTTGCGTCTGCAGCGCATCGCCTTTGCAGCTCCTCCTTGTACTTTGTTGCCGCGTTGCTTGTGTACTTGGCTTTGGGGTCCTTGCTGGCGAGTGCAGCAGAGCCGCCGTGCGATTGGAAGTACTTGGTGGCACTCTCGTTTCCTCCAACCTTCATGATTCGCAGCTGGTCCCATTGCCAGACTGTCCCGGTCAGCATTGCATCTTCACATGTGCCAGTTCGGGGGCGGGTGTGGTCGTACTGTCGAGGTTCGTTGAGCGGACAAAGGAGATGTGGACACCCATGTTGCGGTGATTCGACGAGCAGTCGAGGCAGAGGTAGATGCCAAAGGGCACCGAGCTCCATGTTGGGTTCTTTGCGCCGCAGTCGAAACATATCTACAGTTCGTGTTAGCCATCGGTGACGGCCCCTCCCTGGACGGTACGTACTTTGTTGGCGGGCTTTGCCTTTATTTTGGCAAAGATGTTCTGTGACTGCGTCTTCGTAGCGAGCGCCATCTTGACGGCCTGGTAGGAATGCGACCGGAGTGGAGAATAGGAGGTCGGGGTCAAGTCGCGGTGGGGATATTTTGGCGATCGGGCATGCCGTAGATAATGCCTGTCTGTCCGTTCCAGCTGCGAGGGTGCGCGCACGTGCTTACGCAGCGCCGTCAACCGCGACCATGTCGGCGCGTCATTACTCTACCCTCACACTCTCAAGCATCCATCATACCTCTGGAGGTACTCGGACAGCCCTTGAGCAAATCATCTCAATCAAGAATTGCTTCCCAATCGCTTGGAAAACTTACTAATGCCCACTTGGTCCATCAGCTCCTGCCTATCTTCCACTCACTGCTAACAAACCGCATCCCACCTTCCAACCGCGTGACGCTTGATGCAGAGCAGACCTAGCAGTACAGTCCGCCGTCAATTTTAAACACTTTGACTTCATACTTCAAAAACCTCTCATGCGCTCATTTCGTGCTTATCCAGAACAGGACATGCATAATCACCCACCATGTCATCAACACAAACAGTCCCAGCCCGCCGCTGCGCTGCAACAGTTGTACGTGCCAACCAGAGGATCAAGATCATCAATACCTATGGCAACCAAGTCGTCGACACCTGGGTCTTCGCACTCCCCTGGACCGCCATAGGCACCACTTCTTCACGCCTGGAGGCGCCTCTCTATCCTGCCGCCTCAGCCGCCTCCTCGTCTTCGTACTCCACAGCTGCAAACCGCGCCGCCGCGAGGCCAGAATTCATGTCCATGTCGCACTGCTGCGCAAAGCTGCTAAAACCCATACCCGGAGTCGGCGACACGCTGGTCAACCAGAAACGCGCGCCTCTTGTCAAGCTGATCGAAGACACAAGCCCTGGCACTCACGACACTTTGATCGCAGCGTGCGACCCGTTGGAGGTACTCTGAGCTAGGCGTCGCAGTGTACCATGAGAGTTGTACGGATAATTGCTGGGACGCTTTGGCTGCGCTGGCGAGCAGTGCGGGAGACTCAGAGGAAGGTGAGATCCTGGCTGGGCTACAGACGAGAATGGGTGGGAGGGTGCCGGATCTGTTTAAGCTGTTCAGGAATATACCCGTCACGCAGGAGGGAGAGGGCGCAAGGAGACGGATTAGCTTCGAGGCGCCAGTCACCAAGGCGATGTATCATGTGGTATTCGAGGCGCTGAGAGACGTGGTGGTCGTTATGAGCGCTTGTCCGCAGGACATGCTCGAAATCAATGGGAAGAAGCCGGTCAATGCGCACTTCAAGGTGTACTGAGATCGATCTCTGACTTGATGGAGTTTCGATCGAATTCCAGACATTTCACTACCATAGCTCACATTCATTTCCGTTTCAACCACAACAATCTGACTGCCTGGCTAATGACAGGCTGATACTTCTACCCCAACACAAAGCCTCTTTTCACTGCTCGGCCACTCACCTCGACAACATGGCCCACTTCGAAGACCTTCCACCAGAGATATTGCGCCGCGTGTGTGAATATAAGCTTCCACAGGGCCTGACGTTCCGCTTTGAGCAAGACTATTGAGACTCTGGAGATTTCCCATGGCTTGTCTATGCATCTGCCAAAGGTGGACACCCGTGGGTTCAAGTCATAGGCGATCGCGGGGATTATTCACCGCTCCAGAAGTGCAGGATTTGTGCAACGGACGTTTGTGAGAACAGCGACCTTGCGGATGATATGCACACCGCCATTCTTTACAAGAAAGCCATCGCCACAGAAGCACGAAGCAAGACCCCACATATTGCATAGACTCGAAGAACCTTGCTGACAGTCATAGCAACAGGTTCATGTTCAAAATTGATGCGCTATCTCATCAGCCAGTCTCACTCAGATCGTCTCTCGTCTTCGGTCCATTGGGACTCGATAGCCGCTTACACCTCCGCGACTTGGGACACATCAGCGTAACTCTAGTTATCGATAATTTCGCGGCAACTGCCGCCGTCTGTCACCGGGCTCGGATTCAGCACGTTGTTGATGTGCTCGGACAGCATGCCAAAGACAGCAACAAGAGATCACTCCTCTAAAGCCTCTACATACGACTCATCAGCAAGGATCAATACCGAGGATATTCCAGGGATCACGAGTATCCCAGCCTAACTGACGGACTGTCACGATCGCAATTTGACAAGCACATGTTCACTCTCGAGCGCTTCGCTGAGATATCGGGGATTCCAGATATGAATTTCACCGGATTCCCTACATGGTTTTAAAAGTGCTTCGATATGCGTCTCCGCGGGGAGGGAGGTGATCTGCCCCTCTTGCAATAGCCCGTAAGAATCTTCAGGAGAACCAAAGACGGGCACGGAAATCCTAAACAGGTTACGGCCCGGCAAAGCTGGCAGCCTTTGTTTGACTGGAGAGGGTTTGCGTAGCGGACTGGTATCGCACTGTCGGAGGATGCTGACAGGTTCTTCCCGCCAACAGACGGCGAAGTCACTGAGTAATCTGGGAGCATCTGGAATCTGCACATGTATCTGATATGCGCGTCTTGAGAGCATGCGTGTCGCTTCTACTTCTGAGGGGTATGGAATAAATCGGCAATAGGGATGTCTACGTACAGGACGCGCTAACGCGTCCATGGCTTATGAGTCTTTTAATTCAATACTCATTACAGATCAGCACAAGCTATCACATCCTGCGTAATCTGAAGCGTACTACGCTTGAGGTCAAGATTGATGAGCTGTCCTCGTACACCTTCATGTATCACCGGGTACGTCTGCAGCGGTTCGTCGATGTGATGAAAGAGTACGCGGACGATGATAGCAAAAGGTTCCTACTCAAGCGGCTTTGCGTGCGCCTCGACACTGGCGGATTATGCGATGCTGCATGTCAGTCCCACCCAGGAGATCCATGGATGATCTCGGCGATGTATTTGTTGGTGAAAGGCACATGTTCGTCCTGGGGGCACTCGTAGCTATCCAACGTGTTCTAGATGTGTGCGTCTCCAGCGTGTCACGTTGGTTCAAGAAGTGTCTGGAGTTGCGCATGCGAGAGGGTGGTGAGCCGAGGGAGGTCCAGTGGCCGATCGATTGTCAAGTGTAGGCCGGACGAGTACGAGAAGGCGAAGAAGATAGAGGTACTACATGGGGAAGCCGGTGATGGATTGGCGTGACTTCGAAGAGTGCCACGGCATCAGGCTTCCACCGAATATCGGCACGTTCTTTCCGGCACGAACAGCTTGAGCACAGGAGGAGTAAAGGGCTTGACACACGTGTTTTGAGGACGTGCAAAATCGAGAGGACGAGGCTTAGGAGGAATTCACACGCCAGAGTTTCCTGTAGATTGAATTTTAAGCAGAGATCGTAGCCTCATGCTGACCAGTCGTATCCTTCCATACAAAGTGGCAGTCCTCCCCTTTCGCTTGCACTTTAAACGATCATGCGGCTTAGCAAATAACAAACGGTAAAAGGTACGGTGACGCAATCCGTACACCAAGAATAAATATTCGAGCATGACTTATGCGAGAGAACAACCAACCGCCGTTCACCAATACACCTCCTACAACTCGCAACATGGTGTCACATCTGGAGGATCTGGCTCCCGAGCGCGCTACTGCGTCGTATTTGTGAGAACGCGCTTCCTCAAGGTCTGATCTTCAACTTCAAGCAGTACGACCGCTTTCATCGGTGGACGCTTCTCGCAGCGGTAGGAAGGCACAAGGCAGTCCGGGTGGCGAACATGCGGCCTCCTCTCAAGCGAACAGATTGCATCATCTGCGGCGAAGGACGGTGGTGCGATCACGCCGACGTACGCGAAGAGATGTATACCTCGCTCCTCTATGCCAGCAAGTACATCGCCAGTGAAGCACGGGGTAAGTTCACCCATGTGAATATTCCTCCTAGGAACACCTATTCTGACCCAACAACCCAGCTGTATTTTTTGCGGGGAACAGGTTCGCATTCACTATCAGTATAAGGCCACACACCCCCATCTACTTCAAATCACCTCGCATTTTCGGCCCTCTGGGACTTCCGCATCGCCTCCACCTCCTACGCGACCTCAGACACATCAATCTGCTCGTTGATATCGACGACAGAGCCTCGCACTCTAGACCTTCTCCCCACGCGGTAGTCCGCCACCGAGCACGTCTCGAACACTTCGTCGAAATCCTCAGGAAACACGCAGAGGACTCGAGTAAGAAGTCGTTGCTCAAGAGTCTTCATATGCGCCTCTCAACGACAGGACTGGAGTACCAGCGCCTTGTCACTGGCCGATTGATACAGCCCAGTGACGAAACGAAACGACGTCTGGTGGGCCACCATGTATTTGCTCTGGAGGGTCTTGTCGCGTTTGAGGGTATCGATGAGGAAGAGGTTACCGGCCTTCCGAAGTGGTTCTGTCGGTGCTTGGAACCACACATGGTTGACCGCGGCGGGCAGGTTGAGGAATTGATCTGGCCCGTAAAGATCGTGAAAAAGCGACATGATAATGGCTACAGGGTTCAAAAGGTGGAGATTTCGACTCGCAAGTACTGGCAGCCTACTCTTAACTGGAGGGAGTTTTCACGAAGAGATAGCATTGAGTTGCCGGAAGATATCGATGAATACTTTTCGGCACGGCAGGGCGGATTGTTGTAGATGATGAGCATGGTTCATGCGATAGCAGATTGTCGTCAGTGGAACTCAAAAACCTCAAATGATGCTGAAACGAGAAAACACCTAGCAACCACAACATGGACAAGTGACACCTCTCAGCATCGCTCGTCCTCCCTCTCTCCCCAAACTCCCATCTCCTCCCTTGCCACTGCATCGAGATCCACCAACTTCCCCTCCTCATCACTGTCCTCGCTCTCGATGTTACTCTCCTTCCTCCTAAGATCGGCCCATCCAGCGTCCTCCTCTTCATCCTGCACCGGCAGCCCTTGACTAGGCGATACATAGTCATCCATAAGATGACTCGGTAGTCCGGCGGGAACCTGTCTCCTATGCTGACTCGTCGATGGCGGCGGTGTGAGCGGCATCATCGCCATCTCCGGTGGTCGTGAGAGCTCTGGCTCGTCTATCTGATGTGTCTTTGGACTCTCGGGTCTTGTGGGAGGCGTGGTGAGACCCACGGGTTGAGATGGTTTTGTTGCTGCTGCTGATGGCTCTCCAGATGTTTCCTCTGCTCTTGTTGAGGAGGCTGGGTTTGAGCGGGTTGTGGGCTCCCTCTCTTCCCTCCTCTTCACCTCCCGCGTGTGCTTCTTCGGCACAATACGACGTGGCTCTAGCCGTTCAGGTGCAGCACGACTATTGGCCACCGCTGGCACTGTGTCAACTTGTTGTGTCGTCGGCAAATTTGCGTGGTGTTCCTGCTGGTGCTGCTGCGAGAAGGGGAAGATGCTGAATAGTGTCGAGCTGAGACTGTGTCTGTGCGACGGACCAGGACGCTCTTCAGATTTCAGACGATCGGGTGCGGTGGTCGGGGGTGGCAGCGATGCTGAGTGGGCGTGAGATACTCTTGAAACGACTGGACTCGGTGGTTTCGTAGCTGTTGTAGCGGATAGATCGGCACTGCACATCTCACACTCGGTGAGGGAGGCGTGGTTTAGAAAGGTGCAGCGGGGGCATTGCTTCTTTCCTTCTGGAGTTGACGACCTTTGTTCGGTTTGAGCGGGCGCTTGGGGCTGCGGTCGCGGTGGCTGTGGTGGAGCGCCCTCTTCATTTCTTCGCTTTTGTCTGTCTCCACCTCTCAACTGCCTCTGCACCGCTGAATTCACAGTGGTCGAAGGCTTTCTTGTTGTAGCCGCGCCGCCTTCAGGATTTGGATCAACAGAGATTACGACCTGCACATCCCTCTTCGTACCGCACTTCATGCACTCATACTGCCTGACAATGCTCTTCGTGTACGTCTCAGACACCTCAGCTGGTGCATCGAACCTGATCTCGAACCGTCCAGGCTCTCCATAGCCATCACTACTGCCCTTTCCTCTGCTGTCTAGTGATTTGTTACTCGCGTACCCTGCGCCTCGAGTGACGATCGGTGTGATAGGGTCAACGGCCCCAATCACCACATGGTCCACAAACGGGACCAGCATCAATGTCCCACTGCTCTTGATCCTCTGGTCAATTTCAGGCCTCAACTCGAACTCATCCACTGAGTGCAGCACCGTGAAGTACTTGGCAAACATATCGCCATACCACCTCCTAACCTGTACACCCTGAGCTAGCAAATCCTTGGGCTCGCTGCGCGGCGCGGGACTCGGCCAGAGGGCATCGATGAGATGCTTTTCTTTAAGTACCTTGCGCACCATCAGGTCGAGGCGTGCACATTCAAAGAGCTTCTTCTCAAGACGGTCGTGCAGTTCGTATTTCGCAAAGCGAACCACCAGACCACGCACAAAGTCAGAGTCGAGGTGCCATTTCCGCGTGAAGTAGTCCAGGGACTCGAGGTCCTTTTGTGCTTGGGCGTTTGCGGGGCGCATGCTAAGAGGTTGCAGCTCGTGGCCCATGTTCACCCATCTTTGCGGTTGCCGCGGGTCAGCGGTTGCGGTCGACCAAAAGGATCTGATCGGTGCGTATTCGGCCTTAAAATAATTGTATATAAAGTCCAGGAAATCGCCTTCGTTGAGCGGGAGCATCGCATGGCCCCTTGGAATGTCCATGGTGTCAGTTGTGGTGTGGCGAGATCCCTTTCAAGTTTCAGTCGTAGACGAGGTCGCCGACAGCAGTCTCACTGTATTAGACGCCGGCTCTACTGAAAATGTACCTCTAATTATGTGTGTCGTATCCCAAAACTAATCTCTTTCTCACGACTTGTGCGGCGCGCTGAACGTTAGCTAAGCTGCTGCCTAGGGCAGCTGGAGAAGAATACGTGTAAGGGGTGAGCCGCAGAGATATTGAAGTGACGATGCATGGACAGCTGCGCCACACCGCGTGATAGCATCCAAGACTGCCTTTGACTGGCGCTTGGTAGACCGCTGCGCCTTTCGCGATTCCATGGTTGTTCGTGAGCGCATACGTCATCTGCCAAAGTTGTGGCGAGCGGCGGCTTCGCCCCACTTCGAGAGTCGCCGTTCACAACCGTTCGCTGCACACTCTCTATCGAACACTACGGAACAACCATCTTAGGAATCTTTTTTAAACATTGATCAGACGGCCGACTTACGACTGCAACGAGCTTTTCCTGACCGCGTGCTACAAACTAGGGTCCAGCGACGATTATCGCATGACGTTGACCGATGCTACAGCTGTCTAAAGCTCAGTATCAGACCGCATGGTCGCATATTTTCATGGATACGGCGCAATAGCTCTGGCGGAAGATCTTCAAGTCCCATGTTGCACTATTAAAGTTGCTTGAGGTAATGTTGATGTATGTCGGTGTCCTTTTTGGAGCGCACACGAACTTCCTGAGCAAGTGATGCATCTCCAAGTCATGCATGTAATGTTAAGGCATGAGGTAAAGCAAGCAATATTACCAAACTCAGCCTAGGGACCTGAAAAAACAGAGCTTTGTTTACCAAAGTAAGTATTGATAAATAAGAAGCGTTATCTAATGAAGATGTGAACTGTTGTGAAAAGCCCACCCATCCATCTTTCGAAATGTCGTCACCCAGAAGTATCCTATTCCATCGCTCCATCATGCTAATGCCTCAATGCCTTTGATACAGTCGAAGCAAAACCCGCCGTACTGATGTACAACTACCACACAGCTATTTGTATACCCTGTCCATACCCTGCTCCTCGGAAGAGAACTCGCGTCGGGGTGTCTGGCATCTAACCAGTGAACCTGAAGCGCGAAGCCTCCAATCTGCCCAGACCTTCTCTCGGCGCAACATTGCGGCGACGGTAGCTAGTTGTGAAGTCCTGCAGGATGGTCCTAATCATCCTGACATCGCCAGTCTGAATACGTTGACGAATGTTGTTCAAGAAACGCTCGCTTTCTTGAGGTGTGATGCTACCCTGCGGCAGCAAAGCTACGGTGTTCGCGACCCATGAGGCGACCTGCTCAGGGTTGAGCTCGAAAAGATCAAGGAGAACACCAGATGAATCGACGAAGCAGCCCTCTGGGAAGCTGTACATCATGCCTGTCATAATGCGCTGAACGAGAACCTCTCCCGCAGTCAAGACCAGCCGCTTAACCCGGTCTTGCAGTTGCTGAGGAACATCTTGTCGTGATCGATCAAAGCTAGACGACGGAGAGGCGTTGCGACCATAGCCAAGCAGGTCACGGAGGAAGTGCAGCGTCGCGATGATGGGCTCCTCCTTGAGTAGTGCAAGTGCGTTGCAGGCAGCGAGGAGGATAGCCTCCATGAGAGGCGACATGATGGATTCGGAGGGGAAGTAAAGCGCCATGTCGGAGGCAAGACGGAAGAAATCCTCAATCACTGTGATATTGTTAGTTGAATGCGTGAGGTCAGCGCTGGAGAAGCAACTTACAGTCAGGGAGCTCGTCTGGCTTCATGACTTCGCTCAGCATCTTCATGAAAGTCCTTGCTTGCTGCTCGTAGAACTGATATACGTCATTGGCCAAGCCAGTGTCCACTTGCTCCACGCCCTGTGAGAATTCGCGTACGATAGCAGCGGTGGCCCAAAGGAAGCAGCCTTGCCTTGACGCGTCAAAGCCCTGTGTCAGTCTTGTTGCAAGCTCCGGCAGCAATGGACGCATAGCCGTTCGGTACGACAGCACCATGTATCGCCAGCAGCGGCAGACGCGTTCCAGGATTGGGGTGCTTTGGTTGAAATGTGTGATGAGATTGCCCAACAGGGGGAACAACTCCTGGCAGTACTTAACTGCAGGGTTCTCCTGCCCTGCTGGTACCTCGGGCTGCACGAACTCGATGAAAATCGTGACAAGATTGATCTTGTCTGCAAGAAGCTTCTGCGACGCCTCATCCGTGGCTTGGTTGGCAATTGCAGCCAAGTTCTGCATGACAGGGTCGACATAGGTTTTGAGTGTTGGGTAGATCTGCTCGACAGGGACCTTGGCCACGACCGAAGCCACACCTTCTGTAATCTCCTCTTGACTGCTCACTGGCAGCTGATCGAGATGCTTGGCGTAGAACTGTTGAAGAGGCGCGACAAAGTTAACCAGCAAGCTTGCACAATCGTTGCAGAAGAACTTGAACGAAAGTGCAGCCGCGCGGATGACATCCTTCGTAGAGTGATCGAACGCAGCCATGATATAGTCGAGTTGAGGTTGAAGGGTGTCCGGATGTTGCGCTGTCCATTCCGTGTATCGCCCAAGAGCCATGACGGCCTGGAAGCGAAGCTTGTTATGGTCGGGTATCGAGACGATGAGCGGGATGAGGCGCGGCAGCATAACATCTTCGTCCGGAGGTACCATGCGACCCATCGCTCTCACAGCAAACAGCGGTGCCTCAAGCTTCTGCCACTCCGGCACGCTGTTGGGCCCAGCTTGAGCACCATATGTCTGCACCCATTGCTGAATGAGATCATATGGCTTCTGGAGACATTCTGTGACGCCCATCACCTCACAACAATCCTTCAGCACGTCACCCATCTGATGACGGAATTCTCTGAATTTCTCCTCCTGCTCGCGATCGCCCTCGAAGAGATCCTTCTCATCGCCGCCTTCAGGTCGAGGGTACTCCAGATGGCCGATCATGATGTCGATGAGCTTTGAGTAGATATCCAGGCTCTGCATACGCGCTGGGGTATACTTGTCAATAGTCAGGTACTGTTTCAGGTCGTACCAGAACTTGAAGGTATGGGCGATGGCGTCTCGCTCCTGGTCGAGCGCTGCAGTCTCGAGTACAGCTTCAACCAGAGCCCTGAAGTCATTTGGCAGTCGTGCAATCAACAGAACCCATGACTCTCCAGCCTCGGCGAATATCCTGGCGATACCCTTGAACTTCTCTGAGTCCTCCTCCTGTGCGGCTTGTGCAAGCTTGGATCGCAAAGCGATCACTTGGGGATATAGAACCAAGATGGACTGCATAGTCTCGTCGACATCCCTTGTCTCCCCAATAAGAGCACTCAGACATTCTACGGCGGCCTCAAATGCGTCGTCGTCGGAGTTTAGGTCGTCAATAATGATGGCCAAAAGCGGAGAGTTCAGGATGGAGTCGAGAGGTATTTCGCGCATCCATGATGTGATGCAGTAGAGCAGCTGGGGATTCCTGGAAGCAGCAGCTGTGTCTGTGAGCACATGTTCAGGCATGTGGATGATGTCGACTTACGTGACGATGTGGCGTAGGCGACGAGGAGCTTCAGGGCTTGCTCAGCGTTGTCCTCAATCAACTCAGCCGTCCTCATAGTCAATTCGTGTTCCTGACCACCAAGCATTAGACTCTGACTCTGATATCACATGTCGGGACCGAAGGAAGGTGCCGCAGGCTGGAGGTAGGTTGTGGGTCGGCCGGACGTACTGTGAGTGCGATCTTTCGTCCATGCGTGACTTCCTCAGGGAGAACGCGGAGGAAATCCAAGACGCAGGGTAGTGTGGCTGGGTCGGATCCCAGGGCGCTGACAATGTCTGTGAGGACGTCCTTCCACTCTGTCATCTGTATCGCCAAATTCGCTAGACAAACACAGAGCGTCAGCCTTATAGGCTTGGGTCCAGCGCGGAAGACGATGAGATTCTTCATGATAGACTCTCGCAGCTGTGGTAGCTGTTCGCGTGATATCTGGTGGAGGTCGTATACGATCTGGCTCGGTCAGGAAGGAAGCACATTCACATGTGCAGCAGACATACCTTGCCCTTCAGGGTAGTGGCAGCGAAGAGCTTAGCTGCAGCGTCCACCGAACTCGACTCTAGCATGGCCAACGTTGTTGTCCATGCCTCTTGCTGCGACCCGTTCCGTCAGCTCTGTCTGCCCATATCCAGCATCTACGCCCACGCCCAACGTACCGACTTTTGAAACTTTTCCAGGAACTCATGTGCCTGCTCTTTCTGTGCGCGGTTTGATACCGATTGCATAAGGTTGTGCGCAGCCAGCACAGGCTCATAGACTTGCTGGGCGCCGTTTGTGGCCATGTCGAGCGTTGTCCGGGAGGATGGTGGGGGAGAGAGGAAGTAAGGAGCGTGGTGGGGAGACAGCGGCGGGGTATTATGTACGGAGCTTCATGAACCGGTGAGGTTTCAAGGTCCCGGTGATATGAGTCGGCGGTGAATTGTGAGCAGCCAGTAAGCGCGAGGTTTGTTTGTGTGTTTGTTCGGGGTATGATGAGAAGTTGCATAAAGTGACGGACTGGTTCCCGCGCCCGCGCACCTGCCCGCCAAGGCCAGCCTTGTCGACTTGTGCCTTCCCAAATTGTTCGCGGAACTCGTAGCTGCACCTCCGACGACCCACCGCTACGCCCTCACACCTCGACTTTACACATCTCTGGAATCGCCCAAGCACGCCTGCCAAGTCTCTCAGTATGAATCGCGGTGGTAAGATAGTCCTTATCCTAGAACGCGTTGAAAAGAGCTGACATATCGCAGGCCGTGGTGGAGGAAAAGGTACAACCCAGCGACGAAGCGCATTACCTCGAGAGCCACGACGCTGACGAGCCGCAGTCCTCCTCCCCCCTATCAACTTCATCTTCAAGCTTCTGCAGTCGCGCGCCACGGTTTCAGTATGGCTGTACGAAAACCTCGGTCTGCGCATTGAGGGCAAGCTCAGGGTGGGCGCCAACATTCCAAGCATGTATCGCTCTGCATACTGACGTTACACAGGGCTTTGATGAGTTCATGAACCTTGTTATCGACGACGCCGAGGAAGTCACAACCGCGAAGAAGGACGGCACACCAGAAGAGAGACGCAAGATCGGCCAGATCCTGCTCAAGGGCGACAACATCTCGCTCATCCAGCAAATCCAATGATCTTGAACGCCAGAACAGGCTACGAGGCCTCTCGATTCGCACTTTTGATTGTACAGGAAGAAGGCCGAGCTTGATGTATGCAAGGCGTTATGTGGGGGCAGAAAATAATGGGCAGGAACAGCTTGAAGTGCGCAAAATCAGGCACGACGAAGCTCGCCATCGCCGGTGATCAAGGCGTCAAGGCGAAAGTCGGACTGGTCCATGGGGACAGACTCATTTGGCGGAAGCAGCTGCTCGGTCAAAGACAGACCAACTTTGACGTGGTTAGTTAGCCCATCAGCCATGATCGAATACCAGTAATTCTTACCGCGAAAGGGCATGCGCGCCGCTTGATGACACCGGCTCAGGAAGAAGTCATAAAAACCCTTGCCATGTCCGAGGCGGCCAAAGCCGTGGTCGAATGCCATACCAGGCATGACGATGAGATCAAGACCTTGGGTGATTTGTTCAGTTTTGCCATTGGTGACGCCGGTGATGCCAAAACAGTTCGCACGTGATGAAACGGAGTCTTTGCTGGGCGTTGGAATTCCCCATTTGTCAGCCTCGAGCGATTCGAAGTCGTTCATCGAGGACAGCTCGACCATGTCCATAATCGACTTAGGCTGACCATCGATCGGATTGTCCAAATTGTATGTGTACGGAATGAAGACCTTTTTGCCCCGGTCAAGAGCGTCACGCACAATTTTGGATGTGTTGATCTCGCCAGTGGGCATAGACAAGTATACACTTATCCGCTGAGCTGCTTTGTACTCTGGCATTGCCAGTAGGGCTTTGGTGGCATGCGTGGCTGGAAATCGTCAACCACTCTGCCATGCCCACAGCTTGAGAGACGTACTTTGCGTTGCTGCAACAGGATCAGAGACATCTTTCAGGATGGCCTTGATCTTCTTCCTCATTTCCTTCTTGACTGCTACTACGGCTGCCATTGCGAAAGCTCTTGCTCACGTTGGCTGATGCTCGGCAAGTAGCGATAACCCCTATACTCAATTGTAAGTGTGGTGAAGCTGCATGAGAGCCTCAATTCGAACAGATTCTCCTCGATGGGTCGATAAGGCTGACTGATACCAACGGCGCGTGCTAAAATGCGGGCGGTGGTGATGCTGGCGCCGCTGCGATCTGCGGATAGGCTGCCTAGCCAACCCTGGTCTACAGGTCTGCCACCCCTGCCATTCGCAAAGGAGGCGGCGACTGCATTCAAGATCCAGGAACGCAACCGCCAGTCTCAACACTCAACACCACCGCTCACACCAACACCCTCCTTTGCGCGCTCAGACTGCACACTACCAACTGCCGACACTCGCTTGACCACACACAAACACATCGACGCCATGGTGTCCTTCACCGCAATACTGCTGCTCGCCGGCGCCGTCATGCACGCGCAGGCGCAAGACTTCTCGGACCTGGTGGGCACTTGGAGCAGCAAGTCGAACTCGACATTTACCGGCGACGTACGTCATTCATCGACCATGTTGTGTCTGGGAGACGCTAACAGCACCAGGGCTTCTACGATCCCGTCAGCGACCACTTCACCGAGCCCAAGCACACGGGCATCAGCTACTCGTTCACCGCCGACGGATACTTCGAGGAGAGCTATTACCGCGCTGTTGCGAACCGTACGTCCCATTCACGGCTCAGCGCATCGCGACCTCTGCGACGCATGCTCAAAGAGAAGCGCAACTGCTAACACACATCAACAGCCACGAACCCCAAATGCCCTACCGGCATCATCCAATGGCAACACGGCAAGTTCTCCAAAGCCGTCGACGGCTCTCTGGAACTATCCCCCATCAAAGTCGACGGCCGGCAGATGTATAGCGACCCATGCGCGTACAAGACGTCGGTTTACACGCGGTACAACGCAACCGAGCAATTCCAGGTTCGTTCCATCTCCCATCCAATCCCCTGCTCATCGGTCTGCGGTTTGCGTTGTTGAACTGCTCCCTGACGCTCCCCCAGCGCTACGAAGTCCGCATAGACGACTACCACAAGATCAAGCGCCTCGATCTCTACAAGCACAATGGCGCGCCGCTCATGCCATTGTACATCGCTTTTACGACACCTAAGATGCTGCCCACGACGACGCTTAACCCGCTTGTAACTGCGACCGCAAAGGCGAAGCGCGGACTGCCGATTGATCATGAGGTGTTTCTGAGGAAGAGCGGGAATATGGCGGATAATGTGTTTTGGGCGGGCGTGCTGGGTAGCGGTGCAGGAGCGGTGCTCTGGTGGTTCTTTTAAGTCACGCTCGCAGTGGAGAAGCGAGATGGGGAGGATCAGGACGAGGACGAGGTCGACGAATATGCACAAATGGCGTTACGGAGTTTGGTGATCACATTGGATATCAAGATCTTGAGAGGGTTTCTGGAAGGCCTCATGTTCACTTCACGTTGATTGCACAGAAAGCACATGTTTGTTTCATTAGAGCGCAGCGTAGCGAAGCGTAGCATATTTTCAAAAGACAAGCTATGAGATCTATTTTGGCTCCTCGCACTGGTTTTAGGAGCGGGGTATGTAGTGCTACGTCTAGTCCGGGTTCCTTTCTAGATGAGAGTCTACTTGTCGGTATCGGTGCAGGCAAGAACGAGCTGCGTGGGTCGAGCATGTAAGGTCTTCGAAATGACCGTCGCGAGATTGTTGTGCTCGAGAAGGCGAGCGCTTATGCGAATGGAGAATGCACGGCTGTTGGTGTTGAACACAGCCAGCTGCAGCACTGCTGGGGAGGGCTTTTTTTTCGCGTGGCGGTGCTGGGTGCTTGCGGAAACGTGGTTCGAGAAGGCCGTCAATCGTGCTTGATACAGACGCTTGCGGTGTTCTGGGTTTGTGGCGTCAGCAGGCAATGCAGTGGTACTGTCGTTGCGTTGAGATTTCGTGTCGAACTGCATCTGAGCATTGCCGCTTGTTTGGAGCGTCTGTTGCGATCTCGATGGTTGATGGTTCGAGGGCGCTGGTCGGTAGTTCTATGTCTGGGTAAGGTCCGGACCTTGGTCGTTGTTCGGCGATGCTCGTATCTCTGCGTCTTGGGCGGAAGTATCATTCCCCTTGAGTATCTTTCGGCTGCGTCTCCTCTCCCTAACTCTTGCTCTGTCGGTTCTCCATCGTATGATCCTCTTCCAAAGTCTTCCGCGTCCATCTTGCGGTCTGCAACCTCTCCCAGCTACTGAAGCTCAACTCTTTCCATCCCAGCTTGCAAATCCTCCTCCGTGCCGAAAACATTCTTCGCCCACGTCACCATCCGGGGCCTAACCAGGAATCTCCTCTCGCCCTGATCCTCAACCACTTCCTCCATTCTCACTCCCATCCCCACTGCATTGTCCCCCTCTTTGTGTCTCCACGTACTCGGACTCCCACCCTCCTCGTCCAGCACCAGCGGTCCTTCCTCGCCCGCCCTGCGCGTCCTTCTCTTATACGGCGGCCCACGTCCCATCTGCGCGGCCTTCTCCCAACTCGTCTCCACACCTCTCGCAATGACGCCCGCGCTAGCCCAGCCCGTGCGCCTATCGATCTCAAGAAGGCGGGTGACCGTCCACTCGCGCTGCGTTGCATCTTGGTATTGTACGCCCGCAAAGAACAAACTCATGGTACTTTCCTGCAACACGGAGCCAAGGAACGGCGAGAGATCTCCAGCCGGGAGTGATATGCCGGCGGTGATGCGGCCGATGAGTGTTGCGTATGGACCCGTGGCCTGTGCGCATACGCCGGCTGCCACCATCATTGCTGGCGGCATAGCGGGGTGGGCGCGCAGCAGGATGATTTTGCTGAGATGCAGGAGCGTCCAGAGCACGGAGATGTCGTAGCTGCGGTGAACGAGGGCAGGGCCGAAGGGTGTCATTGTGCTTGTTTCGCCAGGAGGGATGACTTGCAGATCTGGAGGCAGCGGCGCGAATGCTTCGCTGCTGGAGAGGACTTGGGCAATTGTTGCGTGGGCAGCGTTGATCTGGTCCCACTCGGAGATTGCGGAATCGTAGGCGGAGGGTAGGTCCGCGTACTGTGGGTTCGGCGCGTGAGCTGTTGGTGGTGAGCGCTCGTATTCGGGGTTTGCGTAGTGCGTAGTAATAGATGCGTGTGGTCTAGCGGGAGCCATGCCAAAGAAATTCGGCATCTGAGGTGGTGGTCCGCATGGAGGGCTGTCTCGTGGTGTCGGTGGACTGCCTACGGGAGGCCCGAAGCCTGTTGGCGGGGGACCGTTCCAGCCTGGTGGAGGACCACCTGTCCATCCAGGTGGCGGGCCTTGCATTCCAGATAGAGGAGGTCCAGCACCAGGTGTTGGCGGCTGACTTCGGCTCATACCTGCTTGTGGGCCGCCAGGCATGCCTGGTCTGGGTCTCCATTGCCCGCCGTCAGCCTTGACTTGCCTAAGCTTCCGCTCTCGATCGCGACATGTGAAGTCTGCAATACGACCGATGAGTAAAACGATATGGTCATGAGAGCCGTACAGTGCATCTGCGCGACCGAGGGGTGCGCGTGGCGGACAATCGGACCATTTTCGGTAAGGAGTGCTACAGATGTCAGGTTGAGGGTTTGTCAGAGAGACTGGAATTTACTCACATCAAAGGGTTACCGCTGATGCAGCTCTGCCACATGTCGTGGCGACAGTACCACCAGTATAGGTCTTGGAGTGTCTCAAAGCTCCTCATGTCGAAATTGCCTGATAATCGTGTCTTTGTATCTTGTCTAGCACCGTTGTCCTCAATGATCATACCGAAGTCGTCGTAGCTGACTTGCTTGCCAATGACCGTGCTTACGAGGTTCTCGTCTGGCCCGAGGTCCTTCTCTTGTAGATTTGTATGCAGCTGATCTTGGCCGAGTATTATCCCAGTATTCTCATGATACTGTCTCGCTTTTACGACCTGCATAGTCTTCAAATGTTGAGCTTCTCGCGTCAACGAACGGAAATCGAGCTCAGTGAGTAGTTGCGCCGCGCCGACAAGATGAGTTGACCACTTCGTATGCTCAGCGGTCCACACCTCGTAGAAAGCAAGAAGCAAGGCTGTTGCTAGAGTCGGTATGGAGAGTCTTTTCTTTGGGTTACCCAGCGACCTTCCCAGTCGCTTTAAGGAGTACGCATAGTGCTTGTAGGAAGGCGTGATGGACGCCCCTTGGAGTCTTGCAATATGCAGGCTCGACAAAGCGAGCATAGCGTGGAGCAAGCTTTGATGGTTGAGGGCCTTGAGTGGTAATATGTATGTCCACAAACCTTGTTGCGCAGGCGACATGGACCCTTCGAAGATCAAAGACGAGTTTCTGGGGTTTCGTTCGTAGATGGAGATGCTGACGGCGGTCTGCAATTCGGCGGATGTTAGCAAATACTCGCGAGCTCCATGATACGATACGACGTTCTGTGCGGAACTCGTGCACAACCCCTTGATATGTGCTACTAGGTCGCCGTCGTCACCTTGGTGCGCATGTAAAAGTAAAGAAATGGTTGCAAAGTTGTACATACCACATGTATAAAATGTGCGAAGACTCGGGCTGTCTTTGGGTTTCTCAGAGGACTCGCCGCATACTCCGGCTTGTATCGTGTCAAGAGACCATCATACAAGAAGGCATCGTAGCGTCTGATGCCAAGCTCGCTAGAGTTCTCGAAGTGTATGCGTCGAATGATTTCAAATTCCTTACTCGCGACCATGGTGTTCCCTCCGTCTCCATCTTCCCGGTCGATCATCTCCTCGTCAGATTGCACATCCCAGTAGTCGTCGTCTTCGTATTCGACCGCGGCCTCGTCGAGGACCTGAGATGGGCTGACGTGGTCTTCGCCAGCAAAGCCGCTAAGAAGTAACCGTGGTAATTCGGGTTGCGATTGATAAACGGCGGTAGATCGTTCTGAAGTGATGTCAATGGTCAGCTAGTGTACTCACTCAGGCGCGATGGACGCGATCGTCACTCGTGGGTGCGAGACGCCGAATGGCAGACACGGGTGCTTGAAAGGTGACTCAATGATGGGGGCACTGAGGACGAAGTAATGATAGTCATTGGGGCATATGAGGTATATAACTAGACATGAGACATACCGAGAACTGGTGGAGGTAAGTACTTTACATCCACAAAATCATGTGAGGGTATCTGGACAGGTGAATAATCGGAGTGCGAGAAATCTGGAGCTTGTAAAACCGAAGAAAATGGATAGCCAGCCTGGCTCACACCAACCGGACTGATCTGCGGGTGATGGCCAGGAATCTGTGGGTGACTGTGATATCGCTGCATGGCAGGTCGCTGGCTTGCACATTGAGGGAAAGTGTCTTCTCGTGGCGACATATTCGACTGCTGGACATATACATTCTGATCCTCGCTTTGCGTTGGCGAAGGATAGTTTTGTTGGTATAGTGCTTGACCAGGCAGTGCCTGCGACGTAGCGAGCTTCTCAGCGTAGCTGTCAAACGAGACCGGTGTCGGTTGGTAAAGACCCGGGTTCTGTGGATATCGTTGCGGATCTGAATATGCAGCGTTCTGGCTGTGACCGTATGACACGGAGAAATTGGTGTGTATGGGTGACGGTTGTGGAAAGTAGGATGTGGTGGGCGTAGGATTCTGGATGAGATGATGGGGCGAGTGGAGCGGCTGTTGATGATGTGGTGATGGGAGCGGCTGGTTATATGTTTGCTCTGGGGAGTAGGCGTTTGGTCCTCCAACAAGCACTTGAGAACTGGTTGACAGCCCAATGGAGCCAGCAGCCTCCATGCTGGCCATGTCGAAGCTGCTTGAAGGCCGAGGCTGGAGGGGAGCTGGTGCGTGCTCTTGAGCTCGGCCACCCGTCCGGGGTGCTGGGTATTGTGGATTCCGTGTGCCAGGGAGCATCGATGTGTGGTACTGGATGGTACTGACGACACCTGGGTGATTGGGCCAGCCTCCAATGGGAGGTTTGAAGATAACTCGCTGGTTATACCCTTCACATTGACGCTTAGATTTGATGCAATTGGCACAGGTAGGGCGCTCTTCGCCACACTTGATACGGCGCTTGCGGCACGTCAAGCAACCAGTCTTGGTTCTCTTGCGCATCTTGGTAGTGGCTATCGAGCCTGAGCCGTTGCCCATTGGTGAGACGTCGCCGGCATCGTCCGGTGGTGACTTTGACCGGGCGTTCGCCATGTCGAACTGATGATATGTATGTGATGTCGATGTGGGAGCCAGGTGGGTGGAAGTGAGTAAGGTGTCACAGACGTCCTGAGGTGGGAGGCTGATGGTGTACTTGAGGAGACGCCTGATCTTGGAGCCAGCTCACTAGCCACTGCGGAGAGATGATAGTCCGTCTGGAAGCGAGCACGGCAGCACCAGATTAAGGAACAGCTCCAGTATATGGTGATCGGTATTCGGTGGTTTTCGCAGGATCCAAACGGTTCACCAAAGTAATGACCGTCGTTTGACGTGACTGGCCAGTTGACAGCGCCGCTTCTAACTGGATGGCGCAGAAGGCTTCAGCAGGACAGGCACGAGATGACACAGAGTTAACAGTCCAAGCCTCCGAACCATGTGGAGAAATGGTTTTCTGCATTAGTTATGCTGGATAAGAAAGCACGCACCATGTGTCAAACGCTTCCTAGGAGGCCGAAAGAAGCAAGCGGCAAGCCATCCGCTGGCAGACAGGACATAGAAAGCTATACGTAAATCGACGGCACACCGAAGGGTTTAGCAGCCCAGCGTGATGTGAATGGTCTAGATGTGGAGGCAGAGTTATGCTGCTCCAGGATAGGCGGGGGCCGCTGTGTTCGAATCAACAGAGGCTACGGACAAGGGCGGGTGTGAGTGGGTGGATCTCAGAGGAAGCATGTTTCTGCTCGGCAGCGGTAGTGTGAGGTGCGATCAAGCTGCGTGGTCAATGGCGTGCGCTAGGGCTGTGGAGGGCACCGCCCAGGAACCGCAGGGTGAAGATGGCGGCTGTGGTCTGTGTGAGCGACCCAGGGATCATGGATCTCTGGGCGGGCAAGCTAAGGAGAGGGGTATGTTGTATGGCGCTGACGGGACAGTTCACTCGCCCAGAACAGCAGCACGAACCTAATGAGCGTGTGCTGTCGCTGTTGAATCTTGTGTTGAGTGACAGCGCGGTGAGTCTGCAGCGGTCACATTATTCATCCTGCCGGCTTCGGGCTTCGGAAGCCTCGACGCGCGTGCCGGCGCCGAGGTTCTTCCACAATTCATCAATTACTCAAGCCGACGAGCAGACTCCTCCAACATGACGCGTGCAGTCGCTTTGCATTATCCAGCTAGCTAGTCAACTGGCAGCGGACGAGGATAGCCGCAGCGTTGACCTCACAGTTCGCACATGCCCCAGCACGCAGCGTACTGCTTCTGGTTCCGGTGGAACGTGAGATTCGGAAGAGCTGGCTGCTCTGGGGCTGCGCACAATCGTACGCCAGCAGATGTCACGCTCTGACGACCATACATCAGCGCGACGTCGATGACAGGGCTCCTAGCCAGAGCTGTCTGGATCGCTGGAGCTGAATCGACCCTTGACCTGCAGCAGCAACATCTGAGGATCCTGCCCAATTCTAACCATGTCATAAGTGCGGCCGTAACGCCGCATCTGATACTGGACGATTAGTGACTAATCTGGAACCGCACCAGGGCAGGACTGGCGTGAGAAACTTTGGCGTCTCTCGCGGCGGGCTGCATTAGCAGACTCATACCAACCTCCGCCCGGCTAACCTTACCGCCATCGCCCAATTTCGGAGCACTGCTCTTTCGTGGTAGAGATATTCGGGGTACTTATGTGGATGACCTGTTCGTCACCGGTCAAACGATCAAAGACGGCAATTTGCGCTGGTGGCGCTGCAACCAACGAGCTGAACCTTGGTGAGCACGACCCGTTGCCAGTCGTGCGGTCCCGCGACCCTACCCGCTTACGCGCATCCTAACATGATTTGCGCCCGGGTTGTGCGTGGATCCGAGGATTGGGACGTCGGATTGTGATAGCTATGACACTTTCAAACACATAAAAGAACCTCCTGGAACCTGTAGCGGAGCGCGTGCAGGGCGCAGAATGCTGGGCATCTTCCAAGAAGCTATCGTCAGCATCGAGCGCGACTGGACACAGGTCATTAAGGCAGCAAGGCAACAAGCGGCCATAATCGTCCGGGATACCAGCCCCGAACGTGCCTCTTTCATCATGATGGAGACCAAATTACGTGTGACCGCCAACCTTGTGTGTTTCGCATTGAACACGAGCGATCTACCATACCAAAGACAGAGATGTCTCCATTTCCATCTCACCGCAAGGCGAGCAGGCACAACTCACCAGAGCCAAGATATTATTTACCTACTCCGAAGAAACGGCGGCAGCATTTCATCTTTATCCAGACGGCATGACTAGCAAACGACATGAGCCAAATTACCGCATAGTTGCCGTTGCGGTCATCTGCCTTCGTATTTGACCGGTACGGCGGGTGTTTTCCCACGTCGTTTAGTCGCCCTGCACCTTCACACTTGGCGACTGAATGCTATTACATGGAGGACCCATAGCTATCGACACGCTTCTGCTCCGACAAAGTTCGACCATGCCATCGTTCGAGAGGATAACTGCCACTCGGGGAGACGCTTAGGCGTCCTGCCAATGCATTGTCGAAGTACATCGCAATGTTCCGAGACCCGTGATACTGCAGCAAAGCGGTGGCGTATGGGCCTTTTAGCTCCCTAACCAAAAAGCAAGTCAGCTTCCGTGCACGCACCCAATCCATCGGTATTATCCAAGTGCGGATTCCAACCGCAAGCGTAAATGTCAAACGATACTCCAAGGCTGAAGACGAACAGACTCAAAGTATGAACATACGATGATACCGAAACTGCTATGGACGGTCTCGATCACAGCTAATAATGCCACGATGAGATTTTTTATGCACCTCCGCGGACGATTACGAAAAGCAATGTGCACACCCTCAGGAAGCCTGCATCCTTCCCTCTGCTTTGGTCATGGCAAACAGGGATCGTGGAGCTGTGGCTTCCACGAGAGACAGCCAGCACTGTGCATGTGGCAGACAGCAACGCGCGCGAAACCATTACTCAAAGTAGCATAAACAAGCGAGTACGCACTGGCCATCGGAAGCTTGATCTCCGAAGAAGTGCTAACTGAAGATCCACACCCGTCAGTAGCTGCAGAGCCAAGTCCTCCCAACACGAAGCGGTGGGGTCTCATCACGTGTGGCTAAGCCGTTCTTGTCAGGTATCGCGAAATTCAAGAAGAGGCACGTGCATATCACTAAGATGGTGAATTGGGGGTCAAACAGGTCAGCCTGCTTTGTGAGACTCGAAAGTGTAGATCCAGTCTGCAGGGCTGCTTGTGAGCACAGCAGATCCAGAAGCTGCGCGAAATTAAAAGTCAAGACGTAGCGCCCGAGCATCAGGGGAAGCCACTATGTCTACCGTTTGTCTGGTTTCGCTTACCCACGTCTTAGATGGAATGTTACCTACGCCTGCACATAATCTAACTGGCCCAGAAGCCGCTTCTGTGAGGCCTCTCGGTACTGTTTGCGGCTGCGACCCAATCAGCAGTGCGCATAGTTTCAGATGTCACGAGTATAAGGCCTACTAAATCGCGCCCAGGGACTTCAGAATCAAGAACACAAGATCTGACCGCTCGTTGAAGCTGGAGAGTACCAAGAATAAGCTTAAGACGGGGGCTTAATCACTCAAAATTACGCAAATCATCCTACACCATTTGCTAAATCTGGTCCAAGAGCGCTGGCGGCATGCAGTCCTTTCTGCGCCGTAACGTCGCCCTTCAGACGCACGGAGATTTCCGTAAACTTTGCAACTCTTTACCGAGGCAATCGTTGTTCGACACTAAGGCCTTTTGGATATCACAGCTTCTGCAACAGTTTTGGTCGCTGTCCTTCCTAAAGGCATTCGCCATCTTCAACGTAGGCAGCCATCTTTACAACCCGAATAGATCACCAGCAGACACCCATTCCTCATGAATCCTGGCCCTGCGCTTCGGCCACTGGTCCCACAAGATCTGCTCACGGTGATACTACGGTAACATCACCCTCCCTCCATGCCGCTAACATGACTAGGATTTGCCTCCTAACGCTGCTTCTGCTAAACATCTGCTCGTCTGATACTGTAAAATTTCCCCGGTACCAGGATTTGGATCCTAACGGTCCGGACCGGCAGCGAGCCCTGCGGGAGATGGACACTGAAGCGAGTGCTGAAGCGCATGTTCGCTCACCCTTGTGCTCCTGTAGCGCAACTTCGCTTCGAAGATGACAGTCCAACCATCGTTTGAAGTTATCAAATATCTCTTCGAAGCAATACCTAGCAATACTAGACCGCAACACGGCACTACTGACGTACAATGTGGTTCAGCTATAATTTGGCTGATTCCTGATTGTCTAGGATGATGATGGCTTTCTCGGGTACGGTAGCGCAACGTTCACTCCCTGACCTTTACACATCGCCGATGACACGAGTCACACGACCTATTTTCCCTTTCCTCGGTGCAAATGAGTCTAAGTCTTGGTCCAAGTACCAACGATTCACGCCTTCAGTTGGAGGAAGTCTCTCAGACTGTTCAAGATTAAGCTCCGTTTACAGCATGATGTGTATGCTCAGACAATGTGACATTTTGCATGGAGATGCAGTTGTCGATAAACGGGCCATAGTGAAACCTCATTCTGTCCGACTTCGTTTCATGGCTACTATGATACCAATCGAGATACTACAGTGTAACTATGCTTTTCTTGAGTTCGACTTCGCACGGCCCATCTAAAGTCGAAGTTGCAGCAGAGATTGCCATTCAAATCATTGAGGAGAGGAAGTCCTCAACCTCGCTCACAGCAAACCAATAGAAGAAATGTTAACGCAGCTCTTACCTGTGAGCTCACCCGGTTCAGACGTGACTGCAGTTTGTTGTTGTCTCAAGACCTGAAAGAGAGATTGTACACTGGACCATCCTGGGGTCATTGCGAGAAAACCTTTGACCTTCTAGTGGCAACGCATATGGTTATCAGGCGTGACTAGATAGAGATGGATCGAATATAAGTCTCGTTCAGCGATGTAAACATAGATGTATTGCACTACGTTGTATTGGGCACTCATGTGCACAGAGAAGGCTGTATGCCATACAGGGAAGATTCAAAGACATATAAATCCATTCGAACATCGCCAGGACTTTTCAAAGCCCGAAGATTCGTAGGTGTTGTGAGCAACGGTGACCTTTCACTTACGTACTTCGCATATTTAACGTTGTGAATAGACATGAGACCGAAATTGTAAGCTCACGCTAGCGGCATGAAGATCACGAAGACCTGGCAAAATGATATTGTAACAAAGCAATCTTGATACTGAAGCATCGACTATCGGAGCTATCTTGCACACCTGTCAACGTCTGCAGCGCTATTCTACCTGCGTCTCATGCCTCCTCTGCTCAGCACTAATATGATACACTTCCTTCCTCGCCCATATGAGTGGATCCTCACTTGCAGTAATGCCCTTTATGCCTCCAAGATCTGGCCTCGGACTAAACGCGATCTGCTGCTGTTTCGCAACATTATCTTCAGTCACTCTATCAATGACCAACTTGCCCACTGGCACCCAAGTAGTACTCTTGTACGGCACTGTCGCATCATCAAGCACGTCGCTCTCGGCGGCCACATGTGCCTGGATAGTGAAGACGATGGGTTTTTCTGGGAATCGCTCATGCAGGTCTTCTTCTAGATAGCTATGATCGAGCTTCTTGAGCTCGAGTGGGTCATTGGGATGGAGGTGGTCACCGTCAGCGGGATCAAGGCGGTAGCGGACGTTAGCAACCTTGCCTTCTGCGTTGGTCAAGACATGCGTATTGGGCTCGTAGTAGGTAATGTGGCCATAGGTGAGAGGGTTGGGCTTTGGTGACTGGACGAATGTAGCTGCGGAGGGATGGCTGGCGAGGAAGGCCTGGAAGGGGCCTGCAGCTGCCCCGAAGGCTGCTGCCTCATTACTTGTGTCACCTCCCATAGCCTTGACTTTGTCAAGCGCGGCTTTTGTGGTCTGGAATGCGCGAAAGACTTGGAGGAAGGCAAGGAAGTCTTCACCTGTTCGAGTTGCGAAGCCGTTGAAGGTATGACTGACCAGGTCGGTATGTGTGTGTTCATCAGTCAGGAAGCGAACAGCAAATCCTTTCGGTGTGGCACCATCATCTACGTCGGGAATGTGTGGGATGCCGCCACCGACAGAGAAGCGGGCTATAACTGGAGTGGAAGCTTGGTTGAAGTGGCAAGCTATGGAAAGCACCTTAGCTTGCTCAGTTGGTGTGAACGTTCCTTCCACAAGGAGACCTTTGGCGTGTGCTGTGGGATATTAGCAAATTATTAATTCCGGCGAGGAGTATCATACTGGTGCGGAAGCCTAGATGCTTGCCAAAGAGTCGCTGCATCTCGTCCACCAGATCCTTCGGTAGATTGTCATTGTTCTTTGTTGCTCCATTGACAGCACCGTTGGTTGAACCGTTGATTTGTCCAGACATTGTGTGCAGATTCGTGATGATAGAGTCAGCAACGGACTCGAAGATTGAATTGGAATCATATTATATGCATTGGCAAAGGAGAGTTATAAATAAGGGAAGAAAGACAGGTCGATGTCAGCTCGACCACAGGCAAACTGGCTGAGCAGGCGATCCCGAATTCGCAGATCCCTACTCCTGGCTGCTGCCATGCTTTCAGATAAACCGCCTGAAGGCAGATGCCTAATGCATAACTTTCATTGGCTGGTACTAGTAAACGATCCGTAATGATAGCCATATAGCGGACCCCAGTTGTCGTTACACCATTGAAGCTGACGATATGCCCCTACATGAACTCTACCTGACTGGATACCTTATTTGTGGTGAATGACAGATCGAGCGGTCGACAGGGTTGTAAGACTTGTTCGTATGGCCTGACTTTCCAGCTTGGCATGACTGGGACATAGAGGATGTTGGAGCTGAGGCGTTCGTCAGCCTGGCGTTGCCCGTTGCGGGCCGGCTTACTCACAGCCAGCCACCAGCAACCCAACGACAACTACACAGCAACAGTCTCTACACTAATCTCTACAAATGCACTCAAATCCGCGTAAGGGTGTGCATACTCCTGTAAACAGTCTGCGATTAATAAGCTTAGGGGCGTACGCATTGTCAGCAGCCAGCCAGATCCATTGTTCTTCGATCCCATGGTCCGCTTCAGTCAGCTTGGTCGCAGTGAGGGGCAGGGCCACAGGTGTATGCCAACACCGATAGGAAGAGTAGGATCGCAGCCACGCCGTGCCGCCATCATCTTGTGGTTGACAAACGCAGATTTGCCAAGACTGGCTCTATTAGTACAACCTCCACTTGAACCAGTGTCAACATGTCCCTGCCGGGCGCAGCTCCAATCGGGGTCTATCATTGAATGCTTACGGTCAGCCTGCTATAACAGGTGCGGCTTTAACTTCCATCACAATCCAGACAGTCTGCCCGTTACGAGGACAGCAGGTGCGGCTTTGACGCCCATCCCAATCCAAACAGTCTGCTCATTACGAGGGTATCACTGCGCGTACGCGCCAATACTCAAGTAGAGGGGTATACATCCTGCAGACCAGTCTACAGCCATCATATGCAACATTGACGGCAAACGGTCTACGACTGATCGGTGCAGCGACCAAATGCACACGAAACAAAATACGCTGTTTGAGAGCTTCCGGGGCGGGATTGATCCCAACTAATTGGATCATGGCCTGACAAACTTAAGAGCTGCATCTCAGCATCTCAGCTCGCCTGAAAGCTGAGTAGGGCTCAATGTCCGCTTGAAACTTCTAGTTCTCATTCAGTTCATGCATTCGTGGCGGAGCTGGGTGCATCATCGCACCTGGTGGCTGTCTTCTGACCATCTCGATGGCAGCCACGGCCAAGCTGAGAACTAGAGGCATGCAGTATATTCCCTAAGTGGGAAACTATAGCACCGCCAGCCCTATGTAATCGACCCTGTCGACAACGAGTCCAAATTCTATAAGTAGACCGGTCCCCTGATCATTTCCTCGTCCAGAATTTCAGCAACTTCATTTCTCACCGGTCATATCCTGTCTTCGCAATGTCTATCGTCGCTGAATTCTTGTCCAATGGCTTCGGGCCCCTACCAAGACTCGGAGATATTCTGGGAAAGAAGATTACCCATAACGTCGAAGAGGACGACTTGGAAGTGTGGGATAAGGGAATCTTCATCAACGAGCTCTTGAAGCAAGGCATTGCCTTCAACACGGGCAAGAACGGCGATGTCGATGGCAGCCTTGCCGCGCCCAGAGGTCTCAGGCAGGGAACGTACAAAGGTACAAGGATGGCGTTGACCGAGATATACAGCTTGATTGAAGAGGCGTAGGTGCTTTACGTGCATTACTACAACGACTCGCTAACATTATCGCAGTGTAGTATCCCACCTCGATGTTCGGGGCTTCGAGCCCATTATTCCTAGAAAGAGAGACCTTTCCCAGAAGCAAGATGTATACAAGTGGAGCAATGATGCTTACCCGCCTCATCTACTGATCATCCCTGCGGGGCAAGAGGAAGGACCGACGGGAGTTGGCGACATATTCAATGCGCAAGAAAAAGCTTCTGTTGGCCAGATTGCAACGGTGTTTGGGTTCATCATACCCGAGGTCATCGATGCAAGAGGAACGCCATTCGAGGGGCCAACATTGGCAGAATGCGAGCAGTACAACCGAGAGCACCCAAGTCCGAAGACCGACATCATGAATGGCGAGAACATCGGCAACTTGGCTGACTGGTACTCCGATGCGCGTTTTGCTCAACAACATCTAAGCGGGGTCAATCCGTCGACTATCGAAGCGGCACAATCCGAGAAGGTGGATATGTACATCGCGGAAGCTGAGAAACAGGGACTTGATGGCATGAGTAAGTTACTCTCGGAGGGCACCGACCTGTTCATTCAAGACTATTCCTACTTCCGAGAAGCCATGAAGTTGAGCGACAAAGAGCCAGAATATCGGAACATCGTGCCGGAGATGACAGGCCCCAAAGGCGACCAACCGACCGGGAAGATGGTGTTCCGCTACGGTTGCGCGCCCGTTGTGATATTCCAGCTACACTGCGACGGACGACTGCATCCACTGGCCATCACCGTCGATCACAAGGGCAATCTCGATAAGTCCATAACCCTCTTCAACCAACGTTTGACCCCCGATGCAACGGGCGAAATCGATGAGAAAGACGACTGGGCATGGAGATACGCCAAAACCTGCGCCCAGACCGCCGACTGGGCGAGGCACGAAGTCGCCACACATCTTGTGGACACGCACATGGTGGAAGAAGCGATCATTGTAGCTACAAACCGTACGATCCCCGAGGATCACATTCTTTACGAGACCTTGAGTCCGCACTGGTTCAGGACTTTGGCCGTGAACAAGGCTGCCCGCGACACTCTGGTTCCGGCTGTTGTAGCTCGCCTTGCCGGGTTTGGCCCTACTATCGATCCGAAGACGAGCCGTGTGATGGACCTCCTCGACTGGTCATATAAAAACTTCAACTTCCAGGACAAGTACATCCCTAACGATCTGAAGAAGCGCGGGTTCAAAACCGAAGCCTTGACAGAGCGAAAGTACCGCAACTACCCTTACGCCACCGACATGTACCTACTGTGGGGAGTTATCCACGACTTTGTTAAGTCTGTACTAGGGACCAAGTACAAATCGGATGCTGATGTTCGGAGGGACCCGTACATCGCGGACTGGTGCAAGGAGCTCCAGACAAACGGTCAAATCCCCAGCTTCCCAACCATCACAACGCTGGTTCAGCTGATCGATGCTACCACCATGTGCATTCATACCGCCTCGCCCCAGCATACAGCAGTCAACTACCTTCAGGACTACTACTACAGCTTCGTCCCTGCCAAGCCTCCTGCGCTCTGCACACCGCTCCCGAAGGACCTTGCAACGCTGCAAAAGTACACCGAAGCAGACCTCACAGCTGCGCTCCCCATTGGAACTGAGGGCCCGAAGTGGAAAGACTGGCTGCTGGCGGCCCAGCTTCCCGAGCTCCTGAGCTACAAAGTCGACGGCCGCTACAATTTGATGACGTATGCGAAGTCACTATACAACATCAACAAGAGCCGCACAAACTTCGAGAACAGGGAATGGGATTCTAAGACCATCAAGTCAGCCGCTGCTTTGTTATACAGCAGGCTCAAGGAGCTCGACACTATCTTCAAACACGTGAGTGATAGGCAGACAGAAGGTACCATCGAGTACCTGGTGTTGCAGCCGGAGGTTACTGCTGTTTCGATCCTAATCTGATCGTCTCCAAGCGCAAGTTCATCTCTTCCAGTCTTCAGTTGTCATTTCCATGTTTCGGTGCATTATCAAGTCACATGGGTCGGGTGTGCTTCCCAGATTGTACTTAAAATATGAAGCCTTCCAGCAGCCATGTAATCATTAAATTTGACCAAGCTTCAAGCACTCGCCCTCCTCTAGTGGAAGATAGTGAGAGGTCTGAGTAGAACCTCGGCACGTAATCGCTCCCGCTCTTCATGCGGGAGCGCTCACGGCTCTTCCACGACTGTTATCTTAGCTGACGAATTCCAGTCCGGCAGACAAGAGGTGACTTCTTGTTGACACGGAAAACCTCCCTGGGATTAGTCGAATTCATGCTTTTCAATATCTCTTGGATGCCAAGAACCGCATCGTGGCCTAGATCAGGTATACGGTCTGCAATCTTCGCCAGCGTGAACCTCCCTTCCACGCCGGGCAAATCGCCGCCAATACCAGCCACCAACCCTATGTATGCGCACCCATCCTCTACATCATCTTCTGGCCAGAAGTTGAACACCAGTCAAACCCCGCCAGCCAGGCCCTGGTCGAAGTTGATGCGACTGCAAACCCAGTCTTTTCCCAGCTACGATCGAGAGCATTGTTCTCGGTGATGAGCTCGTTGCCGCTATCACAGCATAGAAGCTCGCAAAGTTGAGTGAAGATGAAATCTTCGTCGCTATCGTCGAATGGAGAGGTATTGCCCAAGACGGCATCTGGCGCGAGCTCTTCCACTTGGCCAGCAGCGCTGGGCGCATCGTGCCTCTGGGTCAGAAATGTCTGGTCGAGTAGAAGTCGATACCCTACACCAGTACCAGCGATTATTTCCAGTCCAAGGTATGAATATGGGCAGTTGCGGGTCCAAGTTGCTCGGTTGTAGGTGGTGCAATTATTGTTGTCAAGCTTGGTCAAGATGTTCCATATTTCATCCTGGATCACGGCTGTCTATACTGGAAGTGGTAGACTGCGTGGAGGACCGCGGCCAGCACTCTGAGTTTTTTAGTGGTGGTACGCCTTCGAGCGTGTATTTTTTTTTGTCGAAGTCGTCCTTCGCAACTTTTCTAGTGGCCCGGATGCTTTCAAGACAATGGGCGGCCTCGTACGCAAGCTGCTTGGCTCGCTGACACAGCTCTTCGCTGTCTTGTTTGGCATCGACATCTTGGTGAAGGTCTTCGTCGGTCATGGTGGGTAGAAGGCGAGATTGTAAGAGATGAAGAGCCAGCTCTCTGGAGCATGGTAGATTCATGTTCTGAACTTCGAAGAGAGCATGAAGGTGAGACAAGGGTGGTGGTGACTCAGCACCGGCCCAAGGCTCATCATAGTTGAAAGCGGTACGGTCTCTTTGTTTCCCAATTGTCAGAAGGGTGTACTGGGCATCACATACGTTCTTTAGTTCTGTGAAAGACGTAACGGTGGGAGATGCATCTTGCTAAGCACTGGAACGCTTCATACAGATGACTCCTCGTGCAAGGCATCTGAGCTGGTGCATATGTCCCTACAATACTACATCTATCCTCTCTTCTTTGGAGGACCTCTAGTATCTGCTGTTTATTATGCTCCCCAAGTGCAATCCCTCCCTCCCTGTATCTGGACCCTGAGCGGTCCCCCAAGGACGAAATCTCCCACTCTGGAAATTTCGACTTGGATCTCCATATCCACTGTCACGCTGCTAAGAGATGTAAAATGACTCCTAGCTGGTGTACGAAGTCTGTCAAGGGACTGCTACACTCCTTCCGGCCCACTGCACGTGTCTTTTTGTTGACTGGCACAAAATGTCCCTGCAGTTGATTTCTTGTCCTGTCTCTGCTGTCCGAGAGCTTAAACACTTCTATGCATGTCTCAAGACACAGTGCAGTCCTCTACTGTCAAATGCTGGGCCCTGCCAGCAACGCCAAAACATCAAAACAAGAGCATCACCACCTATGAATGATTCCAGGCATTCTTCAACATTCCACGCTCAACTTGCATGTCGGTCTGAGTACCGAAGCCTTTCTCATGAGTACCACAGCCGCTCGCGCGATTCAGCGCGCGGGAGCGGTGTATGAAGAGTGTCAAAACGAGCGGCACTCCCTATTATAGCAGTCCAATTTTTCAGTCCTTGTTGAAACGTATTCGAGGCAGCTATATTCTGCTGGCTCTGCTGCAAAAGAAGAAGGGGACAATGCTCCAAATCACAGCCATCATCGAGCCATGCCCCCAGATATTCTTCCGCTGTCTTCACTGTCCGATATCTGTCTAGTCGAATACGTGTGGTTTTTCTGTGCCGCAAAGATGCACGCAAGTAATTCACGTTTGTTTGGGTGCCAGGGGTTTATTACCAACATTTCCATGTCACCGGACGATACCTATGTGTACTACGAACCCACTATTCTCCCTGAGATCCTCGTCGAGGTACCGGTCTGGTACCTGCCACATGTGAAACAGGCGATGAAAGCTCTTGATCCATGTCTCAAACACATCTGGTGAGCGTAGTTGCTGTGCCACTATACACAGCGTAGGCTCAGTCGCATCCTTGTTGAGGTTGCATATCGCTGCGCATGTATTATTCAGCGGCTCGACGAGCGCCTCGTTGTATATGCAGTCGCAAGCCACAACCATGTCAACAGGCTGCAGCTGTTCGACAGAATCCTCCTCCCAATCGAAGATCTCAGCTTTGATGCGTTCACTATTTGGATTCGAAGGCTGCCGCTTCTTCCCTTTGGCGCCCTTGTTCGGTGCAGGGAAGACGGCGTCAAGGTTAGACGCAACGTTCTGCCGCAGCAGCTTCATAGCGTAGTCTTGATCTGTCGCTGTGAAAGAAGCTATCTTCACACCCAGCGTGAGGGCTACGATGCCAGAGATGCCGGAGCCGAGTTCTATGCACGTCGAACTGGACGACAGCAGGCCTGACGTAAAGAGAACATTGGTGGATGAGGCCATCCACTCCGCAAACCTCGGCGTGACAGCCCAGACAACTGGCACGTGTTAGTGACCTACCTTCATGATACACCGTTGACTATGTTGGTTGCTGACAGCCAACGCTATCCCAAAGCAGACAACTAACCGAGCCATGTACCAAGCTGCCCCAGCCCTGGCCAAGTCTGGGACAATACTGTGGCTTTGCGCGCCAGCAATCACGTACCTGCGCCCGTGGTTCCTGCCTTGCGGTCGCTCGTCAGCAGACCTCTGCTTTGCTGGATGACCAAGTCGCGCCCGGCGACGCTGAGCTCCAGCGCCTCGGCGTGGGCATCGATGATGCCTAGCGACTGGGACGGGAGGGCTTGCGAGAAGACGACAAAGGCCTCTGTGGCGGTATCAGCCCTTGTTCCCTGGAGCTGACGGGCAAATCGTGAGCCTTCGAAGGACCGGGGATACGCACCTTCCTCAGGGTCTGTGATGGGTGCACTCTCTAAGATTGCGGAGAGCTGCATGGTTGGCGGTGCAGGAGGATTTCTTGGCAGATGAAGCTAGACGGCTCGTTGCCCGAGCAGAGGCGGCGCGGGCAAGACGTGAGCTCTTGGGGCCGTGTGGGTGCTTGGCCGTGGATGTGCTGCGCGCTCTCGCACTGGCAATGGCTGCGAGGGCAGCAATGGCAGGGACGGCGTGTGTATAATAGACTCGCTGAGACTTGCTGTGGAGTCGCCCACCTGTACTCTGCACTGTCCAGGCGCGTCACCAGGTTGTGGGCCAGCGTCTAGTTATCGAGGGTGAGGTCATTGCTTCGTCTTGGCGGCAACAGCTCAAGCTTGCCGCGAACTATTGCTCGGCTGCAGCGCTCCTCTCTGGATCCTCCTCGTCACATCCGCTCCTCCCTGCTGGCGACACGTTTCGCACCGCTGTGCAGCACTGCTCTACTTGTTTTCGTCGTTCTGCTTGCCGTGATACCCCCCGCCCTGCACCCGCACCGCACCCAGAGCTCCCAACACTTTTACCTGTCCACCACGACATCTGCCGCCATGTCGCAGAACCTCAAGAAGCTGATGCCCCAGGCGCAGGCGTCGCGCGCCGGGCCGTACACTTGCGAGGCGCCCGGCGTGCAGAAACCCGAGGGCGAGACAATACCGCGTCGCAACCTGGCGGCCAAGGACGGGCTCCGGATGACGCCGCAGGAGGGCGTCGACACGCTGTACGACGTGCTGCGCTACTCGGCGGCCAAGTTTGGCAACGCAAAGGCAGTCGGCTCGCGCAAGATCGTCAACATCCACGAGGAGACCAAGAAGATCAAGAAGATGGTCGACGGCGTCGAGCAGGAGGTCGACAAGAAGTGGCAGTACTTCGAGCTCAGCCCGTACAGCTACAAGAGCTTTGTCGAGTTCGAGCAGATGGCCCTGACGGTCGGCTCAGCGCTGAACCACCTCGGCTACAAGCCCCACGACCGCCTGCACCTGTTCGCAGCCACGAGCATGCAGTGGCTGGCGTCGGCCCACGGCGCCCTGTCGCAGTCGCTGGCCATTGTCACCGCCTACGACACGCTCGGCGAGGAGGGTCTCACGCACAGCATGCAGCAGACGCACGCCGGCATCATGTTCACCGACCCGGAGCTGCTGCCTCGCCTCGTGAAGCCCTTCCAGAAGACCAAGGACGTCAAGGTCGTCGTCTACAGCACCAAGAACGACGCCCAGCAGAAGGACATCGACGCCCTCACCACCGCCCACCCCGACCTCAAGGTCCTCAGCTTCGACCAGCTGCTGAGTCTCGGCAACGACAACCCGGCCCAGCCCATCCCCCCCAAGGCCGACGACCTCGCCTGCATCATGTACACGTCTGGATCCACTGGCACACCCAAGGGCGTCATGATCAAGCACCACAACGTTGTTGCTGCCGGTAAGCTTGTCCCAGCCCGATTGAAGCAGCTCTGCTAACCCTCCCAGTTGCTGGCGTCGACGTCATCGTTGGCAAGTACCTCGGCCCCGGCGACGTCCTCATCACCTACCTCCCCGCGGCGCACATCCTCGAGTTCGTCTTCGAAAACGCTGTCCTCTACTGGGGCGGCACCATGGGATACGGCACCATCCGCACCCTCTCCGACAACTCCGTGCGCAACTGCGCCGGTGATATCCGCGAACTGAAGCCCACCGTCATGGTCGGTGTGCCCCAGGTCTGGGAGACAATCAAGAAGGGCATCATCAGCAAGGTCGAGTCTGGCGGCGCAGTCAAGAGCAAGATGTTCTGGGGCGCTTTCGCAGCGAAGAACTTCCTGCTGGGCTCCGGTCTGCCCGGTAGCAACGTGCTTGACGCCATCGTCTTCAACAAGGTCAAGGAGGCCACAGGTGGCAGGCTGCGTATTTGCCTGAACGGCGGTGGTCCCATCGCCAAGGAGACTCAGCGCTTCATCTCCATTGCCATCACCCCCATGATCTCCGGTTACGGTCTCACCGAGACCTGTGCCATGGGTGCTCTCATGGACCCGCAAGCCTGGACCGACAAGGCGCTCGGCGAGATGCCCGCCTCCGTCGAGATGAAGCTCGTCGACTTCGCCGACGCGGGCTACTACTCCACCAACAAGCCGCCTCAGGGCGAGATCTGGATCCGCGGCGGAGGCGTGGTGGCGGGCTACTTGGACATGCCCGAAGAGACCGCCGAGTCGTTCACAGACGATGGCTGGTTCAAGACAGGTGACATTGGCGAGTTCGATGCGCAGGGCCAAATCCGCATCATCGACCGCAAGAAGAATCTCGTCAAGACACTGGCCGGCGAGTACATCGCGCTTGAGAAACTCGAGTCCGTGTACCGCTCAGCTCCTATTGTGCAGAACATCTGTGTCTACGCCGCCGAAGACCGCCAGAAGCCTATCGCTATCATTGTCCCTGCGGAGCCTGCGCTCAAGAAATTGGCTGCTGAGAATGGCGTCAAGGGCGACCATCTCGAGGAGCTAGTGCACGACAAGAAGATCAATAGTGCGGTATTGAAGCAGCTACAGTCTGCGGGCCAGAAGGGTGGGCTCGCAGGGTTCGAGATGATCGAGGGTGTTGTGCTGGCGGATGAGGAGTGGACACCGCAGAACGTAGGTTTTCCCCCAACTTACCAACCACGAAGAACGTCTTACTGATCATTATGCAGGGCCTTACCACCGCTGCGCAGAAGCTCAACCGCAAGGGCATCTTGAAGCAGTACGAGAAGGAGGTCGATCGCGCCTACGGCCGCTCGTAGAGTGCGAGTAGAGACCCCCTCCTAACACCTCCGCTCCGAGCAGCAATCCATCAGCAACAACGATTAGGGGAAAGAAAAAAATGGCGGCTTGGTGCACCTTTATGATAATGACAGTTCTGCGCGATGTGTTTGACTTGCTGTATTCTATATCATGGCGAGCTTTGCAACCTTTTGGGGTATATGTAGCGAATTCACACTTACTGATACGCGTCTGCTGTGTCTCACCTCTAGTGCCGACCGTGTTGTGGCCCAGAATGAAGAAGTGAAGCTGCCTGACGCGAGGTCAACGGGGTTGGAAGGCGCCCCATGTCCGGCCCTTCCAGTCCGGCTCTGTGTATGTCTGGGTCGCGCACCAGGGTACGTCTTTCGCGCCATACGGGCTGAGGGGTAAATCGTATGGCATGCGCAGGCCGATGACGATGCGCTTCTTGCTGCGTAGAACGAGCTTTCCTTTTCCCTTCGACTGCACCGCGTTGCTGCAACGAAGGTATTCCTCGTCCTCATCTTCCGTTTCCTCGTCGTCATCGATGGGACCAAGGTTCTTGTCTCCGGTCTCTTCGTCCTCCGTATCTGCTCGACCATGTCCCATGTTCTGCTCCAACTCTGGTACCTCCTCAGTACCGTCGTTGGTATCAGGCATGTCTCTTCCAAACGTCGGGACCATAGTAGCTTCAGACTCATCCCCTTCATCTGAGCCTTTGAACAGATCCGGCCAGACCAGCACACCCGTCTCATAGCTCTGAATCCTCACCTCACCCTGCTTATTCACCACATCGCCCCACGCCTGCTTACTCAGATTTGCACTGGTCACAAGTGCCCAATCGATGCTTCTGTGCGTCTCGTCTGCGAAACGGAAATACGTCTTGATATGCGGTGCTGCTGGGCCACGATGTGCTTCTCTCTTTGTCTCTGGAGCCATGCTGGGGGAGGAGGGTGAAGAGTCTTTCCAGTGGCAAAGCAGAGGGTGCATGTATTGTAGTTGCTTTTTCTGCTGTGCAGATTGGAGTTTGACGTGGATCGAGCCGCCGGACTCATAGCCGTCGAGGGAGGTGCGTACTTCTTCTGCGGTGGGGAAGATGATGTTGAACTTTGGCTTGGGGGCGTTTGGTAGCTGCTGTGGAGTGCGCGCACGAGAGAGGACGGATTGGAAGTGTGACAGCCATGCTGGAGCTGCGCCCAGTGTTGCTATTGACGAGACTTGCAATACGATGTGTGGTCGCTTCTTAGGGTCCCTTCGAGCTGTAAGAGGTATGCTATTCAGAATCTCCTGTAGCCCCAGCCAGCCGAAAGAAGTCTGAAGCACTGGCTTTGCCTCACTGGCGACTTGTCGTGATGGGGCGCTTCCCAAGAACGCAGCTTTGATGGGGGAGAAGTTGTACGCGGAAAGCTGGCCAACCAGCTTCTGCAACTTCTTCTCATACTGGAGTAAGTAACGACGTAGATCGATGTGGAACCGAAGACCACTGCCAATAGCATGTGGTCCCATATCCAGAGGCACACGTGAGAGCTCCAGAAGTGGCGATCTCCACACTGCTTGCGTCATATTTGTCCAGTCCTTTGAGATCATATTGGCAGTGTGAATGATAACTTGCGCACGCTCATCGTGCCAAAAGAGAATGAGCATCTTCGAATGATGAGTCCCAAATGGGTCTGGTAGGTATGCATTGATGAGTTCCATATTCGGGTATCGTTCTGCTGTCTCCTGTCTGCAAGTTAGTTTGTGCTCTATCCTCGAATGCTGCGGATGGGGAGGGCATCAGTATTACCATCATATGGATCCGCCGCTCATCATCTCGTCTCCAGAAACCATGTATGATTTTGATCCTGACCATGTCCCGGACATCTTCATGGAATTGTTGCCTGCATATAATCAGGTCGGCTGCTCAAACACTGTACTCTCGCTAGTTGTGCATCCTCCAAGACTTACATAACAAAGTCAAGGTCGAACAGGAAGTTGAAGTTCCAGCATTCTTTGATTAAAGGATCACCCAGGATATACTTGAGTTCAACAGTGCCCTCATTTTGATGTGGCGCCACATCTCGAATCTTGGTGAGTTGAAAGGGCGAAGGAACACATTTAGTGTTATCGCCAGCGACCCTGTGGTCCCTCTTTGGCTTCAATCCGTCTTCTTGCGCTGCAGTATTCTGATTGGCTGACTTCGATGCTCGCGGTGGTTGCGAAGGTGGAGGCGTCAATATTTGTTTGGGTACGTCATCGAAACCCCAAGTTGGCGCAGGTACAAGCAGCGATGTTGAAGCTGTCGAAGCTGATGTGGGCGATTTGCGTCTTGACACTGGCGGGCTGACAGGTCTGCTCAAGCTTGCAGATGTCACACCTGTGCCTTCAGCCTCGCCTCTGGCTCCGTGGTCAAGCTTGCGCCGTTTCGCGGGTGGAACGTTGCTCCCGCTTGATGCCGTCATTGTGTAAATCGACTGCCAGGCACGGCTGAACAGAGGATTTATTGCAGCATCTGGCAGCTTCAATGCGTGCGTACTGATGCTGTGCACAGACCTTGGTCGGTGAGAAGGCAGCAGCAAGGGAGGCACCATCAGGAGGCACTAAGAAATGTGTAAAAAGATTGTGTCATGATAATATTTTACTCAGTCAATGTCGATAGGCTTTTGAGCCATTGCACTCATGAAGAGGCTGTAGTCATACTCCGTCTAGATATCTAAGCAATCACACCTGTGATGCTCAAGCGAACGCTGGGAAAGAGAAATTACTATGCCCGATGATTCAAAATACAAACCCAACTCCGGATATCGCTTCGCTCAAATTGATATACACACTCGTTCATGCTGCGCTCGCGCTGACAGCGGGCTGAGCAACCCTGGTAACCTGGTCGCCAGCGCGGACGATGGGGTTGCCAGCGGCGTCCTTGGCGATGAAGCCCTCCTTGTTCTCCATCTGGGCTCGCTTCCAGATCTCAACCTCGCAACCGCCACGGATAACACCAACGCGCATTGTGGAGAGGAGGTTGTGGGCGCCGTTGGAGTGGAAGTAGACACCACCGTTGAACATGGCCGTAGCATCCTTGCCAATACCGCTCTTAATGAGGGTCTTACCACCAGGATGCTCGTTGATAAAGTCGGTGACGTCGTGGACAACACCGGCGACAGCAATGAGACCACGGCCGTTCTTGGCCTGCTCGACGTAGTCGTCCCATTCAATGACAGGAAGCTGCTCAAGAGGAACACCCCAGTCGAGCTTGGCGCGCTTCTGGTCAATCTTCTTCTGCAGCTGCTGGACACGACCCTTCTCGATCTCGTTGGCGCGGAACTGCTTCAGGTTGGAGGCAAGGCCAAGCTTGGACCACATCCAGATGGACCACTTGGTGGGGTCGTACTGGTGCCACTCAATAGCGTTGCGGTAGTCGGAGGGGAACTCGTGGTGAAAATTGTGGTAGCCCTCGCCAAGGGTGACAAGAGCAGTAATGACGTGGTCACGGGGAGAGTTACGGTCGTCGAAAGGCTGGTCACCGAGCCAGTGGGCAAGGGAGTTGACGCAGAAGGTAGCCTGCTGGACGAAGAAGATGCGGAGGATGCCAGCGTAGATGAATCCACCCTTCCAGTCGTTCCAGAAAAGACCGGCGACGGCGGAGGGGAAGATCAGACCCATGAAGACGACGACCTTGATGTAGTGCTTGTGTTGCCATACGACAACAGGGTCCTCGTTCAGGTCGGTGATGTCGGTGCGGCCGATGCGCTTGGGGTTCTGCTTCATGACCATCCAGCCAAGGTGAGAATACAGAAGACCCTTGCGAACGGAGTAGGGGTCCTTGTTGGTGTCGGTGTAGCGGTGGTGAGCGCGGTGGTCACGGCTCCACCAGCGGATGGAGCCTTCAACAGCGCCGCCGCCAACGAGGGCGAGGAAGACGGACAGAGGGAGCGAAGCGTTGTAGGACTTGTGCGCCCAAAGACGATGGTAACCAGCTGTGATACCGAGACCGGTCCAGAAGTAGTAGATGACGGCCCAAAGGGCAGTCTGCCACTTGAGAGGAGTCCAGAACGCGGCAATGCAGCCAGCGAGGGGAATGCCAATGATGAATACGACCTGATGATCATGTCAGCGGATTCTCGAGGCTCAATTAGACATCGGGAAGAACGTACGTTCAGCCAGTTGACGTGCTTGTACCAATTCGCCTTTGTTATAGGCGTGTCGGTGATGTGAGGCTTCTTCGGGTCGTACTTTGGGTTGCGGTTGGGCTCGCTGGTCGAGGCCATGGGCGACTTCTGATCAACGAACTCGGGCTTGATGGCGAGGTCGCCGGAAACAGCCTGAGAGGAGGGCATGATGGTGATCCGGAGTTGGGAGGGTGTCGGTGTGATAATGGCGAGAAAGCTACTCGCAAAGTGTAGGAAATTCTCGAGCTCCGGTCGGTTTCCAAGAAGCACGCAACTAAGGGCTCCAGTAGCGAAGGAATACCACACTCAGGAAGAGGGGTCAGATAGAAGTGCAGGAGCGAGAGGGGGTGAAGAAAGAGAGACACGGCCGGCACAGCCAGGATAATATAGCGATTGGCGGTGGAATGGAAGCACTGTCTGTTGAATCCCCAACGACTGCACGCTAAGCGAATAAACCGGGACCTTGCATCGCTCCACGCCAAACCCTTCGAGACCTGCCACCGCCGTAATTTTTGTCATCGGCAGCCTAGCGCAGCCGGCGATTCGCTGGCCAGGGCCCTGCACGGGCAAGCAAACGCCGCGCGCCAGTAACGGTGCGAAAAGAATTTGTGCAAAGGAGGATCTTCGCCGCAGGAAGACAGCAGAAACACGCTGATCTCGGCTCTCAGGATCGAAAAGGTGGCGTTGGCCGTGGCCTCACAAGTCTGAACGGACCTGGCTACGGTTCCCCAGATTCTCGAAGCATCACGGCATCACCACGGCATCACCACGATGTTTCAGCGTACTGCGTCTGGCCAACAGTCTCAGGCAATTGCGCAGTTTCTGAAGCATCGCAAAAAGGCGGTCTGTTCGTCGCAAAAACACGTCCCGGCCAGCCAGCTGATAACTGCCGCTCCGGGCACAGCAAACCTCACGCCGTGGTGAGGCCACTGGCCTCGTCATTGCTAGCCGGACCCTTTTCGATCTCAGGACCCCGCCAGAGCCCTCACCAATGACAGGTGGCAAATTCGTCAAGGTGGGCCACCCGAGCGTCAGAGACGCGGCTGTTGACATCGCAAAGACGCTATCGAGACACTCCTGCTGCGGCTTGACGGTGGCCTGCAGTCTGAGATACTCTGTATGCTGATTTCGCGTTGATACAACTTGCAACTGAAGCATCCTGCTGCACACAATTACATATATGTTGACGTCGTTCATGCAAGACCCCCGGCCCACTGCTGGAATAATTCTCGCCCACATGTATCATCATGCTGCAGGGCTGCAGGGCTCGTGTTGCCGACACCATGGTTGCGCATCCCGGTTCTTCGCGCTCGCAAGCTGTTCCAAACGTGGCCTAGCTAGGTCTGCGTCCTCGTCAACACCACTTTGCAGCCATTCAGATGCTTCGCGATATCATGCCGAGAGTTCTGGCACCCTGATCGCAGACAACACCGCAGCATGATGACTGCAAACAGCTCGCCTCAGTTTTAGATGATAGACTCCTCTCAAGCTCACAGGCCTCGTTGGCCCTGGGTACTTGCTGTCTGCCGAGATGCCCTAATCAAGCGCAGCAGATATCAGCTCCTTCAACACGTCGCCACTAGGAGTCAGCGATGAGGCTGAAGCGATGACGGGTTTTGACAGGTTTCCAACAACCATGACCAACATGACGGCACCTTGCGCCTTCTGGTCATAATGCGGACTGTGGTTCACTGTTCGAGAAGTCTCAACCCACAGCTCCAGCAGCTGGCATGTTACCTTCCCCACACTCAACAAAATGCATGTTCGCTGGAAGACGAGTCTATGTTGTAGACCTGCAGGGGCTGACTGTTAGTGAGCATGGTAGACTGGAGGACTTACAGTATGTGTAGGACTGTCCTTCGACTAACCTTACAACATCCTCGACATCAAGCAGTTTGTATTCGACTTGATCAAAGGATCAATGTCTCGCACTGCACCGTCTAGATTTGTATCTGGGTGGAGATGTTGGTTGTGAACTTGCTTCACTGTCCGAGGTGCCGAGACATGGTAGGTAGGTGTACCTCAATTCTTTCCGGCATCGGACGACTGCGATATCAACACATCTAGAGCAATGCGGCGTACACGTCCCTTGTGCGAGGCTTTCGAGTATTGCATAGATGTCGTGGGTGTTGTAGCGCGTCGCGGTGCTGCGAGAGGTACCGCAGCACTCCGTGAAGCCCGGCATCCGGCGACGAACATACATCGACCATCTCTATCACCAAGACTTCATCCAGCAGACGTGGGATCTCCTCACATCTTGCGATCCATCGTTGAAGTCCATTGCTGCTACCGGCGGGCACCGAAGATGAGGTAAGCCGGTTGCTCACTCTGGGCCAATCAGACCTCATGCTGCTATCAGTATGATCGTAGGTTTAGCAAATCGTAGGCGGGCGCCGCCTCAGCCGCCAAGACCACCCACATGGACGGCAAGACTGCCGTGGAGAAAGTACAGTATTGCAGGCGAATTACGATCTATTTCGGCTTCCTCCATGTAGCGGCTGTCACGCGTGGCTTTTCCTGCGCGAACTAGATCCTTATGCGCGCACAGCTGTGTATCTTGGGTTTTGCCTTACAGATAAAGCAAATCTAGTCTCGTGGATCACCTATCGCGACAGAACATAAAGTACAGGGTCTTTCCATTAGCTTTTCGATACTCTTCAACGGCGTCTACAAGCAACGGCTAACACCATCGGCCTCCGCCATCGTCTTCCAGCTGTCCAGCAGTCTATCCCCGCAGTATCAAAGGTGCATCACAAGCATATCAATTAGCGCACCAACGCGACACAACCTTTGGTGTGACCAAACTTTGATATCAGCACCACCGACGTCGTCAGTCTAGTTCCGAGTGTCAACACCAATCAAATTCCTCGAGCAATTATTTTGGTCCATCGAACGATCACCGACGCTGTCGACCAGGTCCAGCATCCCGTGAGGATCTCCACGCCTCATTGAAAAAAAGAGAGTTGGCAAGTTTCGCACTGTCAATTATAATCATGGCAGACCGTATTGGACCAGATCACACACCAAAGCGAAGCTTCGGAGAGAAGTGCAGGCGCCTTGCCAAGGCTTTCACAACGAAGTACGACTCTGAATGATTGCGATTTATTACCAGTGACTGACTATCCAGCAGAGACGGACTCGTTGGAAACTACGACTATGGTTTCCTCTTCAAACCCAACCTTCCATTCATGAAGAAGACCCGCCGAGCTGCACCTTTCTTCGGTCTCCATGATCGCATGCCAGTCTTCCTCGCTCTACTTCTGGGCTTTCAACACGCACTTGCTATGCTGGCCGGTGTGATCACACCTCCAATCATCTTATCTAATGCTGCTCACTTGACTGGAAGCCAGCAGCGCTATCTCGTGTCGACGTCACTCATTGTCTGTGGTCTCCTCTCTGCTATTCAGATCACCAGGTACGGCTCGTCACTCCAGTAATTATTAGACCAAACTAACACCTCCAGGTTCCACATCTGGCGCACTCCCTACTACGTTGGCACAGGTCTGATATCCGTCGTTGGAACGTCTTTCGCCACCATCCCCGTCGCAACCGGTGCCCTTAGCCAAATGTACGCCAACGGCATGTGTCCATCTGACGCTAATGGTAGCCCGCTACCCTGTCCCAACGGTTACGGAGCAATCCTCGGTACTGCCGCCTGCTGCGCGCTTCTTGAAGTCGGAATGTCATTCACCTCCCCTCGCCTGCTGAAGAAGATTTTCCCGCCTCTCGTTACCGGCCCAACAGTCATGCTTATTGGCGTCAAGCTCATCCTGACTGGCTTTCAGAACTGGGCTGGCGGTAGCAGCGGATGCCAGGCGCGTCCCACTTCTGGCATTTACCAACTGTGCCCTACCACCAATGCTCCTCGAGCCCTTCCATGGGGCTCGGCGGAGTTCATTGGTCTTGGCTTCAGCGTCTTCATCACCATCATCATCTGCGAACGCTTCGGCGCGCCCATTATGAAGTCCACCGCCGTCGTCATCGGTTTGCTTGTTGGCTGCATCATCGCCGGCGCTACAGGCTACTTTGACCGCTCTGGTATCGACGCTGCACCCGCTGCCAGCTTCATTTGGGTTCAGACCTTCAAGCTGAGCGTCTACGGCCCAATTGTGCTCCCGTTGCTAGCAGTCTACATGGTGCTCGCCATGGAAGCTATCGGCGATATCACAGCAACCTGCGATGTCTCGCGTCTGGAAGTTGACGGCGAGCTCTTCGACTCGCGCATCCAAGGCGGTGTGCTCGCCGACGGGCTCAACGGCATCATGGCCGCCCTCTGCACCATCACACCCATGTCGACCTTCGCACAGAACAACGGCGTCATCGCACTTACGCGCTGCGCCAACCGCAAGGCAGGGTACGCATGCTGCTTTTGGCTCATCATCATGGGGATTTTCGCCAAGTTTTCCGCGGCGCTTGTTGCCATCCCGCCCGCCGTGCTTGGAGGAATGACAACCTTCCTCTTCTCCGCCGTGGTTGTCTCGGGTATCGCTATCATCGCGCGCACCGAAATGACGCGCCGCAACCGCTTCATCCTGACTGCTGCCTTTACGCTCGGTTTCGGTGCTACACTTGTCCCAACTTGGTTCAGCTACGTCTTCACCTATTCCGGCGACAACCGCGCACTGGCGGGCTTTTACGATGCTATCGAGCTTGTTCTTGAAACGGGCTTCGCTGTTGTGGCGTTTGTCGCGCTCATCCTGAACCTTATCCTGCCGGAGGAGATCGAGGATGATATCCCGGAGCTTACGGCTGAGGAGCAGGAAGAGGTCGCTGATCATCAGGAGTGGAAGAGGGTGCAGAAGATGAACAAGGAACCCAGGGCGAGCAGTGATATTGCGCCTGCGGGGAAGATGTAGATTGAATGTCTAATTTTCGATCTTTGGCGTAAAACGAGGGGTTAAAAGTGGTGTGGTGTTCGGTCTTGCTCCAACAAAATTTCACATCCTGTCAAACTTATACAAGACCCTGCCAATGATCGAATTGTGACTGACTCAAAGATGGCGAACAGGCATGTTCGTATCCCGACTCTTCTGATGCAAGCGAACGTGAACCTGACAGATATCGATCTTTTAATGAAAGATATGTGACTTTATACTTATGCAAGCATTGGCAGTGTGCGAACTGCACTTTTTCAATACAGCCCAACACTTGAGGGGTCAAACCATTCAGCAAGTCTGATCTATGACTGTCTGGGGAAGTCCAAGTTCAAGCACGCGACCCGTTGTCGGGATTCATCCCTTTCAAAATTTTGGCCCTGGCGCAGCCAAATCAACAATTATGGTGACCATGGTTGGGTGGTTTTATACATGCAATGTGTGTGTAATGTTTTATAGAAGAGATAGCAGGGCATTGCTTGTCGTAATTGTATCCAACCTAAGCTACCCATGAGCTTGATCGAACAGTTACAACCCATGCGTATTGAAGTAGCGTTTCCGAGCATGAGAACAACCTATAATTCTCAAAGAAACTATGGAGTGCATAGTTATTTCACCTAATACAAGCCAACGCACATAATCTGGGCCATTTTGGTGCTGTGTCTTAGGGTTGCTATGAAGTCACACAGTCGCAGACATGTAAACCATGGAATGCCCTTTTCACGGTAGGAAAGACAGCATAGCAAGAAGTCGTTTGATTATTATTTCACTTTGAAGGAAACGAAACTAATAAAGGAAGACTGTCTGCATCTGGTGAGCGATGTGTATGCTTGTCCGAGTCTAGAAACAGCTCGATTGGCCTCTAGACACATTGTTCCGCTTTGCCGAATGCGCGAACCCAGCGAACATGCGCAGTCCAGCCTGTCTTGTCTTACGAATATCCGTCTGTTCAAAACCAGAAGGCCCATGCCCAAGTCTTCAACGAATGGACTATCTAACTGCATAGCCGATAATGTAGCTCTCTTTGACAGTGTCTTTTGACGAGAGACGAAGCATGGCATGACTTGCTCTACTCTTTCTTTTCGTGGATAATGTCTACGTTGTGAGTGAAGCATCCATACAGGTAGCGTCGGCAAATTGTATACTTCAACTCCGAGATTGAGGAGCTCAAATCCTTGCCGCTGATCTGGGGACTAGAGCAAACTTGTGCGACTCCGTGCAGACCCTCTATAAACACAACATTGTATCGTTTTGGGTCCGCGTCGAAGACATCCAGGCTTCGCTATTGGGTACAATCATATCGGCCCCCATCTTGTCGACGCTACTGTTAGCATCTACACGTCATAATACCCCAGCCCATAACCCAGCGCTTCACACTGGTCTACCTCTCTCCAACCCTCATTCCTCGTCACCACATCCAGCACCCTCAAGCTCTTTCCGCCGTCCTGACCGCTAACTGGTGCCCACCTCCCCGCCGCCTGGACAAACCTCGTCGTATTAGTAAACCCCCTTGCCTCCAAAAAACCAGTGTCCGGAACAGGATTCCCCGTCCTCGCAAACGCCGTCCAGCTATCCAAGACATACTGACTAAACGGGATATCATTCTCATCGCGGATGTGCGCGCCCTCGCGTACCAGCGTGCCAAACACATAGTACAGCTCACCTGAATGACACTTGTAGTATGGTAGACTCGCATCGCCAAAGGGGTGTTCTGACGTCGGAGGAGCTTCGCAAGCTGGCGGGTTCGGGCTGTACGAGAGGAGCTGAAATGCGCGGTCGAATTCGTATGCGTAGACGTTTTTGAAGATTCCGTTTTTTGCGGCAGTAACTTCTGTTGATTCGCCAAGGCAGCGGAACATGCCGTCTGTTTCGACTCGGGATGTGAGGTTGAAGATGGCGAGGGTAGCGTTTGACTCCGCTGGTAGAGGGAAGAGGGTAGAGTTGAGAATCGAGGAAACGGGGAAGTCTTGCTCAAGAAGTGCGGCGGTGAGGTTCGCACTGATTGGGTAGCTGATAAAGGGGGAGCCGTCGTCGTGCATGTTGCCGGAAAGAAGGGTAACGTTGAGCTTTGGTGCTGTGTGGCCTAGAGGGAGTCCGGACGAAGTGAGGAACTTGCCGTCGATTACGGGGTAAGAGGCAACGGTGCCCGAAGTGAGGTTGGCGACGGGCACAGCCTGCAGACAGGCAACCACGGAGTCGCTGCTGTTCGAGGTACAGCCAGTCTCGTCAAGGAGTGACCTGGTTCGATTGGTAGCTTCTGTGATGGTCAAGTACTTTGCGAACGTAGAGGCATAGTTCAATCCCTGGGGTGTCGACTGTGGGATCGCTCCTACGAACTTACCACGAGCTTCAGGAGAAGCAAGCAGTGCTCGCACAGAGGCTGCGCCAGCACTCTGGCCAAAAATGGTGATTTTGTCCTTGTCGCCTCCAAATGCATCTATGTGCGCATGCAGCCAGTCAAGCGCAATGTTCTGATCCTTCAAGCCGTAGTTGCCAGTCAATGGCGTGCCCTCCAAAGCGAGAAATCCGAAATTGCCGAGTCGATAGTTGATCGTAACCAGAACCACGTCCCCACGAGATGCCATTGCTCCACCGTCAAATGTCGTGTCGCTGGCAGATCCGCTGACGAAGCCACCACCATAGATCCAAACCATCACTGGCTTCTTCTTGGCCTTTGCGCTCTTACCATTAGGGATTGTTGGTGTCCAAATATTCAAATACAGGCAATCCTCGCTGCAGGGTGCTTCACCGGAACTGCAGCTCCCTTGTATGCATTGCGGACCGTATGAGAATGCTGATATGTTCGAGCCAGCGGGTGGCAGGTAGGTGGAGTCGGAGAATCGACTGGGTATAGTAGCATACTTGATGCCCAAGAAACGGAAAGACTGGCTGTCTCGATAGCCTGAGATTGTTGCATTGCCAGTTGAAACCGATGACTGCCATTTGCTGCTATTGCTGGTCGATTGTGGTGAGCTAAGTGGCGCCGTATTGCTGCAAAGCACTGGTAGTGGTGTATCACACGGCAGCTGTTGGCTGCGGCCTTGTGGAGAGATGGCGTTGCATTTGGCCCCTGTCCTGCTTGCCACCCAATATAGATCGTGTCCATGTCTCTGACTGTCGTGGCCTAGGTACTTCAGAAAATCAAGCTCTTGCGAACATTGCTCTGAAGACCAGAGGCTCTCGCCCAGCGCTGCGCAGCTTGATGCCGAGGCCGAGTATGACTGGGGTTTGCTGACGACGATCGTAGAACTTTGTCTTTGGCTGCTGTTACCATAAAGATCATTGTGAGTTAGAATTGTTAATGAGTCGAGTGTGGGTGAGCTGGAGGTGGAGGCTGAGACAAGAGATACAAAACATAGTAAGGCTGAGATGAGCGCCGCCATGTTGGTACACAGCAAAGAGCTAAAGTCTCCAGCATGATTGATGCATTCTCTCAGTGAGCATTTATTCCCAGGGTCAAAAGTAGATCCATGCACTCGGTTGATCCTAACAAGATGCGGAGTAACGGTATGCGAAGGTCATTCGTGGATATTCTACGGTCCCTCGGTCTACAGTTGCCCTACGGTTGAAATCAGCAGGGTAGTGGCGCGATGCCGGACTCGACGCGGAGCAGGGTGTGCGAGTCAAAGGTGCCTAGGTGGAGAGAACGCGGCGCACGGCGTGTGTAGTTGTTTACGTCTGAGCAGAGGACTACTGCGAACACGGCTCAGGACACTGTGCGGTCTAGGCATGGAACGCGTCCGGGGGATCCGCTGCCATTCACTGACGCACTGGCCATGTGACACAGCCGCAGGCTCGGACGGTTGCCTTGGTGCGACATGAGCAATGCGTGCTGGCAGCCCCTGAGGATATTGACAGTTGTTTGTACCGCTCACGGTAAAGATAGACAAGGCGAAGGAGAGGCCTGAAAGTACTCACGGCGCTCACCGGAGCTGAGGCTGCCGTCGTTCGCGGTGGCCAGCCGCAGGACAATCGCGGCCTGGGTGGGTCCAATGCTGCGACTTGAAACGCCGTTGTTGTGAACGTCATTGTGAATTCGCAACAACGGCGTTTCGAGGATAGCGGGCACTCTTGCCGCTCTTATCGTTAATTGCCTGGCGCTACTGCCTTCTAGCCATTCGGGGCTGCCCCTCGCTCCTTCCCTCCACGTTCCCAACCAAAGATATTGGAATGGGAAAGTGCAGGCACCATCACAATAGAGCTCGACATTCCTCGCCGCGAAAGCGCGTTGTTTTCATGCCATTGATGACGACGAACCTGATCTTCTTGCCAGGCCGGACGCGCGCCCGAAACCCATCCCGCCATGCCGGATTGCAGCTAGCTCCGCTGCAATCTTTGTGCCCAGTGCGTCTGCGCCGCTCCCAATTCGCTGGCTTCACCCAGCAGCCAGCGTGGCCCTGGTAAGCCTTTCGTCTCATCACTCGTTCAGCTCATCAAGGAATCCAGAGTCTGCTGTTGCACCTCTTCATCTCGTCGACGCCGGCCTTTCGTCCCTCACTGCTGGGCCAGGCCAGCGAATACTCATGACATCGCTGCACAAACGCTGAGCCGCTGCGGCACTTCATGCAGGCCGTGGAGACGCGCCCGTAACCTTGATTCCCGCTTACATGACCCCCTCTGGTAGCGTCTTCTAACGTTACCAAAATGCTCTCCCAAGGCAAGACTGCTGCCCACGCACGGTCCTTCACACTAAGCTCGATCTGATTCGTTCCTTCTTTCGCACCCATCTCCTCTCTCGGTTCTGCCTCTCTCGACTGACTCCAAAGACACGCACGCCCCGTCGTCGCACACACGCCCACGCCATCTTTACGCCTGCTCAAAACTACTGACTGCACAGCGCACGCCTGCCGACACAACCGTCTTGTGTTCTCGCGCGTCCCTTCCTCTGACGGGTCCCCCTCAACTAGAGACCACGAGCCGCCGCACATCGACTCTCGCCTCACCACCAGCGCATCGCACGCACACGACTGCCGACGCGCTCAATATTGATCTCACATGCCAGGTGTCCGTTAGCGCTCGCTCACCCACACCGTAGTGCCTCTGTCGACGCTGTCGTTCACAACTGCGCTCGCCGCAACCGGACACGGCAGCCTCTTCTCCTTGGCCACACTCGACCAGTAGCCTCCAGTCCGCTCGAGCAACCGTCAGGCTCATCGTTACAAGTCGTTAGGTCGATAGGAGCTGCTCTTATCTGCCCAGCTCGTCCAGTGAACGCGTTGGGCGTCATGCGATCTAACGCAGTCAGAGCCTGAGCCAGCTACCACACATCTCCAGTCAACCTCTGCGTGTCTACCAGAGGATGACAGACGTCTCCTCGATCCAGGCGCATGCTGAACCTCAGCCGGCACCGGCCGCCTTCTATGGTGCCGGCCCTCCACCGCCAGCCTACTCGCACGGCTCACCGGGGTTAGACGGTACGGTCGATGAAGACGAGTCGTCGACGATCAAGTGCATCTGTGGCTTCGCCGAAGATGACGGTGACACTGTCCTGTGCGAGAAGTGCGACACATGGCAGCACATCGTCTGTTACTACGAGTCTGCCGCGCACGTTCCTGACGTGCACGAATGCACTGACTGCAGTCCAAGGCTTGTCGACTCGAAAAGGGCCGCAGATAAGCAACGCCAGCGAAAGGAACTGCTCAATCTCACGGATCGAAAAGGTCGACCGAAGACCACCTCCAAGAACCCCAAGAGACGCACGAAGGATCCACTGGGTTCCGCACAGCCGAACGGCTGGCAGACAAACTCGAACAACGATCTCCACTACAACCCTGAGCGTAAGAGCGGGAGTCCACGAGATCTACCCCCACCAAACAAGCGACCGAAGACAAATCACCGCCCCTCAGGCTCGATTAGCGTCGTCAGTCAAGCGCCAGCGCTAGCTCCTGCCTCTCGCAAACGGAGCGGATCTATCGTTGTCAACGGTAACAGTCCTGTCAAGTCTCCCAACATCGTCGATGGCCCAATTGAGGACTTCTCACTGGAGTTCATGAATCTGTACACATCGCCTGAGCCCTCGTCGGCCGACAACAACTCCTACACAAGCCTGGGCATTGCTAGCGACATAGCTATGTGGCTTCAGGACCCAGATGCCCTGGCTGCGGCCAGTGGAGGCAAGAAACCGCAGGATCTCTTCTCGCGCATCGAGAACACCATTCAGGATCTTGAATCTTCTACGGCACCCATCATCCTTAAGCAGACAGAAGTCGACTCGGGCATCACAGCACACGGCCTCCACCCGCAATGGCAGTTTATCACTACAGACGGCCCAATCGCCGACGGAGGCTACATTGGTGAATTGAAAGGCTTGGTCGGGCGGAGAGAAGAATACTGTCAAGATCCCGAGAATCGATGGAACCTGCTGCGTCATCCAGAACCCTTTGTCTTCTTTCCACCACACCTGCCGATTTACATCGACACACGGCAAGAAGGCAACGTCCTACGCTACGCCAGACGCAGTTGCTCGCCCAACATGACTATGAAGATCCTCGTTGATGCCAGCAGCGACTATCACTTCTGCTTCGTTGCAACACGACAGATTGAGCCGACTGAAGAACTGACTGTTGGTTGGGACATCGACTCCGAAGTTCAGAAACAGCTTGTCAAGGTTGTTACAAATGGCGCGAAAGACGGCTTTAGAAGGATACAACCTTGGGTATCTTGCGTTCTTGCCAACTTCGGCGGATGCGCGTGCGATACCTCGATTGGTCACGAATGTCTCTTGGAGCGTGCCCGTCGCCCTATCGCAGAGCCAGCACAGCCTACCAAGGCCAAGAACAAGAAGCCCAAGAAGTCGCAGGTATCACCTCTCAGTACTGGTCGTGCGACCAACAGTCGTGCTGGCAGCGAGACACTACATCGCGATAACAATGCCGATGACAACATGGACAGCCGCTCTACATCCGGCTCCCACAAATCAAGCAGCCGGGACATCACGCCCGCTACCCACTTCTCGCTTGATGGCGACGTTAAGATGTCGGACCGGGAGAGGCGAAAGCTACAACAACAGGAAAGACTTTTCGAGCAGATGGAGGACGAACAGCACAAGGGCAAGAGAGGGAAGCGCAACAGCGCTGGATCTACCCTCAACACGCCCAGCATTGCCACCTCAGTAAGACATTATTTCGACCCTTCTCTTTATTCTGCTGACTTCATGTTGCAGAAACGGCTTGGACATTCAGACCCTTCACCTTCAGCACGCCACCGTGAGCACAGCCATGGCGTGGCACGGAAGACATCCGGTAGCTCGTCGAAGACTAAAGCTCGCAGCACGCCGAAACCGAAGCCTGTTTACGTCGAGGCATCTACGCAAACGGAGGATGATGGTACCCTGGCCAACATCCGAACAGAGATGAAGCCTCCTGTGTCCTTCAAGCGCAAGCTTCTTCAGCAGGCGCAGGAAGACAAGTTACAACGTGAGCGGATGCGCTCTGCGTCGATAAAGATGGAAGGCAGGTCTCCGGCGCTGAAGGACGTTTCCTCGACTAAGCCCTCGCCGTTGCCACCGTCTCCGCCATTAGAGGACTCCCCGGCTATTGAGATCACGCTGGACCCTGCGTCGGTGCCACGACCGAAGGAGCTGACACCAGCGAAGGAACCATCTCCAGTTCCTACCACTGATGTTGACATGGCCGATGCTGACGAGGCTGCGGCACCGAAGGTCGCCAAATCAAATGTCGAAGAAATGCATGATGCTCCTGAGTCAGAAACTACTAAAGAAGTCGCACTATCCTCCATGAATCCTCCTGCGCCACCATGGCCTGCTACCGCATCTGCTCGACAGTCCCCAACACCCAGTGCAGATGGATCTACAAAATCTGTTGACTTGAAGTTGGACATGCCAGCGAAACCTGAATTGACCAATCCTTTCCACAGGGAGTCGGCGTCAACCCCAGGTGTGACTGGGATTTCATCAGTGGAGTCTCCTGTGACGATAGCTTCATCGTTCTCTCCTGCGGTCCAAGAAGCTGTCAATCCTACACCAGTGCGCAAGAAGCTTAGCCTTAGCGAATTTGCAAGTCGACGTGCGAAGCTCGCCCAGACAACCAGCACGTCTGGCACGCCGCCTTTGGCAATGCAATCAATCAGCTCACCAACTTTGTCGGCAGCCAGTCTTCCAACCGCTTCACCACCCAGCAAGACTGCCGAGCTGTCGCTGCCTGTCGTTACAGAGGAGCCGCAGCCCATCCAAACCGTTGCCGCCGCCACGACCGCACCTACTCCGACATGAGACATGATACCCCGGATGCGTTCTTTCGAATTCTCACTTCTTGGCCGCTCGAAGCCTGCCATTTCTTCTTCCACTTTGGAAGTGTACACTATATAATCGTGCAGGCGACACCCTTTTCTTCTATCTTGCCCACTTCACGATATGTAACGTTCATTCAGTCGCCGCGACGAGTTTGTCTTGGAGAAAAGATGGCAATCAAAAGAAAGGCGTTTTGTCACAGCTAGCTTTCTTTGGCTATGCTGTTCAAGGGCGTCGGCTTTGATTGGGACGAGGCGTTGGAGGACGGCTTGCCCGATGCAATGAGGAGCACACTTAATTGCTACATAGGATAGTTTATGCGATAGCTATGCTGGCTTTGCTGCCAGAACCCGCCAAGAGGCGCGGTGACGAACCTTTCAAGTAAAAGTTCAACTCACAAATGCTCCGTTTTGATATGACAATGGTTCCGTTTTCCTGTTCCTAGTTTCCTTCACGCATGTCATTTCTTTCGCCCTGATACCTGGTCTCTCTCTCAGTCGTCCACCTTACGTTTTCTTCTTCGTCTTCAATCCAAATGTTGTACACCCCGTCGCCGTCGACATCTACCTGATATTGCTCTTACTCCCTATCTTGCTTACAGTCTTACTTTCCTTCTTCCTACCGTTCTTCGACAGCGACCTCGCCAACCCCTCAACTTCCTGACTACTCCTCTTTGACGCCTTGACGCTCGCAGCCTTGCCATCCTTGATCTTGCTGTTTATAGGAAAAGCGGGGAAGTCCTGTGCGTACGTTGTTGTTGGCGTTGTCGGCGTGAACTCCTCAAAAGACTTGTCGAGCGACGTGTTGGGAAGCGCGAAGAGCGTCAGCTCTGTCGCCTTACCGTCATGTCGGGAGGTGCATTGATGCGAGTGTGTGCGTGAATGCGCGGTCAGAAGCTTGGTGCTCGGCGGTGTACTCGGGACGGCGAACAGCTCTGGCTCGGTGTGCTTGCTCTCATCCTTAGGCGACGGCGCCATCAACGAATCATTCCTGCTCAGCCCCAGTCTACCATGGTCCTTCTCTTTCTCAATGACGTCGTTTTTCACCACAGCCGCCAGCCCTAGTACAGCGCCGCGTAGCTCGTCTTCGCAGGTGCCGCACACCGTGCGTCCAAATCCTGGTACTACTTTCCCCACACACCGCTCCTGGGCGCATGTAGCTAGCCCGGGTGTCTTTACGCTGAGCGGCGTCTTCAGCTCATCGATTGGAGAGGAGATGTGCGTCCACAGCGAGCGGCTAGCGATGTTGACGCGTTTTGTCATCGTTGAGCAAAGGGTGAGTGAGGGAAGGGATATGGGTCCACCCGCTCCCTCCTTGCTAGATTTCTGAGAGTTCGATCTGGTGAGTGGAAATTCAGGCGAAGGTGCTAGTGTCGGTGCTGTAGGCCGCAACTGGGGAGTGGCGTATGGTGTGCACTTCCGTGTGTGTATAGGGGTGGCGGCTGGTGTTGGTGGGAGGGAGACACCGAGGCCTGGGGGGAGCAGATCAGATGAGAGTCGCATTGGCGGTAGGTTCTTGGGGAGAGGGCGAAGGAAGGTGTTGCACTCGGCGCATGAACAGGAGATGTGAAGGCGCGAGAGGGGTGTGGCGAGCATTTTGGGTCTGAGGCAAGATGTGATGCAGTGGAGCTATTGGTGCCAATGATGGTATGGAAAAGCTAGAAGGTAATCGATGGTACTTAAGGGATGTATCTAGGTCGTGGGGCATATTCGCGGTTTTGAAGGGTAGTGTGGTGCGTTTGTTCGCCATTTTGTGTTCGATGATTGTCCTGTTGACAGCTGTACACGTCGTAGACCATCAGACAAAGAGTCAAAATATGTTTGACTCGTATCGGATGCTTGTTCGTGCTCTCATTGCTGTGTTTGTGCTATTATTGCTGGTCGTGTAGATGTGTTTCGGTTCGCTCCCTGTAGCTGTAGGGCTTATGCAAGACAAAGAATGCTCGTGTACTCGAAAGTTTTGTTCGCCTGTTTCAGTATTTTGGTTAATGAACTTATCCAGATCAAATACTGTTGCGATCTGAGGAAAGATGCTGCGTTTTCCAGGGCCACCCTGGTGGCGTTGATGAAGAGATGTTTGCTGTCAAAATTTCCTCAGCGACTGAACTGACGGCGACCGAGTCGCTCAATATGGGTTGCGCAGATCGATATGATAACAACAAGTATCGATGTGTCATCGACGAGTGATTCAAGCATCTTTGGACTCTTCTGCTCTGCGATGCGACTTACTCGTTGAGCCTGTTTGACAACCTCTCCTCGTTCAGCCTATCGACGCCCATGAAACCAATATTCACGACGCGATTCAGCTAGTAACTGGAAATATGGCTTTCGATTTGAATCAGGACGCGTCTTCCGAGCAGTGACCTGGGGGTTCGATGGTTCGGTTCCACGCTCAAGCTGCGAGCGGCAGTGTTGCCTCGAGGCATACTTATCAAGAGTCAAGACGTGCGCCACTCATCGAACATCCCGGACACTGCAGCCCTTAAGAACTGTTTGTGCTTCCCGCACAAGGTGTTAATCCCTCCCTGACTCTCTTCAGAGGTGGCCTCTCGACGAAAGATACGCCGAAGGCAGAAACGCTGGCTGCACATGGTAAAGCGCGAATGTTCTCTATACCGCTCCAGCGATTTTGCGCGAAGGAAGTGGGTTCTGATGTGCTTTGGAAACGACATCTTGAGCTCTTGTGTTGTTGTGTTGTTGTAAGATAGTCGTTAAAGTTATGATGATAGGGGTGGAAGATTGGGGCGATATCCGAATAGCTAGTCATCAAAAATCAACAGGAGATGGGATCCAGGGATGGGATTTTCATCGCTGGCCCATGATTTACAGTTCCCTGGGCCACAGTCGTATCCAGGACCCTTTTGTTCGTTTTGCGAATCATTAAAGGTGAGGGTTAGAACGAGAACGTTGTGAATAATTGAACGCTACGAGAGCAGATACGTTTTCTTTAGCATGGGGATAATGAGGCTTCGTCGAACGTGTGTGCAATGGACCTCACAGCACCCGTTTTCGGTCTCTCCCATCTAAGTGACCAAGTATCTCCACACTCGCCTGCAAACGACCTTCGATATCCGGCAGGTGTCTGTCTGTCGTGATCATGAGGCTTTACAATGTGCCTCGTCAGTGCATGTTGTGTCAATGAGTCAACGTAGTCCTTTCTGTTGACCAAACAGAAGGATGATGCAAGCTCGACAACGAAAACATTCGCTACAGAGCCATCTTGTGGCGGTCTAAAAGGCAACAGATTTCTTTTTCGATCATCTTCCAAACGCTATGTGACTCCACGGTCTCGTTTGCCGGCGTCGTCAGCAGCAATAACGCCAATTCTCTTACAGCACGCACTACTGCCAGCTTACTGTGATACGACCCGAAGCTCGTACCTTGTACCTTGTACAATCTTCTGCCAGTGTTTATCAAGCACAGATCGGTCGATCAGGCCGCGGGCCAATCGTTACCGGCCCTCGGATGTGCTTCAAGGTAGCACAGAGGCGGGACTGCATGCAGACAGCGAGCACAGCTTCCCTGAGTGGCAGGTCACTAATGTTAATTCAGGTTGCTCGGAACTTGCCTTAGTTTCCTGCTTTTACTGCCTCAGCTTTTGCTGATTCTGTATTTACTAGTCCCGTTACCGAATTCAGTACCCAGCGTGCACTCCCATGCTTGCAACTCATGACAGAGTGTCCCTCCCTCGACAGGACAACGTAGGCTTCAAGAGATGGTAGGTTTATTTGCAGATTCCTCGGTATTGGATCCCAGAACACTTGATCCAGAGTGCTGACGCCTCGTGCTCCGAGGTTGTAAAAATGGGTATGTTCGAAGAGAAAGCGGACCAATGGGACGCGGGACAAGACTGTACCATACTGCTAGCTGAGCAGATCACGTTGCATGCGCAGTGAGCATCAAACTAGCAGAGTAAAATTAAACGAGTCCGGCAACCGTCGCGGAAATGTCTCGAAGGGAAACGGGATGTGTCTAATTGGGAGCTGCGCGAGGTGGTGATGGAGACGAGCTTGGCATATGGCGCGTTAGCGCGGCCCACCAGGCGTTATATGATCGTCGATGACAGGGAGGACGGGATGACGAGTCGTACCACGACGCGCCGAAACTGATTGACCAAACTGAGAGCTCGCTACTTCTGAAGCAGCGAGCTGCGCTGTCGCTCCTTCGCTCCTGCGCTCGGGTGCCGCGGCATGCGACCCTCGTCGTCGCCAAGTAATTGCTCCTGCCTCGTGTAGCGACGCACTTCTCGCCTGTTGTCGACGCCGGTCTTCTGCCCTATAGCCCCTGCGTTTCGTGCTTTGTGCTGCTCTGCCTGATTCCCAATCTGCTGCTGCTTGTGGCCTGAGCAGTGAGACCTCTTCCGTCGCCCCGCGCCGCTGCCGACCTGCCACTGCAACCACCCCAGGCCACTTTTTCCCGCGTCGATCCCCGTTGCAGTTTCACAGCCAGGTTCTTTGCAGCCTTTGCCCGCCCGCTTGACCTCCGGACCACCACGCCGCAGACACACAGCACCTCCTCTCACGCATCCTTCGCTCAGCATTGCCTCTTCCACTTCCCCACGCAGGGCCTAAACCTGCTCTCGCTGCTCGTGGCGCTCTCGTCCCGTATCCAGCTTAGCAGCGCAATTGCGACCCGAGAGGTCTAGTTTCAACGTCTTCTGTAGGTCGACAACCCATTTCGCCGTCTCTGCTGGATTTCTGCACTAGCAAGCGTTCTGGCAGCTATAGTTTTCAGGAACTAGCTAGTCCTAGCCAGCAGCACGCCTGCCAAGGGACCCTCATACAAACCGTACAGTTTCCTCACGCTCGCCTCTGCGCCGAGGATTGCTTTGAGTTGTCGCGATTACATCACCTCTGTGCTTGACTCGTACATCCCTGCGTTTTGCACATAACGCCGCGTGCCTGCGCACTGTAACCGTTGGCCGAGTGCCCTTTGTACCTCCTTCACCCGAGCGCACGGTGTGTCCAACGTCTCGTGGAACCGCAGGCCCCACCTCTACTTCAAGACGCCGCCGCTCCTCGACTGCCACCCGCTCCGACTATCTTTCACTCCTCCGCCGCTGGTCCCAGAACGAATTATTAGATTCGACACACATTTGGACCTCAGCGGTTGAGGAAGAAGACCCTGTCATATCTGTCAACTGTCCGTCAGCTACTGCCACTTGCCACAATGGATACCACTTTCATCACCATCCACGGTACGTATCCATCAGTGTCGCAGTGAATGCATGACGCTTATGGCAGCAGATCTCACCGAAGAGGCACACATCCTGTACTCTTCTGACTCCATTGTTGACATCCTGGGTCACACGCCCGACGAGGTTGTCAATCGCTCGGTATGGCAGTTCTTCCATCCAGAGGAGCTACAATTTGCCAAGGCCAAATATGGTCGCGGGGTAGCGCTTGACAAGGCAGCCGTGTTGTCTTACTGTCGGCTCAAGAACCGCCAGGGTGACTGGGTCGGCGCTGAGTGCTGTTTCTCGATTGTGTACGATGTAATGGTATGCTGTACCAGTGTCTACAGGCATGGTATGGAAAGCCAGAGTAAGTGTCTAGAAAGCCACATCCATTGCGCGACCAACTAACCTGGCCCTAGAACGCGCTGTCGAGGCCCCCATAGTACGCAAATTGTTTGCTTCATCACCAAAGGATCCTCGCTACCACATGCTGTCTCACCTCTCCAGCAAGTTCGATCTGGGCCCAGAAGACCAGACCCACGAACCCCGCGCAGCCCTCTTCCTCAATCGATTCACACGGACCTTGACAGTCATGTACGCCACGAGCGGCATCGAGCAAATTGTCGGCATCCCTGGGGAGGAAATGAAGGGACGAAGTTTTTACTACTGTATCGCCTTGAACTGCCTTACCGAGGCTGTTCGATGTCTCGAGTCTGCCAAGGGGAATGATTCGATCGCCTACATGCGATTCATGTTCCGAGATCCTCGCCAGGAAGACCCACCGGAGCTGACATCCTCAGAAAGCGATGATGACGAAATGACAGACGTTACAAGCGACGACGATGAATCGATCGAAGGTGGCGTAAGGCTTGGCGGTCAGTCTTCATCGAGTGGCAGGGACTCAGGGCACCAGTCCAGTGGATCCCACTGGAACAGCGAGGAGCCACCCACGAACTATCGCACAGAGTCCGGAGACAGCACTGCACATGCAGATTCGCACCGTGGCGCATTTGGTGAAAATACTCGGATACGCTCATCTACTTCCTCGTTAGGAGGCTCGCCATCGGTCCACAACGAGGATATCGAGCTCGAGGCCGTCATCTCATGTACCACCGACGGTCTTGTTGTATGCCTACGACGTGCTCGCCCAATGCTACCAGGCGCAATGCCAGTCTCACAGGATGCACACCAGCAGTACACTGGTATCTATGCGGCCCCATGGGCGACGCAGCCTGTATTCCACCCGGCGCCGCCACAGATGCCACCATACCCTCTTGGCGCTCAGCATCCGGCCATGATGCAGGTCGGGCCATCAATGCAATTCCAAAACTCGTTCATGCAAAGTATTCGCGATGTCGCGGTCTTTGCATGGGCTCTTACTGGTATCAACGGCAGTCTGGCTGAATATGCGCGCGGTGTCCCCAAGGGTGAGAGTCAGCCGCCGACGGGATTCCCCATCTGGAACCCACTTCCCGACCCATCGATGCTGAGTCACAAGAAGTCGGAAACACCTTCTGGCTACGGTTCAGGTACCAACAGTACCTCCAGCAACGGCGATAACTTTGGCTTCGGCGACCCTGGGCTGAGTTGATCGGCAACAAGTGCCACATCAATCCAAATGCCCCACGTGGAGATATCGACAAGGCCAGTTCAACCGTGGCCCACTACGAGTCTCAAGGAAAAAACCTCTTCTAGAAGCCCGAGAGATCATTTGAATGAAGTAGCGACTAATAACGAATTATGCAAATGAGAGCGCAGCATCACGATACCAAGCCATCTGAGTTGCGACCGGCATTTCGGTACGCTTAATCTACAATCCGTTCCTTGATATTCTCAGCCATTGTAATAGAAAAAAAATCGAATCCCCACTCAAATCGATGCATCATTTTTTACCTCGAGTTCCTACGTTTCACCTTCTTGCTGAGGTTGCAGACGAAACAACCACTGCTGAGCAGATGCGCTGTTTACAAAGACAATGCTGTGCCCGATAGGATCAGCGATGGGGCCTGGAGTCATTCTCCAGAACGCTTCGGTACAAAAACTACCCAAAACTGCCGGTTGACTAGATGAATAACGCCAGGTGATGGGTGTGGCGGTCGAAGCACAAGGCTCGCCCTTTGTCTTTCTCATTGTTGTATTTCGTATGACCAATCACGAGCGTCTAGTCCACGCACTGCCTCCATGTTTCTTTGTCGTGAGGGACGAGAGGCTTGTCATCCTGTCTCCCCAAGCCAATACCAAGTGGACGTGTACGCCATTGCCGCGCTGACCATGTTCAGATCGCCGTCTTCCGTCTAACATGCTGTCTTTAATCGTTCGCTTCCTCGAATAGCCTTCCACCCCATGTCCCTGCTGTCCTGACCTCCTCCTGAATCTCTAGCCTTGCTCATTGTGTGTGCCGAATCATCAAAAGCCGTGAACCTCGCAACGACAATACTGCAGTACTGCCACCAAATCAGGCGCAGCAGCCAAGATGATGATTAGGAATTACCTGAAGCCTGCTTGGCTACCACTGCTTCTGGTATTGCTACAGGTCACCAGCGTCCTGGCGCAGGATGCAAACGCCTCCGAATCTTCCACCACAGCGGCATTATCTGCCTCATCGTCGCCATACCCAACAATGCTTCAGTCGAGCACCAGCACAAATTCAGAGCCACAAACACACACCATTCAGGTCGGCTTGTTGGATCATAAGATGCGTCCCGAGGTCACCGAAGCCGCAGTAGGGGACTTCATCGAGTTCGACTTTTACCCTCTGAATCACAGTATTGTGCGCGCTGAATATGGCTTTCCATGCATACCGTACGAGATGACTGGATCTGCAAAGACGGGATTCTTCTCAGGCTTCAATCCGGTGGACAAGGTGGTGGACAAGCCACCGAAGTACACCATCAGGGTCAACGATACGGAGCCCATCTTCTTCTACTGCTCTGCACCGGGAAGCTGCATCACGTATGGAATGGTTGGTGGCATCAACTTGAACAGCAGTATGAGTTTCGACAAGCAGCGCACTTTGGCGATGGACGCCTCCTATATGCTGCAACCTGGTGAGTCCTCAGTATCTCACTGTGCGGCATACTCACTGACCGGTACTAGGCGAACCCTTCCCAGCTGAATCGCTCCTTCCCTCCGGTAGTCCAGCATCACCCGCCATACCCTCCTCATCCTCCACCTCATCTCCAGCACCTGCCGCCTCACACTATTCAGGTGGAATCGGCACCGGCGCAATCGCCGGCATAACCGTCGCCGCTGTCATCGTGCTACTCGGCGCTGCCCTGCTATTCTTCTACTGCGGGCGCAATAAATCGCTGAGCGAAGCCATCGAACGACGCAACGGCACCATTCGGCGTACTAGTAGCTCTCCGAATCAAATGCTTGAGTACAAGACACCTAACGTGCACACGCACCCTCACCGCCGTAGCCAGGGGGGATTGACATTCCTGCCACATCCTGCTGTGCACCCTGCAAGCCATCCTGGGAGCCCAGAGCCGGCAGTGTATGGACACGGACATCAGATGAGTATTGGTGGAGGGAACTTCCATGCGCCGCAGGGGTACGATACGCGAAAGTATACGGGTCCCATCACTGCGAATCCGTATCATGTTGTCAGCCCTGGGAGCCCGCCACCGGGGAGCATGGGACTGAACGGACATCTGTTCATACAGTGTGTATCCCCTTTTTACTCTTGCCTCACTGCCTCTCCATTCTCCACTACGCGTTAAAAATATCGTAAAATCTGGATTTGCAAAAGCTGACAATAGGTAGAGGGCAACACGGTCCCCGAGGCGGCACCCCGGCACCAGAATACTACGAGGCTTTCCAGCCTAATGGCCAGCAGGTCCAGGAGAGGGCTGTGGAGATGGAAGCTATTACTGCTGTGAACCACACGGATGATACTAGTGATTTGAATAGGAGGAGCAAGTTCTGACTCCAGACGGCGATTGTGGGAGAGGAGTGTGATGTATATTTAAGGTGCTCGCGATGACGTGGGATGGGCTCACTAGTCGTTTCAACGGATGAGTGGGACTATGACGAAGTGAGCATATGGTTATTTCATGACACATATATTGGGTATGTGTTGGGGCTTTTACATCTTTTGTGTGTACATATGTGGCTTGCGAGTTCTTCTCCGGGGCACTATCAATTCCCAGTCAAGTGCAGTCTAGTCCCGACATAAGTACGGTAGCCGAAATCTACAGCTATATATCAGTCTTGGTACGCACGGTCACGCCTTTGCCGAATGATTCTGCGAGACTTGCTCGGACGCGAGACTTCTTAGTCCGATAACGTCTATGGTATCTATAAAGTAAAGGTTCCAGGTGTGGGTCACACTTTCGGCTACTGCAAGCTGTCTAATGTGGGTCAATTCGTATGCGAAACTACTGTGGTCACTGCGTCTTAGTTCGGACAAAATATGTCGTGCAGCTGTTTGTATGTAGCTAAGCGAAAGCATCTCATATGGATTTTGTATGGTATAACAATCGAAATCTCATACTACGTTTGGTAGAGCGTTGGTGGGACCATCCAGTCGGTCATCACTCCCGGAGTCCGGACCTTTTTGCAACTGCAAGTCTGCAAGTGGTTAATTCTACTTTAACACTAGGCACTGCCGTATGGCCGACAATACGATGCCTCGCTTTCCGATGCCGGTTTGAGTCAGGTATGGCAACTACAATCTCGAGGTGTTTGGCATCCGGTATTCGTGGTCTGAGTGACCAAGAACAAAGGTGAGCATGGGTCTTCATGAACGCGGTATTGGGTCAGGTGTACATCGTAGCCTGATAAGATTCTCAAGTGCGCCGGAAGCAGATCAGCCGGAAAATAGGTGTCGCAATCGCACATGCATGCAGGTACTGGCTTCTGCATCAGAGGATCTGGTCTGCAGGCAGTGGAGTACATTCTGTCATACCTGGTACCTCGGGAGTTTGGAGGTCATCGTGGACGTGTAGAAGCTTCACTGCAGGCACTTACTTTTTGTGAGCGACGCCGGTGTTCAAAACCGTCATGGTCGCAGCATTTTGACTCAATGTTTGTGCGAGCTTGAGCTTAGTGTCTTGCTCTGACGATCGTGTTCAGGAAGACTTGTTGATGCAGCTGAAGTGGTGGCAAATGAGGCTGCTACCGCGAGGCTGATGACTGTTGCTAGTACCTGCAGATCGTTGCTGTTCCTGAATGAAGCCAACTCGGCACGGCCCGCGCGCGAGGACCTTGTGAGCTGCATAAAGTGCAGACGAATCTTAGCTTGCGCCGATCACGAATATTCCATTGCAGCTCTACTTCTGCTGTGACTGTCGAAGGATCGAAGAGTTCCTTGGAACATCTTCAGTTCCTGTGTCGCCCGTGGTGTCGTGCTTCTTAAACGATCGAACATCCTGGGTCCGTCAATAGAACCGTACTCAACTCACGAATATAACCTCGCAATTCAGTCGCTGTTACTTAGAAACTGTTGTTCTAATGGGTCGCAGTCGTATATCTACTATAGACTTACGGGGTTTTGTTGTTTAGTGCCTGATTATGCGCACTGCTGTGCGAAGCCTCGTAAACACCACCTGGACACCCTCAACAGCACCGTTAAACAAAGAGATACCACCAAATTTCGGTTCATTGAGATATCCTTCTATGCCAATATTAATCAATAGTTCACCTCGGCAAATTGAGAACCCATTTGTGCGAGATCGAAGTTGTCAATATCCATAGGTCTTGCTTCGACGGTCGCTGGCGATGTAAGGCGCCTGAGTGGCAGCGCCGCATTTCTTATCCCGCGTCCGCCAATACAATGACATAAACCATGATGCTCGCCATAAACTAGTGCTTCTTGACGCCTTTGAGGCTGAGAGTCAAAGTTGACGTTCGACAGGTCTCGAGTGTAGTGTTCTATCAATGCCTCAATATCAGCATAGCTCACCGCATCCTCAAGGCTATCAGAAGAATTGTTCCAGACCTCTTCATCAAGCCAGACATCGTCTTGCGTCGTATATTCAGAACTGAAAGTGTTGGAGCTACTAGACTCTGGGACGTGTCTGCTAGCAGGCCAACCGTCGATGTCCAAAACTTTCTTCCGACAAAACGGGCACGAGTTGCTGGAGCGGATCCAGATGGATATGCACACCTCCCCAAAGACATGCCCACATGGTAGCTGAACTGGCCCTTCGGGCCCAGCTTGTAGCGATGCTGTGGAGCCGAAAGGCTGGAAGCAGATGTAGCAAGCGCGCTCGTTTCGATCGAGAGTATCCGCTTTGACCGGAGTAAGCACGGTACCACGCGTGTACGAGGCCTGCTCGCTTATTTGGCGCATATTCGATAGTTATTCCTCAGCTGTATGTGAGGGATGGTGTAGTCTAGAGCGCAAAGACGGTGTAGGGTCATGATAGTAAAAACAGGGTAGGCGAGGGCGATCAGAAGTAGGCGCCACGATGCGGGGAAAGCGTTGTGCATGAACATGGTAAGTAGGTACCGACATGGAGCTGCCGACAATGCTCCATAGGTCTTTGTCGCTAACGATAGAGTAAGGTGCTGGCTGCGTGTACAGGTGCCAAAGGCTTGCAAGACGCGAGCGATTGATGCCACAGATTGTCGCTTGACCATCCCATTCTCGTGTATGCTCATATGATAGCGAGCCTCGTGGTGGCCGTGTGGCTTGCTTAGCGCTTCAGCCTTGGAACGGATTGCAGCTGTGGAGGTGGAAGAGGCTAGACGACCACAGAAACAGGGTGTAAACATACGACTCGGTGAAGCCCTCAGGCTGAAAAGGTCGTGTCAAAAAGGGTGGGGCCGCCCCGCAAGCGCATTGTCGAACAGCCAGCCACCACATGAGACAGATTGCGAGGGCTGTTTATTTCTAGATTGTTTTTTGTTTCGCTGCAAACCTTGTTTATGCTAATCTTTGTCTGCATAGAACATGCATAAGGGTACATGTAAGAGAACCTTTCTCGGGCGAGACTGGTAGATGAGAATTGGTACGCATACATGGGTACTGGTATCTGGGGTAATTACTGATCGCATGTCTTGGCCAGTAATGTATGTTCAGATCTAGACCGTTAGACTTCTACCCTCATAGGACCTATCTCATAGTGCCGATAAGGAAGTACGAGCGATGAGTCTGGCCATCTCCCGTGCCGCATCTACCTGATCGAGAGCAAGGTTGCCAGATGCGGTCGTAGTGTGCAGAAGTCCTAGCGAAGCCGGCTAACACACGTGGTGCGAGGTGTTTTCCGGGCAGTTCTCAACTATCAGCCTTTCGTAGAACCAGAGCTTTGTCACCATTAGCACGCGCCAGCAAGGGTATGGAGATGGCTTGTTCCAATAGTCCGGTCACAAGGTTAGCCTGACGGCTTAGCCGACTGCGCGGCATTGCTAGAGCGTGCTCTCAATAAGGTTAGGAATTAGATGTTAGTACTAGGGAGATTTGTACTGGGTGCAGTAGCCTTTGACATATAGTGGCCTGACATTAGCAGCGTGCTGCGATCATGGTAGACAGTTTCATATGACCGAGACTGGCACTGCAACGTAGGAAGACAGCTTGCAGTTCGTTAACACAGGGATGGTGTTTGAGTCGTAAGGGGAAATGAAGGAAACTTAGCGAATTGTGGCGTCGCCGAAAGAAGGCAAGTATTATCACGTGCTGTCGCCTTAGACTTCTTTGAGACCACCAAGAGGCACCGTCTCAACACCAACACCGCAAACTTCGTGCGGAGCCGAATCCATATGGGAGTAACAGATCTTCCACAAGAGCTCGGTAGAGGAGCCGCAACAGGATCAAGCTTGAGCCTCAGTTGCTCTCCCGTCGCTATTTTTGCACGGGCGTCCACTGAGACAGCATGCCGTCAGCCCCACCAACCCGTCAGGGTTACAGTCAGTATTAGCCCTGTGGCTTTGTTGTGCCTTTCTCTTTATCCCTTGCTCAAGAGCCAGTCAGCTACTGTCGGTCGACATGATGCAAGCCCAAGCCTCGCGCACTGGCGTGGCTGATCAGCGCTCTATCCCCAATACAAGACGCCTCTGCGCTTTTTTGGGGCTGATTTCAGTAGCTGCCACCCGCCGATAGTTTGAGCTATGCGGCCGGCGTACGCGATGTTTTGCAGAATCCGAAGAAGGTTATGTTTAAGAGCTTGATAGACCCAACAATATAAGTACATTGTCAACATCCACCAGATTGAGACCATCGCAACAGCTCCACTGAACTCACAGAGTCGCTTGATCACCGGTCACCTTCCCTCTTCAGTCTTTGGTCGATACCTCTCCTATTGAACCAATCTTCAAGATGCGTTACGCTATTGCTGCCTCCGCCATCCTCGGCGCCGTCGCCGCTGCTCCTCAGATAATCAACGTCGAGGCTGCCCTGGCTGTCCCTACCCCCACAATCCTTGGTCCTGCCATTGAGGCAACCAAGCCTGCTGCTGTCTCCTATAACCCAATTGTTGCGGCTTCCGCCGCCGCCGAGGTCGTCAAGAACGAGGGTGTCATCGAGAAGCGCGATGTCAGCGCCTGCGGTGATGCCCTTCCGGGCGGCAACGGACCTTCTCCCGCCTCTGGCTTTGCAGACAGCGACTACACCGCTGAGGGCAGCAGCTTGAGGACAATTGCTAAGAACGCCGCTACTCCTTCCGGCTATGACCTCTCTTTCCAGAACTTGCTCGGTAGCTCGCAGCAGATCGGTTACCTCACCTACAAGAACCTCGACTCCTACACCCCCCAGCTCTGTGCCGACGCTTGCGACTCTGAGAAGTACTGCCAGGGTTTCAACATTTTCTTCGAGCGTGACCCCAAGTTCGACCCTAAGGATGGCTGTGCCAACCCTCAGGCTGTCACCAACGTCAAGTGCTCCCTCTACGGCTACAACGTTGCTGAACTCGCTGCTACCAATGAGGGTCAATGGCGTGGTCCCCAGGACAAGAACGGCCAGGCTTTCCACGTCGTTATCACCGGCTCCAACGGTTACTCCAAGCAGAGCAAGGCTCTGCCTACTGCTCCTGGCTTCCAGACTGGTACCAGTCTTCCTGGTGCCATCAACGCTCCTCTTGACAGTACTGACAACAACTACGACACTTACAGCGGTATGAGACTGTTTAACGACAACCCTTATGATCCTTCTCTTTGCGCCGCCGCTTGCGAGGCTCAGACTACCTACGATATCAACCACCCTGCTCAGGACGGCAGCTACAAGACCTGCAACTTCTTCACCTCCTACGTTCTTACTAAGAACGACGTACCTCTCGGCACCTACTGCTCCTTCTACACCCGCACTTGGGATTCCAGCTACGCCGTCAACACCGGCTTCTGGTACGGCTCTGACAGGTACTCCGTTCGCAACGCTGCCTCCTACGTCATCACGAATCCCACCCCCAAGAAGGGTCCGACCGCTTCTCCTTAAAAATTTGCTTGAGGTGAATACACAACGTGCCCAGGTAAAAAATATTTACGATTACTACTGGCGCTCTCCTTCCTTTCTGTACACAAAAAAACTTTAGAAGACTACACTTTCGGTTAGAACATAATCTTCATCAATCTTGAACATCGAAATCACACCCCTTGCCCAGCTCGAGTAACGCTTCTCAACGTCTTCACTACCATACCTCACCAGGCCCAAGTCCTGCGTCCATCCTGAATTCTGAGAGTACTTATGTTTCATATTCACATAGCCAATACCACCTCCGCTATCGACGCTCACAGTGTCCCGAGGACCTGGACCCCGAAACAGCCGCAGGTCCGTCGGCCTGGTAAAAAAATGATCGGGTACGCTTGCAAGCCAGCATCGGTCGGATTATGCACTAGTGCAATAGGGTGCCAATAGTCCCAAGTCATGCGTGACAGATTACATAAGGCCAAGCGAGGCGTCTCAACACTCATTTTCCATCACGAAAGGCATGTAGGAAATGTTTCAGTACGCCATATCGCAGGTGCATGGTCTGTGGAGTGCGTAAGTATAACGTGGGAAACATGCTCGCGCTTGCTTCCGTATCTCGAAAAGGGGTCCATGGCAACAAAGCGCGCGCGCTTGGCCTGCCAACTTGACTCGTGATCTTCCCATGGAACTTGGCTTTGAAGTTTCGGTACGTCTGCAGAGAAAGTCTTCAGCAAAATGAAAGACCAGACTGGCGTTGGAATTTATTGAGGCTCCCCACTCCACAAAGTCGCGAACCAGTATATTCAGCCAACTCTAACTCTGCGCAACTACAATGAAACCAGAACCTCACTACCTTAGACACCGTGTCTCCCCACATCCGCTAGAATAAGTTTGTGTGCAGAATGGGCCGGCTCATAACAAAGACTGAGACTGCTTTGGATCTCACATACATTTTTGAACTTACCGAGTCTAGACGCTTTTGCACAAACCACATGATAAGAGGATGTGGAAGATACCACGTGACATGTTCTTTGTGCGGAGGCAATGATCATTTCTTAAACACTAGCCACTCTTCGGAGAAGGGCAAGTATGTTGAGACACTTTACCGAAACAAGAGAATGTAGCATTGCAAGGCCCATATCTTGAGCTCCATCTCTCTGTCTCACCTGATCGCACATCATACTTTGTCGACACGGTTGGATTACTCACGTCTCGATAAATTTGCTATAATGTCTAGGTTGAGTTCGTGCTGTCAGAAAAGGGAACGGCGAGTTGATGTTTCACATCCAGATCAAGCTATCTCATATCGTGTCAGTGGTGGTTCTACAAATGCAGGATCCTACAACAAATACCTCTTCCATCTGTAATCCCAAGCTGTCTGGCTCTTACTCACACACCGTTTAGTCATTATCAAAAACCACACTCGGAAGATCTCATGTCCGTCTGTTTCTTCTGTCTGACATAACGCCTTCGACCGATATTTCTCCAGTTCTTGGTTAAAACCACTACCATCGATGTTGATGCCTTTTAGGTAACACCAGCCGCTCTTACAATCAAACAAATCAGCATCAACTTCGTGACTGTTGACCCCGGCCTCCATACCTCCATGCTCTTTCTTGGCTTTGTTTCCTCATATCTGACACGTATTCTGCAAAATAACCTACAAAAGAGACGATGGAGTGCATCTCCATCTGCTATGCTTTGCTGTGTCGAAAACAACGTGACACCAAGGCATATTTCCCCGCGCCAGCGCTGCTCATCGATGTCCAAAGCGTTCACCGTGAAAGGCATTCCATGCTGCAAAGCTACTCATCGGATGGCTCATGGTGATGCGAAGTCGAAGACGTCAATCTTCGCGATGAAAACACGTCGTCACCATGGTGCGTAGCTCACCAGTGGGGAAAGGGCGTTTGGTGTGTTAGCATGGCGGCCGAAGACGTGCTTACGTCTGCGTGACGCGGGTGTCCCGATACTATCACGACGCAATCGTCGGCTTCGTTGCTGATGCCGTCCTTGCTGATGCCGTCGTTGCTGATGCCGTCGTTGCTGATGCCGTCGTTGCTGGACAAGTTTGTGAGCTTCAGTTGTGTGGCGTTGTGTCCGAGTTGTTTGCGCCGGGAACTTGAGTGCGCTGCGATGCCGGCTCGCTGATTTTGTCGATGCGGGGGAGCTGTGGTTTGAGTAGGTGCGGATGTGACGTCTTGTAGTGTAGCAGGATGCTGAGATTGCCCGGGCGGGTTGTCATATGAAACGCTGTGGGTAGTGGAGCTTTCTGACTTTCTGCAGGAACTTGGAATGGCGGTTTGACGACAAATTGACGTTCGGCAAACTGATTGTGTACTGGACATGCTCAGAATCGCGGGGGGAGGGACGAATGTCTGATCACTGATACCTAGATATTGGTGTGTGAATGCAGGGGCGGAGGAGGGAGTCTGTAGCGTTCGATTAAGTTAATTACTTCACACGTTTGGTTCTAGTGCAAGTGTGGCCTCTATCCTATAACCTTCTCTCCCTCCCCAGCAAGAAAGTAGTGACTTCCCGTCTCAAGCACCTCAATTATGTCGCCAACCTTTACCTCTCCGGCCTCTAATGGCGTGACTTGCATACCCAAGACTGCGTTCTTGCTTCCCTCGTCAATCACTCTGTACTTGCGCATCGTAGTTAGTGGCTCGTTTGGATCAGCCTTGCCAGTCTCAGGGTCCACGTTTGGCAGCTTGCAGCGTGTGGTGCGGCAAGAGATATGGTAATTTGTTGATCCAATTTTCGTCCTGATCCAGTTGTCTTCGTGGAATGCTGGTGGGCCGGTGAAGTAGATGTTGGCTCGGTAGCGGAGGGCGTTGACAGTTGGAATTTTCCACATAGTGTTTACGTCGTTCATGTCTCTGGGTAGTTTGCTGGCGACATCGTGGACAGAGGCGAGGTTCAAGATATGCACGGGGTACTGTTCGATGCGTTAGGTGCCGGCATCTTGAGCTTAAACCAAATAAGGCTTACCGAATCCTGCATGCCAATAGCTGCCTGAAAGCCTACATCTTCTTTCTTCGGCGCGCACTTGTAGACCTCGCGGAACTTATTCGTATCAATCCTGAACAGAGTGACGGGATTGGTGGTGCCAATGGTGTACTTCAGCTTCGCCAGCATCTCCGGGTCAACTTCAGGGCCCATGTTCAAGGCTACTGGTGAGTCCTTCCAGATACGCAGTGTCTCGCTCTTGTAGCCCTTGCTCTTGATACGCTCTTGGGACGGGTTGAAAGGCACTCGGAATTCCAACATTGGCTCTGACTTGCCGGCCATTTGTGCAGCAAGAATCTTGCCCCAGGCCTGGAGACCTTGAAGAGAAAAGTCGGTGTCTTGTGAGAAGGGAAAGCGTATCACCAGACATCCCTCACTCTTGACCCATTCGCCATCTTCTTTGTATCCAGGCGCAGATGGATCTGGGACCCAAATCTCTGTCTCGACCTTGGCCAGGCGAGGAAATTTGCGCTGTGTGCAGAACTGCCATTCGCTCGTGACTTTCCCATCCAGACCTGGCATGCTCGTCACATACTGTCCGAGAGTGAACTGACGGTCGTACTTCAGCCCAGTACGGAGCACCTCGCTCTTGTCAAGTTCGACGGGTCCAGCGGACTTCAAAGGGTAAACAAACAACGCTTTGACCGTCCATGGCTGCTCCTTGGTGGCATCAGCACCTTTGGCGTACTTCTTGGAATACTGGTCCTCGAAATTGCCACGACCCCGCACACCAAGTTTCCTGCATCCTGCCGGTGGCGGCACAGGCCTGTCACGCTGCGAGAGGGCGAACAGAGCAATGAGGATGAACGGCGACAAGGTGATCAGTATGGTGTAAATGACTGTTTTTGGTGTAGCTTCGATGCCAGCTTTAGCTATCGCCCAGTCCATGAGGAGACTGGTGAAGGTATGCTCCCGTTCAGAATCCCTGATAGGGGTGTCGTCGAACGCCATTATTGTTGTGGTACTGAGCTGGAAGCTCACGCGAGGTGGGGCTGAGGTTGTTCGATATTGACGGTCGGCGCATGTCGAGGCAACACCTTTCCAATGCAACTGCGAACGACGTCGACTTATATCGTGCCCCTATCGTATTTTGACGATGTGGCTTCAGCGATATGGATTCGAGGCGGTGCTGGTGTTGACTTGGCACGCTTGAATGCGGAAGGAGACAAGGATCGAGGCGAGTCAGCGCCCGCTGTTGGCCGCTTGCGCTTGCTCGCGTGACAGCGCGCTCTGGACGCACCGACTTGAGCCGCAACATGACGCTGACGCTGCTCACCAAGCCTGCACGCGCCGGCGACACAGAAACTGGACGCGTTGCATGATGTTCAGCGTCTCTAGGCCACGAGACTAGCTCGCAAGGTCCCACAATGACCGACAAACACGCCGCACCCCGGGCGTCTTCGCGTGCGTGCAGGCTCCATGGTACACAATTGCTGCGACTGACGCGAGCGCAGACAGACTGCCCACAGTCTCAGCCTCCCAAGCGCTCCAGAGCCACAGTGCGCGCGGCGCCCGCACTGTGCCGACCGGCCTCACGCAGCTCGACAAGCTCCTCGCGCCGTCCAGCCTGCCCGGACTCGATGTCGCAGGCGGATATGCGCGAGGGAAAGTGACGGAAGTGTACGGGCCCCCTGGTGCAGGAAAAACGTCGCTGCTCCTGCAAGCTGCCGCCAACGCTCTGTATGAGGGGCAGCACGTGTACTGGCTCGGTATGGAGGGACATGTGCAATCGCTTTGTCAACTGCTGACAACCACCAGATGCTGCATGTGCGCCGCTCGTGCCCCAGCGCCTTCACGACATGCTCTCACGGACTGGCTGTTCGTCTGAACCCCCGCCAGATGCACTGCGAAGCCACTTCCATCACCTCGCTGCGCCGACGCTCGCGCATGTTCTGGCATTGTTCATGCATCTGCCTGCGTCCTTTCCCCACTCGAGCGCGAGTCTTGTCGTGGTTGACTCACTGTCCACCCTCATCGACAACGCATATCCGCGCAACACCGACGACCGCGTGAAAAACAAGACGGACCAGTCAAAGTGGGCTGCGGGGCGCAGATATGCAGTCATCAACGACATGATTGCGACATTCACGAAGTTTGCGGCACTGCACGACATCGCCCTGGTGATCACATGCCAAACCATCACCCGCATACGAGGAGTCTCTCGAGCACTGCTGGTACCAGCTATCACTGGTATCGAGTGGGAGAACGGCGTTTCAACATGCCTGCTCTTGTTCAGAGACTGGGTTCCACACCAGGCAAAGGCGCAAGATAAGGTCGACGCAGATAGATTGCAGAAAACCAGATTCGCTGGCCTGGTCAAACTCAATGGTGTGGCCCTAGCCGACGAGGGTGGGGTGGGCAACGTGGTGCCCTTCGCTATCGAGCGTGTAAGTCTATCGCGATCCAGCCAGTCGGCGCGTGCATCGATGCGCCAGGCCAGAGATTGCCATTTCTTACTAACTCGTCTTAGTATGGACTGTGCGACATCAACATTACCACAGACGATGCGGCCACAACTACGGTGCTTCCAATCCAAGCAGGGCGACCCAAGCGGACGTTCGACGAGGTCGACGAGACCGTAGCTCAAGAACCAGACTCGGACGAGGTCTACGGCTGGATCGAGGACGATGGTGTCGCAGCCGAGGGACTTCTGATCGATGACGCGCCTAATAACGACGTTGACGTGCGAAAAGATCCTGGCTCAGAAGGACGCACTGCGAAGGTCCAGCGAGTCTCGACAGTATGAAAGGCTGAGCACGTCTTGCCCAGGGTGTCTTCTGCATGAACGACCGCAATCCTGCGAAAGGGTCGTTGTGCCGCCCATGCATTCTACCCTACGCCGTGACCGGGAGAGCCGGGTAAGCAACTGTACATCTCCCTTGGAGATGTGCCTCCAAATTTAGCAGCTGACAGAGACCTGTTCAAGCTGATGAGATCGCACGTCCACACCGATGACGTGTTGCCAGCAGCCAACATGTGCCCGTGTGGGGTGCATACCCCAGATCCCATATTGATCGCCTCCAACACGGCTCTGCCACACCGCCAGTATGCGCGACCAACCCTCACGTCAGCGAGACTGTTAGCTTCGTGCTACTGTCGACCATTTCAGCCATAGTCGCACTGTTACCGCAACTGTGTCGACACCAATGACTACGTTGAGCATGCTCCTTCCTCTCCTGTCGCAGACGTTCACGTGCAAAGCCCAAGGGCTTGGATGGTTGTACGCCACGGACAAGGTTCGGGGAGTACGCTCCGCGACCCAGACCACCGGGACCAACAGGACCACAGTCTGTCTCCTTTTGGATAAGTGGATGAAATGCATGCGCGTGGCGGATCATACCTGCAGTGATATAGGGGAAGTGGGGTAGGGTCGTGGGGGTTGAGGAAAATGGTCATGTGCGTATTTCCGCTCCGCGCTCCAAGCAGGAAGAGCTTGGGTGGTCGTTTGGTCTAGATGAAATGTGTGGAGGAATCATAGGCTGCTATTCCGCCGTCTCCCCGCGGGGAGGCACGCAAGGTGCTTGATAGGGAGTGAGGCGTAACGCCTGCTGCGCCGGCGAGCGCCTATCTCCACATCACAGCCATACAGACACACACTCTTGCTGCGACAAAGGGCGATCCTAATCAAGATGCTGCCTCTCTGCTCACTCGACAGCCAACTTCCCTCCGAGTATCTGCCGTGACACACCGCCTCATTCGCTGCGTGCAATGGCATGTCACCAGTTGTCTCTTTTCAAAAAGCACAATGCAAGTATTCCTCAACACGTCTCACGACCAATCACATATGGAGAAAACAGGCGCTGAACGCACTCGAGTGAAGCTCACATCAACCTTATGAAATCTGCGTTTTCTCGGCTTTCACACTTACTCCACGAAAAGCATGTTCTCTGCGTGCCACGAGGTATTACGTTCCAAAAGCATTCTGCATTCTTTCTCAACAAAATAACGTTCAATCATAGATCATAGAACGAGAGATGTGCGACGCAATACTTTTCACGCACTCGCCATACGCAATATGGACCCCTATACGCAGCACCTACTCACATGGGTCATATGTGCTGTGAGCGTAGTGGATGCGCGACACTCTGGTAGATGATGAGACAAACATGCCACAACCCGTGTACCTGGTCTCGGACTAAGGTCGATGTGCTCACCGTGACCTCGACCGAAAAGATCAGGTCGAAATGAAGTACTTTCTGCCGTGATATTTAGATGGCTGGCGTGCATACTAGGGCGGTCTGCTTGAGCATGCGTCTCGTTATGAGTGATGGGAACTAGAACATTGTGTTTCTTGTCACAGCGCGCTTTTCATATGGGTTGGGTTGGAAGGGGTTGTATTGATGGTGGATGCTGGTTTGTGCAAGACAAACAAGATGGAAGTGTCAGTGGAGACGCGAAGCTATGACTGGAAGCTTTCATTCGTCACAAGAGCACAAGTGTAGAGTTGAGCGTATTTGACTGCTCTGCAAGATAAGAGTGGCTTTGACTGCTAACTCAGTAGTGCCAGGTCTGAAACTATGATGGTCCACTGTAGCTGCGCTGCAGATGCGTGGAAATCTTCATAGTCGTGTGCTATGCCTAGGGATAGGATGCACAGTCCGTGCTGTAAGTATATGATCCAAAACATGCGTTTGCAGTAGTAGTCATGAGATTACAAGCCGATTGTCTGGCCTGGAGGTAGTCAGAGTATTGACACTACAGCACCAATTTGGCATGCAAATAGGCATTAGGCTTGATCGAATATGCAGTGTCAAAGCACTTGAATCCTTGAAGACTGTTGCAAGTTTCGCGACGAGGTGATTCTCGTTCGTGACCGTCTAGACGCGCTGCTCGCGGAGAGCCGACAGTATGCGATGGATTCCATTGCTAGTCTACTATTCCAACATCGACACTCGCAGTCTTGGCCGTGGTTGTAGGTATCGGCACTCTGCCGAGACACATCACACATCTCCACAGGGCGACACACGTCCCCTCACAGCACGAAACAGCAGCGCCACCTACCCACCTCATTCCAGCGGTCTACCTTCCCTCCGCAACCCTGGATGCTCACTCTGACTCCTTCGTGGTCTTTCGCAATCGGGCCTGCCAACAAGAACTTGACGCGTCCCCAGACAACATCAGCCTTGGAGCTGGTACTGTGCCCGCTTACCCCACACGTCACGTCATGCTCTGCCCTACCCGGCGTGCGCCACGGGTCTGCTTCCACGGAAGAGGCCGTGCTAGCCGCTGCGTTGTCGACTGAGTCGCGATGCTCGCCCCACGGTTGTGAATGGTGATCGGGTTGCCAGCCGATCAGGCTTATTGCATCGAGACATCGAGATCTAGAGCGTTCCGCAGACGAGGGTCGTCTTGGGCAGCTGGTGGAAAGGGGAGTGATTGGAGATGACAACTTTTGAGATGGCGACGTCGGGACTGGCGTGATACTGCGATGGTACAATTGGGACGAAGAGGAGAAGAAGAATGATGTCAGACTAGATGACGTGATCGAGGGAGAGGAGGGTGTATTGTCGAAGCTAGCGATAATGCTGGCTGATGAGGTTGTCGCGGATATCACTTGTGTCAGTGTTGGAGCTGGCTCGGCCACGATGCTCGATAAGCGCCTCAGTACTGTCGCTGAGTGGCCTTTCTCAAGATCCGCGGTCGTCGAGCCTATGATGTCGTGATTTGGTTGGTCATTACTGGTAAATTAGCTTGCTCCTATCAAACCACATAGAAGCTCTTTGCTGTGCGTTTCGCAGTGCAAACCCAATGCAAAGCAGCAGTACATGGGCCACGCGGCCGACTCGCCGCCATGTTTCCCGTGCCCCATTTGAGACCCCCCCCCCCGGAAAGCAAGTTTGCTTTCTACAGCGCACCTCTCAAGCACGTGCATGTTCCCTCCCCAGGCGTTGCAATCTTGTCCCCTGGGCCACGAACACGAGTTTTTCCGAATCTCCACATGGCGGCCTTTCTTCTACGCCGCCGGAACTTCATTGAAGCGGAAAAACGGACCACGTTTCCCCAGTGGCTCCTCCACACGTCTCAAAGAGCCACGATGCGACGTCAGCTCTGCATCGAGCTGAAACACATCAATCAAAGTCCAGCCGGGACCGAGTAGGTACCGCGCGCCGTGTATTTTTCCGCATAAGCTCGGCGCGAGGTGACCTCGGGCAAAGTACCGGACCTCAGACACCTGAGGTTCCGGCGGATTTTCGTGAAGCAGGGTCTGAGGCTTTGCGGTGTCGAGTTTGCACACGCTGTGACTGGATATTTGCCGGTCCGTACGGCCGCGGCTAATTAGCTAAACAGGTTAGAGTCGACTTGTCTGGGGTAGCCAAGGAGGACGGAAGGCAGTTTTGGGCGGGCGTAGGGGGAGTAAATTCACATGCTGGCATGTGAAGGAGTGACGCAGGTACGTCTCAACGATGATGTCTAAACTGAGTGTGATGCTCTGATGATTATTTTGCGTGTTCGAGTGTTGACTTGGGCGAGCACTGATACATATAGCTGTCATGCAGCGTGATTCTTGGAGATCAGATTCGCTAGATTTGATGTCCCTTGATCCAGTGAGCTGGTCGTCATCTGAACGATAGGCTATCGGTGCTGTGCGGAAAACGATATGGAACTCTGCTGGTGTGGCGTTTACATCCCGCCCACAAAGGGTTCAATTGAATCGTAATTTCTACTCATGATGCCGAGCGTGCCTCGTTAGCATTCCGAAGCATTGTTCTGCGCCGCATGTGAAAGCGTGTGCTTATGACATTGTCCTGTTCAGGTTCGTCAAGACAAGCCTATTGATTGCGACAGGAGTGACTCCGGACGTTACGGCCGCTATCGAGTAGTACCGGATGTGTGGCCCAGTGCAGTAGGCACGCAGAGAGGTTTGCTAATGCATGTTGAGGATGCGGTCATGATAAAATTGCAGTGTTTCAATCTCTATGGTGAACCCGCGGCCAGTGCAGTGGTGGGCAAGCTTTTCGCCATGATGCAGGGGCAACACCCTTTGCGGCTGTCTAGCAGATCAACAAAATAGATTGATGATGAGCAACCTGGATATTAAAACATCGGCTGAGGATACCAGCCGCCTGGTACGCGACGTTGGATTTAGATGAGAGCCGTTGCACCAGATTCCGCCATCTGCAAAGGCGGGGTTGACATCTCAAAGTGTCATGCGGAAGGTGGTTGAACAAAGCCGTATGATGTCGCTAGACGTTTTCAGATGCTCCACCGAAGCGGAGGACGAGCGGATGTTGATTTGAATATCGCGGGTGAATTGACGGCTCATTAGGTACCTACTTGAGGCAGATTGCATTGAAGCATCGTCGGAGAGATAACACTTTCACAATAACGTCGCAAGGGATCACAGCCCTGGTCAAGCGCAAGCGATCGGTATAATGCCAACGTTGTAACCTGCCCACATGTCATGAGCCTCATGTGATGGACAATCTCACGATGCGGATCCTTAGCCGCATCTGGAAGTCCAGGCGCAGAGCCTCCTGGGCCTTGTCTGTCTACCTCCACAGTCCGCCCCTCTTCTCACTGGTGCAATTTCGCCCGGAGTATCTTCGTCCCCCAATATGGTGCCACGATCAGTGGAGCGGCGAGCTTTGGCCAGCCTTATCCGCACGCATTTCCGAACATGGAAAGTCGCAGCTAAGTGTGGAGACCCCACAGTCGGAGGAGGATTTGCGCTGTACGAAAGCGGATGCGTCTAGAAGCTCGCTAGACGAACGAGTCAACAAGGAACTCACACTAGGTATCTGGATTCATGGAAAGATTGTCTGTCTCGCTATGGGGCGGCTGAGAAGTAGCCTGGATGGTGGAATTCTGCTTATCTGTTGTCTTCAAAGGCCCGCAAGGAAAGTGAGGATCCACGAGTCCAAGCTATTGGACGGCGTCTTTTGTCTCATTAGATTGGCGTTCTATGTGGCCCTGCCAGGGCCCATCACGAATGACAGATTTGGGTATCGCTCCCAGGTACTCAACCACACTAGCACGTGAAGCTCAATTCTCAAGCGTGTGTTGCAAGTCGCGATACCGGTAGAGACGACGGGATGTTTGTTGGTCTTGCGATTGTTTGGTTTGGCAACAATCACAGACGCAGGGCGGCGGCCGCAGCTGCCGGGCCGACAACCTTCGAAGTGACGAAAGGCGGAGAAACCTGCCGCTCTGCCTACCGATTTGCCATCAAAGTCGTTGTGCCGCTCATAGATCGGAATGTGGGGAGCGCCAGTACTGCTGCGCTCCAGTCTGGGGTGCAGCTACGGGCATCTCTGGGTACCCGTCAAATGAAGGAGCGCCGCAGAACACGTTCGGTCCTGATCTGGACAAACAAAGCGCAGGACAGACCAGGGGCCGCCTCAAGCCCGATGAATACCGAGCGAGGGAGTCAGAATCAGTTCGCCAAATGGCCCAAAATAGCAAAAGGCAAAAGAAATGATAAGTGCAAACTCGATAGAGCGACAGCAGGGGTCTCACCATCGTGGGAAATGATACCTGCCGAGTTCGGAAGTGGTAAATTCCCAGCGCACTTGCTGGTAGAAATTCTTGCGCCAACAGCGCCAACATATCAGTCACTCGTCCGAATATCCGCGAAATGCGGAGATCACGATTGTGGAGCCGTGGGCTTATCGCCTAAGGAATGTGGGCAGGACAGAAACAGTGTGGGTGTGGTTGCACCGCGGACGACTGAAACATTGTGGGCGTCGTGCATGACCTTCACCGCATCTTATCCCGGGCTGAGACAACGCGTGGGAAAATGGGCGCATAACCACGGGATGGACGTGTCAAGTGCGGAGAAATAGTCGTGATGTGTGATGTGTGATGCTCTCCTCACGGGTGCTGTAGCCTTTCTTTTCGTAGTGCGGGGGAGATGAGAAATTCAATGTGCTACCATGGTCCTCTTGAGGCCAGGTTGGGAGTGGATGCTCACCCGAAATCCTGTATTGCATATTTATTGCGTAGCAGTTCCCTGCTCCCAATCCTCTTTGCATCACTTGGAACCTCAATCACGTCACGGGCAAAGCATGATCTCGTAATAGGCAGCTAATAAGAGTGGAATGTATGAGTTTCGATTACGCGCTAGGCGTTGGTTTGTTGTCTAACCAGTAACCTGCCAATAAACAAGCGTACCCCGTACGCCCGGCGGCAGGCCAAAAGCAAAATTGAGTGGAAGAAGAATACAAGACTGGGATCGCGAGGATTCCTGGGGTATTGAATTCGACAAAAGAAAATCTGAAAGTCTATGTTGTTGGAGATCTGAGTTCGAGAACTGAAGTCGTGGTATTCCGCGGGTTGAACCCCTCATTAGTCCATCTATGATTGCGTAGAACGCTCGCTAATCCAAAATTCATGCAATGCTACCCATGCGCCGTTCCATGCAGTGGTAAGGGAAAATTTATGTGCGGTGTGCAAGGTCCTCGCCAGCTATCGAGGGTGTTGCTGAGGAGTTGCCGGAAGAGAAACCACTATTTGTGGGGCCGTTGAGAAGATCCTGCACAGCGACCTTGGGGACCTGAGGAACAGGAAGTTTGCGCTGCGCACCTTCAGGTTTTGAGATGATGTCGCCGATCCTAAGTCCAGATGATGCGCTAGGAACGTAGGGAGCTTCGCGATCTGTCTGCGGCTCCATAGGTGCAAGCGCAGGGACATAGTTCTGGTTGAGACTCAGGTGGCGCAGATGAGGTAACTGGAGGTCGTTGAATCCGTGCGGTCGAAGTCGGGGCGAATGAGCTGGTGTCGCGAGGGGAGTGTGGTCGGGGGTGGGGCTAGCAGAGTCATGGGAGAATGTCGGCGAAGGCGGTGCTGTGGACATCGGCGAACCCGGTCGCGACCGCTTCGTCATTCTGTGCGAATACGGGTCATCGTCCTCGTGGGAATGCGACCTCGACATTGGCTGTGAAGAGTAGGCATACTGGGAAAGGCCAGGGAGGCGGTGGTTGCTGTACGGATGGTATCCGTGGCTAGTGAGGTGGTGACGACTTGAGTGAGAGTGGTGTCCGTGGCGGTTCTCGAGTCTCGAAGCCGCGTCCGCGAGCAAATCCATGTTTCTTGACATGCCGTTAGGGCTGCTGTTGCTGCTGAGGCCGCCGTGGCGGTAGGCAGCCAAGTCGTTGCCAACATTGGGTGAGTAGTTAGAGAATGAGTGAGGAGGCGATACATTGGGCGAGCCAATTGCTGAGCCAGGCGCACTGCGAGAGATGGTTTTTGGTGGAGGAGGAGCCATCATGTGGGCAAGGGCAGAGCCAGGCTCGACAAGACCTGCCTGAACGGCGGCGACAGCAGCCTGGTGGGCAGCAGCGTGCTGACCCTTGCCCCTTCTTGAGTTGGGGTTATTGTGAATCCTCGAGTGCCTGGAGATTGTTAATAAAAGATACAAAGATACCTTGAAGAAGTGAAGTGCTTACCTGGTGAGTTCGTCTGAGCGAGAGAAACGTTTTGTGCAACCCGGGAAAGTGCAGGCATGGGGCTTCTCTCCGGTGTGGGTGCGGATGTGACGGGTCTGGTGCTCTAGACGGTGGAAGGCCTTGTCACAAAGAGGGCACTTGTAAGGGCGCGGCAGGTCCTGGCGCGGCTCTTCCTGAGACTGTTGCTGCTGCAGGAGGGGAGCCATGAGGCTCACTGTAGCAGTAGCCATGGACGAGGACGGCTGTGTCGAGGCTGGTGTAATTGTTGATTGTTGCGAGGAGGTGTCTGGATTTAGTACGCTGGACAGATTGTAGGATTGCATGTGATTAGCACCAGAGGCGGCGTGTGAAAGTTGGGGAAGGGGGGTATGGCTGGGGCGTCGGAGGGTATAAGAACAAAAGGTTGGCGGGATTGTGCGTGTGGGGGTCGGTGGCTAAGCAGCGCTGAAGCAGGCCTGTGCTGACGAGGATCTGCCGGAATCGAAGAAAGACACGGGGCGGACTGCTCCACTCGGCTTGGCTACCTGAAAGGTGTGCCGAGTCAAAAACGTATCAGCTAGTGGCGCCCCCAGTCACTGTGCGGAGCGCAGTTGTCTGGCGCAGGGACCTGCTGGAACGGGCGTGCGTCGGCGATGGCGCGTCGGAGCGATGGCGTGCGTCTGGCTGCCTTTGCGCTTTTCCGTCCACTGAAGCCTGTGCAGGGTCGGCGCAGTGAAGCGAGGCGGGAAAAAGGTGATCGCCGTTCCTGGCTGGCCCAGCTAAAAGACCGTTCCTTGCAAGAGCGGAATGCGCCTGCCTCGATCTCCGCACTCACGATGCTGGTGGTGGAGTTGCGAATTTGTCGGCAAAGGCCTGCAAATTTGCTGCAAATTCTTATTGCTGGCCCAGCGGTGAAGGTCGGCGAGCGCACCACGATTGGTCACGGATTGCAGTGGTCGCTCTGGTGAGGCTGTCTGTGGAGACGGCAGAACGTGAAGCAGCAATAAGGCAGCGGGGGCCCGTCTTGTGAGGGCCAGCGAAGCACTGAGCAGCGTACGTGAGCTGGCGGCAGTTGTGCGTGTAACTGTGCAGTGCAGAGGTGATGTGATCACGCCGGATGACAGGACAAAAAAAGATACGGAGAAGCATGGGGGAGGGAGTGTCTGGAGAATATGAGGAGCCCCGCTGCGCTGGAGTGCAGAGATAAGAGCAGCCATTCATTACTGAGTCGTCACACCTGCCTGTTGACGTTATTCTAGGACGTCACGATCACGGCGCCTGTCTGCTTCATGCGCTTCTTGCGGTGTCTGTCGCCCTTGCGCCTGGCATGTTGTTGTGCATTCTACTGATCAGGCAGGACGTGAGACCAGAGCAACTGCCACGGTGCCACGATCATGCTGATCATGACTTCTGAGTGGAGAAACTGGCAGGCAAGCAGCTCAAGAGAGGGACCTCAGCCCCACGACCACGTACTCACCTGCACGATGGCAGGCGAGACACACCTCTCTTCGACCACGATGCCAGAGACCTCTTCGAAGTGGACCACACAAATTCACCGGGTCGTGGGATGATACTGGCGATCACACTCAGCGGCTCGACAGGATATCACATCTCTGAGTTATTGGTCATGTGAGACGACCAATTATGGGCTCTCTACGCATAGCTAATGGTCTCCAGGTGCTCTGGGTGCGTTGCACTGCCGCAGGGCCTGGTAAAGGACTCCGTGTCCCGTGGGGGATGAATCTGGGGTATGTGAGTCTCGAAGGAGCATTCTTTCGAGCGGTGACACGCAATTCACTGCCAATGAAGGCAATATCAGCAGACCATCATCATATCACAGCTGCTGGCTAGGAGCTCATCGAACCAAGTCAATGCGCCTGCCCACTCCAGCCCGCAGTCGATGCATGTATCCGCGTTGCACTGCGAATGCAGCACGAGTCGGTGAAAGAGGGCAGCACTGCGCTCTTCTAGACATTAGTCCAGTTTTCAAAAAGCACGCAAACTGCAGCCTGCAGCCTGCATCACTGCAGCCAACAGGCGGCGCAGGCGAAGCCCTCACTCCCTCTATCTTTGCTCATATCAGCCCTTGCGGAGCGCCATTCGCTCTTTCCACTCTCGATATCTTGGTGGGGTGACCCCTGCCAGCTGTCACAGGGTGATCTCCAGGGCACTGCCAGGTGTCCCCTGAGCGCTGCACCCCGACGTATGACGATGACCTCAAGCATCGAGACTTAAGACTTTTTTGTTCCACCCTCGAGTGCACGTCAACACAGTGTGGTAGGATTCTCGGCGCATTGGGAATTCTTGAGTGCGAGGGTCCGCTATTATTATCATCATTGCTCTACAAATTCTTAACATCGCTCCCAGCCCGTCGATAGCCCGCCCCGCTTTGTGGCTAGCACCCATGGCAGAAGTTTGGAGATTGTTCGGGGCAGCCGCCGCTGACACTACTGCCACAGCAAAAATTTACTCGCCCGCAAACGACATCCACTGCCCTTTGCACGTGTTCGGAGAATCTCGGGCAGCACCGTGCGGTAACAGTGGAGACGCCTGCTACGGTGGTTGCGCCACGGTACAGTCCTCTTGCAGGCCAGCTGCAGGTACCCAGCCGAACGCTGCGCCTCTATCACGACCCTTCTTATCATGCTTGAGGTCGCTCGCATCAAGCTAGCTGCTGCGACGGCCGAGCAGTTTCGTCTGCACGCTGGGACCACAGGCCTAATCTCCAAACGCGACACCTGTGCTCTCACCGGAGCACTTTACTGCGCTGGGGGTAGTCAACGATCTGTTGATTCAACGAGACCCCGCTGCAGAGAAAGTTCTGCAAGCTCTCCGCCCAACACATCTCCTGACACGACCAGAGCGCATCGTCATGATTACGACTCCTCAGTAATCACCGATTCGCAGATCGCACTGCGATGCATCATGCCGACGCCTGCCGTGCAGCCGAAGAAACGCGTCGTGCGCTCAAAGGGACCTTTTCCAGCCTCAATCAATGCTGGTGTCATCGGTCGAGCCTCTCTGGGGCCCCGCATCATGACCGTGAAACGTGTTCGAAGGCCCGATATGAGGCGAAAGAAGTAGCCATCAATGCTCGGCGACAGCGGCATGACATCAGACCCTTAAGACGGCACGAATGATCCTCTCAACCAACGTTTCCCTGCCAGACTTGATGTCGTCCCATGAGCCTGTATGTTACCCCACGACCTTCGAGAAGCTTGAGGGAACCGCCAAGTCACACAGATACCACCTGTGGTGAAACAGGTACGGCAGTACGGCATTAGTACCAGGTACGAGTCTGCACCCGAAACTTACCTCGGTGAAGCAGACCGATTATCCAAAACAGCAATGACGCACCAAACAATTCCGATTTATCATCACAAGCCAGCATCGAAGCAACAAACTCAAATCGGAGTCCGCTACCTATTACCTCCTAGCATGTGAATCAGTATCAGGCTGCGCAATCCGCACGGCCGAAGAGCAACATCTACCCGGTACTAACACCAGCACCAACACCAACACAAGCTTGCATCGAGCTATCAGTGATCTCACCCTGTGCTGATCACATTACGATGTCTTGATTGCTGGAAGTTGTGTTCCCTTTCTCCAGTGTTTACCCCACGCCCCCAGTTTGAACAAGACTCGCGCAATGGATAACACACCGACTCCTTCAACAGTTCAAGCGAGACTGATCGTCACACCTATCAACCGTCAAAGTCGACCTTTCTTTATTGGCAGTGCGGTGATCGCTGCACTTGTCTTGCGTCATCTGCATGCTTAGAAATGAGTCCCACCACACTGAAGTGTACACGACGACACAGCCATTACAAGGCGAGCTCCAGGCGCTTACAGGATCTCATGTCAGCTAATCGTGGTGGAGGTACTGCGGAGAAATCATTGAGTTACTACGCTGCAGATGGTCAAGTAGGCGTGTCTCTGTTCTGCACCTGGTGCCCGACTTGGCATTGAGACCGGCAAGCACAATACCCGCAACTCATTTTAGTCTTACGAGTCACAATTTTAGTCGGTCTCTGGAGCTTGTCCATCTGCATGACGATCTGCGGCTCGTAGCCAAAGGTTTGACTTTGTGGAGACCCCAGGTTTACAGATCACTGCCACAGCTGTGCTAGCGCAGTCTAGATTCTGCCCGATATTTTGCGATGAACACCAGCAAGCTTCACCTTCGTATCCGGCATCTGCCACGGCGTCTGGCCACACCCAGCTGCGGCCGATGCACCTATGTACCTCCGATACTCGACAGTACGTACTATAAGAAGTAAAAAGTGTGCTCAAGCGGAGTTCGCCAGGAGGCTACCATCTCAACAACAGTGACACAATTAAGGCGATTCATCAATTTCCTCAGGGTATCTAGTGTTTATTGAACGTCCTCGTACATCTCTCCGATGGTTCCTCCGACTCTTGGCTTTTGAAGTTGAAGCTGTGATTTGCCTGTGGTGGGCCTCTAGCATGCAGGCGACAGGAAGTTTAATGCGGCTAAGAAGTTACTCATTAGCAAACGGTCAGTCTTGAGGCAGGGTCGAGCGACGTACCTAGATTGTCACTCGCACTGCACGTCTGCGCCGTACAGTATGTCACTGCGTTGAAGAACGGTCCGCATAAGCAAGCGTCGCTCGTGTTAGGATCGCAGCCAGCCTTTGCAGCGGCCTCATTCCAACAGCTCATCTATGGCTCTGTCAGTCACTCAGGTGCCAGTATGTCAGATCATAGAGCTTACCGGACAGCTGCCAACACTTGTAACTTTCACCGCCAGAGCCTTATTATCATCCTTCGGCTTTGCTGACGTTGAGTCTGGATACGCAGTAGGGCTCGCAAGCGCGACCGCCGCACTCCCTACCAAAAGCGCGATCTCAATTGTAATCCTCATCTTCTCTCAGTAGTAACTTGTAACGATTGTCGGGTTCCAAGGAACAGTGTACGTGGTGGTCCGGGAGTTAGGGTCGTGAAATCGGTGAGTATCGTGACAGCAGAATCGCACCGATCAGTGCCCACGCACTGTTTATATGTTGCGACGAGTAGTAAGTTGCTCTTTCGTGGCGTAGATGCACCAGTTTGAGGTATGCATCGTGATATTTGGAGGTGTTATCATTCATGCATTGCCCGTTGCGGGTCCCTGTCGCACGATGGGTTTCGAAGTGGATGAAACAGGGCGCAAGTACGCAAGTACGGCTACAGCACAGGCTTCGGCATCGTAGAGGTACGATAGGTATCGTGTTGTACGTGTTGGCTATTGAGGACCTTTAGTGGTGATGTGTGGTAATGGTGTAGTTCGGGAATGTGGCTCTTGGACTCCGGATATATCACAATACAACGCACGTAGATGATCGCCGCGAAAGGCCAACAAGAACACCAAAAGTAAAACCCTTTTATTCTCGTCTTGCTGTTTCGGTCGTAGAAATGACTTATCGATGTCATTTCACGAACCGGCATCCGAGCAGCCCGTCTCAGCACCTCTTGTCCGTCTCGCAATACGCCATACACCCTCCACCACCATCCGCTACACCCATCTCAGATACCATATGAGGATTAGCTGCCTCACCAGTAACATAGCAACCGGTAAGAGACATAGATGAAGCGTTCGGATCTGCAAGCGAGCTGCAAGAACGGTACCTGAATTCAGACATGGGCACATCCAGGCACGCCTCAGGTTTATCAAACGAAGTGATTGCCTGATTGGTGAGGGAAAGCATTTATCTGAAGCAATGTTGCGCACTCGGATGCTCAGCCGAGAAGTGCGTTTCAGGTTTTTCGAGAAAGCTTGTGTGAACGAGCTGAGACGGGAAATGTCACGATTGCGTGTGCCGCTATCACGATGGAAGAGGGCATTCATGTCCACATTTCTATTCACCATGTTTGCCAGTTGTGGACGTAGAGCCTCTCGTCCTCGCAAGATGCCGGCGTTGTGCGTAGTTCGTGTTCTTTCTTCCTTATCCACAACTCGATCCCGCCTTACCACTCTTTACGATCTTGAACTTGGACATTGGGAGAGAAGCCATTTCCATTTCCTCGCCCGCATCCGCTCCGTCCTCCACGTCTGGGGATTCCAACTCTCCGCGCCCCTACTGTTCTGAAACTCGGCATCCTAAAGATATCGTTCAGAAGATATTGCAAGTAGACTACACCTTGCAGCTTTATCAACAGAACCCTGAGCTTCGGAAATAGTAGCCGATCGATATATTCATAGCGTACCGTGGTGAGCTGAGAGGGTGTTGGATGCATGGCCTTGGAGTGGAGGCTGTGGGAGGGCGCGGCCTCTTAGCTAGGTTTGCACCGCAAGTGAGGCCTAGTGCCGGTGAGTTGAGTGATTATTGGAGATGGAAGAGGTGAGTATAGGTTGGCTGAAAGGAGCTCTGTATCCGAGAGTGATGTATTGATGGGACTTGGGTGCAAGACTGGGAGATTGCATTCGTCCGAATCCACGATCTGTGAAGTGGAGGGTGTAACAATGTACGAGAGTCCAGTCACACCTTTAAATCGCAGGTCCGTCAACACCGAGTGGGATACCTCTGGGCCGTTGCTTGTAGGCGACGAGTTGCTGTCCGAAACTCAGATTGACTGCGTCGCAGGAGGCTGCGACTTACTTCCCTGCACTTTTGCTTCGAAGACGTTTCCCTGTCCGAAAAGTCAGTGTGCAATTGTACAACCAAGTACAACAAAGTTGACATCGAGCTCGTTGTGCCAGTCTATCCTGTACTTGTTTGCGTTCTTGGCGTCCTTGCTGTACTGCCAACCCATTACCCACAGGATATGTTCAGAGCGTCATTTCGCGCTTCATGGTTAGCACTTGGTTTTCCGATGAATGAAGTGGGATCTTGGACAAAAAGCGTGCTTGCTCTTACGGGGCTTACCAATGCACACAAGCTGAGGCTGAAGAAAGAATACTGAGATGCACAAGGAGCGTAAGAAAAAGATTGCAACACTTGGATTTTGACTAAGAACTGTGTGTATTTTCGGAAGCCGCAAACAAGATGCATCATGGCAAAATATGAAAGAGATAGAAGAGATGCTACGTCAGGAACGAGAACAGAGGTATTGCACTTATTGTAAACAAAAACTGTGCTGAGCTTGTGGTAGATGTTGTTCGTCACTTTCATGGTGTGTGAAAATTTACTCTACTTCCATGCGAGAGATGGTGTGCATGATATTGTGGTGGTGTAGGGAAAGCGTTGGTGTGGAGGCATTCGTGGTGGGTCCAAGCGCGTCTGCCTCAATGGCGCTGCTCTTTTAGACACCTTTGAACATCATCATCGTGTTCACCTCCATGAACGCGTCTGGCGCAGTCATATCTGCAATCCTAACTCCAGCAATGCTCTCATCAGTTGTCGCTAACCAGTATGCCTATTTCCGGCAATGCATGCGGCTGGGGGCAGAAATGGCGGCTTGCAGCGTGCGCCTGCATGAGGCTGTGTGAACCTGGCCGATCACGCTCACAGCCCCCGTAACCAAAGAGCTGAACTCCCGTTCTCGCCTTCGATATCGAACTCTAAGACAACAGTCGCAATCCTCAATGCGCAATCAGCGCAACGCGCGACGATAGATCCGTTAAGCATCACTGTCAGCGTCCTCACGCTCATTACAATATCCGCCCAGGTTACTGGCCTGGTCAGGCAATTCCGCGACGAAGTCAACGTCGTTGACACGACCCTCAATGGGATTATTAATGACGTGGAAGCATTTCAGAGCGTACTGGAGTCGATGAACGAGACGATCGAACAGAAAGAACTCAGGGCTCACTCTAATACTACAGGCCACGTGGGAAGCCATTGGAAGAACTTGTCAAGGTCGCTGAGCGATGGCTCAAGCACGCTAGAGCAACTATGGTCACTCATCACAAGTGTCAGCAAGAGCGCAAAGTTCTTGGATGCACCCAGAAAACATCTCAGGTTCAAAAGCGCTATCGCTCAGATAGCAGAGTTCCGGGAGCAGATCCAATCTTACCGCGCGGCTTTGCAATTGTCCCTTAGCACAATCACCCTGTAAGTACGAAGAATGGAGCACGAGCGTGTGTCTCTGAGAAGCATTACTGAACCGCTTGTAGTTGGAATCAAACGACGTTGCAAAAGTCTACGGATCAAATACAGGAAAAGGTCATTCCTGACCTTAATAAGCTTTACGACGAGTTCCGCACACTTGGTACGACTCTCAACTTGAAGATTGAGAAGCTGCAAAGTACCGTTGCGAATCAAGGTTACCACGCGGAATCAGAGCTCATATCAATGACCAACCTCAAGGAAACTGTTCAGTCAGCAGCCAACGTTGTTTCGACCGCATCGACTACATTAGCGCCAGAGAGTAGCGAAAAGGCTTCCGTGAAGTACGGCTCTGACTTCGGTGACATCTTCAAGAAGGAATCCAACGAGCCCATGCAACGCTGGATCTCTTCGAATACCGTGTACGAATATGAAGATGCGGAAGCACCAGCACCAGATCCGTCCGAGACGAGTACTGGAGAAGCAATCACTGAGTATCAGTCTGGCAGTGACTCTGATATTGAGAATGAGCTTGTGAGGGCGCTGTTCAACAACGGAAAGAAGCGCAAGAACGACGGGGATCTGCAAGGCGCAGCGCGAACGCTTAAGAACTGCTTGTCTAGATTTCTCACGACTTCGACGTACAACTCGACGACCTCCTCGTAAGCCACGTCGGCTACTGGCGTGTCCAAAGTGGAGCTCCTGGAATTGCTCACGGAAACACACTGTCTACAAGGTGCTTGGAGTGAAGCAAAAACCATGATGAAGGAGAAGCTCGCTATCACGGAGCATCAGACAGGCAGAAAGAGTGAGCGCTATTTATGGGACATATACAGATTGTCTGAAGTAACGGTGAAGACGAAAGATCATGCTGAAGCGCATCTTCACGGACGGCAATCGCTGCGAGGCTTCAAGAAGTTACGAGAAACAGGGCTTCACGGCTACGAGAGCCTGACACTTCCCATACTTATTTGTAGCGAAGAAGGGAATGCTGAGGAAGAGGAAGCGTACACTGCTCTTTTAGAAAGCCATCAGTCAAACATGAAAGCGCGTTCGGACGTATGGCTCAGAGTCAACAGGAATGCGAGGATAGAGGACTCCCCGATCAATACTCCACACTCACAGTCAGCACGGGGATCACTCAGTCGCAACGCGGAAGCCGGAGAAGCTTGTGAGCTTCAGCCGCCGACCGAGCCGGCTCCGTCACCATACTTGAAATCCGCTGCCCCAGAGCAGGACGCTCAGCTAATCTCACGTGAGATCGACCCAAGGAAGAGATCTGAAACTCAACTGCCATCGATCGAAGTTGCAGGGTACAAGCCGGGCACGTCTGATCCGACGACACCAACGCTACCCGAAGAGCAAGAACAGTCCTCGTCTGAAGACTCAAGACCACCCGTAGAGTCGCTGCGGAGTCGTCCGTCATCATCTCCACGCCTGCCCAGTATGAAGTTCACGCCTTTCAGACCCGAGGTGTATGATGATGAGTCTGTCCCGATTCCACCAGTACCGGTGGGCATGACGTCATACAGCTCAGGCAGTTCGAAGGTTCCAAAGAACCCAGAGCTTGCAGCAAAGCATGTCTCAAGACGATATGGTGTCATGATTGAGGGAAAGGACTCTGACAAAGACTCTGACAAAGAAGGCGCAGCATCGTACACTAAGCTTCTTGTGGCTTTGTGTAAGAAAGAATTTGGGAAAAAGCCTTTGTTTATGGTTAGCCGCAATCGCGAAGGCTATAACTGCATCGTAACTATTGCGACAAATGCTATCGATGAATACGGAAGAGAAGAGGTAGTCCGAGTCATCGGATATGAGAGCAGGGAGGAAGTAAAGCATGCTGGCGCTGCGAAAGCGTACGCCTTACTTACATCGCGTCTGACAAAGCTTCGTGAGAAGGCCACTGTCAAAACAGTGACGCACATGGACTCGATACTGGACCTCAGCTCGGACAAAGAGTTGTATGTGACACCCGCTCAGGCCAAGGTGGACCCACCCCCATATACTCCTGACGATATCCCCTCCAGCATGACCAGTCCTGTCTCAGAGATCATGGTGTCACCCACATTAGATAGTGCACCCGCTGTGACGGTCATCACAAGCACTACGGTTTATGATGTGGCTATACGTCGTGCTGCTTCAGACTCTCATCTTCCTTTGCATAAGATCTCAGCGACGACGTCGCAAGTTACTCCTGGAGACTACAGTCACGCAAGACCGTGGATTGCTTCTCAATTCAATCTAGGTCTAGGATCCTCATCGCATCGGCGAGCTACCTCGACTACCACACGCCCTGCAGAGTGGACAGCCGGTGACGATCAGATGATTGCGTGGCCTCGACAAATCAAGTCGGGTGCTCAAACCAATGTCATATTTGACGCTATAGAAAGTTCTGTACACACGCCTCATCCCAGTCCGGATCCCACGATGGTTACATCACGGAGCTTCTCCTCGAAAACGTTTTCTTTGCAGGACCGCAGGAGTAAAAGCGATGATGCAAATGTGACGAAGAAGAAGTTCCTGAGAGCTATATTGCTGCCCTCTTCACTGACGAGATCATCTTCCGTTACGAAGGAAGACGCCATGCCTGAAACGGAAGCGGGATCAACGGCGACCTGTCCTGTTTGCACTCAGAGCCTATCTGACCTTTCTGAGAACGACAGAACATTCCATGCGAACAGCTGTCTGGATAGACTTTCCAGTTGGCCTGTTCAGGAGGTTGAAACTACCTTCGAGCTCGCAGGGTCAGATCCTAGCTTCACTGCCGTTGAGCTGCCAGTGCCAATAAGCCCTCAAAGACCCATTGGCAGCGGTCGGTATCTGCAAGGATCAACAACATCCGTCGCAGATCCGGACGCATTGTCGGACTTGCATAGGGCGTACTCGAAGCGCGACGTATATATGGACAGCTTCGAGTCAGATACACCGCTCCAACCAACATCCGTTATACATGACCGAGGTATATTGCAAGATTCCCAGCGTCAGGTTCTCTTGCTAGGCGATATACAGTGTGGTAAGAAATGGCTCTCGAGAGCCTGGTGCTGCGATGCATCCACGAAAGCACTGCCAGCCAGTTGGGTCTCCACCAAAGTCGTGAACGGTACCCAACTAGTCCTCCACGACCAGACTGCATTGGAATTCATCCGCGACCACATGCGCCAAGCGTTCATTGGCATTACTCCTGTGGCCTTACTGTGCTTCGACATTAGCTCGGTCGAGTCTTTCGAGAATGTCGAGCGTAGATGGAATCATGAGGCCGACTTGTACCCAGGGAACGTGTCCAAGATCCTCGTGGGCTGCAAGAAGGATCTCGGAGCTGAGGCCGTGAGGAGTGTTTGGGTGCGCGATGCTTACAAAATGACGGCGAAGATCAACGCGAACGTGTATTTTGAAACGTCTGCTGTTACGAAGGAAGGGCTCGAGGCACTTTTCAGCCATGTGGCGCAGATATCTGCACGGTGATTTAGATTCGATGTATAACGATGCACACGTACAAACGGCCTACATAGGATGAACAGTGTACTAGTGTTTAACAAATGTGACTGTCATGTATGTAAAATTTCGCGATACCTGCCAGAACGTGGACCTCTAGATTTGGGGCTCAAGAGGCAGTATACGGTGAACACCATTGAGTCATACCCAACACCACGTACGACTGATTTGATGACGCAAAAGCCTCGTTGTGCTTTCTCGCCAAGTTTGAACATAAACCCAAGGCTGCATCGATAGTGCAGGTTTGACGAAGAGAAATGCGGCTGGAAGTCTGCGAGGACGCCACAAGCACCGTAGGAAAGGCGAATCTTGTATTCACAGCCTGAGCCCTTATGACGAGGGCAAGTACGAACAGTTGTTGACGTGACCGATCTGAAACACATCATGGTATAGGGTCTGCCTTTCAGTCAAGACGTACGGAGGAGCACGAGTCCATATGTTCATGTAGAGACGTGTCTAGAAACCTTGACCCTGATCACCAAGAGTGTTCAGCGAGCTGTGGTGAGTAAGAGAAAGTCGACAATGTGGAGGACGTGCACAGGCCAATTCGTCGGACTTACCGGTAAGCCAATGGACCGCAGCTCGAAATCTCATTGATCAGGAGCACAACACCCAAGCACCCCAAGATCTCTCCACAAAGCGCCTAGAGTACCATTTGCAGTCATGTCCGCACTATCATCCTGGATCCCACCAGCCGAGGGCCTGCTCCCCAAATGGCTACTCTTCGTACGTCCAGCCCCTCGCCCCCACGCACCCGAACTCGCGAGCCTACTCGTGGTGCAATTGCGCCCTTAGCCCTCACAGCCCACTACCCCTCGAGACTAACGCATCCAGGTCTCCCTCGTCTCCACTCTCAACAGCATCCAAGCCTACTCCACGCTAGCCTACACCTCGCGCGTCTACAATCCAACCCCCATCGATCCGCCCGCCAAACAGCCCGCGCACGTAACCTGGCTGTCGAGCCGCACGTTCGGGACCTGGACGTTCCTGACCAGCATCATTCGGTTCTACGCTGCGTACCACATCAACGAGCCGGCGTTCTATCAGCTCGCGATCTGGACGTATGTAGTTGCGTTTGCACACTTCGGGAGCGAATGGTTTGTGTTTGGGACAACAAGGTGGGGAAAGGCATTGGCGGGGCCGGTGTGTGTTAGCACGGGGAGTCTGGTTTGGATGTTTGCGCAGTGGGGATATTATGTCAAGGCATGAGCTGGGCAAAGTTGGAGGCTGGAGCATTTGTGTAGAATAGTTGAGGGATGGTACGGGGCAAGTGCATAGGACTTTGCTCGTATGTGTAGATGTGTGAGCATATGCATCTCAGGTCCAGCAAATACAGGGTTGGGCAAGGCCTGAGAAGTAAAGCGTATTATCAGATGAGCGACGCATAGTCGTGAAGACGAAAAGTCGCAGTGAGGTATTGTCGAGGCACACCGAGATGATGGCTTGATTCCGTGCAAGGCTGATGTCAAGGTCGGGCGGTCGTTCTCAGCAAGACCATCCACGTGACCCGCGAATGTTGTAATGCTGCTACATTCCCAATTAATGACCGTCCTCCGGCAGTACAAGATCACCGCCGTTAGTATGATAGATGTGCCCGCTACGTTTTGCATCCTAGCACATCTACCACATCACCGACTGCACCATTCTGACTTTTGACCCGCCTCGGGGTGTTTTGACCTCCGAGGACTTTCATTGATCGTAGCTGGAGAAACATACATGGCCCATTGGACTCCGGTTCCTTAACCCAGATGCGAAGTGACAATATCGAAAACCATCTCGCTCAGCCCAACCAGCCTGCCTCCTTTTGCTCATCATAATCCGTTACTCCAACCGATGCATTTAGAACTTGGAGAACTGCTTGGCAGCCTGGCCCTTGCGGGGGAGAACACGGAGGACGTTGAAGCGGACGGTCTTGGAGAGGGGCCTGCACTGGCCAACGACGACCTGGTCACCGGGCTCGACACGGAAAGCGGGGGAGACGTGGGCGGCGAGGTTCTTGTGGCGCTTCTCGTAACGAGAGTACTTGGGGATGAAATGGAGGTATTCACGGCGGATGATCAAGGTGCCTGCAAGCGGTCAGCAGTCTGCCCAGCGATGTAATCCTGTCCCATCCACTGTTCTTTGTGCGGCTCGAATGCGTCGGGACAACGTACGGTGCATCTTGGTGGACATGACGGTGCCGGTGAGGATACGGCCACGGATGGAGACCATGCCGGTGAAAGGGCACTTCTTGTCAATGTAGGTGCCCTCAATGGCGGTCTTGGGGGTACGGAAACCCAGACCAACATCCTTATACCATCTCCTGGTGCGGGTGTTCTTGCGGGGACCGCCGGCCTTGTGGTTCAGGAAGATGTGAGGCTATGGCAGCGCATTAGCATTCGCACTCGGTGTGGCTGTCGCGGTAGGTCTGTAGTACCTGCTTCTGGAAAGCGCGCTCCGACTGGACACTGTGCAATTATTAGCGACTGCTCGCGGCGACTTGGTTTGCGCATTCGACGTACGTGAGCTCGGTAGCCATGGTTGCTGTCGTTGGTTAGTTTGACGGTCGAGCTTCGTGAGGTTCGCTGCAGTCGCAAATTGAGAGCGCACACTTCGTTAAGCGAGCAGTCACGTGAAGCAGGATGGGGCTCGGACCGGAATTTCTAATTCCCGCACAAATGAACACCGCCTTGGCCGCCGCCACACTAGCGGGACGGAATGGAGGGCAGCTTGACCTTGTTCGCATCAACAGCTGTGACGCTTCTGTTGTTGTTCACCAATTGCCCATCATGGACGGCATCTTCGCTCCGTTCGGTGTCCGTCTCGAAGCCAGCAATACTCTCATTCAAGCTGCCTTCTCTGCCTTTCTCCTGGTTGGTATTGTAACTTTTGCTGCACCAATCATCAGCACCATCCGTGTTCTGTTGAGCTTGTTTGTCCTCCCTGGCAAGTCTGTATGTGCCCCTCAACACCAAAATATACTTGACACAGACTCACGTTATGAGGTAGCTCTCCGAATTCGGTCCTCGTGGCACATGGGCTCTTGTCACTGGCGCGTCTGATGGCATTGGCAAGGAGTTCGCTCTTTCCCTCGCAGCCAAGGGGTACAACCTGATCCTTGTCTCCCGCACACAGTCTAAGCTCGACTCCCTCTCCGCCGACCTCACCTCCAAGTATGGACCCAAGACAGCAGTCAAGACGTTGGCGATGGACTTTGCACAGAACAAGGACGCCGACTACGCTAAGCTGGCGAAGCTCGTGGATGGACTCGACATCTCCATTCTGGTCAACAATGTTGGTCTGAGCCATAACATTCCCGTTCCCTTCAACGAGACGCCTAAACAGGAGATGAACGACATCATTGTCATCAACTGCATGGCTACCCTGAGGGTCACCCAGCTCATCACCCCTGGTATGCAGGAGCGCAAGCGTGGTCTTGTCCTCACTATGGCTTCGTTTGGCGGATTCTTCCCCACACCTCTTCTGGCGACCTACTCCGGTAGCAAGGCCTTCTTGCAGCAGTGGTCCACTGCTCTCGGTTCTGAGCTCCAGCCGTACGGGGTCCACGTCCAGTGTGTCCAGTCTCACCTCATCACCACCGCCATGTCCAAGATCCGCAAGTCCTCCGCTCTCGTACCCAACCCTAAGCAGTTCGTAAGGGCTGTGCTTGCTAAGATTGGTCGTTCGGGCGGCGCGCAGAACGTTGCCTTCACAAGCACCCCTTACTGGAGTCACGGTCTGATGCAGTGGTTCTTGTCGAGATTCCTCGGCGAGAGGTCGCACATTGTCGTCAAGGTCAACCGCGGCATGCACATCGGCATCCGCAACCGCGCTCTGAGGAAAGCAGAGCGCGAAGCCAAGAAACAGTAAACGATGAAGCGTACCTGTCCATCATACGGGCTTGCTTAAAAGCAAACATGCATTGAACAAATTTGACGACCGAAACGGCCATGGTCGCCTACACTAAGCAATAATACTACCATCTAGCGGTCGAATCCCAAACGCCTCGCTCCCATCAAACATGTCTCAGTTGCTTCACTTCGTCACGTCCTTCAGCTCGGTCCAGTTCCACTGCATCCTCAGCCCTGGATGATCCGCCGCATCATCGTCCTCCACTGACTCTGCATCACTCTCCTCTTCCTCCACCTTCCCCACCTCTTTCTCCAACCTCATCTTGCTAACATGAATGCATCCTTCCTCCAGGAGGCCCCCGTGAAGGTACGAAGTGAGTGGGCAAGGTGCGGTGGTAGGCATTCTGAAGCTGGCTGTTGTCAGCTTGGGTGCGAAGCAAAGCGACGCAGTCAGTGGTGCAGGCGGAATACTAGTGAGACTAACATGAAGCCCGGTCCTTCGATGAGGCTGATCATAAATGTTCCTCCGGCAGCAGTAACAAGCCTTCGTAATGACATGGCGAGGCTGGTTTGCGCTTCGTGAGCTGTGATGCGGATGGTGTAGATATCGGCTGGTCGCGAGGGCATGTTTGGCACAAACATATCGTTGAATTGTTGTTGAGAGGTGTGAGATTCGCAACTGTCTTCTACGAGAATCGTGAGTCGCCAGGCTGGTGAGAGAAAGCTGGAAGCAAATCGATCCGCGCGCCTCACGCTCCGGATATACCAGCGAAGTCGGCAGCGACAAGTCGACGCAAGTCGACGCTCCACCTACTCCTGTCGTCTCAAAACGCAACACAGAGCAGACCAGGATCGCGAACGCAGCCAGAGCTTCGGGTCAGGCTGCTGTTCACTTGCACGAAATTCACACAGGCAGCGAGCCCTACATATCTCGCACCCCCATCCGTGATGGAACCCGCACCGCAGCGCCGCCATCTCACATCACACCCGCAGTATCGTGGCGCGACGTGGCGCCTGCCTTTCGGGGATAGCTTTCAGAAACGGTTGCCCTTTAGATTCTGTCTCAATCGATAGCGACCCACTTCCACCGACGAACCGGAGTTTTTGGGGTAAATCTTTCCCTCTGAGTCACGGTCGCTATGGATCAAGCGAGTTAGCCTGGGGTGCTGGTGGTTCTGCAATGGCAGTGATTGAGCCGGGCGCGGAGTGGAGTGCAGATAGCATGGCTGGGTGCAGATGGAGATGCGCGGCGATTCGTTTCGAGTCCAAGGGCAGAAAAAAAGCAAGGCGAGACGAGACCCATCACTCTGGCGACGGAGCAATACGGGGGCTGTGCGTTGCGCTGTGTACCTGAGCAGCACATCACTTGCTGCACTGTCGTTGGGTTATGTTGTGCGCCCGTGACTGAAGGATCGGAAGTGCAGCCGTTGTGCTACGTCTGCAGGGGCGCTGCGGTACCGCGGGCATGGATTGATGTGACACGCCGTGCGAGAGAAGCTCCGTGGCGAGGGGGAAAGTATTTGTACGATGACATCAGGAATAAATGAATACGGACTCCGTATTCGAGAAGCAAGGGCAGCAGATGGTACTACTACGCAGACAAGGGTGTCGTTATTGCAACCATGCCGAGGTCATGGTGTGGAGTTGCCAATGGGAGAGCGATGGGAGGGTGGTTACAATATGCTTTCATTGCTAGAACTGTAGTTGTGTTGTAGACGCAAGCGGCGCGAGGCGCTATGCGTACCGTCATCTATGCAAGCCTGAATGCGAGTCTTAGCCAACACCGCATGTGAAGTCCAACGAGCGAGTGCGCCAACGAAGCTAGATCCCGGCGGCGACGGACATCTAGTGCATGTCTAGGTCCTCCATCGACAGCGTTTCTTGCGAATCAATCGTATACTGCGTGTTGTCGGAGGACACGGAGAGGCTGCGGCTGCGGCTGCGGCTGCGGCTCGGGCTGCACCGGGGACTCCTCTCCACGGGACTGTCGACGGGAGGCAGGGAAGTGTTCTACAATTCGGTCTTCTGGACCTCGGCGACATGTTCCCAGAGCTCTACGGCGCGTTCGGCTTTCAGCTGTGCAATTGTCAGCAATCACTCTGGTCGTGTCGCGGTTGGACTCGTCGTACCTTGAGAAGATGCATCTCCAGGGTGCCCTCGGCGTTTGGCGAGTTGAACAGCAGCCGGCCGTCCTTGGGCTTAGCACCGTCAGAGTCCTGGCCGAAGACCATTGTCTTTGTCACGGCGGCGTTGAGGATGAGGCGGTGTGTGCCGTCGGCGCGGAGGACGAAGCGTGCTTTCTTGGGCGACTCCTTGGTCACGTTGAGCTTGATGTTACCAACGCCGCGTTCCTTCCAGGCCCGCTCTTTGCCTTCGCCGTCCATTGTGTACAGCTTTGCGCGACCGATCCATGCCGAGTCCTCGTGTTCTTCGCCGGTCTCTTTGGCTGGAGGGGTGTCAGTGAGGGCAGTCATGTTGGTGTGATGTGACTTACGAGCTGCGCTGGACACGGGCTGACTTGCTCGTCGTCCTTCGTCTGTATCTTTCTCGGGGTCGTCATCGCCGTCTTCCCCGTCATCGGACCCATCGTCCTCTTCCTTGTCACCAGGAGCGCCAAATGCTCGCTCAGGCTTCGAGCTGAGCCCTGTGATGCCCGGTGCGCCAGGTGTTGCGAACGAGCTGGTGCCGAGAGGCTTCGAGGCAAAAGAGCTGCCAAAGCCACCGCTCGATGCGCTGCCAAATGCGCTTGCACCGCCAAAGCTTGACTTTGCAGCTCCCAGGGATCCAAATCCACTTCCCGAGGGTGTTGCCGGTGTCGAAGATGTAGATGCAGGGGAGGCGAAGGAGCTGAGCTTAGGAGCGCCGCCGAATGGGGACCCTGTCTTCGCAGCAGCACCAAAGCTTCCGAATGGTGATCCGCTAGAGCTTGCTACGCTGCCAAATCCTGAAGCCTTGAACTTGTCGTTTGAAGTCTGGGGCATGGACTCTGTCTTGTCTGTCTTGTCCGACTTGGGCGCAGCGCGTTTGGCGGCCATGGCGGCGAAGGGCGATGCTGCAGATGTATTGGCGAAACCGCTCCCAGCTGGTATCGATGTCGCCGGCCTGGCCTCCTCTTTGTCCCGTGCTCGTTTGGACTCGCGCTCGTCGCCTTCCTTTGTTGCTGCTTGGCCGTTGGTAGGGGCATCCTTTGTGCAGTCCTCGGCAGCCTCAGAAGCGTCAGTCTCGTCGCGTGGACGCTTGTTCTTTGGACTCGTGCCGGCACGTGCCTCTGTGTCTGTGGTCTTTGCGGCGGCTTTGTTGGGAGAAGCCATCTCAGCGTCGGTCTCTTCGATTCTGGACACGGGGGCGGTCGCAGGCTTGGGCAGGGCTCCGTCCTCGAGGTCGGTCGGCATGTCCCTGGAGCGCTTGCGTGCATGTCTGGTAGGCTTCTCTGGGCCCTTCTCCAGCCTCTCCTGCTTCTTGTCCGGCTGCTTGCCGCCCTCGTTGTCGTCGTCGATGTCTTCCCGGCTGCGCTTTCTCCGTAACCGCCCACGCTCGCTGTCTGATCCGGACGCGCTGCGGCTTCCTGGCTTCAGGGTCCCGTTCGCAGCGCCGCTGGTCCGCCCCAACACCGATATCGGGTTCGCTGTTGCATCTATGCTTGTCTTCTGAAATTTCTCCCGGACCGGTCTGCCCTCGCTGTCGGTGCTCTTATCGCTGCGTGCTGGCGAGACAGCAGCCTCGGCAGCGCTGGGCGCCGGTTCTTGCTGCTCCGACGAGCTCATTGCAGCTGTTCTGTGTGTTCGCGTGGCTGGGTGTGGAGGCTGTTGCAGTCGCGTGGCTGGGTGTGGAGGATGTTGCAGTATGCGCTGGTGACGGGTCGAGGAAGCGTGGCGTTGCTGAGCGAGTGCTCCTTTGACTCCCGGGGGCGAGTGGGTCCGACTACAATGGTATTGTTTGTCGCTGTGAAGGGCGCGTTGTTGCGAATGCAAGCGGCGGGCGTGCTGCGGCGAGGCTTGGGGACGGACGGTATGGTATGCAAAGGGCTGCGGTCTTTCACACCGTAATCCAAGGAAGGCGTATGGCTGCTGGTCGTGCGAACTGCGGGCGGGTGCACGGCAAATTCTGGCGCGGTATGCGATGGTGGGCTCGAGCGTGGTGAAGATCCGTAGCCGCGGTGGGTTCGTTCGGTCAGTACGGTCAATACGGTCAATGCGCCTTTGACTATGCACTCAGACGGGCAGGCCGAGGCGCTCGCTATGGAACATGCAATTACACAATCCGAGCAGACACGCGTGAATAGGGGCGGGCACAGGTGGAAGCGCGTTGCGGGCGGTGACTGGACGGAAAAGCGCAGAATGCTGGCGCTTGGCTGTGTGTTGTCATGGAGTTCGAGGTCCGTTTGGTGGGGTTCTAGACTTTGGCACATCTCGCGCGGCTCACCGTCCGCCGTCTTCACTCATTGATCTTGAAGGCGCATCGTGAAGGAAATTGGCTAAAGTTGGCCAATCGATTTTGAAAAAAAAAAAAAAACGAAAGAAACTCCCTTGTCTCAGTCGAGACATGCTGTTCGTGACACCTCCCAAACGCCCGGTACCTAGGTATAGTACAGCATGCTTCACGCATGCACCCAGCTTAGCTGATGAAGCAAATGCAGCCCAGCGCAATGTAGAAAACAAACAGAGGATATACAGCAATCCCAACACGGTTCCGCACCACGCCCGAGCCGCCCATGATGCTGACTCCTGCCGCTAATGACCATGCAATGAGCGCCAGATAGACGGGTATTCTGACAATCATGGGTATGCCGACCGCGCTGAGCAGCGAGGCGATGACGAGCGGGAACAGCGTGTAGCCGATGATGGAGACGGACTGGAAGAAGGCACTAGGGGCGTGTTAGCAAGCTGGCCGTGGCCGAGTCAGAGCGTGTCCAACGCACATGTTGCCTCCCAGAAGCTTGATCTGCAGCGTCACGACGGCCTCGCCGATCCAGACCATGGCAAAGATGCCCGAGAAGACAAGATCTCGCTGGTCGGCCTTTGCCCCGCGCGAGAGGAACAGGCTGAGCAGCAGGCAGAAGATGAGCGGCCCCCAGAGGTCCCAGTCGCGCAGACCTTCGCTCATGCCGCCCTGCAGCAGCACGTCCGCGTCGGGCCATCTGCCTGCCAGGCCTCTAATGCCTCCGCCGATGCCGTCGGCCTCCCCGCGCTCGGCGGCTGCGATGCCGCCGCCCTGCTGCATCATGCCGCCGAGCAGGTACTTGGGGTACAGCACCTGCTTGAGCTTCTCCCAAATGGCCACGAGGTCGCGCGACAGCGTCTCCCACACCGTCTCGTCGATGGTGTTGGTCGGCGCGCGGCGGTCCTCGCCCGGGATGCTCGACGTCAGGTACGACTGCGTGTTGGCACCGCCCGACGCGATCCTGCCCGTCAGCGGCGCGCGGTCCGAGGCCCCCTGGAGCGGGTCATCGAGGTCGTCGAGCGTCGCTGCGAGTCGTTAGCCTGGTGTTGCAGCGCATCGTGCATGTCCGTGGATCCCATCGGCACCCGTGACGCACCATCGTCGGGGTCAATCAGGTCACGCTCCACCGCGTCGTTATCGTAGACAGCGCTGGACGTGGACGCGCTCGGCATCATTGCCGCCATGTCGAAAACCCTGCGAGAACGGGAGGCGGGATAATTCCTCAATGGGCGCGTGGTTAGCTCGAATGTTGTTGTTGACGATGCGCTTGTATCAAAATGATGCCACCTGGAGCTCTGTCTGCGGCCGCGCTGCCTTTCCGACCCAAGAACAGTATCGTCTCCGCTTGCAGGGATGCTTGGTCGCCCCTAGCGTGTGAAGGGCACCAGACGTTGCACTTCACTCCTATGCCCGGACCATGTTACCGCCTGGCGCCCGTCTCCGCGTTATCTGTCGGCGGTATATATTGTGTTTTCCGCCTCCCGCCTTGAGCGCAGTTCCATCGTTGTTCGTCGCCCATCATGACTGACCCCGTGCTCAACGACATCTCCCACAGGCGCTTCAACCTCCTGCGAGGAAGCTGGATCCTGGTTTCGCCGCACCGCACAAAGCGCCCATGGCAGTGAGCATAATCTCGTGCTTATGCTCGAGACTGTTACTGATCCTTTTCCAGAGGTGCGCAAGAGGAACCGTCCAAGGTCACGCTCCCAGAGTACGACCCCAAGGTGTGTGCTCGCCCCACCAAGCAATCACATTGACGCTTGTGTTGACGTCGTCAGTGCTATCTGTGCCCTAGCAACACACGAGCAAATGGCGAGAACAACCCAACGTTTACAAACACTTTTGTGTTTGTGAATGACTTCAGCGCTGTCAAGGAAGAGCAGGAAGACTACCACCCAGGATCCAACAGCAAATCACTAGCTTCGCGACTGCTCCGTGCCGAGGCCGTCACGGGAAAATGCTATGTCATCTGTTTCTCGCCCAACCACAGCCTCACCCTCGCAGACATGAACCCTGCTGAGATACTCCCCATAATCGACACCTGGACCAACATCTACACATTACATCTGGATCCGAAGTCACCACTTGCCAAGCTTGCCGCGACACGGTCCATTCCCGAGCTCGAGCAAGGTCAACTTGAGAGGCCAAATGCACAGTACCGCTACATGCAGATCTTCGAGAACAAGGGTCAAGCGATGGGTTGCTCGAATCCCCACCCTCACGGCCAAGTTTGGGCCACCACATCACTTCCTGAGGAGCCGGCGCTGGAACTCCAGCAGATGATCAAATACCGCCAAGAGCAGAACGGTTCGCACCTACTTAGTGACTACGCAGCGTTGGAGTCTGAGCAAAAGGTTCGCACTGTCTTTGAGAACGAGGGCTTCTGGGCCGGTGTGCCGTACTGGGGCGTCTGGCCGTTCGAGATCCTTTTGACTAGCAAGCAACACAAGAGGTCGCTGGTCGACTTCAGCAAAGAGGAGCGTGCACAGCTCGCAGAGGCTATATCGGAGATTACTCGCCGATATGACAACCTCTTCGAGACACAATTCCCGTACAGTACGTTCCATCATCGACTTTCTAGCTTGATCACGTGACTAACGTAACTCCAGGCATGGGCATTCATCAAGCGCCTCTGGAAGGTACTGCTGATGAGATCGAATGCAGCCACTTCCACATTCACTTCTACCCCCCTCTTCTCCGTAGCGCGACCGTCCGCAAGTTTCAGGTCGGTTACGAGATGCTGGCCGAACCTCAGCGTGACATTACGCCTGAGCAGGCCGCAGATCGTCTGAGGGGTTGCGACGGTCCACTGTACCGCAAGACCTTTGCAGAGAAGCCATATACGAACGGTGTCAATGGCGTCAATGGCGTCAATGGTGTCAATGGTGTCAATGGCGTCAACGGAGTCAATGGTCACCACTAAGCTTTAACTTGGCTTGCCATCTGCCGTAGTTCGTCGGGGAGGGGCGTTTGGAGTACAATAGGCGACAACGGAATGTTGTCCAAATGCGTAGACTTTTGATGCATGTCAGGAATCCGAGTTCATATCTGCTCGCAGTACAGGACGGAAGCATTACCATACCATTACACGGAGTGTGTACCGGCGTCAAGAGGCATAGATCTTCTGATATTAAATCAAATACACCAATCTTCAATCTCCACCCAGCGAACGAGAACCTTGCTGCCGCGATCACTCAATTCGGCAGCGTCCAACAAGACACGCTCAATGCTCAGCAGCTTCATCGTTATACATGCTCTCCGTTTACTAGGCCATTTGAGGAAAGGTCGACGTCACTGGACATGCGCTCCATCCACGCGCCCCACCAACAGGCCGCTTAACCTGTTCTCGAACCCCGCGCCATCGTCCCTCACCAAACACAACAAACCAACAACGTACAGACCTCCAACCACGCATCACCAGCTTCGATTCTCTAACAAGAACTACCAGACACATCAGTATGCCTTCCGCAAAGTACACCGAGACCTACCAGAAGGTCAGCAAGATGGGCGAGAAGCTCAAGGCCGCCGGCAAGCAGGGTCCTAGCAACGACGAGCAGCTCAACGTACGTTCTTTGCCACCATCTAGCTTCAAAATACGCACGGGGGGTCTTGGAAGGCAACACGAAGCTTTGCTAATATTTATACGCAGCTGTACGCCTACGCAAAGGTTGCCGAGGGCAAGGACTTCAGCAAGGCCGAGAAGCCTGGCATGTTCAACCTCGCTGTACGTCTCTCCTAGCATCTCCCTTCGGACATCACGAAGTCGAGCCAAAGTCCCGGCGGATCTCTGCTCCCGCCGAATCTCGATTCCGTCATGCACACTTGGAAAACTTGATCTGGGATCACCGCTGACACAATACAGGGCAAGGCCAAGTACAACAAGTGGCAAGAGGCTGTCAACGCTGGCCTGAGCCAGAAGGACGCCGAGGACAAGTACATCGAGCTCGGCGAGCAGCTGCTCCAGAAGCACGACAACTAGACGACTCGACCGCGATGCATCAGAGCCGGCAAGGGGAATGTCGAATATACCATAAGCTAGCATATGAAGGAATGAAATACACGGCCGATATCGAGCAACACACTTTTCGCGTCTGTGTCTTGGCAGTGCGTACATAAATGTTCGAGAAAGCTGCAGGCTGACTCTTCCGCACACATCTTGGTTTGACATTCTCGAAACCTGCTCACAGTGTGTGCTATGCTGCCGAAGTTGCCTCGAAAAGATTCCGCCAGCTCAACTTACGTGTTTGCGCGTTTCTCTCGGCGCAGGAAGCTGGTGTAAATACCAAGACATGCTCTTGGCCCTTCCTCCGCATCACTGCAAGCGACTTTCTGCTCCAAAACAAGAACCTGTCCCCGGAATGTTCGAAATTCCCTTTCTTCAGCTTCATGGCTGACGTGTCTCTCTTCTCCCAGGTTTGTGGACGGGATCCTCTATGCCTCTCTGCGGCTGCGACAACCAGTGGCAAAGCTCCACCGTGCTGTTCTTTTGTCGCTGCCACGCCACTTTGCTTGCGACTATATCGAAAAGACTATAATCGACTGCTACTGAGGTTGTCGCTGAAGCAAGGACTGAACAATGCTATGTTTCTGTGGCTCTGCTCGTTCCCAGCATGTAAAATAGAACACCACACGATACGATGTCTTTCTGTGTGCTCTCTGCGGGAAGTGCACGAGGAACGAAATTCGCTGTTGTTCGTATGCGGTTAATTCGTTGACGTCTCTTAGGTCGTCGGAATCCAGACAGGTGTCAACTTATGTTTGCAACAAAGGCTACATAAAGTACGCCTCTCGTCTTAAACCCCTCCTCGTCGCACATCCCTTTCGAGATGATCGAAAACCCAAAGCTCCATGCATGTCTGCGGCTTCTGCTTCCAAAACCTAAAGCGCGGTGGAAAATTACATGTGACCTTTTTGGTTCTGCCCGTGAAAAAAGCAGACTCGTGTGCTCCAAGTCAAAAATCCACACAGGCATAAATCCTGGTCCTTTCCGCCACTGTTATAAATTCACCGCTAGACTACTAAAAGCTGTTCGTCTTCTATAGACGCATATGTTTCCGCGTGTCGAAAATTTCTTACAATCCTGGCTGTTCCTGGGCGTTTCTGCATATAATCTCAAAGATCTACACTCAGAAGGTCGTATGTGGGATATCAGCCAGGAGTGTGAGATCCCGTTAGTCATGTATCTGCTGAAGACGGTTTTCGTGCTCCCTCTTCCCTATTCGAAACTTTCGTCCCCATGTCGAGTATCTTCTGCAGTCTGCCTTGGAAAACATCCAGCTGGATCTGTGTCTTCAAGACTGCTTTTTCCGCGTTCCTGTCCATAGCAAAGAGCTCATTTGACGCTGAGCGATCTTCCCGCGGTCTTTTAGCATGGTAGCGGATGTTCTGCTGCCCCTTTGCACGTCCTACTTATCGTTTGTCAAAATTGAGATTAGGCACAGATGTGCTTCCCCAACAAAGATAATATGAGGACTGGCAGTAATCCATCAGTCGCTGATTGATACTCCCTTCTCTCAAAATGGAACCTCGACACTCAGCAATCGTAACTGGACATGACTGTGACCCCAACTTCTTTCGCGTGAGAGCAGTCCTGTGTTGCATGTCTCGGAGAACCCACACAAGGGCATAGGGGCTCTGGTCTTTCCAAATCGTAGGTGGCCCCGTGAGGGCTCTTGTCAGGCGGGTCTGAATGTATTCAGGTCGACCGAGTCTCGGCGCAGATATCATTCTCCATGCTCAATCTTTTTGTTGCAAGCAGAGAGCAGCACATAAAAACAAGAGGGGAATCAGTGAGCAGAGGTACCTGTCGATCTCAACTCCGTCTTATATCCCATTGCTCCATGCGAAGGACATCAGATCTCATGGCAAACACGATATGGCAGAAATTTACAGCGACTCAGCCCAAATGAACTGGCGGGCTCACTCGCTGTTCGAGTCGTGAACGTTAAGTGTGTCCACAATGCTAGGCAAGGTGTTGTCCTTAGTGATGTGCAAGAGCCGCATTAAAGGCGAATTGGTCTCCACCTCGTGCTGGAAACCTTAGAAGTCCTGCGGAGAACTAATCAAGCCGCGAAAACATTCCGCGCTGGGCGCTTCTCAGATACTGATGAAGCCATTGTGTACAAGGATTGTGTGTATCGTGTTTCACTGCCAACCACAGATTGTAGGTATCCACGCTGTCTGCTGTATAATAGAGCCGTTGATACTGAAGCTTCATAAAACCGGGAAGCCTTGGTTTGGAAAGGTGTTTAGTTTGATTAGGTTCAGAAACTCAAAGCGCGCAATGCCCCACACGTATAGTGCACTTCACAGCACTTCGTCAAAACCCCGGTTCTGGACGTTCTATTGAAGTGGATTCGGACGCTGATAATTGGAATAGATTTCAACTATCATGACAGGAACATGCGGGGTTTGCTTCCTTGACCAGGAGATGGTCGATCGTCAGCGGATTGTGTCAATCGTATTTGATGAGTCGCAACGGCGCATGGAGCACTATCCTGGGTCTTCTTTACTCTCAAGGGTGATGGTTCTAGCATACGTCTAGATGGTCTAGAGTATTGGTTGCCCGGCCGTCGACATTGTGGGAACTCGGAGATGGAAGCCGCTAGGTACGACCGCTGTTGAAGCACCGGGCGACGCGCGAAACCCGTTTCAAGTGCACACAGCAACCAGTTCAACCGAATTTCTCGTCTTAATGTTGCGCACGTTTGCCGATGTTGTGAGGAGGGCCAGACGCGTAGGCAAATGTGAATTTGGGACCGCGTCGCTAGCGTTCGGTGGCCCACCTCAAATACGTCACCTTTATCCACGATGTCTTCTCCCCTCAAACCAACATCTAGTAGCCTCCTTTAGATCTCGGCAAGCAATGGCCGGCCGGTGTTTCTGGTGCTGTCCTACATTTGGAGATGCGGAATAGGCCTCGACTCTACGATCCAGGTCCTCGCCTGTTGTTGCGATGCATTGATTGTTAAATCACTACAGGGAAGTATCATCGTCATATGTGCCTTAGCACCAAACGGTTTCTCGATTCAAGACTCTTACGATAATAAACAATTTCTCAAAGATGGATTGCGGTACTGCTGGTCGCCGTGTGGCACACAATTTTTGAGACCCGTGGTGCGTTGCAAGGCGCGAGTTCAAGCAGGGCAGCTCTCAGGCGGCATAGTCTTACAGGAAGCCAGAAGGATCCGCCTACTCCAACGTGCTATGCGAGGTTGCCTTCGTTGAGAAGAGATCCTCCGATTGCTCACCACTCAAAATGGATTCCTTGTATCCGGTAGGTTCGCGATATTGGACAGTGATTGCGGGGTGCATAATTTAGTGCCACAACGAAGTCAACACAACCACGAACCATAAATATATTGTTGCAGGCTCATATAGCTTTCCAGATAGAGGCCTATCAGATGAGCTACATAATCCGCTCAATCTCGCCCCAAGCTCTAGCCGTCCTACCGTCTTTCTTCTGATCTTGAGTCAAACATATCGTCAACATGTACGCAGAACTCATCACCGCCGCTCTTGCAGTCGCACCCACCACTCTCTTCCCTCGTCAGGTGGGATCAACGTGCCCTACTACTATCGCTTGCCCAACCAACAACGGTTGCACTTCTACAGCCGCCAATGGTGCCGTCTTCGAGCTGAAGTGCTCAACCAACTACAACGGTCCTGTCATTGAAATCAACCAGGTCAGGTGATACGTACTGTTGCCTTTCATTATTGCTAACGGACCATAGGCAGCTTCTTTCGCTGAATGTCTCACTGCTTGCTCTCTCACCTCCGGCTGCAAAGGTCTAAACTACAAAGGCAAATTCTGCTACCTCCTCGGCAACAAACTCGGAGGTAGTCAGTCTGTGTAAGTTCTCTGGCCTTTTGCCACTGTAAATCGTGCTCACACTCCGCAGCACCAACGTTCAGGCCGCTATTGAGACCAAGACCGCCACCAAGACCTCCCCCGCCGCCGGCTCATCAACCTGTGCTGCAGGCCCTACCTGCCCATCTGGCGATGGCTGCGTATACGCAGCTAACAAGAAGAACTTCTATACTCGCTGCTCCTTTGACTTCTACGGTGGTGACATGGCGAAAGGCGTCAGCGAGCAGAAGGATCTCAAAGCATGTGTTGACAAGTGTTCTACGACAACTAGCTGTGTGGCTGTCAGCTATGGCTCTGGCACGTGCTACTTGAAATCTACTTTGAACCCTGCGATTTACAGAGCGAATGTCAATGGTATGTTCATGCTTCCATTTACAGCGACCATTAACTGACTTGATGGTAGGTGCGTACATCAAGTAAGACGCAGAAGCCGATGCTGTATGGCAAGATGTATCGTCTTCTTCGATAATATGACCTATAACCAGAAGCCGCCTGAATTATGGATAGAGGTACACAGCAATTAATAAACAGATGCTATGCGACACTGGACACTGGAGTGACCTTGCAGTTGCAACAAAAGCCATCTTTCTGATCCGTATTCTGTTCGACCGTCGAAAAAAAAACCCAGCCGAGATCATGTGTCTTAACTTTAATCGTGCGGCTGCCAAGTCACCACGGTCTTTAAGCGCTTTGTATAGTCTCGAGTACACGATCATCCTCTGATTTGAAGCACACATGCTTCGCACCTATTGTTTCTTTCGGATACCTCATGTGGTGGACTTAAAATACGGAACGAGCAGTCAATTAACATGCCAGCAACCACTCACATAAATCTGTCCACAGCACTCTGCGTTCTAGTTGCTTAAAGGGATCTTATCCTACACACATGTCTGTCGTGCCCCTCTTTACGCAAATACATCGACAGCGTGCGTCTTACTCCCATACCATTCTCAATTGGTAAAACGAAGTCCACATGTCTATTGAATAAGGGATTTGGCTTCCAACTTAAAAGTAGCTTTTCGCTCACCTACGATCTAGTGCAACTGTTCGGCATCTCAGACCTTATCCTCATCGCTTCTGCATCAATCCTTCTGCACTCTGAAACAGATCAAAATCAATCTTACCTCCTCGAATGTCTGCCCGTTCTGCACATCCCGAAACACCTTCAACGTCAAAATGTGCGCCATGACCCACGATTGAGCTCTCATCTTGTACAAGAGCAAACGCACAAGTTCACAATTCTGCACTCTACCTCTCAGTCTAAAACGCAGTCGCCATCTGTACATGTGGAGGATGCAGGCAGTGAGCGAAGATAACTTTCCAAGACTCTCACAACGACACATACCCACTCGACCCGTCATTTCAACGTCAAGGTGCCTCCTGCTGGATAAATGTTCATTGCCTTACTGCTCTCGAGACAGCGCTGAGTGCGAAGAATGCCTGCTCGTCTTGGCCCTAACACAGCTATTATGTCTGTCTGGTTGCCCTAACATCTATCTACAATAATTCCCACCAGCGGCTTGGCATGCATATATCTACATGTACACATTTAGGCATCTTATGCCTTTCTCGGAGCTAGACACACGCGAAAAGCAGTCGATATTCAAATATTTTCACCCAAGAAACAATGTCTCTCTGTCCTGTCCATTCAAAGTTCAAGTGCTATCTTGCGCCGACGCTGACACTTCTTACCCTGGAGTGGTTGACGCAAAATGCATGTCGTCCTGCAAAAAGGCCGAGTGCCCTTTCATGTCCCCAAACCAGCGACCTTATCACACTCGGAAGTTTTGGAGTGCTGCGTGCTAGCTGTATACCGTACACTACACATTACAGTGATCGACTTATTTGATCGTAGACCAGTTCTTATCAAGGGATTCATGGATATCATTAGGATCATTCTCGTCCAGCCAATACCTGCATCCAACGCCGCGCTAAAAACAACATCAGGGACTGCTCAGACTCTGCAACCTTCTCTTCCGTTTCTCCTTTTTCGGACTCGCCTGCCTCCCGAAATTCCACCGCACACTACTCCCCTCAACAATCCTTACAGGATCATCAAAATAATTCCGTCCAGGCTCAACACCCCAACCATTACTCTTCCTACCATGCCAGTAGCAAAGTCCCTTGCTGGGTCCCACGTACTTGACATGTAGCGGACAAAGGGGGCTGTTGGGCAGATGTTCGGGGACCAACCACTCGAACTTTCTCCTCTCCTCTGCCTCCTTCAGTGCCACGGCAGTCAGAGTTTCGACATCAGGTGTCTGCTCACCAAAGTGCATGCGGAACCAGCTATCCTGGCCTGGGGAACCGGGTGTCTTGCTAGGCCCGATGCCGGGAGTCTTGACAGCCAGATACCCATCGGGCCCTGTGTACAGGCCCGGGCTAGTCATCGGGCCGGTTGTGTCGTTGACAGGGCCGAAGTGGAATGCATCAGGCGGGCGACCCTCGGGTCCTTCCTCGTCGTCCTCAGTGTTACTGAGCCCCATATCAGTGTGCATACTCATGAGAACCGCGTTAGAGTCCCAGTGACCGCCGGGGGAAGAGTTGGGTTTGCGCCTGGCGTTAAAGCCATTGGATTCGAAGAAGAAGTCTGCAAGCTTGCCTTTGACCTCACCAGCTGGGTCGAACTTTGGCGAAGTTTGGACCTTATCGCACCCAGGAGGCACAAAGGCTGGCGGTACAGGCATATTGGCGAGAGATGCCGAGGGGAGAGGGGGTTTGTTGACAGGCTTATCTCGTTTCCAGGGCGTGTTCCATTCTTTAGAGGACTTCTTTTCTTTCTTCTCTCTTTCTGTGATATCTTTCTCGGGAAACCGGCTCGAGCGTTTGAAGATGTTGACAGAGGTACTTTTACGGTTGTCTCTATGGTCATCCTTCAAACGCGCCTGCTCATCAGAGCCAGAGACCTTTGATGTGTTCCATGGCCAACGACGGGTGCGTGCAATCTTCGACGTCTTCGCCAATTGAACGAGCTCTTTTTGTGTGTATACCTCTTGTTCGCTCATGCCCTCTCTGACTTCGGGTGTCCAGTGACCGTCGGGTGTGTTTCCGAAGTCAGAATCGCTGGTGCTGGGTCCTCCACTTTTGCTCCGCTTCCTTGTAGGGCGACTGATATAGCAGCGATCACGAATCTTTTGAGGTGGTCGTACGAACGCTAGCGTTGCGATTCGAGGCGTAACTGAGGGAAGTGCTGACTCAATTCCAAGCTCGACACCTGCGTCGTTGAGAATGATCATGTCCATGGCATTCACGTCTTCATCATCTTCAATTATCGGGGCAGTTCTTGCACCTGTTATCTTAGTAGCCTGAAACCAGTCTAGCTCTGCTTTGCGTATGCAAGGTGTCCTGGGGCTTCGAGGGCGCGATGGAAAGATGCTGCTTAGGATTGCGGGATTCGCTCCTTGGAGATCTTTGGGGTTGGACAAGTCGGGGAGTGCGACTGGGAGTGTGATGTCCATCTTGACCTGTCGTCGAGCTGCTAAGCTGCTGCATTTGGACTTTGAGTCTGGCGACGTAGCTTTACTGGGAGACTCACACGCCAGCGACTCTTCTACAACCAGGGAGGGTTGCTGAGGTCCCTCAACGGGACTCTTCATTTTCAAGCCGGATGGAAGCTGAAAAGGTAGATTGCGACCGTTTCTGCAGCCTTGAGTGGAACTCGCATCTTCCGGATGACCCTGTTTAGGCACTGACATTCTCTGATACGCTTTGCCAATCGAGGGTCGATGCGGCTTGATGTCAGGAATCTTCTTCGTCATGCTCCTCGCGAGCCCGCCTACAGACTTCCCAGTGTCTGACCGGGTAATACTGTCAATATCAGTACCGGATGTAGACGAGCATGTAGTAGACGGGCGGCTGAAGACAGTATCGCTCCGAACCAGGCTGGACCTGCAGATGCTGGAGTCATCATCCTCGTGAGTATTCCTGCGTACAAGCTCCTCCATCGTTGGTGGTGTGTGGTTGTCTGATCGCTGTGGCATCATGGGATTGCGACTGTGTTTTGGAGCCTCATCGTCGTACGCTGCGCGCAGCCCCCAAGCAAAGCTTCCACGCCTGCCCTCCTGACGGGGTGTGACGACATCGTTGTCGGCATGCTCCGTGCGCATGATGAAGTCAGCATGTTCCTGAAGTGTTGCATAGTGTCTCGATGATTGCGAGGCTTGTTGTTGCTGTGGTGTTATTTGGGGTTGGTGAAGATAATCTCTAGTGCTGGTGGTGTAACTGTAGGGTGTAGTCACACGCGATCCGCTCGGTGTGAGGCCGGTGCGCCTCTGCGCAATATCGATAGTAGATGAGGTATCAGCTGAAACGTCCGAGTCAGATTGCGACATCGAAGGCGGGCCAAGGGAGCATATAGCAAGCGCTCGCGTCGGTTTGCGTGCGCATGAACACAGTGATCGGCAGACTTGCCGTCGATATGATCAGAGTGCGTTCGCTGTCGATCTAGGAATAGGATATTGTAGGCGGTAGAAGCGGATGACGATCATTGTGAAGAGGGAAGCAAGGCGTTGTTGTGGTAAGAAGCAGCTCGAGGAAGCTTACGCCTTCAGCATCCCAATCGGGAAGGAGAGATAGACGAGGAGAGATTCGAGAAAGCAGCGACCACTCACGGCGCAGATAGACACATTCAACTTCCAAACAAGACTTTAGCCCCGAGCGCAACCCGCAAACGCCAAGCTATGCAAAGTAAATCCGTCCAAACCAGCCCATATGCACCGGGTATCCCGAACCCACGCTTCATGACACATTATACACCGTCAAAATACTTTGCTGCCTCCGCCTACTTTGCAGCGCTCGTCGCCTGTACAACACTCGTTCCATCTACGAACCGCGTCCTGAACAGCCGGTTTGCGTTCTCGAACATGCCGTCCTTCAGACTGACAACAATAAATTGCGAGCCCTTGAACCGCGTCTTGATCAGGTGACCGATGTTTTGGGTATGTGATATGTCGAGCGCGGCGTCGACTTCGTCCAGAATGTACATGGGTGCAGGCTTGAACTGCAGCAGCGCCATGATGAGCGAGAGGGCGATCAGAGACCTAGGAAACTCAGTGACTGTTTCGGACAAGATTAAGGACGAAAAAAACGTACCGTTGACCACCTGATAGCTCGGTGAGTGACTGCTTCCAGACCTTCCCCAGCATAACCTTGACCTCCAGCCCATCGGCGATCGTCTTACCCTCGGGTGGATCCAACTTCGCGTAGCTGCCGGGCAAGATCTCGTTGAAGATGTCGCCGAAGTCCTTGTTGACCTTCGTCCAAGTCTTATGAAGGGCCTCCTTCTTGTACTCATCAAGTTTGAGGATCGTGTCCTCAATCTTCTTCTTGTCCTTGACGACAGTTGCCATGTTGTTCTTCAGACTCGCTTCTTTCTTCTCAACATTATCGATCATGGCCATGACCTTGGGGTTGATCTTGTTCTTCCGCTGCTGGAAGCGCTCTTCAAGAGATTTCCGCTTGGCCTTGCAGTCGGCCATATTGACGCCGCGGAAGTCGTAAACGGTTCCTGCGCGACCGAATAGTTCAGCATCGCCGGCAATAAAGTCGTGCTCCTTCTCAAGTGTTGCAATGTTGCCCGCAGCGCCTTCAGACTCCTTGTGGAATTTCTCGATATCGTGTGCAAGTTTCTGCTGCTCCAAGCCACCTTCAGTGATGGACAAGTTTTTCGCGCGGATTGTGTCTTCGAGTGACCGCAGCTCCTCATCAAAACCAGTGAGCTTTGCTTGTTCGTCAGCCAGCTGCGCTTGCGCGATATCGTGAGCGTCCTGAGCTTGCTTCTGCTCAGCCAAAAGCTCGTCAATTTCTTCTTGCTGTGCCTTGAGGGTGCTTTGAACGTCTTCAAGTTGTTCCTGCGTCGCCGCGAGATCGCTGCCGCACTGCTCAGAGTCGACCATGGCCTCGCGCACTTCGGACTGCAGCGGCTTGATGGCGGCGTTCGTCTTGGTAAGTGCCTTCTTCAGCTTCTCGAGTGACGACTGCAGTTCTGCCAGCTTGCTGTCCTTATTGTTGTTGAACTCGTTCATGTCGCGTTCGATGCGCTTGATGTCCACCTTAGCTTCGTCTTGTCGTGCTTTGGCGGCTTTGACATCTTCCTTCAGCTGGGCGACACTCTGCTTCATCTCCTCAATAGCTTGAATGATCTGTGATATGGTTAGCTCATATGTGAGAGCCCTGCGTGGGCTGAACTCACAGACGACGAAGAGTTGCCGCTGATTTGCTCCTCTGTGAGCTTGATCTCGTGCTCCTTGAGATCGAGTTCCTGCTTGGTCTTGCGCGCAGCATCTAATCTCTTCTTCTCCCGAGCCATTGTGTCCTGGAGTTGGCGAAGCTGCTGCTCCTGCGATCGAAGCTCGGTTGTGATCTCGTTGAGCTTCTGCATAGTGACCAGAACACCGCTCGACTGCGGTGCGCTACCGCCGGACAAGGTACCAGCAGGATCGTAGGTGTCACCTTGGAAGGTGACGCTTCGCATGCGCACCGCTGGATCGAATGTGACGCGCTTAGCGGTCTCCGCGTCCTCGCAGACAAGTGTCGATCCGAACACGTACTCCATGGCCGCGTTGACCTCCTCATCGTACCCGACAAGAGACAATGCGAGGTCTACTTTCCCGGGTGCGATCCTCTGTGCCGCGCCAATCTTCTGTGCAGATGCCCTGAATGCCGCAATCTTGTTGAGGGGAATGATGGTGACTCGCTTCTTGAGTCTGCCGTTCTCCAGCAGCTGTTTACCTGTGGCGGCGGAGTCGACAACCACATTGTACAAACGGCCTCCAGCGGCGACCTCCAAAGCAGATCCCGCCGCGGTGTGCTCTTTCTTCAAAGTAAAGAGCTGCGCAACCAGACCTTTAACCTTCGATCGGTCGAAGTTGGGTGATGGGTCATTGTAGCTGAAGTCGATGTTCGAGACCTTGCGCCTCAGCTCATCCGCTCGTTGCTTGAGCTCACGGATGCGTGCTTGTAGATGCGACTCCTGCTGGTACATGTCCGACTCCTTGCCTTCGTGAAAACCCATCTTGGTCAGATCGGCCCCCAGCTTTTGCGCCTGCGACTTGAGCGCCTCGAGATCGTTCAGCAAGCCCGAGTTCTGTTGCTTGGCCTTCTTCGCTTTCGGTTCGTCCTCCTTGATCTGCTTTTCGAGATGCGAGATCTTGAGTTTGGCCTGCTCCTGCTCTGTCGTCGCGGCGCTGACGCGATTCCTGGCGTCCTGCAGCTGTCCCTGGTACCCGCTTTCCTGGCCCTCTTTTGAAGCAACACCGGTCTGCAGTGTTTGCAGAAGCTCCTCTTTCTTCTCGACTTCCTCCGTCTGCTTCGCCAGCTCGTCGCGCGCCGTCTGGTACTTCTCCTGGAGTTTCTCGTGGACCTGCTTTTTCTGCTGGAGCTGCTTCTCGAGGTCCTTGACGCTCTTCTCAATGCCCTTTTTGCGCTCAACTTCCTCGGCCATGCTTGTCCGCTTCAGGTCGAGGGATGTGTCCAGTCGCACGACCTCGTGTGAGTTCGCCTTGACTTCCTCTTCAAGCGCCTGGAACTTACCGCCCTTGCGCAGCTCCTTCTCTCTTGTAGCCTTGACTTTCTTGATATCTTCCTGGAGGAACTCGATCTCCTTCTTCATGCGCAAGGCCGACTCCTCGAGATCTTTCGTTCGCTGCTTCTTCGCCTCCAGATCATCGCCAGACTGTTGTAGCCTCTCCTTCATCCGTGTGTAGTCGTATGCGACGACGAGCTTCGTGAGCTTCTCTAGTTCGCTCTGCGTCTGCTGGAAGTCGAGGAACGCGCGCTTTTCCTGGCGCAGCTTCTCGAGCTTCGGGTCGATCTCGTCGCGCAGAAGCTCTGCAATCTCTTGCACTTTGCTCTCCTTCTTCGTCATGGTCTTGTATGCCTTGTCTCGTCGATCCTCGAACATGCGCGTTCCTGCCGCCTCCTCTAACATGGCCAAGATCTCGACTGGCTTCATGTTGAGCACCTTCGTGACTCTACCCTGCATAATCAGGAAATTCGGGTTATTGATGTTCAGCTGCACAGACTGAAACAGGTTTTGAACTGTGTTTTGCTGCGCACGAGATCCGTTGACCAGGTACTTGCTGGCTCCGCCGAGCACAATCGTTCTCGTCACAGAAATCGAGTCGAGGTGGTCAAAGCCCACGGGGCTGCTCTTTTTGTCCTTGTTGTCGAATGTGATCGTCACACTGGCCTTCGTGACGCCTGCTTGACCGCGCTTGTATATGAGGTCCTACATCACCTATCAGCCCCTGCGATATGCGCGCCCAGCGATTCCGCCTACCTGCAAGTTCTGCGCGCGCACGACGCCCAGGTTGGTGATACCGAGGACGAAACATATCGAATCGAGGATATTGGACTTGCCGGATCCGTTCAGACCGGTGATTGAGTTGAAGCTCTCGTCCCTGCCTTTTGTAAGTGACTGCACCAATTGCGCCATTGGGTAAACAAACCAGCCAGTGATGACCGTTCGGACAGCGTACGACTTGTAGCCCTGAGGCTATGTTAGTCATCGTTGCACAGCCTCCATAATGAACTTACGTCTATGACCAGCTCCGTAATCTTCATGGTGGCCGCATGCGTTATTGTTGTTGATTGACGGTTGCTGTTTTGTTTGGGGCTCCGCTCCGCACCCACGCTGATTGTTCGCCTGCGAATTGCGCTAGGCAGGGATCCACGTTCGACGCGTCTCGCGTCTGCACCATCACCCCTCATCATGTCACTCAAGATCGGAAAGGAACTCGTACTCTTCATTCAATTGTCTATGACAAACATACCGAGCCACGTAAAGCATGTACTGCATATCCAAACAGACAGGCACTTCAGGTAGTCCATCGTTCACGAGTAGTCAACGCTCACTTGAGCCTCCCAACCGCCATCTGCTGGAAAGCCAAACTGCCTCAGGAATCCTTCCATGACAGCGTGTGGTGGCTTTTCGGATAGGACCTTCATCCACGCCTCCGCAAACCTCTCTTTGACGACGATGTGCATAGCTACTGTTGTTTTATCAGGCTGCAGGGATAGTCGAACCTGGCCGATCTTGTTTGTAGTGATTGCTTTCTTCCATACAGGATCGTCGTGGTTGATCAGTCGCTCGAGTTGTCGCAGAGTATATTCTTCGGTTTGAGGCATCGACTGACACGCGATGGCGCAAGTTGGGAACCGGGCCTTGTGCTTGAACAGCCTGGTCACCATGCAGCCGTTCCAAATAGTGCCCAAGTCATCTTTGCGAACCCATATCCGGAGGCTAGAAGTATTCAGACCGAAGATGTTGTACCTCGTGACTTTTGGCACGCGTGCGAGGAAGAAGGCCTTGAAATAGGACTCTGTGAAGTTCAACGGAACCCGGTGCGTCGAAAGCCACATCGGACGGAACTCAGCCCTGATCTGCAGGCATACCTGCGTCAATCCAAGATAGGGGATAGGCTTGTTAGCCGTTGCTGATGGTTCAGTGGAGTTGCCTGACCGCAACATTCGTCTCCTGGTGTTCTTCGGCGTTCCGTGCAATAAGGGGAAGCATCTGTGCGTGTGCTCTGTGGCATATTCATAGACCTGATTGCGTACCTCTGAGTACCGTTAGGACCTCACTCCCTGCAAGTGTGGGATGTGCCAACCAGGAGGTAGTTGCAGGAATTGAAAATTGTCGTATTCCTGCGGCTTGTCATCAGTCTGCAGGCGCAGCTGTCCTAGCTTGGGCCGCTTCTGGGGATGCTTTGGCTTCTCATTGTCGACAGTACATTTACGCTGGCTACCTTGAGCATGCCCTGAGGCAGCAACCTTGACGATAGGCGCTTTGGACCTGTTGTTGATTTTGTTAGTGAGCCACGCAACAGGAATGCATGGCGAATTATAACAACACCTACATTGTTGATTTGAGAGTATCCCTATTGTCCAAGAAGTTGAGTTGTGCGGCGATGGTGGTGTCGAGGTGAGGGAGCGTGTCTCGACCGTGGTTTGTGAGGAGCTTCTTGTGGCACGCGGGACCCTGATTCGCCCGCGCCGGCTCGATGCCTGGCTGCACGACCGTTTGCTCCTGCCCTCTTGGGCGGCCTTGCGCAGAAATCTGTAATATTCATGCGCCTTCATCAGACCACTCAGTCGATGGCAGCCAACGCTGGTTGTTCATATCCTCTACACTGTAGTCTGTGACAGCCCCCTGATAGCCCCTAGTAATATGGACAAGGCTTGCGCCAAGTGGAACCTGAACGCATGCTATGCGACCCAAGTGCCATTGCTCATCAGCGTGCCAGCTTTTGAATAGTCCAGCGTACGGCTATCCCTAATGAAGGCGAAGCGGAAGTAGTCATTCATCATATCACCCGCCGGACGACCCCACTTGAAGGTCTCGCCATTTGGATACTCATCGATGAAACCGCGGTAACGCTCCACGTCATTTACGAGGACACTGAGGCCTTGTGTATCTTCAGGAAGGGCTATCCAAGAGAAGGCTGCCACAACACCATCCGTAACGCTTGTTTCAATTTTGGGCGTGATCACCGCAGGCACGACCGTGTTGGAGATGCCATCCTCTCGTAAGGCCGCGGTGGTTTGGAGGATTGAGTCGAAGTCCCAACGCGCTATGCCGTTGACGAAAAGTCCAAGCAAGATGCCTTGATACAGCAACGATGGCCGCGTCTGCATGCTTGTTCCTGGAAGCAGTAACAGGCTGATGATGTAGTGATGGATCCTAAGATTGAGGCCAGGAATGGCAAGGCAGACCAGGACAGCGAAGAGAAACATTCCATACAGTCCAAGATACGCGAGTAGTCGTCCTTCGCACCAAAAGAAGTAGATCTGACCGACCGCGATGAGTAAGAGTACCCCGACAATGATGGCTAGGGCCACCTTCGCGCCAGGTTGCTGCTCCAGATCGTGAGCGGTGAGCCTCGAGATTGGAATCCAATCGAGAGTATAATTCGATAGAGCGCCAATCCAGAAGCCTCCCAGCCAAAGAACAGTCTTCTCCATCGGTGCATCGAGCCCAGATAAGGTGCGCTTCACGACCGTCGTCCATATGATGACGGCGATGAAGATTGCTGGGAGCAGTCTTTTCGCAAACATCGATATATGATCCGGCAGAACTGTGATGTTCCGGTATGATGCTTGTGGTGGATCAGACACGAAGCTGACGTGCATGAATATAATGATGAATATTGGAAAAAAGATCTTCGACCGGGTCGAAAGCAGAGAAAGTGTGGTTGTTGTCAGGAGCGACACGAAAAGCAGAACAGAACGTGGCTCACTGCTGCATTCGAGATTTGCATCCTCTTTGGCAAACTGGAAGGATAGCGGAAAGTCCGAGTCAAAGGCAATGGATTCGATGCCATGACGTTTCGTAGTTGTGAAGTTGCTCTTTTCGCCGACCAGCTCCACACGACCACAGCCGCCGTTTCGGCTGTCGATAATTCCAGCATGTATAGCTGAGGCACAGACAAAACTATCTCCTCGATAGGTCTCGGAGCCGACGACGAGAGGCCGGTAGTTGGCATCGTATGCACCCACAGCATGTGGGTTCAGAAGCTGCACATCGGCGCACTTGGAAGGGCATTGGAACGCAAATGAGGAGTTCTCGAAGGGATGGCAGTTCGCACCATTGATGCCACACCCATTCTTGCGTCTCCACAGCGAGTCGGTACAATCCAGATTGACGACATACTTGCCATGTCCATCAACCGTGGGCAATTCCGTAGCTAAGAAGCCAACGAACAGCAACAGCCAAATAACTAAGATGACATTCAGGAAAAGATTTTGGTGTTCCTGACGAGCCAGGACTTTCGTGAGTAATTTGGCAGGAGCATCCTGGAGAGATGGAAAGAAGGGACGAATATTTTGCGGGCGAAGAGGCTGAGGACCGTTGAGAAAGCCTAGGCATCCAGGGAGCCTCTTTGTCGATTGCTGTTGTTTCGCTAGATCGGAATCCTCGAAATCGAACTCCTCTCTTAGCAGCAATTGCGCTTCCTCGAGGCCAATATCCGTATCCGCGGACCCTCGGGCTGGTCCATCGTTGGCCTCATCCTTGTAGCGCGGCGGGCCGTCACTATGTTCGTGGTCAACCATATCCCGATACGAAAGGCTTTGGCCAAAAGAAACAATGATGCTGATCGACGAGAGACATTGCGTGAGCTGGAGGCTGAGATGAAACACTCCAGCTGCTGGTACGTGCCCAGGTGCTCGGACTCGGCCAAAGCAGATCGCGCTACCTAACCGGTCCCAGCTTAGTTTCAACTATTGCGGAAAAGACCTCGCGGCCTCTCGCAGCGTCTTTGGCTCCAACAGCATCCATTCGAAGTTGGCACGTCAACTGCCGTACTTCCTCCTGACTATAGTCGATACCACCCTGCAAACAGTCAGGGCTTAATCTGCATCAAGGCTGTCCGTTGCGTTGATCTGGCGTCCGCGGAGAGGACTGGGGTTGGGGCTGAAGTAGAGGGTCACCTTGCAATGCATTTTCAGTGGCCGAGGACAGTCTCTACATGTCCTTTGAAGTACTGTCCGAATCAGACATTGGCACCGTAGACATGGTGGATGCGGATTCCAACGCCTACCACCCTCTACGGAGAATTCTTGAATGCTGAGACCGACTCACGTTGCTCGTGTCTCCGCAGCTCTCACTTCCATCACTATGAAGCATAGGATTGAAATCGACTCTGTTCAGTCACTCTGACAAAGTGCACTGTGGCTCTTTTTAGAAGGATAGCGAGGGTCGCAACGCAGCAGCAGGACTATGGCCACTCACTGACTTCTGACGAGAGGATTTTGCGTCCAGCAGCTCCTTTCTGTCGGTTGTGCAGCTTCCTCAAATTGATAAGGGCTGTGGATGTGGCTGCCCCAACCAGTCAAAGCAACTGCACCCACTACTTTGAGCAATCTCAAAGCAGACGCAGCAGAGCTCACCACACGTCGATGTTCCTCTTTTTGCACCACTGCCTTCAACCACATTTCTATGATCTAGTGTCGCCGTTTGCGCGGACAACAGCCCTAAACCACGTATGTCTCACGCTCTTGTTCACTCTGGCAATACCCAAGTTGACACTGATACGCAAGCAGCTCCACACAACACCGCCACCACGTTCTCTCTAGGCCTTCTATCGCCGTGCGGTCCCTGCCTGCCAGTGCAACGGCGGCCCTCGAAAAAGCTTCCCGTCATCCACGAGTCCTCGAAGCTGGATCCATCTGTCGGGCCCAGACCCAGCCTCGGCAGGGCACGCACATCACCTCCACTCTCACCCTCGATCTCGCGCGTCAGCACTTCAACCAGTTTTGCAAGCAACGGCAGACGCAGAAGTGGCTCGAGTACACCCAGGCCAGGCCAGCTCAAGCGCAAGATAACCCTCGCCGAGCGCTTTGCATATATTGACGCCAACCCTATCGACAAGGGCCCCTGGCATCCTGAGAGCGAATTCTACGTCCCCAGAAAGTCCTAGGCAGACATTCGTGAAGATCTTCTCAGAGACGAAGCAGAGCGCAAGAGACACAGGCAGCTCAAGAAGGCCTGCAAGGACCTCGACGGCCATTCAGGGACTAGGTCGAACTCTCACAGCCGAACTCATTCCATAGCGAGCCTTTCAAGAGTCAACTCTAATCGCGACTTTGCCTCAGCTTTCCAGTCGCCGAGTCGGGTCAACTCTCTGAAATATTCTGACACAGGAAGTACCGCCAGCTCCGTTCCATCCTCGGTATCTGGTAGATCCACACGGCTTCACAAGGTCGAGACCGTCGAGGAAGATGATCGAGTCACTGCGGGACATGAAGCACAAAAGCAGCAGCTACGAGAACCTGGAGATGGAAAGGACTGCCAACAAGATACTGCATCGCATGGAAGACAAGGCGAACGAGGACTCTTTGGATGGCACAAGAGCAAGAATCCTCGGTAGGCCTTTATCTGACTGTCGATGCGCCTGCTAATGCTCTGTAGCGAACGCCCGAACCATCTACGGCCCGAATCGATGTCTCGACGTGATAAGTTTCGCTCCAACTTCCTCGCGAAAGATTGGCGCCGCCATCGTCGAACACAATCCAATGAGTAGATCGTACGTCCACTGCACGTCGGCAAAGGAAGACTCCCGTCGAGAGGCGTATGAGCACCTTCTCGTGATCACTGAAGACCTCCTGCAGCGTCTGATGGACACAGAGGGTATCACCAGTAGCGGTTGGCTTACGGCAACACCCCAGTCGCAGCATGCGGCGACATACAATGCTGCAAGCGTCAGCGGAAGTGTGGCCGGCAGTGTGCCTGCGAGTCGGAGGAGCAGCGTTGCACCCCAGGAGTCAGTCATTGCTTTATGATTGCCAACCTTACTTACGGAAGTGCAGGATCATCATGCCGCCACCAGAACGATTTGTGAACGACTTCCACTCGCCGTACTCGTCTCACCATATCCAGAGGCCTCCTGTGGGGGCGAATGCACCATCACTAGTCCGCGGAAACAGTAATACTGCTTTTGGCTGCACAACTCCCCAACCTCAGATCCAGCAGATGCCCCGTACGAGCAGCGATGTTGTTATACAGCAACCGAAGCCGGTGCCGGCGGGGCAGTACACAGGCCGCCATCATGGTCGTGTGCAGTGGAAGCTTGGTTCGGAGGGCTGAGAGGTTGTTTTGCCCTTCTGATTCGGATGGTGGCATCAGAGTATTGTTTCCTACTGTATACCTCTACGCTGCCGCGTAGTGATAGCTGAACGGTGGCTTTTCCCTAACTACCTCCGCGCTGAGACATGGGCTCGCTCAATATAGCCCGGCGACATGCATTTTGACGCAGGCAGCAGTAGCCACTGTCTGATAATGGAGTGATTTTGTGAGTCAGGCTCGAGCACATTGTCGTGCGTGAGACATGGTGTTGAACGGCGGCGCTAGCGCTAAATATTATATCGCACACACATTTGCTGCCCCACGCGCCACTCCATCTTCGAGTCGCTGCAACACGTACACGCCCACGCACGACGACGGCCGACATCACCACGCCATAGACAAATCACACATCACACATCACACAGCAGCCATGTCTCGCGTAGCAGGGTGCGTAGTGCCAGAAGACGGGTCGACGGGTTTGCTAACGGTGTCGCAGCCGCACCGATTGGGCGGAAGAGGAAGATGAAAACGAGGTAGCGCTCCCGCAGCAGACGGTGACCAAGAACAAGGACGGAACGGAGACGATCGTATCGTACCGCATCAACGAGGACGGCAAGAAGGTCAAGACGACGCGCCGGATCAAGAAGACAGTGGTCAAGCAGATTGTCAACCCGCGGGTGGCGGAGCGCAAGGCATGGCCCAAGTTCGGGGCAGAGAGCGGCAAGCCCGCAGGCCCGCAGACAGATACAGTCTCAGTCGCTGAGAACATTGTGTTCCGCCCACAGTCCAACTGGAAGGCGTCGACGGACGACAAGGGCGACGAGGACAAGAAGAAGCTCGAGCTCAAGAACGCAAAGATCAAGTGCCGCATCTGCTCCGGCGACCACTTCACCACAAAGTGCCCCTTCAAGGACACCATGGCGCCCGAGGGCGCCGACGCACCAGCCGACATGCCCGACGACGCACCCGGTGGCAGCGGCGGTCTCGGCGCGGGAAGCGGCGGCTACGTCCCGCCGCACATGCGCGGCAAGATGGGCGGCGGGGAGAAGATGGGCGGCAAGTTTGACCGCGACGACAGCGCGACGCTGCGCGTCACCAATGTCTCTGAGATTGCGGAGGAGCAGGATTTGCGCGACATGTTCAGCCGGTACGGACACGTGACGCGTGTTTTCCTGGCCAAGGACCGCGAGACGGGGCGCGCCAAGGGGTTTGCGTTTATTTCGTACGCGGACCGCGACGATGCGGCCAAGGCGTGCGAGAAGATGGATGGCTGTAGGTTTTTTCCCTCATCATATTCCCTGCGCTGCGGGGGGACGTCTGCTAACACTTTCTCCAGTTGGTTTCGGACATCTTATTCTCCGCGTCGAGTTTGCCAAGAAGGCTTAGGCGGTTGTTCAGCCTGTCGTCTTCGGCTGCGTCTGATGCAGCTTCTGAGGCAGTCTTGTTCGCATCCGCCAAAAAGGGTCACAGGGTGCATCTTACGAGGAGGAGGAGGAGGAGCATGTTGGTTCAGGACGGCGTTTGACAAGCACGGGGGAGACACGGATAGCACGAGGCACAGCTCGCCCGAGATGTAGAGATGCACGGGCTATAAAGATGCACGGGCTATGAAGATGCGATTAGCGAGTGTCGCAGAGAAACAGCCTTACAAGCAGCCAATTCAGGGGTACAAGTGTAGTCTACATTTTGCCACTTTTTAGCTGTGACAGGATTATCATTCTCAAATCCCAACCCCTCATCCTCCTCCTCGTCCCCATCCTCATCATCCTCCTCCTCCTCATCCTCCTCCTCGTCAGTGTCAGTGTCAGTGTCAGCGTCAGCGTCAGCGTCAGCGTCAGCGTCAGTACCTCACCCGCCTCACCCGCTGACTAGGACTCGCGTCCAGCGTCTGCGAGAAGCCGTCGTCGGTGTCACTCGCGTCCACACCATGCAGATCAATACCCGTGATGTCCTCGTCCTCGTCGGGCGCGTACTTTTCCGGGCTGAAGACGGGACTCGTGGCGATGCGCGGGCGGCTCCGGAAGACGCGGTCATAGTCAATGTCGGCGGCGAGGAGGTGCTCGCGCGGCGTGCGGGTGCCGCTGCCGCCTTGGTCGCCGAGCGCGTCGAGCGCGTCGAGCGACGCGCACGGAGCATCGGGCTGGGCGGAGACCACGGACTCCCTGCTGGTGCGCTGCTTCGTCGTGGATGCGTGTCGGCGGCTCGATGCGGCGATGCTCTGCCTCGTGCGGTCCAGCAGACTCGCCGTTCTCTCAAGCGCCGCGTCAGCGGCAGCAGCGGGCGGCGCGACGGGAAGCGGGTCCGGGCTCTCGTGAACCGGCTCGAAGCTCGGGGTGCGGCCGAGTGCCATGCGGGGCTCGACGCTCGGGGTGCGGCCGAGTGTCATGCGGGTGCGGTCCACCAGGCTCAGGGACATGCGGGGCTGCGGCCGCTTGACGGGCGAGGGCGTCGCGTTGCCGATTGCGTTGATGATCTCGTCGGCGAGGAGTTGCTCGTTGCGGTCAGGGGCGGCAATGTCGAGGCTGGGGACCGAGCGCGAGTACTCGGGAGGCGACGTCGATGCGGTTTCCGAAAAGGGCGTTGGCTGGGACGGCGCCGAGTCTTCCGAGGGCAGGGACGGCGCCGAGTCTTCCGAGGGCAGGGACGAGGAGGACGCTGCGCGGCCGTGGGGGACGGGCGCGGGCTCGGCGCGGGGCGGGTGCTGGACGCGTCGCCGGGTCGGGGAAACAGCGGGCAGTGACGGGGGCGCGGCGATGCGCAGACTCGGCAGCTGGCCTGCTCGAGCGGCGTCCGAGTCGACGGGTGTGGCTTTTGCCGACGGCCGTCGCTGAGGGTGTGCGGATGCATTGGCAGCAGACAGCCCTTCAAACAGAGCTTTCTGCTCCCGCACCAACGTCTTTGGCTCGCCGACGAGCGTCCTTGGCTCGCCGACGAGCGTCTTTGGTTCCGTGTGCCAGGAGTCCGACGGCACTCTCGCTCGCACGGGAGAGCGAGCGGCGCTGCCCGAAGACGCGCGGCCACGTCGGAGCGAGGCGGGCGCGGGCTGGGGGTGTGACTGCGACACGCGCGACAGCTCCGCGTCCATGTCGGACAAGATGTCGCGGTAGGCCGACGGTAGTGCCGGCCGCTGCACCACACGACGCTCGACATCCCTGGCGGACGGCAGCTGGTGCTGGGCGTGCGTGTCAAAGGTGAAGTCGCTCGCACGCGGCAGCGGCAGCGGCAGCGGCTTCGGGCTCGCCGACGCGCCCTTTGTGTTGTGTCGGCGCAGCTGCTCATGGAACACGGTCCACCTCTGCAGCCGCGTCTGCTGTTCCCGGACGCGCGACTGCAGGTCGTCGAGCAGGCTGGCTTCGGGCGCGGCGTCTTCGAGGCGTCGCCCGCGCCCGACCATGCGCCACACGCTGTCGAAGCGGGTGCCGAGGAAGGCGTCGGCGGGCTGGGGCTGATGGCCGTGCAGCATGACGCCAAGCCACTGCCGGTCGCCGATCCAGTTGTCCGCGAGCTGTCGCTTGAGCGCGTCCGCCTCCCGCTGCGGCACGGGCGGCCTGTCGGCGCCGGGGCCGCCGTCGCACGGCCGCGTGCGCCTGCTGATGTCGCCCGCCTTGGAGTGCAGCGTCGCGGCGAAGCGGGCAAACTGCGCCCGCTTGTCGTCCTTGCGACGCAGGACGCTGGCGAGTGCGGCCCGATGCGCGACCGCAAGCGGCAGCAGAGCGCGCTGCTCGTCGGCGGAAAGCGTCGATGCCGCGGCCAGTCGCCGCGCAATGGCGGCGTGCCCGCTCCGTCCCCGGCGCGACGCGAGGGTGCGTCGGAGCACGGCGGCGGAGAAGAGAGCCAGAACCTCGAGGAAGCGGTCGCCCTTGCACTCGTCCAGCATGGTCTTGCGCAGGACCGCCTCGCGGCCCAGCACGCCCGTCTTCTTCAGCTCGGCCAGCCATCGGTACAGGGCGGCGCGCAGGTTGCGCGACTGCAGCGGCTCGAGGGGCGGGAAGAACGGGCGCAGCTTCTGCGACGTGTCAGTGGGCGCGGCGTCGGCGTCGGGTTCAGACGCACCTGCGCAGTCTCGGCCGGGTCCCAGAGGTCGAACAGGCGGAAGAGAGCCCACTCGGTGGCGGCAATGCGCTGCTTCTGGTCGGCATTTCGGGCGGCAAAGGTCTGCGCGGTCGGGTGCGGCCAGTCGTCGCGCCCGTCGAAGCCCAGCAGCCGCAGGTTGGTCACGAAGCGGCGCGCGTGCGAGGCCGGCAGCGGGTTGGTGGTGGTCGCGGCGGTCGCGGCGGTCGCGGCGGTCGTGGTGGTTGTCGGGTGAATCGTGTTTGCCCTGGGGCGCGTCGACGCGGCGGCACTGGAGGCCTGCGAGGGTGGGCGCGACATTGTCTGGAGTCACGCCCCGTCTGGTCTCGGCTGCTGCGGGTGGTGGTGCAAGCACAAGCAAACATGCAGACGTGCAAACATGCAGACAAACATGCAGACAAACATGCAGACAAACATGCAGACAAACATGCAAACAAACATGCAAACAGACATGCAAACAAACATGCAGACGTGCAGACGTGCAGACGTGCAAACAGGGGTCCAAGCACCCAGGCTGCAAGGACCCGCGCCCAGACAGGCAAGCAAGCCGCCTGACGGCAAGCCACTCCACGGCGGGCCACAGCGTCATCGTCTTTCACTCGACCTCGACCGCGCCGCACCTCGCTCCCGCTCCCGCTCCCTCTCCGTCTCCCTCGGTCGCCTCCGCCTCTGCCCACTCACACCGCACGCCATGGCCGCCGCAGCGCCCTGGACGGTGCAGACGGCCCTCGCAGCCATTGCGCCGGGCTACGCCGAAAACACCGATTCGCCCGTGCCCTTCTTCCACCTGCTGGAGCGCCTGAAGACGACCAGGCGCGCGGGCTGGGGCCGCTTCGGCATCGCCGGCTGCGAGAGCATCGCCGACCACATGTACCGCATGAGCATCCTGACCATGCTGGCCCCCGCCGGCGTCGCCGCCCGCCTCGACGTGCTGCGCTGCACGCGCATGGCGCTGGTCCACGACATGGCCGAGGCGCTGGTCGGCGACATCACCCCCGCCGACCCCGTCACCAAGGAGGAGAAGAGCCGCCGCGAGACGGCCACCATGGACTACATCTGCGGCTCCCTGCTGGGCGGCGTCAACGCCGGCCTGAACGCCCAGGAGCTGCGGAGCCTCTGGCAGGAGTACGAGGACAGCGTGACCCCGGAGAGTCTGTTCGTGCACGACATTGACAAGCTCGAGCTGCTGCTGCAGATGATCGAGTACGAGCGCAGCCACGCGTGCGCCACCGACCTGGGCGAGTTCACCTGGGTCGCCCTGAAGATCCAGAGCCCCGAGGTCAAGACGTGGGCCCGCGCCATCTTCAAGGAGCGCCAGGAGCTGTGGAGGCAGGCCGGCAAGACGTGCAGCTGGCGCGCCGACACGGAGCCCAACGATGACGCGTAGGGCGACGACGAGGGCGACGACGACGACGACGACGACAATGGCAAGGACGACGACGACGACGACAACGACGACGACAATGGCAAGGACGACGACGACGACGACGACGCGTAGGGCGAGCAGAGCAGGCAGGAACTAGGCAGAGCAGGCAGGAACTAGGCAGAGCGAGCAGAGCACGACATGACGACAGCATTTGTCCCTCGGCGTTGAAAAATAGACTTGTATGCTCCATGGCAGCAAACCAAAACCCCCACCCATCAAACCTCACGACGCCCGAGCCCCCTCCCCGCCCATCCCACCATCCCCTACACCGCAGCAGCCGTCTCCCCCTTGGCCCCACGCCCCATCAACTCAGCAATCCGCCGGCTCGCGCCAAAATCCACAATCTCAGTGCTCCTCTTGACCCTCCACCCACCACCCTCGTCGCCACCGTCGCCACCGTCGCCACCGTCACCACCGTCACCACCGTCACCATTGTCACCACCGTCACCAACCTTACCACCGTCGCCACCGTCGCCACCCCCACCCCCACCCTCCTCCAGCTCCAACCACCACACAACCTCACTCTCCACCCCCTCGTCCTCCGCGCCCCGGACAAACATGGTATACACTGCACTCACAACAACCCTCGCCCTCTCCTGCTCCACAACCACGTCGCCCACCTCGATCCCCCACGTGTGCAAGCCCGCCAGCATCGTCGAGAGATGGCGTTGGAACGCGGCAAAGTCGAATGCGCCCTGCAGCCGCGGTGTGTGCGCGACCGAGTACCGCGGGCCAAAGGTCTGCGTGAAGCCCGGTGCGGCGAGGCGGTGGAGGGAGGAAAAGTCCATCCGAGCGGGCTGCGCGGGGTCGTGCTTCTGCGCTGCGACGAAAGCGAGCGCTGTGTTTCTGAGCGCCGTGTAGCGCGCCTCCCTACCTCTGTCGACGGCGTCGTGCATGTTGATGAGGTGTCGAGGGCGTCGTGCATGCTGGTGAGGTGTCGAGGGCGTCGTGCATGCTGGTGAGGTGTCGAGGGCGTCGTGCATGCTGATGAGGTGTCGAGGGCGTCGTGCATGCTGATGAGGTGCCGAGTACGTCTTACCCACAGCCGGGAGTCGGGTGTGGATGAGATTGAACCACACACTTGTCTTTCTCTCGTCCGCGATGCTACTCTATCACATTTCCCCGCGATGCTACTCTATCACATTTCCCCGCGATGCTATTCTATCACATTTCCCCCGCGATGCTACTTTATCACATTTCCCCCGCATAAGCTGCGTTTGTATGTAAGCACCACGCCTGCGTTTGTATGTAAGCACCATGTCTGCGTTTGTATGTAGGCACCATGCCTGCGTTTGTATGTAGGCACCATGCCTGCGTTTGTATGTAAGCACCATGCCTGCGTTTGTATGTAAGCACCATGCCTGCGTTTGTATGTAAGCACCGTGTCTGCGTTTGTATGTAGGCACTATGCCTGCGTTTGTATGTAAGCACCATGCCTGCGTTTGTATGTAGGCCCCCAGCCGCTGTGTTGCCAAAAGCGGCAGTGCGGATCCCCGCGGTCCGTTGCTGCGCCAGGGGGCAAGTCTGGGACCGACGCTCTAGCGCCCGAGCCCGCCCGCGCTTGGGTGAGACGTCTGCGGCCAGCATCGCAGCCACGAAGGAGGGAGAGGGGAGAAACGAGGAGAGGAGAGGACTGCTCAGAGAGCGGCTCCAGCTAAGAACTGCCGTTCCCCGTGCAGACATGCCTATCTCTGTGCTAAGCAAGCGAGGCTCCGGAGCCGGAGGAGGCCGCGTAGAGCCGCCGTGCTGGCTGTGCGACGAGGTTACCGCGAATGCCTTTTCTTTCTCGCCGTGTCTGCTTGCATCTGCACGTCTTGCTGTCTGCTGCATCCGCCCATCTCGCTGTCTGCTGCATCTGCACATTTCACTGTCTGCTGCATCCGCCCATCTCACTGTCTGCTGCATCCGCCCATCTCACTGTCTGCTGCATCCGCCCATCTCACTGTCTCGCTGCACCAAGCTCGACTCTGTGCAATGTAGCATCAACCATCCAGCCGGGCCCTCATCCCCCTCCGCAGCGTCATTCCAACGCACACTGCAGTGCCTCGATCCGACACAATGGGCGGTGAGGCACGCGTCGTTCGGCCCGCACCGCAGCCCTCTATCCTGGAACCCTGCAGCTCGAACCGCACGTCGCGCAAATCTCTACGTGCCTTGCTGGCGCTTTCTTACTCAACCCTGTTCACGCCGGCTGTTTTGTGGGTAGCTTTGTGTGTTAAGATCAAGCTCGTCTGAGTGTCCTTGTGCAGCGCCGTGTGTCAAGAGCGTGGGCTCTGGTCTCGACACCTGGTTCCGAGAATCCGGGTTCGATGTGCAGCGCGTGCGCGAGTGGGCTCGGGTCCGAGCAAGGCCGCTGCGCAGACCGGTCGTGCCGCTGCCCTGGTGGAAGACATGGCAATTGCTCTCTTGCCGTTCAAATGCTGAAAGTTCTTCGTCGTGCCTTGTCACCAGCCCCGCGGATTTTCCTGGTTTCCTCTCACATGGCCAGACTATGGTCAGACTGTGTTCCGGAATTTATCAGGCTCCACTGCGATCGTTTAGCGCAAGCCCAGATACAGCACATGTCGCGGTGGCAGTAACCTGCTTTGCAATCTCTGCCTGAGCAGCAGACCTTCGCGTCGTTGCTGGCTTCAGTGATGGCGCGGATAGATGTGCGTGATGCATCTAGTCGATGTAAAACTGGCAGGTAACAGCTAGGACGCGGTACTGGCCACACATGATAGTAGCAAGCCTGCATGGACTGCTGCTCCAGCCCGGAATGCACCCTTGCCCTTCGGACGCGACGGGCGCAAAAGACTCTTCGGCTGTGCGGACATCCCACCTTGTATGCCTACGTATACCGCTGCGCCGCAGTGGTTCTGCAAAAAGCTGCTTGTGTGCTTCGCAACTAGTAAAGCGAATGCATCCAGAGGACAAGGGCAGCCATGTCGTCCGGACTCGGTCTATGTAGCCAGGAAAGCAGGGGCCGATGGTGAGAGGGCTCGCATTGGCCGCCGAGCTGCGTACGTAGGCACCCTTCCAACGCTGTATCGATGCTGCTGATTCAAGATGCACTGTAGCGTTAGTTGACAGCACCAGCACCTATGACGACCCATCACGCTCGCTCCAGGTCGTTGCAAGACAGCCTTCCTTACTCATCCCCGCCCTGCCATGCCTCGATCCGTCTGGGGGGCCAACTGCCGTCTCTCCCGACCCGCACAAACGCTCGATTGTTCCTGTGCATACGAAAGAGTCGATTGGCCTGCGCAGACTCGAAGGGCTTGGCGTCGACATCTTGCGTGAAGCGTTGCGGGCGAGTACCGGTCCATACGTGGGCCGCAGTGCGCTTCGACGACTGAGGTGTACTCGACGCGCCTGGTGGACTGACGGCGTGGGACAAAGCGGTTGGCGGTCGAATGTACGAGCTATGGATATGAGAGACCTGCAGGCTGGACTGTGAATGGCTTCGAGCCACGGCAGACTGTAGCGAGTGCGACTAGTCGAGAGTTGAAGATCTGGCCAGGCATCGCATGGACGTTGCGCTTGAGGTGACATCAACTGGCCTACGTCTCCGACTGTCGGGATGGTAGGCACAGGCTCTGAAGCGCACCCAGTGATTCGTAGATGAGCACTGCCGAGTGTGTGTGTGAAGTTTCTTTGCTGGGTAAGAAGCCTGGCTCAGGAGACGTCAGTAAGATTCCGTCGTACTCGGCGGTAATTGAGCCGGTGGAGTAGAGATATCAGAGCGTCATAGCCTGCAGTGTGCTGCGCCAGCGCAACATCTTCTGCGTATGCATGAGAGACGCGTCAACATGAGCTGTGAAATTTATAATGAGGTTGTCAGAGGATGAACTCGGCAGTGTTGGAACATTCAACAGTGGTCCGCTGGTGGGGAGCCCAGCAGGGGACGAAGGACTGCCGAACGTTTGGTCCGGTAGATCTTCGTGAGTGTCCCAGGCCTGTCAACTCCTTCGCCTCACCGCCGTTGGTACACAGAGCCCGGCCTTTGCAGGTTAGTGTGTTGGGTAGCAATGGAGGGTAGTGCCGCATCGAGTAGGATCCGTTATCACTTGAGCTTGGTGTGATGAATGTGTGGTGAGCCTGCCAAAAATGCTAATGATCGCTGAGCCTTGGAGGCCACATCGTGCGGCTCATTGTATCCGAAGGCCGTACGAGAACCCCTGCACTTTGATCAAGTCAGTAGTGTTCGCGCCGAACCGTAGTCGATGCGTTCGAGGCTCCTTCTCGATCAAATAGATGGTCAAGACTCCGCTGTAAATACGCAGCTCACGCTCTAAATGCAGGTACATGGCCATATACTTGAGGTGCATCGTCTCGGGAGCGGCCTTTCGGTGTCTCGCACGCACGAAACGACGAAGGTCCCCTGTTCATGGGCAAAAAAATACGGGTGTAAGTTCAGTAAGTGCCACTGCTCAGGCAATACTTGTTCAAGACAGCCGTTTAACCGCGGATCGAGAGCGAGCTGTTGCCTAAATGCGTTTTGATTGAGTTGCTTTCCATCGCACTCGCTTAGCAGCTAGTTGCCGTCTAAATCGAGCTGGCAAAGTCACGGAGAGGTTCTCTTTTGGAGCCGAACTGTTTGCACGATCGCAAATTCCCAAATTAGAGGGCTCGGCCAGGAGGAATTTCAGCTTCGGGCGGACTTTCCCCAAAGCGACCGTCTGTCACATAGGATCCACCTTGCAGTCACGCGCCTGCCAGACTCAGAGTCAGCGCGTAGCTCGAAGCTGGCTGTTCAGTGCCCACATCTTCGACCAAGATCAGCGTGGACCATGTTATTGAGGATGACTTGGTGGAGTGAAGTGGGTCTCGGAGAAGCAGATACTGCAATCCAGCATTTGTAGAGGCGTTCGGCCTTCGCAAGACTGACACCCATGTCGATTCACAGGGTGCTAAACACCGTCTCGCTCTGGTTTGTTGCATCAGTAGCTCGTTCTTTCGTAGCAGCGAAGACGAATCTCGACAATTCTATTGGAAACACTAGAGCATCCCGCCGCACTCCCGAGCGGCAAGCATGCCGCGTGGAGCGCTCGAACGAGATTCAGGTTGTACTTCGATAAGTCATCCACACTCGACTGCGAAACTACGAGTAGTTCAATCACACTACCATTGAATCCTCTGACTCAGGCCACATTGCGAGTCTTTTTGGTGAAGTCTGCGGTCTTGCTGGGGATAGTTGGCGTCAGAACCACTGGCGGCTCAGATCCACTTCGGTGATGTAAGAGAAAGTGACGATGTACATCATAACGGCCTGGTAGCTTTGGAAAGCTTTGTCATTCGCTTTCGTCACCACTAGTGAAGGGCCATGCAGTGACCTCAGAGTTACCCTTGTCGAGTCCGCACCTGGACAGCTTGGCCGAAGTCCACAAGTGACGAGTTGCAGTGAATGTACCCCTCACTGCTGAGGCGCCAGGGACGACTTGTGGGCTGTGGCCGAGGCTTATTGGAAGAGCGAAATTGGTGTGGAGCAACAATGAGGTGCCCACCTTGCCCCCGGCTCCGCGAGGACTTCGAAGGTATGCACACGTTGTCGTGTAACTTGAGATAGGGCCGACTGTTTGGGTTACGAAACTGTATCGAAAGCTCCTAGATCATACGACAGTCCGTTGCATGGTGGCTGCTGTCGGACTTTGGAACTAATTCGCCTCTGGGGCAAGGCTACATGAGCTCGTATCGCGCCACTGCATGAGCTGCAGCAGTTGAGGTGCATGAAGTCTTGTCTTGTGTATGAAATCACGGCCTAGTAAGTCATAGCACTTGTTCGAAGCGCTTAGGGCGCGGCTGGTGGATGTACGTGAGAAGGGAGACCGTTCCGAGTGGGTGATGACGCGGCAACGCAGCAACATTTTGCAGTTGCCGGGCGTAATGAGAACATAGAGACAGCGTAAAGAGATGTGTGTGAGATTGTGAGAGAATGTTATGAGGAGTGAGCTTTGGTCCACGGTACACCAGCGACGCTAGGTGTAGTCAGGGTCTACCTACTTCCACAATAGGAAGTGACAGCCTTACTTCCTCCCACAGCCCAGGAGCCCTTTACGATCAGGGAGCGAAAGGTAGATAACGCCAGCCACCTTTCCCATCCCATTGACCCCCCTTTCCCCCAATGCCTGACTCCAGCGCAATGACTTCGCGTCCATGTAAGACAACAAAGTAGTAAAAAAGAAGGAAATCGTAAAAGAGCGCCTTCACCGTTGATTTTTTTCAACATGATACTCCTCTACTGGCCATCTTCAAGACTCAACTGTACAGTCTGCATTTTGGGGTCAAATTCTACGCAGCAAGCGATCGTTGATACTGGCTTGCCGACGGACGCTGCCTTTCGAGACTTTTCTTGAGGTTGCAGAGTGCGATTTCAGCAGCGTCTTCCTTCGCCTGTTCTATACGAGATCCGTCGTACCAAAAGCGAGCCGGGTACTGAGTGTTATTGATCACAGCTATGGTGGACCATGCTGTGCGGCCCCCTGTCCGCATGTCAGCAATGGGTTTAAAGAAGAGGTACGGAAAAGGTACCTCGGCGGTCCGACACGTCTTGATAGACAACATCTCCTAGCCCTTCAGCCTGACAGTACTCTGTACGACTTGATCAGTAAGGTAATTGATCGTAGGATATAAATTAGCTACGCTTCAATTGGTGAGTCCAGGGCTCGACTTGGGACATGTTGAAAGTGTTGCTGAAATCGCTGAGCCGGAGAAAGCTGAGAAGTGGTGGCAGAAGCGGAAGCTAAAAGAGTTGTTGGGAAGTGCAGTGAGCAATGATCTGATGTCCAGGCTACTGAGCTTTATATCGTGATGCTGACAAGAATGTTGGTTGAACAAAGATGACTTGTCACGAAGGAGAGCTGGACGGTGACGAAGAAATGCGAATACCCGTGAAGTAAGTCATGCTCCCTCCAACTGAGTGCCAGATAGGACGCAATAAGATGTGGGAAGCCGCGCCCGACTGCTGGGTTCCGGCGCTCCAATGATGTTTTTTGCATCAGACCCGATACTCTGGCACCAGAGTTGGGCCATTTTGTTCTAAGCGGGCCGAGAATAGGCCTTACGGCAAAGACACGGATGGTTGACCCTGCCGTGTGAGGGACCTCAGATGGCGAGAGATCGAAAGCAGTTCAAGAGGTTGAATTGTCGCAAAGACGGCTGTATGCACTGTGATGTACTACATAGGTTTGATGGCTGTGCATGGCCAAGTTGATGGATTGAAGGCTGAAACTTCCGCACGGTAAACGTTTTCGAACCCACATACTGCAAGACATCATCTAGTGTCAAGCGAGCCAGCTCACCATGCGCTGCGGCGTGCACTGCGACCTTGCCTGGATATAGGTCGGATTGGCAGCTGTGATATCATCAGCAGACTACGCGACAGCATCCAAGAGCCTTGTACTTAATCCTTGCTACAGATCGTGAGGCGGTGGAGAGGGCGTCAGTACAAAGCAGGGCAATTGAGCCAAATGTTTGCTAGCGAATTAGTGCGCGCTGTCAACAGTGGAGTCACTCATTAGCAGGACTGTCTTGGCGTGCTTTTCTCGAAGTGGCGGTATCGCAATCACATGGCCGAAAGCAAATGCACGGGTACCTACCGTTGTACTCACTGTACCACAACGCAACCGCTAGATGTCAGCACAACGATCGTGAAGCAATGTCAGGCGCTGCCGGTGGAAAGGTACGGGCTCATGTACCTGGCTCTTGTGATCTGTAGGATCTCGATAAATTCTTTGACCAAAATGGAGCGAAATTGGGTTCATTATAGAGTGCGTAACACTCATCGTTATTGGTACCAAAGGTGGTTGTCATGACATATGCTGACCAGTCGGTGAGGGCCGAATGTACCAAGTGCTGTGACGCTGCCTTCCACGGGGAAAAAAGCTCAGTCCAATCAATCAAATAATGTAAATCCATCAGACATGAAAGCCTCAGAACTCCGGTCAAATGCATGCGACCTAGCTCACACGTGCGACTCCGGCACGAGGATAGCGGGAAGCAGCATGCCCACAAGCCCAACAGAACAGGTCTGACAGCGGAAAGAAAATCATGCACGGGACAAGGCTGCGGCGTACCGAGCAAGCGGGTCTCCCGTCAGCGGGGCTGGCCCCGATAATCAAACATTAATCCCAGCGGGCAATTGCTAAGCTGGTACGGGGATACGGCGTAACGCTGACGGTTGTTTGCTTGGACTCCCGCCGCGAGTGTTCCGGCTGAACATCTCATCAATGAGTCGTTTGGGACCAATGTATTCCATGTTCATTTTCAGTGAAGCGCTCCGGATGAGCGGGATGTGCAACTGAGCATTCTGCTTCGAGGAGAAGCGGCGCTTTATGCAATCGTCCACAAGGGCCATGAGGCCTGTGGCAACGACGACGCTGTGGTTGTTGTCAGCTGTGTTCCGAATGATCTAGTGTACGTTACTTACTCAGCGATGTCCCCTTGCGATCGCAGGATCTTGTCATCGGTAATTCGCAAATAGCTTGGAGGTACCCATCCTCCACGTGCTTGCTCCTCACGCGCCTCGGCCTGTGTCAGGCGGACCGGGCAGATGTGCGCCAACGGTTCCTTGTCATTGTCGTCCCGAATAAGGTAATACGATACTGTCTCCTGCTCACGATCCTTCTTGACTATACGTTTCCAAGAGTAATCACTACCCCAATGTTCGAAGGCGTACTTCTTGTTCGACTTCGTACCTCTCCTCTTGACCTCCATGTGTGCATAGTTAGAGAATTCAAGCTTGAGAGTGTTGGTAGGCAGCAGTGCACGGCCCTTGAAGTAGCCTGCACTCTTGGGACGTGAGTCCTCCTGATCCTCATCTTCCTCTTCTGCTTGACCCCGCACCGATTCGTACCCAGAGTCCGAGCGCTTTAGGCCAGCCGCCGTTGTTGGGCGGGACTCAGGCTTGTGCACTAAACTGGCGAGGGCTGTGCTTGCACGCTGCAGAATCGGCCGTGTCTCCTGAGGTGGCTTCTGGTATTTGCGCAGAGCATGGCAGACCTCTCGTCCAGATTCTCGGCAATATCTGCGCAAAGAGAAGTCACGGGTTCGTAGGTCTTGCATACGCAGATGATACAGTGTGTAGTTCTGCTTCTTTTGATGACGTTCCTCCACCTGTGTATCGATCCGCAGATTCATGTTTCCGTCGATTGTTGCGTCGTCGTGTCTTATGGATATGCGCTTGGAGGTAGGGAATAGCTGAGCGAAGTCGCGCGGCGTCGTGGGGATGGCGTCGGTTGGCAGGGGTTCGTGATGGTACTGAGGTACATCGTACTCTGGCATTTCATCCTCATCGTTGTCGAGGTCCTCATTTGAAGTCGAGACATATGTGTCAACAGAGCTACGCGCTGGCTGCGAGTACTTGTTGCGATCATCTTTGCTAACAAAGTAGTCTCGGCAGCCTTCTACTCGTGCGTAACACGTCTCGCTGTGCGGCAGCGATGGTCGTCTATCGCTGTATTCAGTCGGTGCTGTTTCATACGAGTGTTCGCTGCCGGCGCTGCGGCCAGAGTGCGTGCTATTGCTCGACTGATGTCGCCAGTGTACGTTTCGCGACATGATGCGTGGGTGTGGGTATCCGCGAAAAATAGGATCAATAGGAAAACTCCTGGTTAATGCAAGCTCAGATGCTTATCGAGCATGCGCAGCCATGTATCGCACAGCGTATGTATAGGTGGGATAAAGCGGCGCAGCGATCAGACAGCGCATGGAAGGGTGACCTGGCACGAGGCGGACGCTGGGACCGAAAGGGATTAATAAGAATTCGAGGCCTTGCGCAGGCATGCAACGAAAATAAAAAGGCGCAGCAATACGGCGTGGGGGACGCTGTCGCTGTCGCCTGGGGAGACCTGCTGAAGGCGCAGCGGCGATCCTTCTTCTAGCATCTCGATCGATGCCAGCGAAGATGCCTGCGACTTGATGCAAGCACTGCAAGCACTGCAACCACCATCTCCTTGGCCTGCACGACGGTGCACATTGCAGCGAATCCGCGACGCAGAAGGCGCCGTCGTGCGAAGGCAGGCCCGCTGACTTGCCCCGACTTCCCAGCCCCCCTTGCACACAGCCTATCATTCAGGGCCTGCCAACCGCCAGCTTGTTACCTTCGCGCAACGCTCAGCACACCACTTTGCAGCCTGTGGCAGCAGCATCATCTGGGACTGCAGAGCGTACAGGAGCTGTGCGGCTGCAACAAGCGCTCACTCAGCGACGTACAGCGAGTAGTGCTCTGCAACATCGACTGCTTCAGCGGACGACGACACCGCCTTATCCGCCAGGCTTCCCAGTCCAGACTCCAAACGCCGGCACGAACTGCGCAAGGCGGGACGCCAAATAGCGGGAGGACGCTCCCATGGCTGATCAATCCACGTGCACGCGGTCCCTTTTCGTTGTTCGACGGGCTATCCCGGTAGTCAGCGGACGATGAGCAGACCATCAGCAACATTCCAAACGCAGCACTCCACTACCACTGTGACGACATGTGTTGCTGGTGATCCCCCTGTGTGCGATAATCGGAAGTATGCAGTAGTCTCTTTGTAGTGGTAGGGCTGCCGTGGCTGCCGTCGAACGTTGGGCCAGAAGCGGACATCCATCCTCTTACAGCACTGTCACGGCTGGACGAAAGGCAACGGCTCGTAATCTGGTGACACCAGCATCTGATTTTCACCGATTCGGTCACAAGCTCTCAAGATTTCTGGGACTCGGAGACGCCCGCTGAAATCCACAGTCCCATAGACATGCACGTGACTTTCGCAACATCGATTTTCGACAATCACCATTCCACCATTCCAACAGCTTGGTGCTGCGAGTCATTTGGATGGATTTCCCCTGATGCTAACTGAGCTCGACTGTGATCCACCCCTTCCCCCCAAAACTGCCTCGTCGTGCATGTCGTTGAGCCAATCAATTGTCGGTACGTGGTCCCAAATGAAGAGCAGCCACGACAACGTCGATGTGCAGTCTCGTATCTCAACGATGGCACTAACAGGATAGTAGTAGCATTTCGGTGGGAACACGTTCGCCCAGCACTATGGACACACACGCGGTCTGAAGCAAAATATTCGTCATCCAATATACTTGATCGTCTCCTGCGGCTCTACTGCCTCTTCCCCGCCTCACCTTTGCCTCTCCGAGTCATCTGGAGCGTGGATAAAGGGCTGCAGATACGAAAGAGCGCATATATGGGCACACTCCACAAACTTGTCGAACGCCTCATAGCTGGACATCTTGCGGGCTGCGGCTGACCGGTCGATATCCACCAAACGCTGCTCGACGATTAGGCCTTACGTTCAATCTGACCACTTTTATGTATACTTGTTACTCGATTCGGATCACTCATCCTACCCCGCGCTCCCTCGCCTCGCACGCTCATGCTGTATAGATGCCCAAGGCTCCCATCGGTAGCATCGACAGGGCCGCGAGACCCCATCTATCTTCTGACGGGCTGCAAGGCAAGTTGTAGGTATCGATGCAAGAGGGGCCCGATGCATAGGAGAAGCAGTTTACGGAGAAGTGGTCCTCGTCTAACTACTCGACGCCTTGTGTCACATCTGACCATGTTGTGAAGCCCGCTGTTACGCGAGGCGGAGGCGAAGAACGCACTCGATGAAGTCCCAACATTTAACAGCAAGGATTCGGCCTTGGAGGCTGGTCAAGTCAATCGCTAAGCCGAGCAAGCCGAAGGCATCTTCTGTTAGGCTTCACTGTTGAGAGATAGGTGTCCTGGCAATCAGCCTCTCCAGGAAGAGCCGATATCTGACTGGGTGATTCGCCACGAGTGAGAACTATGATTACGTCGATGATCACAACAATGCACACAGACGGTTTCCATTGGCTCGGCGGACATTCAACTGCTCTGCGTCCGTTCCGTGGGTCATGCAACGTACTACTAGGATGCTGGAACCTCACCAAAATGCGAACACTTGTTCCTTCGCTCAATGCTTAGATTCTCAGGGCGCCAGGCTTTCCACAAGCAACGTAACGGACGCCCGCGAAACGTCTAGGCCGAACGACAGACAATCAAACTCAGATCTCTGATGCGAAGTCTTGAGCTTTGATGCAAAAACCAACAGCTGTGCAACGATCAGCCCGCCAGCGGTAGCTATGGGCGTCGAGGGGCAGCGCAGCGGCGCTCGGCCTTACGCTTCACTGACTCGAGCATGTTGAGCCACGTGCCAAGTAAGCACGCAACGCCGAGATTGTTTTCCTTCCTCACGAAGTAGCAGCTTACAACCACAGAGTGACCACGATGGGGTGTGAGATCAGGTCTTTGCTCGTCATCGACCATAACTCACACACACTGCGAAACGATCTGCGAACGGCCAACGCCTCAATACACATGCCCGAGCGGCTGGATGTGGAGACAGCGACGATCGACTGAGTCTACATAAAGCTCATACTCTGACTACCTCTTAGCTGGACAACATGGCCTGAAATATCTACACTTTCGTAGCCAATACAGCCCAAACGGGCTGTCCAGGTGTTCCACACCATCCTGCAGGTCTTCCGCATACTTGGTAGTGCTGTCATATGAATAGAGATGGGTTCAGAGCAAAGCGACCAAGAATGGCAGCAAGCACTTACGACTTGCTTCTCACCATTGCGATGCAAGGCTGATGGCAGCGATAGGTAAGATGAATGATATTGAAGGGTCGAACCGTCAAGCAGAGTTTCGGAAGACAGCAATTGGCGAAGTCATAAGTTCATTGTCTCATTATATAGACACAATGGCTTTACTCCGTCCCAGCCACTGACGTGTTTCCTCGGGTCGTTCTGACACCAATGTCATACTAATCCCCGCCCACTTTTGTGTTCCGAAACCTTTCAATCCATTGCTCGAATGCTTTTATCCGCCTTGCGTCCGTGCAAGCGTCTAGGCAAGCTGGCCGCAGTCGGCGATGACGATCTTGGCCTTGGTGGCACCGGAGGAGGAACCGTAGGACTCGACCTTCTTGACGACGTCGAGACCTTCGACGACCTGGCCGAAGACGACGTGCTTGCCGTCCAACCACGAAGTCTTCTCAGTGCAGATGAAGAACTGGGAGCCGTTGCTAGGATGTGTCAGCAATTGCAGACGGTAGTAGAGGCGATGTCCTTATGTCCTTACGTGTTGGGGCCGGCGTTGGCCATGGAGAGGATACCGGGGCCAGTGTGCTTCAGAGAGAAGTTCTCGTCCTTGAACTTCTCGCCGTAGATGGACTCACCACCGGTACCGTTGCCGGCAGTAAAGTCACCACCCTGGAGCATGAACTGGGGGATGACACGGTGGAAGGAAGCACCCTTGAAGTGGAGAGGCTTGCCACTGCGGCCGGTGCCCTTCTCACCAGTGCAGAGAGCGCGGAAGTTCTCGGCGGTCTGTCCAGTGCTGTCAGCTGTAGTCCGAGGCCAATTGCCACCTTTTCATGATGGCGGGGTAATGGAAAGCAGCGAAAACTTACGTTAGGGACGACATCACCACGGAGCTCCATGACAATGCGGCCAAGAGGCTGGCCTCCGGCGGTGACATCGAAGAAAACCTGGGACTTAGACATTGTGATGTGTTGTGTGTTGTTGGTGTGTTGTTGGTGTGTTGGTGTATGTGAATGAAGGATGGGCAACAAAGCTCAACGAGGGGTACTCTTAGGTTTTATACCCTTGCGTTTGCTGATGCACGAAACAGAGGCAAGAGCTCTCACCCATGTGGACCTCCTATGCATCATTGGCCCGCCTGGCTCCCCGATTTTTCTCGAAGCTCTTCTGGAAGCAGCTTGGCCAAGTGAGAATTGCCCCTCACTTGGAGGGGTAACCAAGTCTCCACACGCGTCGCCGGAGCAACTTACCCGCGTGCAAGACTGACATCTCCCGTCATTATGGTACCGTTCCTAGTGATTCTAGAGCACTGTTGAGCTTCACTATGAATCTGACGCGGCTTCCGCTTTGCGACAAAGGTCAATTGACAGCTCTGGAGAGCGAGAAGCTCAGTGACGTCCCACGCTAAACTGAAACATCGATAGCGTCGGGGTTCGCTCTGTGCAACCAACAATCGCCCCATCACCACTGCAGGTTTTGATCGACATCTCTAGCCATCTTTTGCACCTCGTTACAGCGATTCAGATGGCAAAGGCGAACTCACAGCGTTTGCGGTCATGATGTCGGTAGGATCTGCGCTAGGCCTTGTGCTCTTTCCTTAACACCATGCAGTGCATGCCTCTTTATTTGGTTCCAGCACAAGAAAGTAGATTGTCTCACGGTTAAAGTTATGATACGACAACCTCAAATTCTACACCAACAGCTCGACGATTCGAATGGATGGTATCTAAAGCTGCTACTATCGATGCTCAGGTAACATACTGGTCGAGGGTATAAAAGACAGAAGCCACACCTGTAGCAACACCATGCAACTCATTAAAACCCAGCCATGCAATCCGTGTCGTCAAAAGAAATCGCAGACGATGCTTAAATTAGCACCTCCTTTGCTTCTGCAGCTCTGAGGAATGCTGTGCGCTCTGCAGCATCCGCTGCCTCGGCGTCTCTCCACTGCTGAGCGACCTCAGCCTTCCTCTTCCCACTTCTTGGCTCGAAAGCCATCTCGAAGGCGTCGGGCTTGATGATAAGGAGCGAGTTCGACTTGTTCAAAGGAACTTCAATCTCCTTCTTGGTGACGGGGTCAACCTTCCTCCTCAGGTTGAAAGCCCACATCAGACCGCCGCAGCCAGTGATGGTTTCGTCGCGGGTAATCGACATGCCAAGACATTGACGCTGTCCCCAGCCAAACGACGACATACCGGTAATCATAGGAAATTTCGTCAGCGGCCCCTGGAATGTTGGCCAACCCTCTTCGAGCCACCTCTCAGGTCGATAAGACTCTGGGTCAGGGTACTTGACAGGGTTGCGAAGGAACGCATAGTCGAGCGGCAAAATGCGTGTACCTTTGGGGATGAAGTACCCACCATACCAGTCATCAGCTTCACATTCGTGAGCAACACCTGTGAGTTAAGTCAGTTCGATCCGTTCAACGAATCCGAAGGGAATAAGACATACCCGTTGGGACAGTAGGCTTCCAGCGCATGGTCTCCTTGATGCACGCGCGTAGGATGGGAAGATTGGGCATATCGGCGACTGTGGGAGGGTTGTTTCCGCAGACGGCATCGATCTCATCCTGACACTTCTTCTGCCACTCCGGGTGGTGAACCATGGCGATCAAGAAGTAGTAGATGGGCCCTGTGACCGTGAAGATACCGACAAGAGCCATCATACCCAGCACGCAAGACGCCTCGTAGTCGCCGGAGATGTTGGTCTTCTCGGCGGTCTCGAGATATGTCTTGGTGAAGCATGGTCGCTGCTTGCCCTTCTCCATCTTGTTGCGGATGTCGACGAGACTCTTCATGAAAAGCTCCTGCTGGTCATCGTGGCGCTTGCGCTCACGAAGCTTCCAAGGGTTGATGGGCTCAGGTAGCCAGTCCCAGAGAGGTGTCAGAACATTGGTAATGGGGCCAGCCGGTGACATCTGTGTGAGAAGACCCCAGGCGCTTGGTGTCAAGGGTATACTGATGTCATGGTTGTCCCAAGTTAAGGTGGCCATAACCTTAGAGCACATGTCTTCGAGGGAAAAGCAGAAGTCGTCCGGGTTCTCGACAAGGCGCTGCAGCCATCGCTTCTGTTCGAACTCCATGATGCCGTAGTACCTGGCGTTTGTCGACTCGGTCAGATAAGAGTGGGTGAACTTGCGCTGACGGGCCCAGTACTCTGTGTTTTCGTTAGGAATGATACCGGCTAGTTATGATACTGGACTCACGGTTCTTGCCCATAAGAGGGAGGTATTCCATGGATCCATAAGTGCTCTTCGCGTCGAACAGTGACTTGATCTCAGGACGATCGGAGTAAACCTTCGCTCTTTTAATCAGAAGATCCTCGGCAATACTCTCATCCGAGATGATCACGAAATTTGCTCCCAGCATCTTTGTTCGGTAAATCGGTCCGTACGTGTCGGCCCATTCCTTAAACTTGAGCCACATGAAGTCAATGGGCAGGTCGTGAATACGTCCGACCCATGGTATCAATGCCGGCCCAGGTAGTCCACGACAGTTGTATTTGGCGTTGTACTTTGAGACGATATCAATGAGCGTGTATACAAGGAAGCAAACGATGGCTACGCCGATGGCGTATGCTGTGAACGGATGCATCCTTCTGATGTTAGATGTCAGAACCAGAGAGTCACAAAGGTACGGGGCGACAGTTGTATCGAGCCACAATGACAGATAAGCAGTTAGATATCAAATCCGATGAGAACGGTGGGCAAGCATCTTGTTCGGCTCCCCAAGCCTTGGAACCGTCACCCTGACAGGGCTTGCATGGCGCAGTGATACGATAGCCAGGTCGCCTGTGGCTTCAAATTTAGACTGATTGCCTAATCAGCGTAGATTTAGGAATGCTGATGGGAAGCTACCAATGAGAAGACCGGAAGGAAGACCGATGCTTTGGTAGCGGCCGCTCATTCCAAGAGTTTGGAGCAGAAAGAAGCCAACATCGATCAAAAAAAGGCGCCGACTGGCCGACTTGGAAGGTTTAAGTCGGTGTTACCGGCACCGACGATGAGATGACCCGATCATCAAGACATGTTTCAGTGGATAGTTATGCTGGGCTAAGCGCTGATGCTGATTGTCATCATCTGCCGCGGACAAGCGACCAGTTGACACCCCTACTGTCTACGATTGCAGAGTCCTCAATCTCATTAGCAGTCTGGCAGATCATATTAAGCAGATATTCAAGAGAAGAACTATCATGGTCCACGTAGATGTTCGAAGTACAGTATGGCTGACAGCTACCAAGCTTCGAGGTGCGAGTTGCACAACAACTATCCCGCCACTACCTCAGACTTCAGACTTCAGACGCAATCAGCTCAGCAAGCTCAGCTATCTCACCAGCTGTCTCACTAGCTATCTCAGCAAGAGTATAAATAACCTAACGCTTGAACCTTCTCAGCAATTGTCTTGGAAGCTGTTCCCGCCAGTCGGCTCCACACACAAATTATGTGTACGAGCCTGTATATCGGATTGAAAGGCTCGCCATACCTTGAATTTGTAAACTTGGTCACTTGTCGAGATGTCATCGGAGATTTCGATTACTAACATATGTTACGCCCATTTACGCGCCTGGACAACTCCAAATGTAAGAACTACACATTTGATGAGATGATTTGTCACACGGCTGCACCAGGTGGGTATCTACCGAGACCATTTAGTGATGACTATCAATCGCAGTGTACATAACAGCCTTAACCTGAGGCGTGAGTTTAGCGTACCGCCATGCTGTCTTGGCCCTTCGGAGTTGTGTGTGGGGAACCATACCAGGTAGCGTGAGCACTGACCCCTGTCAGCCACCGAAGCTAACTCGACAGAAATGACCCCTGTCAACGACATCATGAACCTCTGTGTGCCCCGACATCTCCGCCGGTGTGCCTATCATCACCTGGTGTCAGTGAGCGCGTCGTCCCGCGAGCGAGAATAAACAACAACAATGTGACCGGACTTCCGCCTAGTCCGATGTCTCCGATACCCACACTGGGGTCCCCAAAGCCGAGCGCTGCTTGCGCGACCCTTAAGATGGAGACAAAAGTCTTCAAGGCTGGCGATATTTGTTTGATTTCACGTCGTAACGTTACGAGCCGAAAGAGCTGATAACGCCAAACATGCCTCATGCACTCACATCTCGCGACTCCACCATGGAGGCTAAGCCTTTGGGGTCTTATGAGAAGACTGGTATCGATGTCTTGATTGTAGGTACTGGTCTAGCTGGCCTCGTCGCTGCGCTCGAATGCACACGGAAAGGGCATACCGTTCGCGTTCTTGAAAGGGGCGCCGACATCAATACAGCTGGTATGTAAAATCCGCACTGTCCCTGAGCCCAAAGGCTAATACTACACCTAGGTGACATGTACTTCATGGGTCTTAGCGCAACACGATTCCTGAAGCACTGGCCAGAGCTCATCAAGGAATACAAGGAGATATCTCTCCACAACGCTTGGATCCAGACTTTCAAGCACTCTGGCGAGGAGATCATCGGACCCAAGAAGGTCGCCGACCGCCTGCGAGCGCAAGGACTGGACCCCGACACACCGCCTGGCGAATTCCAAATGCGCCCTCTTGTCTACCGGATGTTCGTTAACGCCGTGGAAAGGCTCGGTGTCTCAGTCGAGTTCAACCGCAAGATTGTGGACTACTCCGAGGACGAGACAAGAAGCAAGGCTTCATGCACAACAGATGATGGGAAGACATATGAGGCCGATGTCATCATCGCAGCCGATGGTGTAGGATCAAAGAGTCAGAAGTTGGTCGGTGGCCAGGTTCGAGCGCAGCCTTCAGGACGTGCTATGTGGCGCGCAGCCTTCCCAATTGAGGAGCTCGACAAGAACCCTAGGGTCAAGGAGTTCTTCAAGATGATGCCCAACAACGAATCGATTGTCAGGACATGGCTTGGCCCCTCCACATATGCTCTGACGTTGACCCGCGAGGACGTCATGGTCTGGATCATGAACCACGATGTAAGTACCATTTGTCTAACATAAAAATCTATATACTGATAGTTGAAGGTCACGGGTACCGAGAAGGAGAGCTGGAACAATACCATCGAGAAAGAGGAAGTCCTAGAAGGCATGGATAGAATGCCCGGTATGGAGAAGGTCAAGTGGGCGCCTATCTTCAAAGAGCTCGTCGATGTCACACCACCCAATACCATTGTCAACTTCGAACTTCTCTGGCGAAACCCGCAGCCCAAGTGGGCTTCTCCTGCTGCCCGCGTCATCCAGATTGGTGACTCCGCGCACTCCTATCTTCCAGCCTCCGGCAACGGCGCCACACAAGCCATTGAGGACGCTATTTCAATCGCCTCTTGTCTACAGATCGGCGGCAAGGAGAACATACCCCAGTCAGTGCGCGTTCACCTCCGCTTCCGCTTCATCCGCAACTCGTGCGCGCAGAAGCTCGGCTTCTCGAACGCCGAACTCCTCCAAGACACCGACTGGGACAAGGTCAAGCTCGACCCCCGTCGCGCGGCCCCAAAGCTGCCGAAGTGGGTGTGGTCGCACGACCCTGAGGCCTACGCGTACGAGAACTACCACAAGGCCGCTGAGAGCATTAAGAAGGGCGTTGACATGGCCGATGAAAACAGCTATGAGCCCAACTACCCGAAAGGCTACAAATACGAGCCCTGGAACATCGAGCAGATCATGGAGGATATGAGGGCGCACAAGCCTATCGACCTTGGTCCCGGCGACTGGGAGTGAATCTTCAACAGAAGAGTCTTTGGCTATAGCGAAGTCTGCACGCATTAGGCGTTGAACAGCGATCAATCAGCATTCATAACGATGAGCCTATCAAGTGCTTCATTTCGAGCCCCCCTACGTGTCCATTGTTAGATCATGGCTGCTTTGAAATAATGCGAACAAACATTGACTCGTGCATGCGTAGCTGCAAACATCTTACTACATTAACCCGACTCGTGGGAACCTTTCGCAAGACTCTTCTTTAGATCACTTCCCGTCTGCGTCAGGCTCGCAGATATCAGCGGTGTTTTCTTATTCGAGTTCCGATTCTGGAGGTCTCATGAAAATGTAACTCAGTCGTGTCCCGCATGACTGCCAATCAGTGCACAGCGGACCACCGACCAGTGCCTACGGAGCGCCAACCCGCACAAGCAATGGCGCATACATATCCGAGACAAGGGCGCTGAAACTGCAGTGCGCTTCGGCTCCCCAACGGACATTCAAAATATGGTTCCGAGTGCGAGGCTTATAGGTAAAGGATTGTTGCAGCAGATCGACAGACTCAATGACGTAGCAATACGGACTAGTGTCTGCGGCTCAATATTGCGGTGTTTCACGAAGAACATTGCGAGGCTTGAGACGAGCAGAATGGAATGATTTTGTGCAGTACTTCCGTCCTATGCATGATGGGATACTGATCGTTGGCTTTACCTGCATACGTAACAGACGAGGTCAATCTTCCTCTGAAGCATGACACGGGAATCTAGATTGACCCGTTAGACCCTGCTGATCGCTTTGCAAGTGGTAAGGGTTGAAAGCGGGTGTGCGTATGTACCAAGATCTCCACAGCATCTTGAGCCGTGAATGAAGATCCACGTGACTTGGATTGGACATCCGGCTTCGCCACCAGCCTTTCGTTCAGAACCAGCGCATTCTGGAGACCTCTCAACCAAGTCTCTGATCAGCGTTATCATGTCCACCACACAGAGGCGGCTATTTGACACTCTGGTCAGAAGCCTGGATAGCAGCAGCAGCCCGCAGTTTCGTACATACTACTTTATCGGTTTCTCTCAATATGCTGTCAAGACGAGCTGCCGCCTTTCGAGAGCGTGCTGAAATAATCTTCTCGCTCTTCGAGAGCTTTGGGATGACATAGCGACTAAATCGCCAGGGTGACACCGTCCACATCTTTAGTGACGACCACAGTTACAGTGCATTGCCAATGGGAGGGACAGTCAATACGCAAAATGAGATGGGTCAGAATCTCATCACAAGCGGTCTGATCGAATGGTGAAAAAACTGTGTTCTCTTCGCGCAGACGAGTCCGAATGAGATGAGAAGTGTCGAGATTCGGTAATCTGTTCACAGCGCGAAAGCGGAGGAGTTGCATCAGAGGCTGCCAGGGATCGCGGATGTTGAGATGGGATGCACTCATCCTAGTCACATCAAGCTCAGACATTTGATTCGGACACAAATAAGCTGCACAAGTGCGTCGTAACTTGTGGTCAGTGTTTCGATGCATATCAGCCTTATTCACGAGATAGGCGATGCCCTTTGCGACCCGCTCGCTCGCACGCCTTACCCAAAAGAGACCGCTAAAAGCGAGCTCCTTCCTTCCCACCAATTGCACCCTCACCCACAGAGCTCGCCTGAGCATCTCTCCCAACCAGTCAATTTCGGACTTCCGAGAGCTGGTCATTGACCGGTTTGCCGATGCGTTGTTTGCGATGTGCGCACTCATGAGTACGCACTTAGTGGGGATGCGCCGACTCAGCTGCAAAACGGCCGCAGTATGGAGTGCGGAGCCGTATGATGCCTTCTCGTGCTGCTCGTGAAGGATCCATATCTTCAGCGATGCCCAGAGTCCACCTTTGTTCTGCATTTCGATCCTGGTCGCTGCCATCAGACAAGCTCAAAATACATCAAGGACCAATATCTCCACGTTACACCCAGTACAAAAGCTCTTCGCCATGGCTGCCACCAAAGCTATCCTCATCACCGGTGCCACGGGAAAGCAGGGCGGTTGCGTCTTGAACCAGCTCGCAAGCCACTCTACTGCTTCCCAGTTCACGCTCCTTGCTGTCACCCGCAATGCAGATAGCCCCTTGGCTAAACGTATCGTAGAGCGCCATCCTCAGGTTCTGCTCGTGCAAGGAGATTTAAACGACGTCCCGGGCCTCTTTGATTCCGCCAAGTCCACACTGAAAGAAGCCGGAAAGCCAGAGCAGATCTGGGGGGTCTACTCGGTCCAGATCTCAATGGGCCCTGGCGTGACTACAGAATTCGAAGTCAAGCAGGGATCGGACTTGATCGATGAGTCTATTAAGGAACGTGTCACACACTTCGTCTACTCTAGTGTAGACCGAGGCGGTAACGATAAGAGCTTCAATAACCCCACGCCAATCCCGCATTTCCAGACCAAGGAGGAGATTGAGCAGCACCTGCTCAAGGCAGCTGGCAAGAATGGCGAGAAAATGGGCTGGACGATATTAAGGCCTGTCGCATTCATGGACAACCTCGAACCTGGGATGAAGTCCAAGGTCTTCCTTACTGCTATGAGAGATACTCTCAAGGGCAATTCTAATCAATGGGTCTCGGTCGAAGATATAGGTCTCTTCGGCGCGAAGTCGTTCAGGGAGCCTGAAAAATGGAACGCTCGTGCTGAGGGCCTTGCAGGCAGCGAGCTCACCATGGAAGAGATGGAAGGATGCTTCGAGAGGGCCATCGGAAAGCCTAATGGGTATGCCTTCAGCTTCATGGGCTCAGCGCTCATGTGGGCTGTCACTGAGGTCAACATCATGATCAACTGGTTCGCCGATGAGGGCTACGGTGTGGATGTCGCCAAACTGAGGAAGGAGGAGCCGCAATTGTGCGATTTTGAGAGGTGGCTGAAGGAGAGGAGCGGATGGAAGGATCAGGCCATCAAAAATTAGTCTCTAGGATTAGGGGCAATTGGCATTTGATCTACTTCATAATCTTTAATTATCGAAGCAACTGAAATTTCTTGCGTTCCTCAACTGCTCCTTTGTATATAGCGAATACAATGTGTACTGTCCTTAGTACTGCGCAACACGCAATCTGGACTGGCAACGTCAGCACTCACGCAACAGTGGTGAGATAAGCAAAGTGGACATATTGGAGGGTCGAACAGATGCCATTTACTACGCCCTCAACTCCAATCGCCAGGCAGTATCCTAAGAATCCGTAAATGCCTTGACCGTCATGCGAGCATCCTTATCTTCGCCTTTTCGGTCATTCAGGCAAGCAGTTGGTATAGAGCCAAGCTACCAGCGATGACCGGGGTGACAAGCCTGAGCCTATTCCAGCTCGCCCACTTCTTCGCAACAGTCTCCGCCTCTTTCAACTCTGTATCGCTGGCACGGCCGGCAAGAGCCTCCAGCTTGTCATTCAGAGGCTGCATGTTCTTCGCCGAGTGGATGATGGTCATCAGATGCATGACAGCTGCTACGCCAAACAGCATCCAGTCGTTGCGGGCAAGCACGCCCTGCTTGTAAGTGGCGTATCCCGCATAAGCATAGCCCAAGAAGCCGAGAGTGGAAATCGGGCGGAAGAATTGGTTGCCGACTGTCCAGCAAAGAGGCCATTGACGGCCAAGAAGTCGTGCGCGCTCCTTGTGCTCGGGCGAACTTGGAGGTGGGAAGTTGACAAGCAGCGCGGGGACTGTCATGAAAGATTGTGTAATCGCATTGCCTATCTTTTTCAGTCTTCATTTGCTTAGTTTGCGTTTCAAAGCTTTACCAGCAAGGATGAAAGAGAACGTGATGCAGGTGCCTGCTACGCCCTTGACGATGAGGTTTTCAGACATGTCTACAATTTGAAATTATTGGGAGGTTTCGAAGCTGAGTTTCTGACTGAAGACAAGAAGACGTGAAAGCGCAACAGAAGGAACGGGCTGATCTTGAACCTTTCGTCAACAAGACAGTCAACATAAACACTCCGAACTCCGAACCGCGACGCGACCGACAAGCATCTCCGTTCCGATCTCATTAGCATGGCTTTCTGGAGATGTCAATGGGCTGCTCTCCAGAGGTGATGTGACCGACCCGTTTCTGGTCAACCATCGGTTCCCCAACGTCCGGACTTCGAGCGCTCGCGATTGGACGATGCGCGATCACATCATGATCGGCGGGTGTCACTGACTGCTCATGCACTGGCTGCAAGTGAGATATTGAGTGCTCCCTGAGCCAATCCTGGCGGGCTAGAAGTGCGAATGAGCACATGTCACATTCGTCGCTGACAGAGTGTGCTCAAGGATGCGATCTGCCCAGGCGATTGCATGTGCATGACCAATCAAGGCTAGCCTGATACGCTGTAGTTAAATTTCTTGTCTTCTGGGATCGCTCTTGCCATCCCACTACCGAGGCGGACGGCGTAACCATCGGGACGGCGTAACCATCGATCCGATGACCAAAATCAACACCCTAATATGAAGCTATTAAGCTACGTACAATAGCTGTAATCGCGATATTTTTTAGGATCAAGTTCTATAGGTATTAATTTATATATGCAGCTATCTATATTTAGCTAGGAGCTTGATTGCTCGGCCGTGTCGTGATTGAGATGGTGGTGGGCCTGCTACAGCACCTGAGGCCTGACCACCACCCTGAGGCTGCGTAGCTACTCTCTTTTTAGAACCTGCCTTAGTAGCTGCCTTAGAGCGTGTTGTCTTGCCTCTTTGGGCAGTTTTTTGAGCTTGCTCAAGTCGTTGTTGAGTCCTACGAGCTGCCTGTCGTGAGGCTTGATCAGCAGCCTTACGAGCCTTCTCCTCTTGCCTTATTAATTGAGCTGCTGCTCTTGCTGCACGCCTTGCCTCAACTTTCCTAAGCTTCTCCTGCCTCTACTCCTCACGTACGCGAGCTGTCTCAGCCTTCTGGTGTTGTAGTTGCTCCTCTTCGAGCTCTTGTTGGTGCTGGCGATCACGTGCCTCCTTCACCTTCCTTGGGGACCAGAATATAGCGCCACTGTGATACTCCTCGCCTGCTTCTAGAGGGAGAGCCTTGCCTCGCTTTCTACGCTGCCTCTCATTAATAAGAGCCTGCATGAGGCCTTGAGCCTCGTGTTCAATTAGCGTTTTTTGAACTGAGATAGAGTGGAAGACTCGGCTGAGCTTTTGAGCTCGTGGATCACTCCTATCACCTACTACCTGGCGTATAAGGCGCTCAGTTTTCCGCCAGTCAGAAGCGCTCAAGGCTGAGGAGTCGCTATCGCTTGATTGGCCTGATTAAGCTGGCTGATTGAATCGTTTGAGTATCACCTCTGGCTGGAGAGGTGAGAGGCCAGTTGCCTCAAAGGCCTTGAGTATAGTATCCTTCTTGAACGAGGCCTCCCAGGCAGCCATAAACATGGGATAGAAGTCTCTTTTGCTCATAGATGTGAGCCCTTGGCACCTCTCCATAAACGCAGCTACCTGGTATGAGTAGGCTGATGAGAATGGCTTGAACATGACAGCGTCAAGCGGCTGGAGGGTGTGAGTTGAATGAGGGGGGTATACTGCAAGGAGGATTCTATTCCAATCGCAGTACTCAATAAAATCCATCGTGAGATAAGATCCATGGCCATCAAGGATAAGTAGTCGATAGGATCGGCCTGCCTTAGCCTTAGTCGAGGGATCAAATACCTGCTTTAGCAAGGCTAGGCCTATCTCGTTGTTCGTCCATCCTGAGGGTGAGGCAGCAAAGCGAGCTCGATGATCATCGGGATCAAAGGCTTGAAGCCACGAGTCCTGGATCGAGCCTGAGGCTGATTGATAGATAATAGCAGGATCAAGAGCAGATCCATCCGCGCATATACAGGCTAGCAGCGTTATCCACTCCCGATTGCCATCCTGGATGTGAGCCTTGATCTTCCCCTCCTCATATAGCCTCCTGCTGAACACCCGCTTTGAGCGAGTAAGTATTCCTAGCATGCAGCCCTTCTCATCCATGTTGTACATATTGTAAGGCTCTATATCGTATTGGCTGAGCTTACTGCGTAGAAGCTCAAAATAGAGGCTATACTTTAACTGAGAGTCAGCCTGGTGGCGCTCGCGATCGATTCCAGTCGCCCAGTGTGAGATGAGATCAACTTGGTGTCGCTGGATATATCGATCAACCCAGTGCACGCCGAGCTCCTTTCTGGCTATTGAGGAGGCAAAGCGTCGTATCATAGGTCGTGTAGGAGGTAGGCCTTGCCTTGTAAGGCGCTCGATATAGCGTAGGAGCTCCAGCTCCTGCTGGGGGTGGAGCGCTTGCTGGTTTTGAGCCTTCGTAGCTCTAGAGCTTGATACGCCTCGGTGGCGTTGAGATAGCGTTGAAGCTGGCACACCATACTTTCTAGCGATTTGCGCGTATACAAGTTTTTCGCCAGGTTCTAGCGCTTCGATAGCTGCAAGCGCAGCCTCAATTGGGCTCATATTGATAGAGATATCGCGTGTTGAAAGTGGGGTGCTGCATTGATTTTGGTCATCGGATCGATGGTTACGCCGTCCCGATGGTTACGCCGTCCGCCTCGGTAATCATTTGTCACGGTTTGAGTCTCTCTTGCCTCATGGGCAACCGCACCTCACCTTCGGTGAGATGCGACTACCCATCCTTTACTAGCGCTGTTTACAGCCACTCGTGTATATCTACTGTTCCTAGCTGCACACAATACAATCTGGATTTAATCCTTCAATTCTTCCTGCATATGCGCACTGTTCACTCCACCGCGAATCATTCATGATGACCACATACACCACCATGAGCTCTCATCTAGACTATTTCGTATCAACTGTCACCACAACATGATCTACCAAAGCCGTGTAGTCGTAGCTTGGTCGAAAGGCACCCTTCAACTCGATGCCAAATGTCAAGAGCTTGGACGGAAGAGACGGGAGATCTTCCAACACGTGACTTCGCTTTGAGTGCTTCACTCCCCGCAAATTTGCGAGCACGAGTCACGATCCGACTATCCTCACATATGCACAACGATACTCGGCAGCCCTAGATCTGGGCACTATAGTCTTACTGAGTCCGATTCTGTGTGGCTGTGGACAACTAGTGAACATTTCTTGGGCAATTGTACCGCCAAGTCGTGCAAACCGGTCCATCATGTCCTTCTTCTTGGATGCCAAGGTCTTTCCGAGGCTGCCAGGGCTGTCAAAGCTCTCTTCGGCGCAAGACCACGGGATCGCTGTAAATCTTTTGAGACCCACGACTGGCGATCAATAGGCGCAGCAGACGGAATATATTGAGAATATCGTAGGCTCGCAGTATTTCCTCGGCTGTGGGCCAATGGTCAACAGTAGGGCTTCAAGGCGGCCGCCTTAGTTTCTCCCCAATTTCTCCACGATTACTTGGCACACGTAACATCAAGTCTTCAGAGTGGGTTCGACCAGTGATCTCCGGTTTGTAGGTAATACAAGGCGCATTGCTCCCTTTGCCGAGGCGACGACAGTAAGAAAGGCTTCGCAAGGCTGCATGCGATGAAGCGCTAACCGGAAAGGCGGCTGTTAAATCACGAGACTGCAATACTGCGCCTCAGGGTTGGACGCCTTGAAAGGTATGTAAACACACGAAACAGCAAGAATCTTGACTGATCGCACAGCAACGTGTCCCTCCATTGACGATATCACTTCTGCCTACAGCCAACGCTTTGCATTACAGTATGGCTCGAATCAGCGCAGCGCTGCTTTTTGCGGGTATCGCAACCGCCCAGGCTTCCAACTACACTACTACAGCATGGATGACCAACTTCGCCGACACCGACAGATACGGCTATGTCGCATCCGTCATCGATGCTGACTCAGAACACATGACCTTGTCGCTGGACTTTGACGCCAACACCAACACGACCGCTCTCAACATTGGGGGCCCTGGTGGGAACTACACTTTCGGCAAGACCGCCTTTACGATCAAGGAAGCCATGACTCGGTACGAGCCTACACCAACGGATGGCGACATGAATCTCCAGTTGGCCTGCACGCAGCCGGCACAAGCCGGCGCAGATGTGACGTGTGATGGCAAAATTGGCGACGGATATGCTAGATTTGCTAGGTGCAATGAGTATCAGACCACCCAAACGGATCGTTCTCCGGTCGAGAATGTCACGCGAACTATCACGCACACCTACGGCACTGGAATCTGGGGCTCTGCCGGTACCGAGACTATCACTCAAGAATACAACTTCCCGCTGCAGACGGAAACCACGACACCAGCATGGTGTACTAGTGATGAAGTACCGGAGACCGAACTAGAATCATCTTTCACGACCACAGCGGCGGAGTTCGCGGTGTATCAGATCGTGATCTACGCTGGACAGGAGAAGTTGAGCGCTTTCTCCGGCTCTTCAGTCGACGTGAGCACGATTGCTCCAAGTTCAAGTGTTGCTTCTTCTTCTTCTTCTTCTTTTTCAGGGAGCCCAGAGTCAGCTTCCGCGAGTGCGACTGCAAGTGCGCCTCCGCAGAGCACTGGTGCTGCAGGAAAGATGAATGCAGTGATACCCGCACTTGCTGGTATAGGCGTTGCAGCAGTGATGGGTATGCTTTAGATGGTCATCTTGTACGAATAAGATTTGTACGTCAGTACGCAACCCTGCAGACCCCTAATCCAAATCAATGCCTCCAGAAGCGATCAAGCAGCCGCGTACAGTGTGATACGTCTTAGCAATGATTGCTGTGAGAAAGCTCAAGAAAGAAGGCGACATGACGTGCTCGCTTATCCTGATTAGTCATAATCCACGAATGCCCATCTTCTCTTCAACACAATAGCAGGATATCATGATGTTGCGGTGCAAGTCGGTCCGACAGGCCTTGATCGTCACCTCTGTTGACTACCTTGGACTAGCACATCTCAGGGCATGTATATATGGTCGCCTCCTAGCTAGCAAGCAACTCAGCGCAGTCTTCCATCGATATACAGCGGCTACGTTTGCCGCAACACATGATGCCAGCAGCAATGGCGTACGTAACCAACGAACAGTACTTCGCCACCATCGAACTGCTAACCCCAAGTGGTCCGGAGTTTCGACGTGTCTACTGCTCCAGCGCGCCCACCTAGAGACGACGAGATACCGCTCATTGACCTCAGCGGTTTTGATGGTAATCTTGACGCCAGAAGGATCATTGCAAAACATGTGTGCAAAACTGCAGAGAACACTGAGTTCTCCTATGTTGAGAACTATGGCATCGACGGAAGGCTGATTGAAGATGCTCTGAGCCAAGCTCAGGCTTTCCTTGCGCAGCCGCTGGACAAGAAAGAACCGCTGTTGCCCGAATACACCGGGCCTGCAGTGGGCTACAGGGGGTTGAGTTCGACGCAGATCAATCGCACTGAGTCGCGAAGTGCGTCGTCCTATCCGCTACGATCTGCACAAGCCGAGTCAAATCCTCATTGACATGGCGCAGACCGCAAGGAGACCTTCGCTGTGCAGTACGACGTATGATATGATCCTTCGCATATGATCTCACAGACTTCCTCCCCCATTTACGACTAAACGATCAAGAGCCATGACCTGATTTGGTCCCATAACTCTTACCTCAAAAGCCTGCGCAAAACAACAATTTCTTTCTGGGCCCAACGTCTGCAGCTCGCTCGAAAATTGACCTGTGTCTTCGCACTCGCGCACGACCTGCCAGAGCACTACTCCGATAACCTGACCACTCACCCAGGCGCAGACGCACTCTATATCCACTACACACCCTCGCCTCACTAGCTACTGACGCAGATATTGACGTCGGCATTGGCTCCCACACCGACATCCAACTATTCACGCTACTCTGGCGAGACGCGCTCGGCTGACTGCAGGTCCTCTCGTCCATCTCAGAGTGGCTCGATGCGTTTACCATGCCAGGAACGCTGGTTGTCAACGTCAGCGACTTCCTGCAAAGGCTGTCCAATGATCGGTTCCGCTCAACTGTGCATCGGTTGTGCAACCGTGCGGAGACGTCGCGGTACTTCATGCCGTTTTTCTTCGGGTTCAATGCGGATGCGGTGTGTGAGGTTGTCTCGACCTGCGTTGGTGAGGAGAATCTGACGAAGTACCTGCCGATATCTTATGTTGAGGGGAGGAGGCTGCGCTTCGCGTTGGCTTCGAAAGTGAGTTGAGGTTCTGAATGGTGTTTGCGTTGTGTGGATTGGTGGGGAACGTCCGCGATGTCGAGCGTTGGAAACGAGCACAGTGCCTCGTAGAGGGGGTTCATGAGAGTCATTGCCATGAGACTTAAGATCGCTGATTCGGACAAGTTGCGTACATAATGACGTATATGCAGCCTCAAGCCACCTCGTCTTGACATACCAATAAACCATGAAAGGCAAATAACCGACACCAGGTAAGAATTGCTCTCCGTGTGCCGAACTCGGGGCTGCCCAAAGAACGGGGTATCTTGTCGGTGTTGAAATCACCATACATATTCGCACACTATTTCGCACCATTCTGCGTTTTGTTCAGTGTGCACGGGTTCATGGGTTGTATCACGGACAGCCTGCTCTAACAACAGAGATAAATACTGCAATTGGTTAGAGGTATCGAGTAGAGTCGACAATACATTTCTGTGCTCGAGAGTGGTTGGAGCGAGAGTTACGCAGGCATGACCATTGTATAGTCTATATGCTTGCATACGTCAATGCTAGATGCGTGTCTATATGCACAAGATGCACGCAGTGACCCATTAGCCGATTGGAATGATAGAATATAAGAGGAACGAAGCAAACAAGCAGGAAAGCAAGATATCCAATCACCTCAGACCATGCCCCACAGAGGTGTTGGCATAGGACTGCAGATCGGACGCCCACCGCTCCTCATCTTCGTCTCCTTGATGCCAATGTACGCTTCTCGCCTGGCCGGCGTACCCACAGTGATACTCCAGGTTGTAAGACCGTAGTAAACGCCGATGTGATGCACCAGCCAGCGGCCAAATGTGCCGCCGTTGTCGCCCTCAGGTGTCTCGAACAGCATCAGCTCTCGCTTGAGCTGGGCAGTCGCGCCATCGTGGTCATGCGTCTGCCCATTCCGCCCAACGAAAACGATCTCCTCGTCTTCCGAATCTAGATCTGCTGGCAGGCCGTCCTCCTCTGCGGCGCGAGCGCTGTCTTCCCACTCAGCCACAAACTTCCTCACTTCACCCTCGAGATCCATGAGCAAGCCCTTTGCGCCGCGACTGCGCTTCAGCTTCTCGCGCAGCTCCTTGGGAACCACACCGGGCTCTGTGGGCCTGTTGGCTACGGTCCGGGTCGCGTTCTTCTCGGCGACGGCGTGATCATGGCGCTTGGTAGACTGGCGCTTGAGGCCGGCGTCCCAGAGCGGAGCGAGATAGTAGGGGACGTTGTGCACACGGTAGGTGGGGTGGACTTCCCAGTCTTTGGGGGTCGGAGGCTCGACATACGGGTTGTTCAGGAGGCGATCTGTGAAGCATGAGCTTTCTAGTTCAGGATCAAGCGTATGTTGTAGGCAGAGAGGCTGATCCAATGGTACTACTGCGATTGAGGGGATGAGTCAGGGTGGCGTACCATTCTCCCACCTCTGCCTGCGCCGGCTGCCCTCCTTGCCTTTGAGCAGCGCTTCACGCCTATTCAGACTGTCGCGGCGAATGGGCTCCTTGCGTTTGTACACGGTGTGCATCTGCGTAGTTGTCGCAGGGGCAAGGCGGGCCGGCGCATCGTGCTCATCGAGAGGAATATCGAAGACGACCGAGGTCTCCTGAGCAGCGGCCGGGGCCGCGGAAATGGCGACAGAGCCTAAAGCTGCTGTCGCCTGCTCAGTCCATGCCTCAATGTCAATGGGCTGGGGAGCCGCGGCTTGCGGTGCGGTCAAGTCGTCGATAGCCATGGTGGCGTTGCGGGTGCGGTAGTGCGATGAGACAATCAAGGAAGAGGCAAGAGCTCCAGGGAGTCTTGCGGTAGGAAAGAGACCGGACTAGAGCGCGACCGAGGCAGCAACGACCGAGGGAGTGTCGAGGTAGAGGATGCGATGCACTCCGTGATAGGAGCGTGTAGCTTGTAGTCATGCACGTCATTGCAGCCAATCAGCGGGCAACGTGGAGTTATCCTGTCCGCGGATCATTTGTGAGGTTCCTGCGAGTCACAACCAGGACTGTTTTCAACCTAAGCCAGTCCCATTGTATGGATTCGGTTGACTGTTGCTCCTCCCTCAGAGATGTGGGTGACCGTGAGGTATGTACACAGAATAGGTGGCCACTCTCAGCATTCAACGAATCCTTGCCTCTGTAATGGGTGTGATGCTCGAAATTTAGGACCCAGTCATTGCTAATTTGGGTGCCGGCTGCAAGTCGTTGAGCCTTAAGGCTTCAAGGTATGTCGGAACCGTGTAGATGACTACAACAGCTGCAGATTAATTCACGTAGTCTGCTGTGAAGTGAGTAGCCTAGCTCCCTACGAACAGTAGGTATACACGAGTGGCTGTAAACAGCGCTAGTGCAGGATGGGTAGTCGCATCTCACCGAAGGTAAGGTGCGTTTGCCTATGAGACAAGAGAGACTCAAACCGTGACAGAATCGAACTGTCAAGGAACTGCTTCGACTCCTCCATGATGCCGAGTTGCTTTAGGGGCAGCTTTTCGTCCGCTGAGAACGCTGACTATGGCTGATATGCTCAGTCACAGGACGATCACTTTGCACTACTGATCTCACCTGGTCTCTCTGCTCTTGATCATATCGACCAGTATTTCTGATGCCATGTCAGTCTTCACATTGTGGGATACCTCGCCCTATCTCCACTTTCATCCAATATTGGCACTGTCTCTTTCCAAGTCATTTTTCTGTCGAGTTACTCGAAGCTGTCTGTCTAACATGGAGCTCGCAATTCCGTCGCCATGAAGGCCTTCGAGTTCTTTTTCATTCTCCTGCTCGTTCTCCTGCAGTTCGGTGTAGGCCTTTCCCACCCGTTCCCTGACTCTTACGTTCCCTCTGCCGTTCTGACGGACTCCGGGATCCTCCGTCCACCGCCGTCGCCGCTACCTCTTCAGCTTCGGGGACTCTAATCAACCATGGTCGTAGCGTATTGAACGATATGTCGCCCTCCTATAGCTACGTGTTTGGCGAACTCAAGATGAATTTCATAGTTTGATACGCCGCGAGGTGGAGATCTTGTAGTCAGAAGTCAAGCTTGGAAGGAACATGTGCGTCAGCCTGTCTAAGGGCCGATACAAGATGCCCCTCTCGCGACACTTCTACTATTTTGTAAATGTAGAGGTTTCTCGGCATGAAGGCCGTTAGTAATTTCCCCGTCCACAGCAATGCTGTACTCCATTTTCTGGGCTGAGCCTCCTGTGCTTCGCTATCCACCTACCTTTTGCGTCTCTCCAGTCGCAACTTAGCATGATTTCAACAGCTTGTCACTTCCCTGCGGTCCTGTGGATCCACTGTCGTTTGTACCACGCTCGTTCTTCGCACTTGCACCTCGAGGAACCGAGATGCCACGCCCCACTTTTCACTGACTATGACTCAGTGGATGATGTTCTAAGCATTACTACAGTCAATGCGTTTCAAGAAAACCTGCAACCTCCGTTGTGGCGAGCACTGGTCCCTGGACTGACCCTTACAGTCGTGCATGGCCGATCCAACACAAAATTTACTCTCTAAAACTCCAAAAAATCCACAGTTGGAAGCCAACGTCGATAGCATAGTACGAGCAACATGTATCTCATTCCGATATTCCTCCAGAATGAGAGCCTTCGCCATCTTGGTAACAGCTCTTCTACTCTACTCTGGTCTAGTGACCGCTGCTTTTGACACTGTAGGAAGTGCCGAGTGTCAGGTCTCAAACGCCTATTGTTGACAGACGCAAGTCCGACGCACAGCATCATCGCGACAGGAAGATATGGCCGAGATGCAGCGGGCATGGAATTACCTCCTGATCAGCCATCTGGATTGGCACCACAGAGCTCACGTAATGCTTCTGCGACGATGAAGGGAAAGAGATATGGAACGCTGGTGGGATTGCTATTACACAGATGCCTTTCGGGCCTTTCGGGTGTCGTGACAGAACTCTTGACTTGTGGAGTAAGATCACCGAATATCGGTTGGTGCAAGTCGCAACATCCTCAGCTTTGATTGTAATACGCTATTAGTCTGTCGTAGAGGAATACACTATTGCGACGACGATCAAATAACACGAATTCGTGATACAACTTGGGCTTGCCATATCAATACAGCTTCGATAGGGCTGAGTTGGTGGAGAGTGTGGACTGGCAAGGTTGCGAACCTGATTATTTCCTTGGGCATGAATGGCCGAATGGCGTGAATGTGAGCATGGTAAGCTAAAATACTCCTCTATCGCAATCTCCACCTCGTGCATGGTTGACAAAGTGTAGTAGATGCACATACTGGTATCATACACTCCTGTATGCAGCTTGTCATATTGCGCATCCGCTGTGAGAAATACACATATGTTCAACACTTTACCTGCGCGGGTCCAGAAGGGCACCTGACGTCCAAGTCGGTCCGCAATAACGGCCGAGCAAGATGTAGCACAATAAATGCTTGAACAACCTTTAATATCATATCATTGGAATGTAGTCTCTAATGTCGACCATCCTTCATCGATAAGCACGCACCTTGTATGCTTATCATTGCTGATAGTTATCCATGGATACCTTCAATCGCCTTCAGCGCCTTGTAGCCATCAGCAGCGAGGCTTTCGAAAAATCTTTATGAGGCTCATGCTTGTATGTAGTGGACGAGCTGGCTCATAGTATCACATGCTAATGTCTTGTTCTCTGTCGGCCGCTATGGATGTTTGTAGCAACTGGGGCCTGCTCGCAGGTACTTGCCGAGTGTTCCTGCTGTATGAGCAGGATAGAGCGTCATAACTCGGAAGACATTTGCCTAGCGCCTGTGGCTTAACCTTCACCGGGCTAGCTGACCAAGCCCTTTAGTGCATAGCCAAGCTTTTCGACAGGCACGCACAACCAAACACACACCGCACTAACTGTGACAAGCCTTTTAGCAATTGAACCAAGGTCAAGCGACGGGTACAACGGGTAGAGTGGCAGTGAACGCGTAGCTATGCTGTCATGCGGCTCTCTTTCGCAGCGGTTTTCGAATAACCGGATTGGAACGCCAGCTCTCAAGGATATACCGCAAATCTACACTACCGTATGACTTATCGCAACATGTTCGACTTCTTACCTGACTTCGATCCTGCAGGTTTCTGGACGGCTTGCACTCTTCTTCTCATAACTTCCGGCTACGAATATCACCGTCAACCCTGGGTGCCCCGCAGAGCAATGGCAGCTACGATCTCCGACCGAATCTACAGATTTTGCACAGCTCCTACAAGTATATCGTCCGAGTTGACAAAGAATCCATCTGGGGAGCCTGCTCATCTTGCCGAAGTGTTATATGGTGGTCAGCATTTTGCCATCACGGAGCACAAATCACGCACTCGGCAGCCTGCGAGTGCTGCAGAACTTCAACGTGTACGACAATGCGGCAACTGGGGCGACAGTGACCCAAGCGAACTGTTTCTACAATGTTACCACGCTGCTCTCTGCTCGCTCGAACACGATCCGCTCGCCGGCATGGTGAGTCCTAGCTTAATGGGTAGCAGTGGAGTTCTTCCTGTCACAGTGATTGCTCCACTGCCTGATATCTGTCGGCACATGGCAAATCTGATTGTTCGCGCGGAGAAGGACGTATTCCTGGCGACAAACTTCTGGATCGCATCTGGAGCAGCAAGTATCATTACAGACGCCATAAGAGAGTTGTCCAGGCGTGCCGGCGAGCGTGGTGAAAGAATCGTCATGAAGATTATGTACGACCGCGGAAACATCAAGCAAGTCGTCGACAATCACCAGATGATGTCGCCAAAGCAGTACACTGCAGATGCTGTGAAGTTGCCAGCGCCTGAAGAGATACCACATATCGATATGGAGGTGCAAAATTTCCACCGTCCAATGCTTGGGACCTTTCACTCCAAGTTCATGGTCGTCGATCGAAGAATTGCAGTCGTACAAAGCAACAACATTCAGGACAACGACAATCTAGAGATGATGACGCATGTTGAGGGGGCAATAGTGAACTCGATTTATGACACCGCATTGCTTTCCTGGGCTAGACATCTCAACCCTCCATTGCCATCTCTAGACACTCCAGCAAGCAACAAACACATATCAATGTTCCACAATCCTGCATTCCAGGCACTGTTTGACGAGAATGGCGGTCTACGGGTACACCAAGACAGTCTTCTGAATAAGAACCTCGACGACTCAAATAAAGACCTTTCTTTGCCAGATCGCAGGAACAGATCGCACGACTCAGACATTGTTGCTGAGATTGAGCACATGCAAGCAATACTTTCGCCAGGGGATGGCGAGACACAAATGGATGCTGTTACACGGCACCTCAGTACGTTCCTTACTCGTCTAGCTTCGAGCGCTTGAAATACTGACATGTGCCAGACCTTGCAAAAAAACTGGATCGTAAAGGCACAGCACCACAATGCAGATCAGAAGATGACATGATACCAATACACCCGCACAAGGCCCATGCTCCTTTTCCCATGGCACTTGTCAATCGACGACCTTGGGGTGCGCCAAACCATGAGTGTGTCAATGTTCCGCAGAACGAGGCCTGGTTGGCGGCAATCCGGAACGCTCAAAAGACGGTCTTTATCCAGACGCCGAATCTCAATGCTTCCCCGCTTGTACCTGCGTTGAAAGAAGCAGCTCGCCGAGGCATCGAAGTCACCTATTATGTCTGTTTGGGTTACAATGACGCCGGTGAACTCCTGCCGTTTCAAGGTGGCCACAATGAGAAGATCGCCAACGAGATGTACGAGAATATGAGTGAAGAGCACAGGAAAAACTTGCGAGTCCATTACTACGTGGCCAAAGATCAGATAATACCGATCCATAACAAGTTTAAGACAAGGAGTTGTCACAGTAGGCTAATCTTCGCTATGAACATAGCGCACACTAACGGCCCTGGCAGTCAAGCTTATGATTGTCGACGATCATGTCGGTATACAGGGTAACGGCAACCAAGACACGCAGTCGTGGTTCCATTCGATGGAGGTCAACATCATGATCGATTCCTACCACATCTGTAGAGATTGGAAAGAGCAACTTCGGAGAAATCAGAGTACGTACCCATGCGTCTCGATCGTAACCAGTACTGATTTCACCACAGATACGCATCTCTATGGACTGGCGTCGCAGGAAGACGGAATATGGAGGGACGAGGACGGAAAGGAGGTGGAAGGTGCAATCGGGAAGGACCCAGGGAAGTTCCCCTGGGCTAAAGGGTTAGTCGGTGCGGTGCAGCGCGTCAGAGGTGCTGGCGGATTTTAGGATAGCTGATGGACTTTGATCTCTCCTAGTGTTTGTCAACTTAGCGTTTCCATCAGTACTAGGCGCTTCTCTCTTTTATATGTACGTCACATCCCATTCGAGTCGCCCTATTAGTGAAGCCGAATATGTTGTAGCCATCAAGGAAGTCGTTTAGAGGCATCGCCATTGCACGGTACAGTTTTGAGGTTGACAGAGCTCAGAAGCACAAAGCAGAAAGTGCTGTCTCATCTGCACACTACCTTTGGTCTTGTTCAGCTCCGATAGTTGCACTTCCGCCTCCTCTCGCTTCAGCCAGCAACTGTGTTCCTACCACCTCGCCAGTGGTCTTGCTCTTGAATACACCAATAATCGAGTACAACCCCTTGAAAGGCTCATACATCTCCCTGATCTCCTCACCCTTGAACATCACGCTCTCATTGAAGCCGTCGAAGCGCATACCCTTCTGGTAGTCACCAACAACACCCTCGTTGGAGATAGACCCGTAATTGTTCAGCTTCTCCTCAACAATGTCGCCGTTCTGAGCAAGGACACAGCGAGTGTGTGTGTTGCCCGAGAAGTCGTTTGCTGAGTAAAGAATGTTGCTCTTGATTTCGAATTGCACAAGTTCCTCCGATTGCTTGCTTACTTCAGAAGCTGTAGAGCCGGAGGATGAGCTTGAGCCAGGTCCAGTCACGCCATCAGCGACGTCACCGACCAGGCCGGCGGTGTCATTGATGATGCTTCCTAGGCCGTTACTGAGCTCGGCAATAAGATGTTTCAAGTCGATGCTGTCAAGCACATCGCTGACCATGGTGACAAGGTTTGTGAGGCGCGCTTCGAGGTAGACTTTTGCGGTGACATTCTGGATCAGAAGTGAGATCTTGTCGATGGAAAGGTCGACTCCAGCGTTAAACGATAGCAATGAAATGACTTGTGCGTCTAGGTTAATCTTTGCGGTGAGATTGTCAACGCCAACGTAAATTTCTCCAATGTGGACTGAGGCGTTGAGTACCGTGTCCGTGCACCAAATGCGCGGATTCATCAAATGCGCGGATTCATCAAATGCGCGCATCAACAAGAACGCGTCAAACTTCACACCCATTTTGCTTAACGCCACCATGTCGCTTAATCTAGCCCTTACAGAGATAGCTCAATTAAGCCCTTGCGAAAAGATTCTGTATACTAAAATTGCTAAAACACATGGTGTTGTGCGCTCAATGTTGACGCGTAGACATTAAGGCGATACACGCCTAACGTGTTTTATAAGCGAGTGCGCATTACAAGCGAGTGCGCACCCTACCAACTTTGCGCACCTCTACAAGCGTATATCTCAACAACAAGATGAGATAGTATGTAGATATTAATAGAGTAGATTAAACAGTATCTAAAGTATCTTTCTTGCATGTACGAGAGTTATGCCCAGTCTCTCTGCACCTCTTACAGCGCGCAAGAGCCTGGCGGCTAACACCTGATTGCTCTCCTCCTTGACGCTCTTCACAAGCAATCTGCTGATTAGCCTCACGTTGAGCAAGGATATCCTCGCCAGCTCCCTTCGTTAAGACCCCACGCTGCTGTATACGCTTTTTCTTGCGCTGTTTACGTGCAGACGCTGCCTCATTTGCTCTCTCAAGGCCAGTGATCCGATCGCGCATCAGCTCAGCTGAGAGCATCATCACCTCAGCGCCCTTCTTGAGCTGGTCAATCGCGTCAATAATTGAAGCTGGCGAGGAGCTCTTATGCTTTCTTACGCGCTCACGAATCAACGTTGATTGAGCCTCAAGCTCACGTACGTTGCTCGGCGTACGAGCCTGCCAGGGAGCCTCTGGCAGAGCAGCTGGAGTAGGTGTACGCAGCTGCACGTCAAGCTTTGACAGTACAACGTCTGGTTGGAGAGCTACAAGGCCTGCACCTCGAAAAGCTGAGCAGATATTGGCTGAGGTAAACGATTGATTGAACGCTGCCTTAAATGCTGGCAAGAATTCAAGCTTTGTGATGTGGTTGATGTGGTGGCGGATCAGCGCCTCAATCTCGCGGCTGTACGCGCGCTTCAACGGCGAGAAGCAGCCAACGTCAAGCGGCTGCAGCAGGTGGGATGAGTGAGGCGGCATGCAGAGCGTGCAGATATTGTTCTTCTTGCAGAGCTCCTGAAATTCAAGAGAGTGGTGACTCTCATGGCCATCCAGGATCAGCAGCCGGCGCGCCCCAACTACCTTGCCATCTGTATGCTTAATAAAGTGCTTCAGCCACTCAACTCCAAGCTCGTTGGTTGTCCAGCCGTTCTCACTGACTGCAACAGCCCAATCGCGTGGGATGTCTTCCTCATACCAGGCAGAAAGGTGGTACTGGCCAGCAAAGATGATGAACGGTGGGATAGCCCAGCCAGCAGCATTGATTCCCTGGATCACCGTGACCCACTCGCGATTGCCAGGCTGGATAGCCTTCGGCCGGCCTCTCCTCTCTGATCCTGTCACAACAAGCTGGGTTGTGATCTTGCCCATCATAAAGCCAGCCTCGTCAAAGTTGTGGACGTCCTTGTCAAGGATGCCATACTTAGCCTTTGTCTGCTCTACAAGCTCAAACCAGCTCCTGATCAGTACAGGATCCTCACATAGAGCTCTCTGCCTGTCGTACGCTCGATTGAAACGCGTTGTGAGACTGTCTGTACGCTTGACAAAGTTGCGCGGCCAGTGGACGCCGACCTGACCAGCGCCGCGCGCAGCCAGCAGCTTATTAGCTATATCACGTACGGCTGCGTACGTAGGCGCAAATCCACGTCGATCTAGATCGAGTATATAGCTGACTATCACCTCCTCTTCTTGCTTAGTGAGCTTCTTTGAGTTGGGTTGGCAATTGCGTCGGGCAGGCTTGCCAGCAAGTCGGCGGTGGAGTGTGTCTCGAGAGACATTAAACGTCTGTGCAGCGACTGCCTCACTCTGAATTTGATTTCGCTGGAGAGCTAAGATAGCAAGGTGTATATTAGCCTCACAAGAAGCTGGCTGGGCTTGAGTTGGGGGTGCCATGATAGTATAAGTTCACGCGTTGCAAAAAGTTGGTGGGGTGCGCACTCGCTTGTAATGCGCACTCGCTTATAAAACACGTTATGCAAAGACGTATTAACGTACTCCACAAGCATGCCGGTCACCCAAGTGTACCGGTCACTTTTGCCAAGACCACACCAAACTTCACTCTACTAACAATGCCTCAACGCAGCAACATAAAAAAGCTCTCTAATGAAGCAGACATACAGCTTGCTCTCCAGGCTATCCAACAAGACGCGACGCTCTCTCAGCGACGCGCTGCAGCAATCTACAACGTCTCTCAAAGCACGCTTAGTGACCAACTTGCTAGAGCCACCCCACGCTGCGACTACACACCTAATACTATAAATCTTACAAAGAACAAAGAGGAGGTAATTGTCTAGCACGTGTTGAGGCTAGACGAGCGAGGATACTCGCCCTGGCTTGCTGATGTAGAGGATATGGCCAATTCTCTGCTTGCTAAGCGCCACCAGCCCTACGTTGGCAAGAACTAGGCTGCCAACTTTGTAAAACGTCAGCTAGAGCTTAAAGTCAAATTTAATTGCAAGTACAACTATAAGAGAGCTCTATGTAAGGATCCTAAGGTAATTAGGGACTAGTTCTAACTAGTAGAGAATACTAAAGCTAAGTATAGTATATAAGATAAAGACACCTATAACTTTAACAAATCTAGCTTTATGATAGGCGTTATATTAATAGGAGCTGTTGTTACAGGCTCTAAGCGTTAAGGGAGACTAAAGACAGTGTAGCAGGGCGACTAAGAGTAGACTAGCATCATCCAAGGCATCTGCGCGAAGGGCTAGTCTATCCCACCCTTCATTATCTTCTCTAGCGAGCACCACCTCTCTGCCTAGTACAAGGAGCCTAGTATACCTAACAACTAGGTTCTTAATGTCTCTAATAATAGCTAGACTAACAACAAGCTTAGAGTTAAGTAGTTAAAGCACTTTAATAAGTACACAAAGGCGCGCACTGTTGGCAGCTATTAGCTGCTTATTCTAGACGGCTATAAGAGCCACAACTTAGTTAAATTCCACTAGTACTGCAAGGAACACAAGATTATTACCCTGTGTATGCCTCCACACTTGTCGCACCTACTACAGCCACTTGACGTAGGCTGTTTTTCTCTGTTGAAGAAGGCCTATAGCCGCCAAGCTAAGTGGCTAATGCGCAGCAAGATTACGCGTATCACTAAACTTGAGTTCTTGCTGTGCTTTAAAGCAGCTTTTGACGCCTCAATTACAGAGAGTAATATCTAGGGAGGATTTAGAGGTGCTGGCCTAGTCCTACTTAACCTAGAGGCTGTGCTATTAAAGCTTAAAGTACAGCTGTACACACTAACGCCACCTACTATAGACAATAGTACGTAGGAGTCTAAAACACTAAGCAACACCCTAGAATTTAGGTCTTAATTAAAGCTAATTTAAGAGAGGATTTAGAGACACGCTAATAGCTTACTAATGTCTATAGTTAACGCTCTTAATTAGCTTACTAAAGGCACAGAGCTAATAGCGCATTTACTAGTTTTAGTGCGCAACTAGGTTGCTGACCTACAGGCAGCTAACAAGGCCGCTACACGTTATAAATTACACAAAAGGAAGCAAGTACAGCAAGAAGGGACTCTAACCTTTACTAAGGGAGTGTAGCTAACTACTCTAAAGGAGTTTAAGGCCTGTAGTAATAGGAAGAAGGCAAAGAAGAGGTCACGTGTTAATAGGAGCACTTAGTCTTTAAGGCGCTGTAGCACATGTGGCGAGACAGGGCATAACAGAACAACTTGTAAGAAAGATGCGTAAAGTACTATAGATTAGTATAATATACTGTGTAGCATAGTAGAATGCTGCTGTGTACTAAGGTACTGCAAAGTAGTTATAGTGTTGGTGTGGTCTTGGCAAAAGTGACCGGTACACTTGGGTGACCGGCATGCTTGTGGAGTACGTTAGCAGAACAGCAAAATATTAATCTACAACAAGAGGAGGACCTTATAAAGTATATAGAGCAGCTTACTAAGCAACGTTTACTACATACACAGGATATAATACAGAATTTCGCCTCAGGAGTTCCTTAAAAGAGAGTATTAGAGAGCTAGGTCACTTACTTTATTAACAAGTAACGTACTCCACAAGCGAGCTGGCCACCTAAGCGAGCTGGCCACTTTTGCCAAGACCACACCAATACTGCACCTACTTTGCAACATTACAGCACACAACTATAATATATTATACTACACAGTATACTAGACTGGCGGATGGGTACCATGTACCTAGGGTAGGGTATAGGTAGGGTATAGGTCGCACGGACGTAGGTATAGGTAGGGGAGGGTCGCACGGACCATAGGTATAGGTAGGGGAGGGTTACACGGACCATAGGTAGGGTAGGGTAGCACGTGACTGGGTATAGGTATAGGTAGGGTAGCACGTGCTAGGTATAGGTTTGGTTTGGGTATATTACTAACCTAGTTTGTATACAACTAACCCTAGGTTGTACTAGTAGATTCTTTCGCATACACAATA